GTGTTTCTGTGGGATTTGATGAAATGCGAATTGTGTCGAAGTAATTTTAAAAGAAAATTACAACTCAATGGTTAAACAGTTGATTTGGTGGAACTAAGCAAGAGGTAATTCCAGAGCTATGCAGTATTGGAAATGAAGAAGCCATTGCTGAAATCAAAGGAAAGATTGACCTATATTCTCAATTTGGAAAAACTTGAATAATTCAAGATTGGAAGAGCCAATGATAATCATATTCGATTATGCGATATTAGTGTGAGTAGGTTTCATTGCAAATTAACTTTGGTACAAATTCATTTTGTATCATGTAGCACAATAAAGAGTTTTATATTCAAGACAACAATTCTAAATTTGGTACTCTCCTTAAGTTGAAGTAATCGATGCCATTGTTGAAGGAGTTTTAGAATGTGCAAGTTTAGGTTGGGCGAACGTTGTTTGAATTCGAGAACGTAAGCAACGGTTACTAATGATTATTAAATTTATTAATGTCATTTTCTGAATAACAAGGTTAAGAGCTGCAGATAAGGAAGGCAGATTTGGATGATTACGATGAGATTATGTAATTGATGCAGGAAGAGGGAGAAGAGGACTTATAATAACTCTACGCATATCCCAAGATTCTTACATTATTTGAGAGATCCTATTTGTCAGTCACAGTGCTTGATTCGTAGAATAATATTATAGGAGGGGCAGTCTTTGATGATTGTCCTTAAGGTGTTACTGGATAGGTTGATTTTAAGCATGAGAATTTGTGGGAATAATGGATTCATGATGGCTGGGACATTGGCTTTCATGTGAGTTCATTCAACTGTCTTTGGATGACTTTCTTTTTTCTTGGTATTCTTTCTATATCTAGATCTAGCTAAGAAGCGATTCCAATTGACTGAAGACCAACAGTTACAGATCACCAAACAAATCTTTCAAAAGGTCTATGATTATTTGAATGTTGTCAATGGGATCTTCTTTTTGAGGAGGAGTGAAGCAATTGATGCCACTCAATAAGAATTGGATATCGCATTAGAGAATTTATTTGAAATTCTCCCAAAAAGACAAGATTTCAAATTGAAGGTATATTTAAAGTCTAAAATAATAGTTCATGCAAGGAGTGAATCAGAATTGTGAGATCTACTATTCAGCGTCATCTATGGTAACTGAATTGTTGGAAATTCGTATGGCTCGTGAAGAGGATCATGATGATTTGGCTGCCATCTTTAATCGTCAATCAGATGTGCATACTGAAGAGTTCGGTGAATTCTTCATTGCGGACTTAATTGCTACTCAGAATCAAACTAGGAGATAAGCTAGGAATTATAGGAGTGATGGAAAGGCTATTGTAGGATAAGTTGGAGATAAGGCAGTGGGATTGATGAGTATTTCAAGTGATATTGAGTAAGAGAATAGTCTAAAGTAGTTATCGTCTACTTGGATAGTGTTTCGATTTAGAAGTGTTTGACAATCTCTACAAATCAGAATATATGGAAGCCATTAGAAATCGACTGGATTAATTGGCACTTGAGGAAACAAATCAACAAGCAGATCATTACTTACAAGAAGCACATTGAATTGACCAAAGAAGCCATGAAATGTCATATAGTTGGACAAAGACTCTATTTACAATAGTATTGTTTTGATAGAGACTAGGAGATTAAGCAAAAGATTGATGATTATGGGTAAGAAGACTTAGCTAAAACACTTACATAATAGGTTGTGACTAATATGATCAACGGGTGGTTGAAGGATTATCAAGTATTCAAACCCAGTGATCTATTTCTTGAATATCCTGATTCATTCAAGGATTTAGAATGCATCACCATTAAACCAATCCAAGTTTTATTGGAAGCCCTTGAGTTCTTTGGATTACCCAAAGGATACATGAATGGAGAAGGCCATTGGAAAGATTGGGCCAAGAAGAAGGAAGAAGAGTAAAAGGCTCTCTCTCTCAAAAGCCCAAAAAGATAACAGAAGAAGACTAATAAAAAAAGCAAAGAAGGAGGATAAGGATGAAGACATTTTCAAACCACCTCCTTATTTTGATTTGGGACCATTCTTATAAGCCTTTACTAAATTCACATCAGTATCAGCTGAAACTAGAACACAATTCAGAAAATAAATAGAATCAAGGGTCAAAGAGTTGATTATGGAATTCTGTACTGAAAACGGAGAAATGGATCCTAGTCGTCATATAGATTTAATTGAATTTCCAGATGTACTAAGAAATAAAGGATTTGACATTGGAGCACCTTTGGGAGAGAATCTTGCATTCATATTAGAATGTTTTGGTGAATTAGAAGTAGACAATAGGATTGTGTAAAAAATAAAGGAGGAAAAGGATGCCAAAAAGAAGGATGCCAATCTTAAGAAGGTTGGTGATGATGCACCTAAACCTGTTGATGTTTTGTAGAAAATGACTTCATATAGTGAATTCATTGGAGCCATTTAAAAACTAAAAAGATATGATTAAATGATGTGCAGATTGTAGTTAGTTCGATCAAATATATTACAGAATGAAGTAGAAGATATTATATAAGATGAATTTAAATAAAATTAATAATCTGGAAAAATCTAAAAATGTTGAAAGGAATCAAACATAATTTGATGAACATGTTTCCTAGATCCAATCTATTGATTAACTCCCAGAAGTCCCTAAAGCAGCTCAAAATGCTGTTGTTATCAATCTATTTTGCATAGATGAACGATTTGAATCAAGATCACTTGATTTTGTTGAAAGAGCCTTTGAACTCTTCCCTGATCGTGAGTATCTCATCCTAACATAACCATACACAGTCTAAGAGACTACTCTGTTATCACACTTTCTATAAGTATCAAGGAAGAAACATTCCACCTTTGAACATGTCTTATATATATTTCATAGAAACAGTTTAGATTCTCATCTGATTGAATTAAGAAAGTTCAATCAAAGTGAATGGAACTAATGTCAATTTTTAGTTGAGAATCTCTTAGGAAAAGATGGCATTGAAAAAGATGTCAGAAATGTAAACGACAACGAAACATTTATTGTCTATTGCAAAGATGAAATAATTGGATTATATTGCATGAAGAAGTATGTTAATCTCCAATATTTGAAATCTCATTTCTGTGTTTAAGATCATATCCTAATTAAGGAACATCCTAAACATTTGCATACTAGATTATTACATGGAATCTTGAATCCTTTGTTTGCTAAACAAACTAGATTTATTTTACGAGAAATTTGCAGGTTGATGGATAAGACATGTATAATGTTAGAAATTCATGATCGTACTCTATTGCCTGATGTATTCCATGAATTCAATTTTGTGAGAAGTCGTGCCTTTCCTCATTTCTTGAAATAGAAATGGGATTGGACTCTTGATGATGATCAAAAGGAACGTATGGGCACAATTCTAGATGATCGTGACCCATATGATTAAACTCAATCCCCCTTCTCTTTAGCAATGCTTACAAAAAAGTAGTTATCCAATGTTAAAATCTCTAATAACTCCCGTATAGTTGTTGTTGGAGCATCTGATACTGGATTGTCTTTCATTGAATCCTTACTTACGATAAAGGATATCAATTTTACTAATATTATCTTATTGGCTCCTGGAGGGTTGATAACAATGCATGTAAAACATGAATTTGAAATGCTCAAAGCTATGAGTACTAATTATACGTTGGAAGAATTAAGAGCTCTGATGTTGGATGCTCGAGTGTAAGTAGTGGATGCTAAAATGGTAAAGTTGGATAAAAAAGGAAATCGAATTAAAATTGATAAAAATGCATTCATTCCTTTTGATTATCTCATAATCACTGTTGGATTGATTGATACTGAATTGTAATCAAGAGAAAAAATAAGTTTTGGTCTATCCAAGTCTCCATATTACAAAAATTCATAATTTATAAATGGAGTGTATAGCATAGATGACCCATATCTCTACTCCCATTTCAAAAGAACTGGATTCAAAGGAAGCAATATTGATTTGTTAACCAGAAAGAAAAAACCACAAAATATAACTATTTATGGCAACACCTTGACTACCATCACTTTTATGAATGGATTGCTCAATAGAGGTGTCCATCCATCCCGCATTCATTATGTTATGCCACCCAAGACCTTTTAAAAATAAACCAAATTTGAAAACAATAAACAAAGACTTGAATAAGATGATAAAATGATATTTGACCCTGATTAATTTGAAAATGAGGAAGTTAAAAACAAAGTATTTGCCATAATGCTAGAATTAGGCATATAAATCCATTAAGGATTCACGCTATATGAATTGAAGGTAGGTAAGGAAGGATTTGGAATAAATAGTGAAGATGTATTGTAGGAAGTCATTTTCAGAAAATAGGCAGACAACTACGAAGAGTTAAAAATTGAGATTCAGAGGAAGGAGTAAGAACTTTAAGAGTTAAAAGATAATTCTGAAAACAATATGAGCAAAGATATGTATGGAGAATAGGAGGAAGGTGAGAATTAGTTAGAATTACTTGCTAGAGAAATTGAGTAACTCAAGGCAAGTGAATATGATTATTTGCAATTGGATTCAAGATTCTTCATCACAAGTGGATTGATTGATATTGACAAGGAAATCTTCAATATCATACATGAAAATGGATTGGTCTACAATGGTAGATTGATTGTCAAGAGTAATTTTCAAACCACCCAAGAAAATATATTTGCTTGTGGCAAGATTTGTGAGTTCTCTCAAAGATACAAACACCATTCAGTTGGCAAGAGTCTAAGATTAGATAAATATAATGGCAGGGAACTAGGTTAAAAACTTAGTAAGTGCATTTTGGAATAATTAAATTTGAGTTATTTAACATCCCAAACTTATTCAGTTGATGAATTACCGTAGTTGTATATGCCAATAGGATAAGGAGGCATAGTTCCTTACAAACTTTATTACTATTATATCAAAAAGAATGACTTCTCAAAGCCAAGACAATTACAATAATAACCATCTAAACCCATAGTGTCTGATAATTTTAAGGATTCTCAAGGTCATTTCTTATAATTTGATGTTGATCCAAATGGGCTTATTGAGAGTCTCACTTACTTCGGTTCTGAGGCTGTTCACATTCCAAGTTTGATTCACTTCATTGAATTGTCAGTACGATATTTGAACAAATTGGATTAAAGAGGCAAACTCATAAACAATGTTTCAGAATTTCTATCTGAAAATTGGGCCATAGCTCTTTATCATGAATGGTTTAGTGAATTCAGACACATTACTAAAAGTGAAATGCTAAAAAATGAACTTATTGATCAGGTACTTGAGAAATCGTAAGAGTATGCAAGAGATGGTCGTTATATGGATGATAATTTCTTTGAAGAAATTAAAAAACTCATCACTAGAGATATTGTCGAAAATATACAAGTAAGTCGTATATCATTATATGTATTTAGGAAGGTACAATCGAATTCATCAGACAAAATTAGAACCATTTACCTATGTACTTTGTTCCAAAATAGAAACTTAATTGAAATATTATTTGAAATAAAATATTATGAGTAAATTCAAAGTTTTTTCATTCCCTAAATAAATTTCCATTATGATTCAAACTAAAAACCTGCTTCACTTCATATTATGTAATTTTTAAAAATTAAATTATCTAATAAAAATCAATTTAAGTTTATTTTATTAGAATAAATTCAATATATCATAATTTTTATAATTAAATTATATGTTAGCATGATTTAAAATGTTTATATAATGATGAAGATTTGAACCTTAAATATATATAGTATACTTTCAATAACTTTAATAGGTAATAACATATCTCAATATAACCCAAATTGTATTGAAATTACTTAAATGATGATTACTGGAATACAATTAATTAACAACAGAAATATCCTTTTGAAAACCATTTGTATTTAAAATGCTATCAAATACATAAGATTAATAATTCTATTTGTATTTATTATATATGGAGATAATCTTTAGAATTAGTTAATGATAGAATGCTTAAAAAATAAACAATGATAATATTCATGATTATTATAGTCGTTCTTCTTTTGGAAGATTGGCGTGATAGATCTTTTCCCAACTAATAATAGTATTGTCAAGATTGGTTATGCTCTGGTGCAAATGGCCATCCTATTAGAATTATGTCAATAACTTACAAAAAAGGCATTTAGAGTAAACCACAAAGGTCTTACAATAACTTTAAAGAATCCCATTTCAGATTTGGCCATGATGTATATTTTATCCAAATCTTTTAAGAAAGGTGTTTATGGAATGCCCAATCTGCCCTCTTCTTCATACTGAGCACTAAATTCTTTGTTCACTCTTTCTGACCAAATTCTTGAGATTTCAAAAACTTTGGCTCCTCCGTTGAAATCTGCAGTGTGAATTATCATACCAGTTAATAGTTTAAGATCATCATCTCCCGTTCCAAATGGTTTTGCTACATCTTCCTTGATTCTGCTTTCAAAATCTTTCAAGAGAGTAAAATGGACCTTGATATCGGTGTAGAGAATGTTGTCGATGAGAATGCGTCTGAATTGTTGGTGCTGTTCTTTGGTTAGGTTGCTTAAGAAATTGAGGGATTAGTCTTTGAGCATGAATATCGTGGTGGCTGCATGATGTTATTCAAGAGGCTAAAGTATAATTTGATTCTTACACTAGCATCATGATATCTGGTGGCCAACTTAGACTAACTGTTGATCATGAACATATTGGTTCTTCCAGTGTGTGAGACATCATGACACAGCCCAGATATAATGGTTGCCATCCTTCTGAAATCATCGATAAATTGTTTGGCCTTTCCGCATTGCAACATGAAATGAGCACTCTACATAACAGATATACCATGATCATAATTGTGAAATGAATTATTTTTCTTATTGTACTTCTTTTAGAGAACACTTAAGAACTAAGCTAGACATAAATTATTCATCTGATATTAGGCAATGAATCCGTTCTTCTCCAGAATACTATACACTAATCTATGCTTTTCTTATGAGGAATCCAGAGCCAAAATATTGAATTCAAACAAATCCAATTGAGAATCCCTCTCAAGGATTTTAAATTAATTTACATCGACTTACTCTAATTGTTGCTGACATTTGATATACACACTTGAACTGATCTTCTTCTTTTTCTATGGAGGAATAACCCATTAACCATTTAACATGTCCTTAGTTTATGATTCTGAACCCTTTACATCAGGTTTACGATGTCTAATTTATTGCAATTCGTTTTCAGGAATGAATAGAGCAATCATTGAATTCGCTACATCTTGTGTTTCATCTAACTAATTTAGGAACTTGAAGGTTTGATGTTTGTTGTATTGTATTAGTATTTGTCTTTAGATATCCTCCTCAAATGACTTATTGACTTCAGCTTCCTTCTATACGTCATTAGTCATGCTGTCCATCTTCAGAGTCATGAAGTAGTGTTTAAGTCTCCTGGCCTCGTTTTCATGGAATATAACTGTGAATCCTTTGAAGTCATTATCAATCACTTTAAGAAATATTTCAAATTGAGGGATTTCGAGATTGCTCAAATATTGATTTTGCCTATTTTCATGAATATTCTAAATATTCACCTCAATATTGGAAATAATACTGTTTTAAGCAAATATATCTTGATAAGTAATTTTATTGTATAGAATTGCTTTTGGGTCAAATGTGATATTATGCTTTTGTCTATTATATGATATATCTAAGGTATTACTTCAAAGACTTGGAAATCGGTCTACTTAGGAATATCAGTTCTCCTTGCTTATTAAAATCAAACAATAGGGAGTCAGTGGTTCTGAGGAAATACTTGTAAAATGCTGACTTTTCATAACATAGCTTCACGTATCCGTCATACCTCTCTAATATTTGGATTAACTAATGGGATATGGCAAATAATATTTACAAGTGAATACAAATTTTGATCTTGTTCATTTTTCAGATCCATGTTAGTGATTCTTAAGGTCAGTTGGTTTGAGTCTTTTAATTCTATTTTTAATGAAGGCAGGTCTTTGTCTTTCTTAACAACGCCTTCAGATTAATTCTATTGTGCCTTTTCGACATCATATTTTTGACTTAAAGCCTTTTTAATGCCTTCGAACAATAAAAATCTTGAAACCCTCATAAAGGTAATTCCTATGTCTTGTACTTGATCGGCAAAGCGTAAGGGATTGAAAAATTATACTTTAGCAGTTATGATAGTTTCAACTAAGAACTAGGCTAAGTGAGTGACATCTGTGTTAAATCCATAGATGTTAGCATAACTAAATGATGATGATGATGATTACTTGATGAAGTTTCGTTTGATGTTCTTCTTGTCCTTGTCTGTCCAATGGAAACAGAAGAGCACTTCATAATTCTTAATGTTCAATTGGAATTTAACAAGGGATGTTTGTGCATAAGTGTTAGATTTACAGGTCTCTTGGATTTGAGGGTATTGATTCTATTTTTGATCGACTCTGTGGATGTAACATGGTCGGATATATGCCAATTCATCTGTTACTTTTTAGGCTTCTTCAGTGGTGATATCTTTGATTGAATCATTGGCTGAAGTGTATACTTCCCAATCCTTGTCTCGATGAATGAAGAAAGTGAATTCATCAGCATCGACAAGAATCTTGAGAAGGAATTTGAGTACTTAATACAAATTTTCATATGAAATGTCTTCCTGCATGAGGAGTAGATGAGTATGCAAGTTGCCAGTAATTATATTCTTTAATTCCTTGTAGATCTCGTTGATTTGCCTTTTCATTTTGTCATACACATCTTCTTCGCAAGAATCGCCATCCTTCTCACTTATTTCAGTCAACTTATTATTGTCGCGTGTATTTAATGCATGCTAGCCATTGGGATCATCTTATTCAGCTGTGAGTTGTAGTATCAAATTGCATAATTGCAATAACTTCTCTTTGTCTTCTGGCACAAGTAGATTGTGCTTGTCAATGTGCTTATTCAACAATTCTGTCAGTTTATCGATCATAGCACCAACTCCAACTAAGGGCTATGGGATAGATTATTCAAATTAGTTTGCATTCTGTTGTTTGGTTTCATCTGTAACATCCTTCATAAAATGGACAGTCTTGGATTTATGTTATCGTCTTCGTTGCAATGCCTTATTTTATTCATCCAAATAATCGAGTATTGCCTATCGTAATTGCATTTCCCTAATTAATGTGAAGGTTCAGGCATACTTTCCAGGACCACTATTTTGAATGAGAACACGACATATTTTGTCTTCTTTGTGAGTGAGACTAGTTTTGAGGAGAGTCTTCTGTTCAGATGTGATTTGGTTGGTCTTACAAAGATTGGTGACAACGATGAAGAATTATGTGTAGTGACTCAATTATGGATCCATTTTTTATAATTTATAGGGTCGTTTCAAGAAATTTGAACTTCCCTTATAATATGATTGTGAACGAGGTTTCACAACAACTGTGTCTGGAGTCTCAGTAACATGTTTCTTGAACTCTTCCAACCCCAAACGCTGTTTCTGTTAGATCAGATTGACATGTTTGTGTTTCCCCATAGAAATTAGTTTGGACAATTTGTTGTTCAATTTCTCTTCCAATTTTGGAGTATTGTCACTGAATTTGAACGCCTTCAATTCAGGTTTTGGACATCGTTCTCCTGAACACAATACTAAACCGAAGCCAATTGGATAACAACGAACTTAAAGTGGACGATTGCAACAATAGCTATATGGTACTTATTTTGAATTCATGAAGAAGATCGTGTATGTTTTGGTATACAAATGTTGGCAGATGAGGATGCTGTGTTATCGAAGCTGGATTTCAGGGAACATCCTCATGATAAGATTTTGAATGTAAATAGATTTCTCATCACTTGGAGAAAGAGACTCTGTTTGTGATTCCACATGGACTAAACGAAATAATGTAAATAAGACTACTGGCATTGAGTGTCTCTTTCAGGGAAGGCTCGTAGATGTGGTAATAAGGCTTATCATCTAAATTTGGGAGTAAAGTGTTATTCATTTTAATAAAAATATCATTAGATTTCCATCTTCTATTGAAACAATTTCTCAAACACCGCCCCAGGCCCTGATGGATCCTAGAAGTTGTACAATTTAAGGTTTTCTCTACATTATTAAAATCTATAATAAACTTGTTGTAATCTCGGACATCTTTGCAACCTTGCATACCTCTCAGGTACTTAAGTAACGATTCCAACTCTTTGTCCTCCTTGTTGTCATAGAATGGGATTATTGGAATCCCATTGTCCAATTGCCATGCATAAGAATAGGAAGCATTGTCAATCAAGACCAATTGACTCAATGGCCGATCAAAGATTCTCAGATCTTTCGTGTACATACCTCCAGTGGTCATTACGCAATTATCACGATACAAACTATGGGAGATGAGGGTCTTATTGGGATCCAGATACTCAATCACCTTTTAGGCATAACAAGGATGCGAAGCAGTGAAAATGATCAATTCAAAGTCATTGACCAATAATTCTAGCAATTTAACAGCCCCAGGTCTAATGTTGATTCCCGCTTTAATCGTTTCTTGAGGAGAAACCTGAATAGTAAGGATCACATCGCTGGGAATGGCTAGACTCTCGTTGCAATGAACCAGGGTCTCATCAAGATCAAAAACGATGCTAATTTTATCTATGAATATCAACAATTAGATTAATACTTTTGTAAATATCCTTTTGTTTCAGACGTACTTATTTGATTTTAAGATCTTTTGGGTCGGCTGGCTATAAATACGAGGCAACATAGATTCCTTAATAGGTTTAAAGAAAATGCTCTCTGTACATTCTACTAAAGTAGTCATCATGAATAGGTTTGCTAAATGCATTCCTCACTTTGGTTATGTAATATTGTTGTTGATCCGTACTTAACTTCTTAGTGCTCTCAAAATATTTATTAACACTTAGACTGCCCTTCCCAGCACTTTTTGGAGTAACCTATTGTGATTGTGTTTTTGGCTTTTGAAACAAAGCACTCTGCAGTTTCTTCAGGATAAGATCCTTGTTCTAACCAACAGATTGCTGAGGACGATGATGTGGTTTCTTTTCAGTCGATGGTCGATATGATTAAGTTCCAGTTGGAGTTGGGGGTTTTACAGGTAAATGAATATCCAGTTAAGGGGACACCTTTGTCACCAATTAGCTTAAAATCTTGGAGGATTGAGTTGGAGTGATTATTGGATGCTAAACTTTTCCCTCTTTCTTTTTGAGTAATTAGAAGTATTTTTGCATAGCAGCATTCACTTCTGAGTTGCTCAGCTTTTTGGCCGATGAATCACGATTGACTTGTATTTTCTATGGCAAATATGACTTTGAGAGATTAAAATCCATTTAATATCGTTGTGGTTTCATATATATTAAATTTATGGTAACCTGATTGACAGGTTCCCCTATGATTTATGAATTATATTGCTCAATTTTTGTACATTTGGATCCATCCTAATTTCATCCATCTGCTACATCATGTGATCATGTAATTTCCTAATTCTACTAGTTGGAAAATGTAAAGTTGCATTCGGTAGTTTGGTAAACTTGGCCTCTGCATTTACCTAGTGAGGTTCCTATATACTCTCGCCCTTCCTCTTTGGTTTTTTGGGCTTAATAAATAGTTTGAATTCCTCATCTTTGAACTTCCTAACGCTCTTCACCTTTTCAATTACCACAGAACTTTCTCTATCATTTCTTGGGGAACCTTACTTACAACAACTGCAACATAAAATTAAACTTCTCCTTATTCGTGATGTTCTCGTCATTCATTTTCTCCTACAATCTTTTCCTCTCGATCTATTCTCCTATTCTTTTAAACAATCCATCTAGTGTCGGAGGAGTATTTACAGTTTCATCCTTCTTTGGTTTGTAAATCATCTGTATGTCCGGGTTATGAAGTAATTGATGGAATGCCTACTCATTTAAATGATTCTTGGCATTTTGATGGCACGCTTAATTAGACTTCCTAAGCAATTTACATAGATTGGAGAATGGAACATCATATTGCCATGTCTAATATATAATATATTGAAGGTGTTAATACTCGCAATAACTTAAAGATTCTCTCGAGTGTTATGAACTCTTCTCCTTCACGTATCTTATTGAATAGATCCTACAACTAGTTCTAACATTCTAGTGGATAACCATGTAAGTAGCATTACGATTTCATTAAATTTATATAACTAAATTCATTAATTTTTCTTTCTTAGTTTATCAATCAATTATGAAATGGCCACATGGATCTTCTTCTTTATTTCATCAATCTTAGCATAAAATTCCTTAATCGTTTGTAAATGATCAGTACGATAACTAAATTATTATCTCTCAATTACCTGATGGTTCTATAGACTTCTTACAGGACTGCATTGACTAACACAGTTGCTCCGTAAGTGTAAGTAACAAAGACCAACGATGTTATAATTATCATTGTTTAAACTTCGTAATCCACTATTTTAAACCAAATTTTATAATTTCCAAGGAAGAACATCCCACAAGTAGATATAAATGATCTATAGTAAGTTGTAAATTCATCAAATCTTTAGGAGAATAACCTAATAGAAGATGAATGCATAGGAGGCTAATATGGTAATTGCAAAGATAACTAAAATTAAAATAAAATGTTGATTTACTAATCATAATGATGTTCTCAGCTCCTTTGGCAGCCATAGCCTAAACAAATGCGACTGATTCTGAAATTTAAAATAATTTAAGAGTGTTGAAACCTACTAAAATGATAAGAACTCCTCTAATAATTAATCCATTATTAAATTGATTTGCGTAATACATGATAGAAGACTCTGCAGAATGTTATAGAATATCCAATGAATCAGAAGGAATTGATGAGAACATTAAGAAACTTACCAATTGCAAAATGAATATTGTCAATTGATACATTATACCCACTTATATGAAGGCAGTAAAATCTCTTCTCAGCTAAAAGTTTTAATATTTTTTTTGAATTTGATTAAGAGTCTCTTTGACGGCAACAAATATCATGATAGAATTTAAAAGTCCTGATATGGTTAACATTACATATTCAATAAGCCAGAAATTGGCTGATTCATCTGGTTTCAAACATTTGAAACTTTAAATATGCAATTATTGAACAATTTCATAACTAGGAGCGATCTCGAAAAAATAATAAATGACATAGAATTATTCTCTGCTGTCATCATAAATTACGATGTTGAAGAGTACCATTTTGGTTGTATAGATATTGAACATACCCTAAGATTTGTGTGTTTATACTTTGTCATCAACATACTCATAAGAGTCATATGATTCATCAAAACCACCTCCTTCATAATTTGAGAGAATGCCACTAAAAGGAAATACACCAGACTCTTATTCAGTTTTGTATTCACCCCAAGGATAAGTATTTCCATCTGGAGCTGTAATTTAACTTTTTAAGGCATTCGTATCACTATATATTGAATAATAGCATTCATTGTATCCTGATGCTAATTCGATTTCATTACACGAATAATTACTACTCTATACCTGAAACACCTTAAACTTAGGTCCCATTTGGATGAATTAGAATTGAATTTTGATTTCTTCTTAAACAGATCCATCCGTTTGAGTCACATTAAACTTATCCACTATAGTAATCAAATTGATTTTTTTGTACAGATCATCTATAGTAGAAACTGTATTCAGACCATATTTAACTTCAAGTAGATAATTATGCAAGGTTAATCTAACTTAAGAAGTTGTTTCGTAATCCATGATATTTTTAGAATTTAGATAGATTAAGATAAGAAGAGTAGCTGATAAGATCAATAGAAATATTTTCCAGCCTATACTGATATCAGTACTTTCAATGTTTTCTTCTTAGTTTTGGTTTTCATAAAGTTTCAAACCAGGTTAAACATCCACAAATTCATCCAGTTCTTTTCTTATCTATTTAATGTTTTCATCATCCTAACTTGCTTATTGATTCCTATTTGGAAGTGAGATATTGATCTTTTACTCATCCAGTAAAAAGTTAGTAGCCAATTATTTACGATATACATAAAGACATGCGAATTGGACTTGTTCTTTATGAGCAGAGAAGAAGTTTTCTGCTGAATAATTCATCAATAGATCCATGCAATTGCAATTCTTATCGACCATTGTGTATTCACTTCTAGACAGTTCCCAATATTAGACACTCCACTCGAAGATCTATTAGAGTGTTGTTGTTTTCTTAATTAGAAATGTAACACATCTATAGGTGACTGCAAATCCATCATTAAAATCTTAGGTTTCATCCTCATTCCATCTGGTTAACACAAACTTATGAGGATTCTCTAGTAAAAAGACAGCTACAGAATTAACATCCATCTTTTAATTTGATTTGTTCGCTAATAAATACATTCTCGTTTTCTGTTGAGTAAAGAAATTCTAAAATGTTTTTCTTAGTTTGACATCGGTTTATTCTTAACTCTTCTTCAAAACAACTTGTTCTTATTCTAATTGTTCTTTAATTTTATCTGTGCCTAATTCCTTTCGTTATTTCAGAGATTTAGAAAGCCCTTCAATTTGTGTATTCAAATGAAAAAGCTGATGACTTTTATCTGCATAATATTTATCTAATCCTTCTATATCTTCTGACATCCTACCAATCTTTGCTTAGTTTCATAAAAGTACCTTCGATTCTAGAGATTTGATTTCCTCCTCCAAAGACTTCGTAGACATTTATTAATATTAATAAACTTGAAAATAAATTACATAATTCAAATAAACCCTTTTTTACTATATAATCAATCGTTTCATTTGATTCTCTCCTCATGAGATATTCAGTCAATTAGTCTCTCCAACCACCGATAAATAAATTGCATCCAGATTGAACTGTTCTACTGATATAAGCATATCCTATGAATTCCTTCTCACAAATTGCACTCAATGCATCCTCAATCAAAATTTTGCTTCTGCTTTACTTTATGTCCTTCAGAGTCTTCCGAATGATCTCCTAGCATCCCATGCAATAGATATGTTTATCGAAAGTTTAGGTCTCACAGAGATAGGATCGAACTTCTTTTTTAGCATTTATTGTGAGTATTAATGTTATATACAATAAAATTATCATTGTATAAATCCTGCAAATTGTCCGACTCTTGTAATCCATCTTGTAAATGTAAAATATGCAAATCGCACCAAGAAATAATCCAAATAAGGAAGTCGAAGATTCTCTTACATTACCTATGGTACATATTCTGGATGTTTATCGAAAAAGTCATTTTCCACTAATTGAGTTCTCTTCTGTTCTTAAACTTTCTATAAGAATATAGTATTAATATAAATTTACTTCATTGTTGATTACTCTTAATGCATAGAACATGTTATTTAATTCACTATCTGATTCATCTTTACGATTTCTAATTAGATTTTAAATTTGTGCCAATTATTAATATAGATTGGATTTCTAATCTGCTTATTGCAAATGTCTCATTGCCCAAGGTAAAGAGATGGTCACTCCAATAAAACTGCCGACAGTGAAGAAATGATTTATCCAGTATATATACAAAAACCCTAGCGTTAATTTGCTCTTGGCTCCATTTGCCTTCAAACAATAATATGTTAGTGATCCAAAGGTTGTCATCTAGGCACCATATCCCCATCGATTATAGGTTCTCATCAATCTCTAAAATAAAAAAATTGATTTGCCTCGTAAACGTCATATTTGAGGTTGAATTCTTCATCTGTATGGGACACTGACTTGCACAAAGCATGCAAAAGCATCTAGAGAGCAGCAGCATTATTATATATTTCAGAAGTGTTCAAATTATTACTCATTAAATTATTTAAATAAATATATAATTATATACCAATAAATATAAGTTAAATAGATTTCTCTTTTTCTCAAGATAATTTAATTAGATGTAGATCCTTATAATTATCTATTTAAATGTTAAGTTAGAATTGAAAACTTTAAAAAGTTGTTATGAGAAGAATTCAAAAAATTAAAAATAATATGATATTGTTCATATTCTAATAAGACGATCAAAATATTACTTATTTATGTTATATATATCATTTTTCATATATTTGCGCCAGAACGAATAAAAAAAATTATCCTACTTCCATCAGTTTTCATATCGTCAGTTCAATTTAACCATAAATTATTGTCATTATCATAGAATATTATCCTAACTCCATCATTTATCATCTCGTCAGTCTAATGTTGCCCTAAATTATAGTCATTAGCTTAGAATATTATCTTATCTTCATCATTTATCATCTCGTCAGTCTAATGTAGCCCTAAAATATTATTACTATCATTCATGTAATCAACTTGTTAAGTTTACCTATATTTTTATTCATAAAAATTCCAACTCATTTACTACCCTTCCTCTTCTTACTCTATAGCTTCTTAATCTGTCAAATTAAATGGCTTTTCTTCCTATTTATCATCTTCATTAAGACCTTTAGAACCTGATCTTACCTTGCTTTTATGGACTAGTTTTTTTTTACCTTAAAGTAACTTATACAAACCATCGATCTCAATTCTAATTTGTTTTAACTCATTGTATTTACATTACAAGGGACCTTTCATTAATATAGCTTAGGACCTCTGGAGTATGTTTTTGATTAAATCCTGGTTAGGTGAATCATCTTCCTTTATAGTATATTCACCTATTCTTTTCCTAATAGAATCTAGAGTATCAGGAATGAGTTATTTTTCTTCGATAGCTTCCAAAAATTCTAAATAATCTGCTTTCGTAAAATACAAATCCTTAGGTTTGAAAATATTTTTGTTTGGATTATTCACAATTTTGTCTACTTTTTCTATTGCTCTTTTTTTTTTATCATCTGAAGGAAGGTGTTTAATGATTTATGAAGTCAAAAAGCCATATTTTTCCTTCCAAAATACCATTGAATAACCAGAAAGAAGTTCCAATAAGTTTAAATTTGTTGTAATTTTAGATTATTGCACAATTTCATATCTAGATCTATAGAGAAATTAGGGAATATTGTATGGAGCTTATGACTTACTTTTTATTTGGCATTTGGGTTATTTAACCATGTTTTTGTTATTTTTAATAATGATTATCGACATTCAATCTCTCTATATACCAAAATATAGAATTTCTATCTTTTTTTTTCTATCTTTATGAATTTTGTAATTGTTAAAAATAACAAAAAAATATTGTTATGTTCAATTAGATATCCTTGTTTCAATACTCGTAAACCATAAATTCAATGAAATATTACATATTCTGAAATAAAGAAGCTAATAGTTTAATTTTATATATAATTTAAATTTTAGCAACAAGGTCTAAGGTTTGAGTTTAAGTGAAAAAATATTTTTTGAATCATTGAAATGAAATATCAAATCACTGAAATCGAATAGCTATAAGTTTGGAATGGATAGTAAAAAATTATAAAATAAGAATTAATATAAATATATTATATATAATATAATTGGAGAAAAATAATAATTAATTCTTAAAAATTTAATTTAAAGAAATAGTTAATCACATGATAATATAATCTATTTATTTGTTACCATTTACAATTAATCTGTTTTTGGATTATTTTAATGAATAAAAAGTTAAATAAAAAGGCTTTGATCTTTATTAATATTAGTGTTATTGAATAGTGTTGGCATAAGATTTAATTACATATATTTATAATTAATGAGTGAGAAAAAGCAAAAGAGAAAATAGAATGATAAAGAAGATGGAGAATGGAAATGCTTAGAGTGTTGTAAATCCTATCTTTCCTATCCGGCATTTTATACTCATTGCAAAACTAAACATGATTCTAAATGGCCTAAGTAGTACAGTACACCAAGACCTTTGGAAGAAATCAAGCGTGATAAAACAAAACCAAGAGTAAATTGTAATTGAAAACAATAGACTAATATGGATGAACAAAAATAGCATGAAAAGGAGGATTAAATCTTTGAGTTTTTGGGTAAATTAGGGCAGAGTAATGAAGAGGAAGATTCGTCGAATAATTGCATCAGACATTATTTGAAATAACCCATTGACCCAATTAAATCATTAAATGAAGATCTATTTTAAGGAACAAATTATCTTACCATTTATAACAAAGTTTTGAAGGAATTGGAAGAATTAAATAAAAAGGTAATTGATCAGGAAGCAATTTGGGATTTCAAAGATCCTCTTACATTAACAAATGAATTGGAGGAATTCACATTTTCTAATCTTAAGGGCATATTTCATTAACTTGATGGCTAATTAAATGTCATTTATGTAATCTCCATTTTTATGGGCTGGCTTAGTAGACATCTAAAAAAGAATGCTTATTAAGACATATCAATAATTAGTATTATCACAGCATATTTCTTCTAAAATTACCAATCTTTGAAATCTCAGGAGGTTAACACAGAGGGAAAACTAGATTTGATGTCATTAGATTAAAACGAAGCGTAACAAGACGATTAACGCAAAAAGCAATAAGAATATTGCAAAATGGATAAACAGAATGACACTGATCTAAAGAAGGAAGTATTGTCTTAAATGAATAGTTATTTGGTATTACAGTCAGTATTATAATGATAGAAAAAAGAGTACCATAAATTTTAGAATTAAGTTTCATATATTAGAACACCTGATATTGCCTAAGCCTTCTTTTGTTTATTAATTGATTGGATTGAAGCATATTCTGATCTTGAAGATTATATTGAGAAAGGAAAAGAACTTTAATAGGAGAAGTAGTAATTGTAAAAGAAAGATGAAAAAGGAGAATGATCTATTAAAAAATCATATAACATAATACATTACTCTATTATGAAGTTTGATTTATATGTGTTGTGAAGCGATACTGTGAAAAATGAATATAGTAATATATATGAATTCATAATTTCTTCCTTAACACTTTTTGCAAGTTGGCCTTGATGTGCTTTAATTATTCGATAAAGTTGTCATTTAATGGTTAAAGTTAGAGAGGAGTTTTAACACATTTCTTATTATATATATATAAATACTGGATTGTCTCTCATATCCTAGTCCACCTCTTCATCGACCTCTTTCAGAAGCATTTCCAATATTGTATATTTCTGAGAGTTTTTTTTATGGCTTTTTTGGATATTTATCTTATCATTAGAGAATTCATGGAGAGTTGGTATTTTAGTGACGCTTCTTAATCGAGTAATTTTTGGGTTTGAGTAAATGCTTTAAAGATTGGGAGAGTAATAGCCTACTCCAGGGTTCTGAGTGATAACTGGTAAAACAAGACGTTTGTGATTGATCTTTGGTATCGATTTAATCTTAGGTTAGGGCTAATTTAAGCTCCATAGTGAAGGCTGTGATTAATGTCTTTTGTCATTTTTATAATAATTCATTAAATTAAATGTGGATTTCCTTCTAAACAATTATCTACATCTGTAATATAATAATCTCCAATTTTTTCAAACCATTTGCGTCCTGCAAGTGTTTCAATTTGCAGTATATGGCGACGATATCCTTCTTCAGGATTGCCCTCTAATTGTGGGAATCGATTTGAAATGAATTCAATTTGATGCTGCATGAAAGATTGGCTTGGTGGAGCTTCTGGAATGTGTTTGGCCTAGTTTATTATTTAAACTTTACTGAGAATTTATAGGTGAAAGTAGTTTTTTCTTAGAACATGGAGTAATTCTTTTTTTCAAGGTTTTTTGAACGATCTATGCAGACTCCAGAAATGAGGTTTGTGCTAAGGATATTCAAATGGATATTTTCATCATTGTAGATCCATCCAATATTATCATCATCTGGAAAAAAGTATTAAATGACGGAATTATCATTCTCATCCTTTTTATTGAGGATCACTTTGGGTAGATTTTGGTACCTCATATATTCAGCCCATTCCTGAATTTTATCTAGGAGTCTTCCTCAATTCATAGGTGTAATTATTACCTTCCACTTAGATGCTATATTTTGAGTAGTAATCTTTGGGACTCTACTGAGTGAATCCAAATATGAAATGGCCATAGATTCTACACAATATCTAGTTTCTGGCTTTGCTTGTGTTGAAGAATTGTGAACTTGGGAATTGTACTGAAGCTGAAGCTAATTTGATAGGGCATTCAATGTGTTTCATAAAGTTATATAAATAAAAATTGTAGGAAAATGCTATTATTATAGACTTCAACAAATATCTTAAATAAGGTTGTCCTTCCAGAAGCCTTGCGTGACTTGATTCTTACTATACAAAGACCCTGGGCCATTTCGCTTACCCTTCTTGAAGAAACCATAGAATTTAAATGTTTTGCTTTCCTCGATTGCTTCTCCACTAACCAAAACCCTCTTCGAAGTAGCCTTTGTATCTTAAATTTCCTTTATTTAAAATTCCCAATCCATGATATTTATCTTCTTTCCATTCTCCGATATATATTAAATGGTTGTCAGAACTGTAGAGTGTCCCTTTGCCATGTCTCATTTAATCTTTAGTTTCACCATAATATGTGGATCCATCATGATAGACTATCTTGTGAGTATAGGAGATATCTTGCCCTGCTGGTGGACTTTTGCTGTGCTTAAGGTTTTTATTAGGATTCAAAAAATAATTCTTTTGTTGAACCATATTGGATTATTCTGGGAAGTAAGAACTATGGGCAGGTTCGTTGGATTTAACTAGGAGGGTGAAATTTAAATATCTACAGTAAATATTGGAGTCTCGTGGATTTTGAGAAGAATATCGATCATAGAATAGCGGCGAAGTGGGAGAACCTTAGGCGAAGAGATACGAATTAGCAGGAGATAAATTCCTCATTTAGGAATGGTTTGGTACAAACATGGAAGGAGGGGATTAAATCAAAGGGGTCTGAATAAACAGATTCCTGTGCATATTAAATTAAATAATAAATGGGGAATACATGCTGTAGTAATCAACCAATTGAGACAGGTATTTATAGGAATTATAAATCATATAGAGAAGTAAATAGAGGAGCGACCAGAGGACCTAGGTAAAAAAACCGATTAGGAGCCTAATAATGTCGAGGAACCTATCAAACAAATAATTTGTAAGTTAGATAAATTTAGATTAGCATATCCAACTCTGTCAGTGTAGCCGTCGTTATTCATACAAATGAAAAGAGAGACAATCTATAGTACTTATTAAGTGGGGAAGTTGTTGGGAGAAGGTTGGAATTTTAGAGATATTCGTATTAGGCGCCTATGGATAGGTCTCTATTGTAACACATAGAGTAACTGGGATGCAAAGGGCAATGAAGGCTATCAGGAAGGATTGTCTATTTGAAGAAGAATAAGCCAAGCTTTTTTCAGAAATGACAATTTTGAAAAATCTAAATCATCCTCACATTGTTAATCTTTTTGAATTGTTTGAAGACGAAAAGTTTTATTATTTAATTACAGAGTAACTGTGTAACCATATCGTAGATATTTAAGAGGAGGCGAACTCTTCGATCGTATTCAGAAGGCCAAAAGTTTCAGTGAGGCAGATGCTGCTCGATACATGAAGTAAGTCATTTCTGCAGTTGCATATTGTCATTCAAACAATATTGTACACAGAGATCTAAAACCAGAAAATATCATTTTTGCATCTGAAGATCAATACTCTACTTTGAAAGTCATTGATTTTGGTACATCACGAAAATTTGATAAAAATTAAAACATGTCAAAACGATTAGGAACTGTAATTTACATTCTTATTCCTTAGCCATATTATATTGCACCTGAAGTCTTATAAAAGAAGTATAATGAAAAATGTGATGTTTGGTCTTGTGGTGTCATTCTCTACATTCTCTTAGCTGGATATCCTCCCTTCTATGGTCGCAATGAAACTGAAATCTTTGATAGAATTTTGAAAGGCAAAATACCATTTCATACCACTGAGTGGAATAAGATATCTAAAGAAGCTAAAAATCTAATTACTAATATGTTGTGTTAAGATGTTGAAAAGAGGTATTCTGCTTAATAAGTTTTGGATGACCCTTGGATGCAACAGGGATAAGAACAAAATTTGGTTGATGACAATTTCTTAAAAAATCTCACTGAATTTAGTGCCAAGAGCAAACTCAAATAAGCATTACTCACATTTATGGCTAGTCAAATGATTTAGCCAAAGGAAGTTGAGCAAATTTAAGAACTATTCAAATAATTGGACAAAAATAATGATGGCAAACTATCAAAGGAGGAATTAGTAGCTGCATTTTAATAGAAAGTGTAGAGTAAGGATAGATTGATTGAAAATATGGAGACAAAAATCAATAAAATTGTCACTGAAATCGATGTGAATTTATCTGGATATATAGATTACACAGAATTTATTATGGCCTGTTTAAAATATGAGAAATTGTTGACTATTGAGAAAATCAAACAAACCTTCAGAATATTCGATCTAGTAATTCATACATATTATCTTAGGATGGTGATCAATACATTTCTAAGGAAGAATTATCATAAATCATGGAGGGAGTGGATGATGATATTTGGAAGTAATTTTTAGCTGAATGTGATCAGGATAATGATGGCAAAATTTCAGAAGAAGAGTTCATCAATCTGTTACAGGATAAATTTTGAACTCAAACAAATATTATAAATCTCTAAATTTATTATTTCTGCCATCTTAAATTCGTTTAGAATCCATATCAATTCTAATATTATTTTTATATTCATAAATTAAGTTATAGGGGCTAATTCAAAAATTTCTTTAAGTTTTCTACTCCTGAAGATTCAACATAGGTCTCCTTCATAAATTCTTCATCATTTATCTGCTATTGCCAATATTATAAATTTTAATGGATCTACGACAAACATATTGAATTCACTTTCTCACTAAATACATAATATCATAAGATACTTTTATAATAATTTAGCAAAAGCATTAAACATTGGTAGCACAATTGCCTTTAGAAACCCTTCCTATGACTTTACGACACTCTATTTTCTATCGCACATAGGAGATATAGGAACTTTCAAATAATCTTCCAAGTCTCCCTATAAAAAGAATTCTTCAATAATTCTACGACTCCATAACTTATGCATTTTAAGTTATTTCGCTCCATGACCAACATCTTGAATCTAAATGAAGAATACCTGCACACTTTATACAAATAGACATCACTAATGATTTATCAGTAACTTGAGATTCTGATAAGTCCAAGTAGTTCTAAAATCTATTCATCAATTAGAAATGTTTTGTGAGATCTGTGTCTAAAATTAGATTTAAACAATATTTTCTAAATCCCTTCTAATCTGGCAACCCAAGATTTTAAATTAAATTAAACTGTTCCTATTGTAAAATTTAAAATAAGAGGAATGAATGGTAATTTTCCAATACACTCTAATCATTGTCTATTTTAGTTTAAGGATATTCATACATAAAAGTGCTAATTTACATCTATTTGTAGTCATAAATCCATTATTCAATCCAGGATGACCTAAATCATGAGCAAGGGAAGAGACTATTAAACAAGCAAATTCAAATTCATCTAATTATGCATCTAGTCCATTGTTTAAAAAGAAGGCAGTTGAATTGGCTACATCCAATGCGTGCAATGAATTATGGTACAAATTGTTATGATACTAGGTAAATAATTTAAGGGCAAAATCACCAATCATATCTTATTTTGTAATCTTTAATGTTTAAGCTATTCTAAATCTTTTAAATAAATTAATGGATGTTTCAATAAACACTCTAGTTTAAGTATTATCCTACAATTTCCAAAATTGCAAATAATCCATATTAAAATCAATTTCATCAAATACTTCTTCAGAATCTGAATCTTCTATAACATCAATAAATTAAAATGAAGGCTACCTTTAAGTAAAATGGGAAAGTAGAAATCTATAATCATAAATGACTATTCTTACTATTTTGCATCTATAGTGAAACCTTCCTGTTCATTGATCAATTGATTACTTCTTAAAAACTTAGGAAGCCATATGGTGTCCTTTTTACTCGATAGTAAATTCAGTAAATCATCAATATCCTCAATAGTAATTTGAACCTCTTCCTGATTCTTCTCTTAAAATGATGCACTGTGCGAATTTTCATTATTTCTATATTGAATTTAATCTGTTGCACTAGTCATCATTCTTTAAGATTTTCTAATAAATATCGGAGGATTTTAATTTATGCCATTATTATTGGAATCATTGTGATTGTTATTCTGATTACCAGCATCTTCAATTAGACTCTCGTCTATTGAACTACGATCATCATCATGTTGATCTGGCAATTATCTAGCTGAAAATGAATTTTTATGAATATCGGTGTTTAATTTATTGGGTTTACGTGTTATTCCTTTCTGAACATTATTACTTTTAATTAATAATTACTGGTATTTTAATAATCTCAGTTTCCTTAATAAATCATTAGCCCTAGAGGAGATTTGTTCCTAAATTGGAGACTCTACCTTCTCGTTTATCTTATTAATTTACTCGATGTATTCATCTTTCAAAAATTCCAATTCTCTTCCAAAATCATGCAATTTCTTATTTTATTCTTTATTCCAATAATTCATTTTCCAGATCGAACCTTCTATACCTATGACTGCCAGAGCACTATACTTGAGAATGATAATGACTTGGGTTTGGAACAGTACCTGAATGATTAAGGAGAGTAACGAAATTGAATAAGAGATAATCCGCACATTAGTTAAAGAAAATCGATTACAAATAAACAACAAGAAACCAACTGTTACAAGGTAGTTTTGACAATGTTCGTTGCTTTGATAATATTATAATACTCATTTACCTTTACTTATGATAGATATATAAGATGGCACTCAATATTTGTATGATAATACCGAGGCACATCACTACATTCCCATTTATTTAAATTTATTTCTTTGATTTCTTCAGTATCCCCATTAATGATGATAATAGTAGGACTCTGATTGTCAGATGAACTTCTTGGTGCTTTTGGGTTTCCATAAATGGCCAAACAACTAACAAGAATAGAATAGCAAATGCTTCAAAAGGATGCGCCTAATTAATATTAGATCCTCTTTTGAAAACTTCAGAGAATTTATCTCTTATTTGATTATGAACTTCAGAATTCATAATAAATTATTATAATATAGTTTTTTTCATTTTTTTAATATAAAAGAGTAATAATAATAAATTTTATTCAAATCAACCTCTCAATACATTTTATCCATATACGAAAGTGAGTCCTTTAAGATTAGTACAATTTTATCTATATTTGGTCGACATTTTGGGTCAGGTTGTAAACAAGCTAAGCATAGATTTAATAAATATTTCATTATTTTTTAAGGTCCTTTTCTTTTATCTTCTTCAATATTTACCCTCACTGAGTATGTTTATCTTTGGTATTTATCTTCCAATATTTTTATATTTTAATATCTAAAATCCTAAAATAATAAATTTATTATACAATGGGGTGTCTTTCAAACAATAATTCAAATAATAAAACACCGAATGAAAAGATATCATAAGCAGGTGTGAAATTTTCTTTCCAATTTGGATTTAACATTTCTGGAGCACAGTAAGGCATGCTTCTCCCTACTTTTTAATTTTGTTAATTTCCCTTCGTGGAAATGGCCTCGCCAAAATCTGAAATTTTAGCCACTAGAGCCTTTGATATGAGAATGTTGGCTGGTTTGATATCCATATGAATAATATTATAATTATGGCAGTATCTGAGACCCATGGCGACACTATGAGCCAGAAATATCTTTGTAGACATACTTAGGAATTCCTCTTATCTCCTTGAAAAATTGTCCAATGATGAATAGTAATATCTTTCCATCAATAAGATATCGGTGTTTTCAGGTACATAATAGAATTAGGCTATGTAAGGACATTTCCCTGTGAATTTGAAAAATTCTTAATTTTACATTTAACCTTTTTATTCATCCTATTCAAATTCTTGAGCCAAAGTCTGGAGTATCTTAATTTCTTTTTTTATTTTATTCGTCTCTGGGCTTTTATCTAGCTTAATAGCAAAGTGTCTTTTCATAATGTTTTTTTCCTAATTCTTATCTAACTAATATGTGATGTCCTTCCCATAAATAATACTAAATCCTCCTGAGTTTATTTCGTGTTTTTCTTCTACTTACAAATCACTAGGGGAATCTACCTTTATTTAGTTTATAATTTTATTTTCAGTTATCATTGATTTCGAAATTATTGGGCCGTATTTTTTATATTATTCATTATTGTAGGTCTCATTCAAATTACTTATTTAGATTAATCAATTTACGTTTGAGATGTATTTTTTATTCTTTACAAAAGTGGGATGATATCCTAAGGAAATTTCCTCCACTCAATTTTTTCAATTTCTGGATAACGCTTCATCATCATGTATTTTTCATAGATTTAGATTTACTTTATGTCAATTCGATTGATTAATATCATTATTCTCAGGAAGTGAAAGCGTACGGAATAGAGTGCTGTTTCAATTAAGGTATCAAGATAATTAATGAATTTATAGTAGTCTGATTCTGTTTAATAAAAAAGAAGTCCCTATTCACTTTAACATTAGAGTTTAAAGCCGATATAACCATTTAGGGGATGAATATAAAAGCTACCAATTCTTAACCCAGTATTTAACCTCAGCATATACCTACTTAAAGATATTCTGATATTCTATTAAATTAAATTTAAATATACTTTCTCTTTGACAATAATCCTTCCAGAAGAATCTGTCAAAATAACTCTATAATCATTTTCGTTACATTTAAAGTTCAACAGTAATTCAAATTGGATTGTGCATATTTAATTATGAACTTCCATTGGTATTGTAATTAAATATACCTAGTCCTCTATTTCAATTTAATTTACAAATGATTTGTATTTTACTATTAAATTAGCCACTAAATCCTTCACTTTTTGCAATTATTACTCTTTGGTATATTTAATTTATTGTTCATCCAGTAAGTATTCTTGACATTGCAAAAGGTTGAATATAATTGACTCTTAATTCATTATTTTGCACTTAACTAAGTGTTATTATATATATTCTATTATATAAATTAAATGTACAAGAAAAACTAATCCAGCTATATAATAAATTCTTTTTCTATTAAACTTTAAAAATATCTTTAATAAAGATTTTGTGTTAATATTTTTCAATTAAATTTATTAATAGCATAATAGAATTACAATCAATATGAATAATCACTTTGTTTTAATAATTTAAGGAAGCTTTTATTAATAGAATACATACTATTATCTATTAACTTTAATGCCATCTAAAATTGATTGCAATATTTCTTACCCCATCACTCTCCTTCATAAAAGTACCCAAGCATATTGTTTCTAACTTTACGATCTAGAAAAGAAAAGACTTTTATAAAGTTTTCGATTAAATCTTTCATTTAACCATTAAACATTTTGGTAATTGTATAGAATTCAATTAGCTTCTTTGGTCTTTTTTTCAATAACTCAATTAAGCTTCTTTTAGTAAATTGGAATCCTAATTATTTATTTTTAGTTATATTTTATATTACTCATTCATTCTTTGAAATTAAGTTAAACGAGATTGTCAGGGAAGGAAAGTAGATGTGCAAATTTAACAATTAATTTTGACTTTTTAACGTTAAGTCCAGCGATTCTCTACATTCCTCTTTGGACTTGAATGACTTCGAAAGTAAAGGATTTTTTAATTAATAAAATATTATCAGTTATTATCATCACTGCTTCCTGATTTAGTCTCAAAAATGCTTTCATTATCCATGGACTTTCGATTCAATTAATTTAGAATAGGAATGATCTATGTTATTTCTTTTTACCAAGCAAATCTACATTTAAATAAAGAGTTACAATTATTGAAAAATTTACTTATCCTCTTATCCGTTATTAGAAATTGACTTATTCAAGGGGAAATCAGCTAGCTCTTAATAAATTAAATATGATGTACACATATCTCCACATCGAAAACGGATTGGGCATCCAGTAATTTATCGATCACTCCAAATTTCTTTCTTTATATTACTGATTGAACTTAGTACAATTACTACTCAATTCTTTTGCTTATGTCATCTTAAATAAGGTTCTTATTACTTTTTGAGTTTTCAAATTTATCCAAACTCTAATTTGAATAAATATTTAAGGAAGAATTTTATTAATGAGAATAATTATTTGAATAATTTCTAACACTTTATCGATTTAATGAATTATCAATTTAAGACAATTTTCTTGGAATTTTATTGTCTTTTTAATAATCATTTTTTGTTTTTGAATAATCGAATTCTATTAAATCTGTTTATTCAACTTAGCCTGGTTAATTTCGAGAAATGTTTTTAAATTTATATCTCTCATTATTAGTTTATTTCTAATTTGATTCGTTAACCAAATTATCAGAATCAGTATATTAATAATCGAAGTTGCTTTTTTTTTTATTATTATCCTATTATCCAATGTATTTAATTTTGGACCTTTTTAATTCTTGGGAAAGATCTGAAAGGTCTTGTGCTTAGAATTAAGGATTAGAACTCCTTTGATCAAGGAATGATGAGATTAAATCAGTATCTGATTAGTTTTAGATTCTAATTGATTGTTTTTTAATTGATTTTTTATTGGAATTATCAAACTTGATGATCTTCTTAAATTTCCTATGATTTTTATCTAATTCTTCATCCAAATCTTCCTAATATTCAACAGATTATTATAATTGTTCTGTCAATACTTAGGTTTTAATGTTGATCTAAATATCTTCATCCAAATTTTGTAGATCTGTTTAAGAAACCTTTTAAGATGAAAGAGTTTCAGAACTCTATTGAATAGTTTGTATAATTTGATCAGCCAACTAATCAAATTATTGATCAAACTATTCTCTCTTTTTCTTATCACTGATTTGAGCATATTCATCAATCATTTATTGAGTGTAATTTTCAGGTACTTTTATTTTGAATGCTTTAGTTTTAATTTTCTTTACAATTTCAGAGTATTATTGAGTCATAAAATGTATTCTTGAATATAATTATGTAATACTTAGTTTCATAATCAATTTGATCATCATCCAGATATTTGTCCATGTATTTTAGTAATCTATTTTAGATTCGCTCATTTGGGATTACCTATCTCCCAATTACCTTGTTATTATCCATCAGCATAATTTCAATGCCAATTTCTTATTCTACTTATGCATAACAGTATTACATTCAGCCTTGGAATGATTATCTTCTGGTTGAGTGTGGAGTATGATTTATTAGGATTCGTATTCCTTCTATGAGCAGGCTGCTTTGAGTTCAGCATAATACTTTTTCATGTTCTTGCTATTGGAGAGTTTTTTATTGAGGAGATAAGCAGCAACCTTCCTTTAGAAATCTGTAATAAGGACTCTAGTCTATAAGTCTGTTAGTTTAGTGGTGTTGCTTTCAAAGCTAAACTTAGTTTAGAATCAGTAATACAAAAAGACGGGTGATTTGATCAAATCTTTATACTCTTTAATATTGTAGATGGAACTGTGATGATAAAAGTTCTTGATCTCATCCTTCTTAATGGTGTGTAACTAATAATCATATAGGTGTCTTTACACTCAGTAGTTTAAACTTACTATTAGGTTTCTTGATTCGACTAGAGCTTGGTTGATCTGGTTGACTAATGACATAGATGATATTCAAAAGTACCTGGCACTAGATCCCAAATATCGAGGATACTTGTTGGGCATAGATACGATATCACAAGAGAACATTGATAGTAAATAAAATATATTTATATTTCTAACATTTCTTCAATTATGTTTTTTACAGAACCCAAATTTAACAACATTCCAGAAATTCGTAAACTGATTGCCCTTGTCCAAGGTTACGAATTGAAGTATCGTCCAGAATCTCCGTTGACTTAAAAAGCAATGGAAAGTTTGGGACAAGATCGTTATCACTTCAGAAGAAAGTTTCACATAGCACTTTAATGAGTAGGAATAAATTCGAGATGCGATTCAACTTTGACAGTCAAAAGCAATCCTACAGCGAAAGTGATCTCCAGAAGACGTATCAGAATTATCTAGTTGAGCTTGTTAGTAAGCTACCAATTGAAACTTAGGTGATTTTTAGAATTTATATGCAGAACGGAAGCGCATCAAGGTGGAACTTCAGAGACGTCAAAGAGAGGAGGATGAACTTAGAGGATAGTAATAAATATCATTATAATTCTTTAGTAAGTGGCCAGAACCAGTCCTAAAGAAAAAGTAATTTCGAAATTAGGCGTTAACATATGATCAAAAATTGCAACAAATAGAGGAAGAACGAAATAAAGAGCAGAAAATACAGGATTGTTTTGCCAAAGAAGCCATCAGGTTGGAGTTGGAAAGAAGATTATCAATACAAGAGAGTCATTTGAAAGAAGAGAAGAGTTTGGCTAGCAGGAAGAAGATATTTCAAGAATTGAGAAAGAAGGCAGCCGTTGAGAATAATAAAGTGTCTTAAAAGTTGAAGAACTATAGGAATAATATGAGTGATCAACTGGAGGAAGGATTGAGAAAATCTAAATCATTTCAAGAGAAATTAGAAGCTAGGTTATATATTTGAGATATTAATGTTAGGGATATTTTGATATAAAAATAAAGAGCTAAATAGGTATCTGAAATTGCGAATAGAAATCGTAAATTAGAAGAGAAGATAAGTCATGTTAAGGATGATTTTGAAAATCGCATGGTTGAAGAACTCTTTAAAAGACAATCAGAGATGGATCAATCTTTTGATTTCAGATAGATGACAGCAGAATAAATGGAAAAAAATAAAATTGAGAAATAATAGATTTTTGAATAGAAACTTAATTAGATAAATTAAAAGATAAAATAACACCAGGAAGAGAAAGAATTTGAATTATTCAATAGAGTTGGATAAAGAATGGAGAAAGCAGAAAAATAATAAGAGGAACATGATAAATAACTCTCAAGATTTTAGTTTCATAAAAGAAAATAATTGGAATAACGATTTTCAAGACATAGGAAAAGATATCAAGAATCTGAAGAACGTTAATAGGAGAAGGTGGCTGAATGGATGTAGAAAGTTAGCAGCATTTAAGAAAGAATTGAGAAATTCAGGTCAAAAAAGAATGAAGATTAGAAGATTTGGAAGGAGTAGAGATCTCAAAGTTTTAAGGATCATTTAGAGAATATGCAATTTAATCGAAAAAGCTAAGTAATCTCTTATTTCCCAATTTTTAGGAAAAAGATTCGATGAAATATTTTGAGAAACATCAATATGTTTAAAGTAAACTAAAGAAGAGCAAGGAAGAATAAGAATAATTGAGAGCCTATTTAAACATCTCAAGATCAAAGTTTGAGAAGAATACTCTCTAATAATTTGGAGAATTATCCAATTTGATGTATTCTTCATCAGGTTATTTATTGAAGTATTATAATAACATATTTAGTAAATTAAAAGAATTAGAGGATGATGATAAATTTGCCGAAATGTCTATGAAATTTAGTAATGTCATGAGAATAACAGATAAAAAGAACATGGAATGAATTCTAATTTTTGTACTTTTGAATTAAATTATTTTTTGTATAATTAAAATTCTATAAGTATGATTTAAAAAAAACTCAATGTAATGGGAATGGTTAATGACAACGAATTCGAATATAAGAAAGCATATACTAATGAATAAAGGTTGGAAAAATACGAAAAAGTTATAAAGCATACAGGTGAAGAAAGAATTCTGGTTGTTTTGGAGAGGCACAGAAAAGCTAAGATTTAAAAATAAAATGACAAGTTGTCTTAATTTTAATTGTATAAATAGTCAATTTACATTATAGATTTGCAATAAATAAAAATAAAACTCTGGTTGAATTAATGCAATATGTTAAATAAAATGCAGGAATCGATGTTTCAACAAGCATATTCTTGTATTGCAATAATCAGTTACTCATGATGAAATGTAAGTATTACAATTTATAGTTAGCTGATATAACTGTTGGAGCCTTATATGATACATATCAAAATAAAGAAGATAAACATTTATATTTAAAATATGCGGATTTTGAAACATTTGGTTGACCTTATTGATTTATGGGTATATATATATGAACTAAATATCACTTTACTTTTTTCTCTTATTAAGCTTAATTATTGATTAAATTGTGATAGGCAATGATGCTTCTCATTAATGAGGCCAAATATATGGTCAACATATTGTCATTATTTTTGGTAGTGAAAGCTTGAACCACGTCTTGTGAACCTAAATTTGGTAAGTAATTAAGAATTTCCTAGAGTTATTATGAGTAGTTACTTGTAGGTTGTTGATAATGAGTTAATTAGGTTTGACTTTGCCTTATTAAATGAGAGTTAAGTATTATTAAATTTGAGCAATCTTCTTATTCATTCCTTTGACTCCATTGATCTTCTGTTCGGCCTTGGCTGAAAGTGATTGTGTGTCTACATTATTGATTTCTCTTAAAAGTTATTCGACTCCTATTTCTTCAGGTTCAAATGCTTATACAGTGGAGGGAATATGCACAAAGTTTTAGACTATCTCTCCTGATTTAGAGATTTCATCAACTGATGTATAAGCTTCAGTTGGAAGTGACAATGGATCAAATTGATGAACATCGATGATCACGAAAATTGGAGTAGATGTGTACTTGTAAAATATTTGATTGATTTGAATGTCATTGGGTTTGAATCTTGATCCTGTAGAATACCATCCAACTATCTTCTCATTTATATTAATCTAGAGTATTATGAGATGATGATCATACCTTTCTATGTAATTCAAATAGTGTTTCATTGTAAATGTGATCTAAATACCAAATATTCTAATCCTTTGGATCCTCTTCAAAAGGGAGAGCATAACTATTAGTGATATCAATCACACCATCAGCTTTTCTTTCACCTAAGATTCAAATTGGATTATGTACCCAACAATGCTCCAACTACTCTGGGTTGTTGCGTTTTGGAAATTATACGATTATAGTGATCTACTACCGAGATCAATACAAGTGGATGGATAATTACAAGAGGTGGCTTATTCAAGTTTGACATTTTTAATTAATTATTTAATTAAATTGTCTAACACCAGTATAATCATTTATATTCATTCATCACTTCCATAATAACTAAATAAAACAACAATCCTTAATACTCTAAACCATTCAACCACTCTTGTTTATCTAAAATTTGTATTATATATCTAAATAACGCCTAAAATATACATTGAATAAGAAAAAGAATACTATTCTATTAAAATACATTAGTCTAAATGAGTAAAATTGTATAACAATATATAGAGGCTTGTCTATGTTTAATGTGAAGAGATTTCGATTAAAAATCAAAATTAAACTGCATAGAAACTGCTTTACAATTCAATTGAGATTATCTTCTATTATCCTTTAGAAAGATCTCCTTTTGGCTATTCACCCGTTTTGTATAAATATCTTATTAAAAATTAACATATTAGATAATATTAATTTGAACTTTAAAGATGTAATTCATTTATAAATATTTCTTAACAAAACAATATTGCATCAAGTTTAATAGAATATGAAAAGATTTTCACTACAATCCTGTAGATATTAAATTACAATATGATCATATAAATGTATATTTAAAAATCATTTAATTGTTTTTCATAAACTTAGTAGTGTTACAATTAAGTATGATATAAAGTAGAAAAATAAATGGTAATTTTTGAGAAGTTTCCAATATTTACAGAAATCTTAGATACATCCATGATAAGATTTATTATAATTATATTAAATTTTAGAACATTTATATAAAAATTTGAAATAACTCTGATTAATATTTTGGTCGGCATTGACTATTCAATAATAAGGAATGGTATTCACTGAATGATCAAATTTACTATTAATAATACTGATTAATACTACATTTTTATTAATTATGAGTAAATAAGTTAAATAATAATTATTATGAATCCAGATATGCCTGCTCATGTGTAAAGTAATCACAAAATACCATATTTTTTGTAAATCTTAAATTGGTAGATTTTGACATAATCAAACCATTAGGGAAAGATGCATACAGTGAAGTCTTTTTAGTTAAGAACAAACTCACTGGACATGAATCAGCACTTAAGATTGTGGACAAGAATTTCTTGCTTAAGGTAAGCATTTCATACCAGTAGTATAGGAGAAAAAGAAGCACCATGCATATATAGAGAGAGAAGTGCTGAGTAAACTGAGACACTAAGGAATCATTAAGTTATTCAATTCATTCGAAGAACATGATAAACTATTTTACTGTCTTGAAGTGTTAACTGATGGTAATTTACTAGAATACATGAACAGTAATTGACTTTGTTAATGCTTAGGGCATATTTTGAATGGTTCAATAATCATGTTCTATGCAGCGGAATTGTTGCTTATTCTTGAATATCTGCATTAGAATTGATTGGTGCACAGAGATGTGAAACCTGAAAACATTCTATTAACTAAGGATAATCATTTAAAACTTATAGATTTTGGAACAGTATTTGTTTATGATCATAATGAAATTGATATCGGAAATAAATTAGAAGATATTAGGACTAAATATCAAAAATAAAGATCTCCTTCTTTAAACGATTTTGAGAAACCCTAAATTAAGTATTGCCGTGATTCTAGTTTTGTGGGTACATGAGAATACTTATGTCCTGAGTTAATAGATTACAATGTTATTGGACCATAGGCTGATTTGTGGGCATTGGGATGTTTCATTTATCAATTATATACAAATAAAACACCATTCTATTCAGAGAACGAATTCGAATTATTTAACAATATAAGTCAATGCTCATGGTCATAAGATTAAAGCATACCCAATGATGCCTTGGATTTAATCAAGATTTTACTTGATAAGGATCCCATAAAGAGATTTCTAGGAGAATTTGATGGTAATCTTACTTATTATAAGTAGATTCCTAATATCATTATGAAAGATTTAAACAACATCAGTTCTTTAGAGGAATTAGTTTTAAATAAATGTGGTTATAAGATGTCCCTGTTATAAACAATATCGATTAACACAAAAGAAAGACAAGTAGGATTCAGACTACCTTTATTGAAAGTAACCGAGCATTGCGTGATAAATATGATAATCAAGGAATCTCTTAAATTATTATGTAAGGCTAATTAGATAAGGAACATGGAGTACTATTTATGACTCAGTTCTCTCTCAGATATGCTAGTATTGTATGTTAAGATGAAAAAGTCCTTTTCGTTTATATTAATCCTTAATTAAATAACAAAAAGGTATTAAGGCTATGTTATATATTAGACTGTAATACCCTTAAATTAATGTACTTCATGCAAATTATTAGGGAAAGGGAAATTCATTGTTGCAGATAGAAATAAAAAGAAATACATTTTCAAATAAAGAGAAAATAATGTTCCTGCTCAACAGTGGGTTAATTTAATTAACAAATATATCAAATCTAACCATTATTGATTAGATTTTATTTATTACATAACAAATATATATTAGAAATAATTACCACTTATTAATCACAATTAAATTTTATTTCTATACATATACTAATATTGATCATAATGATGCATCTAATGTGAATCCAACTGGGAGTGGGAAATATCCTAATTTTTATGGGACTGTTCCATTGAGTGGTACTTCAGTTGATAGGGTCCAATTGAATCTACACATATATTATTATATATTTACCTGTCATTTAATTTTCCTTTTCCACTCAAACCAAGTTTCTATTAGGTCAAATTGATTCTTGCTTTGACATCAACCTTTTCCACCTTTGTTGAAACTCCAACCAAGGCGTTCAATGAAGATTTAGCCAAGTTGTACTCTGCCTCTAATCCAAAGGTTTATTTATTCTGTCTGAAAACAACATCTACAAGAACTCTTCCAGTTGTCAATTAATTTAATTCTTTGGCTATGGTTTTCTCTTAAGTCAAGTATCTGAAAAAGAAATCATAATTCTTTGAAAGACGTCCAACAAGAAAATCAAATCTTCTAATTCCAAATCCACTCAAAACTTGAAAATCTTCGGCAGAAGCAATTACCCAATCTTGATTTTTCCAGAAAGTTCTACTCAAAGCATTCACAGTAGTATTTGTAGGATTATATTCAAAACCTAGTTTTATGTTATTTAATTTACGTAAATGATGAGTTAATTAATTCCATTAGGTCACTCCACCAAATCTAAGTATAGCAGATCCAAAATTAGAGCTACCAAACTTGGCATTGGCGAATAAATTAATTCTTGCTTTGTCTCCTACTTTGGCTACCTATCCAAAGTCAACGTGGACTTTTGCTCCATCTTCTCTTGTGGCGATTTATACGAATTAGCTTTGATAATTTCATAGATTCTTACTTCTTATATGGGAATTGGAACTTAGTCTCTTATTTAGATTATTGTTTGGCGATGTCTAACCATCCTTTGTAATTGGCTGTACCCAAATTCTTTGTGTTTCCCTTAAATTTGAGGTTCAACTTTCCAGTTGAATAGTCGTCTTCCAAAACCTTTTTGTAAGAGTGATCTCCAAGGCTAGTAAGTGGAGCTGGGTTTAATGATTCTGGAGTTGACATTCTATAATATCTTTTATTATTTTTATTTATTGCTCTAAATAAATATATTTCCAATATATACTTATTTGTAATTCTATCCCAATCTAATTTTAACAATCTTACTCTTTAATCCCCAAAAAAATCATTCTAGAATAATAAACACTCAAACACTCAAGAAGTATAATTTTTTATTAATTATTTTCTCAAAGTCCATACCCTCAAAGAAAGTGTTATTTCTCAATAATACAGTTATTAGCTAGATTTAATATGAAGAATTTAAAGACTAGAGATAGTTTTTTATTTTAAAATACTTGTGTGATCGAGAATAATATTTTAAATTTTAAAGGAATTTCTCAACATAGATAAAAATTAAAATAATTTTAATGCATGTAAATTATCGATCTGGTTAAGCCATCTAATAATTTAATAACCTTTTCTAAAATTAACAGATTAATTAAGAAAAGATTAATTGTCATTTCTCTTAAAAGAGATTTATTTAATTACAGCAATTAAAGTATTGCTTGATATTTTTATTAGAAATTGCGATTGAAGATGAATTTTAAAGATAGTTGAGTTAATTTTTAATTTTGTATAATTAATAACTAATAATCAAATTAGACTGTCAAATTTGAGTTTTTATAATAGTCTCTTCATTAAAAAGTGGATTTGAAGAATATTTTGAGAAGTGTAGAACAATAGAATTGATTAATGATGATCAATTTGATTGTAAAGTACTTCTTTCTAATAACCATAAAGTTTTGACCTAGAGCATATACATAGATTTAAAGGATCAGGAAAAGCTTAAAATTACTAGAACATAAACCAATCAAAATTTAAATATGAAATGGAAATAATATTATTATTAATTCTGTTTGCTTATTATATGTATGCAGAACAAATTAATTGTAGAATTAATAATAAAATAACACAAATGTAAACTGATATGATTTGAATTTTCAGATGATATCAATTATTTTACATAGCAATCCTTGATTTTATATGGTCTTGTTAATTTAAGGTAAACAATTTTAATAAAATTTTTCAAAAACATTCAAATCTAATTTTTGGTTACTGTAATCCTTTAGAAAATAAAATACTCTTGTATTTTTCTTATTCGAGTAAACATAAAATTAGACAAAAGTCAAAACAATATTTAATTACTTTGTTTAGGTGTTCGTGCCTTGATTTATTATATAATATTAATAATTAATAAAATGGAAGAATTAGGTATGCGTCCTGAAACATCTAAATGCTCACGAATGGAAAAGCGTAGATTAGTATCGCAAAGTCATCAAAGACAAGAATCAAGTTAAGCTCCAAGAATAAATGGAATTACTTTATAACAATACTTTCGAGGAAACAACTTTAGAGTACTGGAAATTAATGAAGATTAATGGGACAATCCATAAGTTGCATAGCCACGTGCTCCGCCACTTTAAAATAACAATTTTCGCATTAAAACAGATAAAAAAATAAAAAATAATAAACTACTAGAAAAATCACCTGCTTAAAACTTAACTATGAGCAAAGACTTCAATCAGCACAAAGTTATTAGAGTATGTAAAATTATTAATTATTTTGCTAGCCTCAAATGACATAGAATGAATTCTTTTAAAATGATGATGAACTCAGAAAAACTAAAATGGAATTCAAATATGGTCGCATGAGAGAGGATATGATCAATCGTTTTGGTAATCCTGATTAAGATTTAATCAATAAATATGCAGAAAAATTTAACATAAATAGAGAGCCTCCCAAATTGACCTTAGCTCCCAGAGAACTATTAACAAAAATTAAGTGAATATTATTTCTTTTCATTTTTCATTGGCACTGCAAATTCAAATTACTAATTTTTATTTGTTATTTTAATTATTATTTGTATCCTAAAGACATAATAATATTTATTCTACCACAAAAATACAGTATTCAAATTACAAATTTTATCATCCTATTATTATTTAAATCAGAATTTAGATCACTTCCTTTAGCATTCTCTTTGAATTTTGATTAATTAAATATTAATAATGAATTAATTTAAATTTAAATTATTCAGTTCATTTTTACTTTATTCATTGCCCTAAATTATATCTGAATCCCATTTCATAGAGTTTTCAAATTCGCTTAAGATATTCTGTGTATCTTAAGAAATGATGAATGTTTGTACGAATAATCTATATTTATCTTTGAATTCCCTAAAGTTTGGACTTTTTTTTAAGAGATTAATTTATTAGATTTTAATATATTAGTATTAAAATAAATATAAATATTTTGTATATGTAAAATTATTCTAAATACTTGCAAAAATTTACATTTCAAAAGCACTAGTCTTTGATTTTGCTACTTACTCTAAGTTTTGTATTAAGTAACAATGAATACATATGAAATTACTATAAATGTGAATGAATAGAACTAATTGTAATATTGTATCTAATGACGATGAAAATAAATTTCAATTAATAGTTAATAAATCAATTTACTCTTTCCAATACCTATTGATCGTCTTCTCTTTAATGTTTTTCGCTAATGGGCATTTGAGGATAGAATATAAAACTTCCAAATCCGATACCAAGGGCCATTGCAAGAAAAACCCAACCTTTTATTATATCCTTATTATTTACCGTTAACAGTCATCAACAAAAACATTGTAATAGATGACTATGAAGCAGCTAGTAATTGCCATACTATCTTCAAAAATAAAGATCTTGTTATATGAATGCATACTTCTATCTCTCTGCAAACCCTTTTAAAACTGGCAATAAACAAAGGAAAGCACAGAAAAACATAGTGACAAATAGTCCACCAACAAATTCTCCTTATGTAGTTGATTTCCAACTAATAGTAATAAGTGAATGAAGTACGTATTAAAGACAAATCGAACTTTATAATCCCAATTTATTATCATATACATTCTCATATCCATCATTTACATTCCAGGATGCATTTCTGATTATTCAGTATGTGACATAATATAAATAATTAATTAAAATAATATAAAGTTTGCATCATATATTTTAATTGAGATTATAAAATCAGATTCATAATTGATATAGATAGTCTTAAGAAATGAGTAATTGTTAAATATTTCTGAAAATATACATTAATTTCATTGCTGGTTATATGTTTTATCTCTAAGACCAACAATATAGTTCCTTGGTCTTAATGGATTCAATCCTTTATTTTATCCTGTTGAAGTAGATTGATCTTTCATTTCATAAACTTAAGCCTATTAAGATAAGATAAATAGTAATTACTTCACTATCAACTTTGAAATTGCTTAAAATAGTCTAAGATGCCTTAGTCTATCTTTTTCTGATATTAGCCATTTGTATAGCCTAATAAATATGAGAATAAGTACTTTTCTTCTCAATTCCCATTCATTCCAACAATAATTTGGATCAAGATTCTTTTCAATAAAATGAACAGGAGTTTGAACATCTTTGTCCACCATTAATTTATTAGATAATAAACTTCCACTTTCAAATGTTAGTTTCAGATTGAGATTCTTGAAATTCTCTTCCACTCTAAATAATCTGATTAGGTGTGGTTTCTATCTACAAATATCAATCACTCCTGTTAAATATCTCTGTGGTTCTGACAAAAATTCATTGATAGCTATTTCATTGCTAAACACACAATTCTTGTCTCTGTATCTGAACACACCCAAAGATGGTTTTCCAGGGATAAGTAAACCATTCTTTTTTACTACTGACCAAATACAGAAACCGAAATAATCTAATTATGTTTGCATAAAATCAGGAGTATTTTAAGGTAATAATCTTTAAACTCCTGATTCTGGTTGATAATTAATTAAGGCTAGATTATCAGGTTACGTTGATTCCATCTATTTACATTATTTTTATATTGCTAAGGGCATAGAAAGTTTCATCATTTTTTTTAGATCTACCAACAATCGGAATAGTTCAACTCTCTCAATTGATATTTACTTGTCTTCAAATAGTCCGATGTGACTTTGAGCTAACAATGCAAATTTAGGATAGACTTATTCTTTAGGAGCAGAGGATTTATGTTCCAATAGTTTTTTAAGGTCCTCCATTTCTTTGATGAATCTGATTCTATTTTGTTCGATCATGGCTTCGCTTTATTCAATATCCTCTTGTAATGATAAGATGTAAGATAAGTATTATCTAAGAAAGGCCAATTCATCCTTATATTTTTCAATGTCTTCATTGTTCATTTGAAATTTGTCTTGATTGATGAAGAAAGTAGTGTATATTTCGCATTATTCTATTGTTTCTAGAGCAATTTGTTTGATTTAGTCTGATAATTCTCGAGCATTGTATTTGGTAAGATCTTCTAAGGAACTTAATGAAACTCCTCCCTTTCCGATTTTCTTATTGAACAATCTAATTCCAATGACTAGATTGGCCAATTCCACTAATTGAGTTACTTTTTCTGAGGGATTCAAGGACACAAAAGGTCCTAAGGCAGCTCTTGGAATAACACTTTCTAAGGCAGCTCCAACTTCTAATGGGAATAGTAATAAAATGATACCTTTGTCCATATTGAATTGAGCTTAGGCATCAAAATTAATAGGATCTTCAATCAATTCTTTATTCTTGTATATCAAATAATGAAACATTTTAGTATATAAGGTGGTCAAGCCTTCAAAATCTTTGGCATTCTTAATTTCCAGAGTCACAACATCATCAATGTATTTTCCAGTCTCATTGGATTGCTTCTTGATTTTCTCTTGTCTTTATAATTCCATTTCAACGTAGGCACTATCATATTCTTGATAATTAGGATAGATTGTTACATATTTGTAATTGGATAGTTTTTAGATCTGGAGCATTTTAATTGCTGAGTTTATTGAGTGTCTCATTTTTCAATTCATTCAATTCACTTTCATTGAGTTTCTCCTCCAGATAAAATTTATTAGTTCCTTCGATGATATGAAAATATTTACTTTTATTGAGAATTGTCTATGCAACATAAGATGCAAGAGTTTCAGTGATGGGATTGTTTCTAGCTCTACATTAATAGAGGGCGAACTTGACTACTTCATCTAATTAATTCATGTTTGGGTATTAGTTTTTTATAATTAATTTAATTGATGAAATAAGTATTCCATCAGCTGGCCAAACAACATAACATAACCAACAACAAGAGCTTTACTTTACCAACCAAATAGTCCCTGGAGCAATCCTATTAAGATGTGAAGTTTCAATTTGTTATGTAATTCTCAAAAGCCACCACTCAGGAATAACTTGAATAGATTGTGAATATACTCTTCAATCATGGATTTCAATCTTACAAGACCAGGAATCTATAGAATGATAAGATTCTCTTATTCATATGTATTTGGGATCCGAAAATCATTTTGGAATAGGCAGAGTTGATGCAACTTTATAAAGTAAGTACAAAAACATTAAATAGTTAGTTATTGACCGTTCACATACATAAATGCACGAAGTATATAGAAAGATAGCTGAGAAGATAAATGTAAAGAAAATATTGGATGAGAGGTTAGTTATGGCTTTAAATTAAATTGATAAGAGAATAGTGGAATTAGAAAATTATTAAAAATTTAAATACCACTTAAAAAGTGACTTCTGTTTACATAATGAAGACTCTGAAGTCATTAAAATATTTAGTCCTTCTGAGACTTTACTTATAATATACAATTACTTACATACTATTAAAATTGGAGACTTGGACATGATTCATTTTCTAAAAACGGAAGAATATTTATTATAAGTAACTCCAATTCATGATGAAATTGTCTCACTCAACACAGTATCTGACATAGAGAGATATTTTGGAGGCAACTTAGCAGTCTATTTCGAGTTCATGAACTTCTATTAATCTATGCTTAAGTATTTGGCTTTAGCTGCTATCATCACTTTAATTGTAGATCATCAAAGTAGTCTCTTTAAAATCACCAATGTAGCTAGTTTCTATGCAGTACTCAACATGGTATGGTCAACATTCTTCATTATTGCTTGGCGGAGAAAGGAGAATGAGTTAAGTATTGAATGGGGAGTGTTCGGTTAATAACACATAAAAAGATTAGATCTGAACCCTGAATATAAAGGTACACCCAAGATGAATTATATCACGGGAATGGTCAAGAATGGCTATCCAACAAGTAGCAGGATATTCTACTATATGGTATCCTTATTCGAAGCCATCCCAATTCTCATTATTGCTGGCTTGATTAAAATTGTTGTATTCAACATCAATGGGCTCATCAGGAATGAAAGCAGTATCTTCTACATCAAGGTTGCAGCTTAGCTGAATCAAGAGGGAGGTCTGTTATATTATAAATACACTACTAATATTTTAGACATCTTCACTATCTTATTGATATTCTACATCAACACTCTGTATACAAAGGTTTGCATTAATTCAACCAAACGAGAAAATCATAGAACTAACTTGAGGTTTTATAATTCTTTAATTCTAAAACGATTCTTATTTGAATTAATCAATAGATTCTTTCACTTATTCTATATTGCATTCATCGAATTTGATATACCAACTCTAAGGAGTCTCTTGATTAAGTTGTTTGTAATGGATCAAATAAGAAGAGTTCTATTGGAATCTCTATTGCCAATGTTAATGAAGTAGCAGTATGAAAAACAAAAGGAATAGTACTGCTTGAACCTATAAAAGAAGGAAGACATTAATGAAAAGATTGTTGATAGAATTGTATGTCTTAATTTATCAACTCCTTTAGGCAGAACTTGAACTCTGGGAATATGATGATTTCGATGATTATATTGAAGTCATATTTCAATATGGATACATAGTATTGTTTGCAGCTATTTTTCCTCTGGCTGCTGCTCTCACATATATTTTCAATTTTATTGAGATATGGAGTGACAAATTCAAATTAGCGTAAACATTGATATTATATTAAGTAATAAATTATACTAACGAAACCTACCCAAAAAGGCTTATAGTATAGGTGAATGGAGAAGTGTTTTGATGACTCTATCAGTTTTATCAATATACACAAACACAGCCTTTATAGCTTTAGCTTATTTCAATGTATTTGATACTTGTTAGAAAACAGGATGCGATTGGGAAAACATTCTTATTCTATTATTTATCATTGAACATTTTTCATTAGGTTTGAAATATATTGTACAATAAACAATCAATTGTAAACCAAAATGGGTTAGGATAGTGTTGAGAAGAATGAGAAGGAAAAGAAGAAATTTTAATTATTGATATATATATATATAATTTAATTATTAACGATAAATGGATGATCAACTTAGCTCTTTAATATTGTGTCAAAAACATATATAGGAACTATTCACTCTAAATTAGAGATTGGAAAAGAAATTGGAACTACAGGATAACAAAATATCTTAAATTTAATTGTTGGTTGCTTAAAGAAATGAGGATCTGTAGTTGGCCATTGAAAAATATACTCCTCTTAAAATATTTAGAGAAGAAACTACTTACTTGAGGAATTTCTTAGAACAAAAAACTAAAGCCTTTTAAAATCAATTTGATCAATTGCAATAGTATTTAATCTTATAAAATATGAAAGATAATAAACAAGACAGATGCAGATTTTGAAGGAAGAGAATCAATAACATCATCAAACTGCAGTAGAGAAAGTCTCTAGAACAACCAATACAGTTTTGTTCCAGATGGAATAAATCGAAAAGAAAATTCATTCTGAAACTGTAATAATGGTTGAAGAACTAACAAGGAAATCAGCTGAAATGGAATAAAATATAATGAAGTTATTCCAATAAAAATAAAAACTATTAGAAAAACTAGCAATAAGTTAAGAATCATCAAATGCTAAAATAAATCTGTTTGAAAATACCTTGAATTAACAACTTTCTACTATATCTAAAATACAATAAACAGCCTAAAAATAAACTCCAAATCACAGTGTTAGAAAGTTAACTTTCGATAATGCTGAAGTCCCTATTGAATATTTAAAAAGATAAGAAGATGCTCTTAATTATATGACTGCAAGTATCAAAAATATAGAAAAAAAGTTGGCGGAAACTGAATAGAAACCAAAATTAAAAAGAGAATTAAGCTTTGATTAATTTTAAGTTCAGTGGTCACAACAAAAACCTAATCATTAATAGCATTCCTCATTACCTGCTAGTTCAATCAAACCAATCTTAATCAAAGAGGAATAAAGCAGTGAGTTGGCCTAAAATAAATCATCTAGAAGTGAATACGAAAAATCTTCAAGAAGTGAATTAGCATAAAATGTAGCAGAACCATTGACTTCAGAAATGAAATCACCTTCCACTTAATAAAATAGAGACATCTCCAAAATGCCTCTCTTAATCAAAACATCTCCCAATCCTATCACAGCAAGTCCAATACCTAATTTTTATGATGATGTTAGAATGAAGTAGGAATACGAGAAGAAAATGCAATAGATTAAAAGCTAAGAGGAACAACAAAGATAATCAAGGATGAAATAATAATAAGAATATGAGAGATAGCTATAAAATCTAAAGAAATCTTAATCTTAATTATCAAATGATAGTTCAATGTTAAAAAATAATGATAGTTATTTCTTTAAGCAGGAGCAATCACTCAATAGAAACGACAGCCAAGAAATAATTAAAGTACATAACATCCATATTATAGTCTTCAGGTGGTTTACGATCGTTGATGCAAAAATCAAAAGAAAGAGATTAACAACCTTAAACTTCTCAATCAAAATCAAATTTAAATCTTTCGAACTAATAGAAGAAATATTCTTAATAGTAATCTAAAGAACAATTAGGCCCAATTAAGAATTAGAATGTAGCCACAGGTGGTAGAAAATCTCGAAGTACATCATTTGCATTTAAACTTTTTAGCCAGCCAAATGAGAAACTTAGCATAATAATAGAGACATCATTAGGATCAAAGTGCCGAAGAAATCGTTTACTAATTAGATGAGGATGGGTATCTTATGGATGAGAATGGAAATTATCTATTGGATGAAAAAGGAAATTACATTTAAATATCTGACAAGGACTTGGAAGAACTAAAGAAACAGAACCTAGTTATTGAGTAGGAATGATTCAATTATTTAGTTATTATATTATTTCCAATTATATTACACTAACAAATATAGAGCATTTCATTTAATTATTGAAGATATTAATATTATGAATAAATTTTTAATTACATTAGCAAGAATACCAAAATGTCAACCAAGATTTGGATTTGCAGATGTCTTGAAAGACAAAGATAAAGGAGATGAAAAAGTATATTTCACAAAAGAAGATTGTATTTAATCAACTTAATTTATTTTAGAGAAGTTAATGTCAAAATTACTTAAGAAAATGAAAGAAAATAATGAAAAGCCAAAATCATCAGGAAGTAATGATAAAGAAGACAAGGAGGACTTGCAAGTATTAGATATTACTTAATATAGAAAATATTTTCCAGATATAAGATTAATTACACTGATGCATTGATTGAGGAAGTCTTAAATTGGAAGAGAGGAGATTGATATATGATAAATATATAAAATATAAAGAACAATCATAAACATTATGAATGTATATACATATTGACAACTCATACTTTTAATCCCAATATACATTTCATTAAGGCTTATTCTAAATGATGATAGATCTAATTACCCTTATGTATTCATTAATAGGATTTTGAAAAATGACTTATGTTTTTATCAATTCCGATAATCAAACTTAATTTTCTTTTTAATTATTGTTATTTATGTTTATGAGTGATTAATTATACTGCGTTGATGAGAGATGCAACCTATCAGAGAAATTAATAACTAATTGGACCAATTTCCTTCAACATCAAGAGTTAGAACACAAAATGTTAACTATTAAATAATTTAAATCATATTTGATTGAAAAAAAATCAACAAATGCAACCTAATAAAATGATGAGAGAAAATTTCAATACATTTCCTTAGCAAAAGAAAAATTAGATAATTTATTTGATTCAATTGAAAGTAGAATCCAAAAACTTGTCAAATAGGAACTTGAAGAAATATTTGAGTAAACTATAATTTTTATTTAGATTGTGTTTAGTGGACTTAGAAACACAAATATAAAATTGTATAGTAAACGAGAATATTTAATTGGATCATTTTGAAACTTACTTCTAATTTGAAGGATATCAAACTAAATGTTTGAATTTTTACAACAATAATATCTATAATGAAATTCAAGACATAATCAATTAATTTTGTAAATTAAAGGATATTTAGTTTGAAGGTATTTTTGGCTCCCTAACACAATCATTTTCCCATCAAAAATATATGATATAGTAAATAGAGAAATCCACGACTTTAAACTAAAAGAAAATAAAGGAAAATCAAGTTGACCTACCATCCTCATCAGGACATAAATAGGGTGAGTAAACACAATAAGAATATTATTAATTTAAGGAATAAAATTCATAATCTAAACCAATACATCCTACAACTCTATAAGGTTATAATTAAGTTGAGAAATCCCAATTAGACTATTTTTAGAATTAGGATTATGCTTAAGAATCTAAAACTGAGGCTCTCCTTCCTTTGAAAGGATATAAATAAGTAGAGAAAGTTTAATAAGACTATTATTAATTTAATGAATATACCTAAGACTCTAAGCCAGAGCGTCCTATAAATCAATAAAGATTTAATTATGCAGATAACTCGTAAGTAGACTGTATTTAGAATAAAATTTCCTATGAATAGACACCAGAAAGTTACCCTCCTTTAAAAGGATATAAATAAGCTGAGTAAAAGCAAAATGAGTATTTTTCGTATAAGGAACGTTAACAAGATGCTAAGTAGGAGCCTTCTCTTAATTTCTAAGGGTTTAATTAAGTTGAGAAAATACAATAAAATTATTATTAAAACAAGGAAATTTCTTAAGAATCTAAAATAGAATCAAAAGTAAAAAAGAACCCAGTAATAACTTAAGAAGTAAAACCTTAAGCTAATGATTAAAAACAACCTAAGAAATTAAATTTAAATTAAAAAAAAAAGGAAGTAACTTAGGTTCAACAAATATAAAACAAAATTTCAGAACATGTAAAAGATGCCAAAAATCCAGAATTCAATGAGCTTAATGGAAAGTTGGCATTCTTTACAAAGTAATTTATGATAGGATAAGTAGAGTTATTAGATAATTTCAAAACTGCCAAGTCAAAATTGGGATTTGTTTTGTTTGATGGCTTCTTTAATAAAACTGCAAATATTAAATTAGAAGTACTTATTTAAGAATATGATAAATAATCAGTATAAAGTCAATAAAAATATTTTAGGAAATAGAAATAGGATTAATTGATTGGAATAATTTTCAATTACCTAGAGAAACAGGAAAACCACAGAAAGGAGTCCATAGTCTTAACAGTTAAGGAAGTAAATAAAAATTCTAAATATAAGGTGCTTTTAAAGATGGAAAATAAAAAAGCAAATAAAAATATAAGAATCTTTTTAGAGCATATTTTAATCTGAAAATAATCATATCCAAAAATTCCTTAGAAATTGGTATTGGAGGAATCAAGGTAATTAGATTTTGCTATCATATAGATTGGATTTCCTCTTTCTGAATTGAATGGAAACCTATCTCTATTTGCCTGCTTAGCAAACGCATAAATTAAAATAATCCCTTGATATATAATAATTTTGAGATGAATTTATTCTATGTTTTATAGTTGATAATCAAATAATTTTCTTTTATGAATTAAACAATATTATAATAATTTCTAATAAAACTTATATATCTACTTATAACTAGAATATTATCCTGAAAAACTTGACCAACAACATGACATCAAAAAATAAGAATAATACATTTACTATTCATTTTATAAATTTAAAATAAAGAAAATATGCTTCGCTTAATAATGTATAATATCATCAACTTGTCATAATTTATAAATATAAACAATTTGCTTATAATCATTGATTTATTTTATCAAAACTCTTGGTCTTTTGATTGAAGTTAATAGATTATCAATTTCATCCTCTGTTTGTTAATATCTTTTGATTCCAGATACAAACATTTGAATATTTTCGTTTTATTCATTGAAATATTTGACAGTCTCATATAGAGGAACAATAGATTGAGGCCAGAAGATGATATCAGCTCCGATTATGATATCAATATCTTTAAATGCCTTGCTATTCTCATATCCCCATTAGAACAATGATCCTTAGACATTATTTAATTTAAGATGCTCGATATTTTTAGTAATGAGATCCTGGACAATTTGATTACCATCTGTGATAATCACATTTTTTGCATACTTAGCTGCAACAAAGCCACATAATCCTGCACCAGCTCCTAATTCTAGGACATTCTTATCCTTAAATAATTGATTGTTATCAATGATAAATTTGGTTAATTCAATGGAAGCAGGCCAAATGATTTGGCCAGTGAGATCGAAATCAGTTGATCCGCTATTGAGTGAGTAAAGCTAAATTTCGATATCTTGATATTTGAAATCAGTTAAGGTATAATCATTTGGAATAAATATTTCACCAAGATTGATATCCATTAATTATGTATTAATAATAATAATAATAAGTGACGATTGAATTAGGTAATAAACGTAACTAGACAAGACTACTTGAGTCAATAAATGATCTTACTATGCCGCAGAAATAATAGCTTTTAATAAATATATTATAATGCCCAATTTAAGAGAGGAAGGCAGAAATTTTATAGTTAATGAGAATCATAATTTCTAAAGTGGATTTCTTCCATCAATTTTAAGTTGAGAATATTGATTACGAAGCATATGATTATTGTTTGAAGCATCTTACATTTGAAACCTTTTAAAAAGTATGAATATCATTCTCTATGGTTTATATAGAATACAGTTATTTTTGAAAAGGGAGAGTAGCCTCATAACATGTATGTGGTAATACGAGGATAGGTGTCTCTGTATTCTAATGATCATTTAATAGACCAAACAACGACAAGAAAGCATTCGGTAAGTGTAGACTATGGTAGAGAGTCTCCTTACGCAAATAGAATCAGATTTTCTGATTTTAAGGTCAAAAGGTAAATATAAATTTATCTCTCGTTTAGTTTAGTTCGTTTAACTGAATTTAAGGACTGGAAGACATTTGGTGAATAAGCTATTTTAGATTAGCGACTAAGAACCAATATTGCGGTGTGTGATATCGATTCTGCTTTGGCAATTTTGACTAGAGAAAATTATACAACAGCTGTTTAAATTTTGGAGAAGAAGAAGGAGCAGCATCGAATGAATAATTTCAAGTTGAATCCAAGTTTTTAAGGTTTAAATAAGAAATTAATCAATCTGATGTTGTTTGCTTATTAATCATCTGATTATAAATTTAGAGATATAATTTATAAGTAGGGTTAGAGTGATTCTGATACTATTTACATTATTAAATAAGGGGAGTTCTTAATGTATTAGGAATAAAAGATGAACGAGTAGTAGCAAACCAAAGTGAGAAAATAAATTGCCATTATGACAACAGGCGAGATGTTTGGAGATTATGAAGCATTTGAAAGAGTACCTAGGTAATTTAATGTCTAATGTAATTCACACACAGCAAGTTTAATAATCATTCCCTTATAATCATTATATTAAAAATTATCTTAATTTAACGAATAGCATTATGTGTAATAATTAAGAGCTTTATGTTTGAAAAAGCATAAATGGTACCATGATTTCAAAAGCAGCATTGAACAGACTTAAGAAAAATATTAACATTTCTTAACCATTTAGGATCAGAAATAGAGTCATTTGAATAATTCGTTTAATAAATTAGATTCACCTACTAAAATACTTAATGATTCGAAATAGATGACTGATACTATTTTGTGTGTAAGTCCAATCGCAGAACTAAAAAATACATTGAATTATCTTACTTCAATAGATGATACTCAAGGTTAAATGAATGAATAATTAGTAGAACTAAATACAAGCATTAATAATTCAAAAACAAAAAATAGAAATACTATTTATTTGCCTTCTCCTGATAAGTTATAACCCTTACCAAAAATTAAACTAGTTTCCAATAGACAATAAGAAAGAAACTAATTATCTACACCAGATAGATTCAATCAAGTGATAAGAAATAAAATGACAATTTTAAAAAGAATGCACAATCTATCTCCAGAAGATTCTGTAAATATTAACACTTTGTAACAGAAGACTATTTACGTCCAATTACCAAAATAAGTGAAACTGGAATAAAATATTGAGAAACAATGGCCAATCAAGGCAACTCTCTATCTAAATGATTTGGATGATAGAATGAGATATCACAGCAATAACTCAAAGTTGCAGAATTGCAACAGTAGTAGAGACTCCAGTGTGGTTTATGAATAATTGAGTTTGAGAATGGATGGGAGTGAGTAATATTCATAAAGAACTAGCAGAATGGGAATATTGAACAACATACTATAACACTCAGTAACAAAGAGAGGTAAGAACAAAAAGAAAAGAGCATTGACGTTAAAATACAGAGAGTATTTGGAATCATAAATGTAACAGAAAACTTAGAATTCATTGCAATATTCTTGATGATTATATCATTATATATTTTGATGACATCTGCTTTTCTTTCTCTAACTTCTTTTATACTATTAATTATAATATATACAATTTTCACATAACTCAGATTCCCTCATTCCATTATAGTGTAAATTAAACATTATTTAATTAAGGATCAAAATTATAAATAGAAATAAAGTTGTCGTATTCTTTACATTGGTTATTAATATAATAATTACATAGTTTAGAATCAATTTAACATTTCCAATAACTTAAGTAATGAGTACCTGTTATCATATTCAGCTGTCGCTCCTTAGTAAAATTCTTCAGGACAATAATCTATTTCCCTTCCAATAATTCCTAACGAATAGATATCTACTTTATCTTATTCAACATCATTTTTTGGATAGTACTTATTTGTTAATCCTTTTCCTCTTAACCATTTTTGTAATTTAGGTACCAAAAAGTATGAACAGTCAAAATCAATGATCACAGGATTCCCATCCTTCATTAAAATATTCTGGGGTTTTAGATCTCTATGAATAAATTAATTATGATTGAGAATCTTAATCGATAGAGTCAAATCTTTCAATTATTTGATATTCATCTTTGGCAATGGTTCATAATAAGGAAAGATCAAATAAAATTTTAGATTGCTTGCATATATTTAAGAGATATTGAATTGATAGTACAAAGTGATTAATTGAGCAAATCCTCTATAATTTAATTTATTTACAACTATCTATGCTAGAATTTCAACCAAGATATCTTTGAGATTACTCTTTAATTTATCTAATTGAATTTCAGATACCTCCTTTATTTTCATTACTATCTTCTCATTCTCATTACTGAACATTATCAAATTTGCTTCATTAAAACTTTCATGTTTTGGATATCTACTTTAAAAGCTGTTTGAATCGAACTATTGTATATTTTTGAAATCATCCTCTATTATGTCTATTAATTCAGTAATTTCTTGATCATTTAAGTACCTTTTTAATTCATGTACAGTAGAATTCTAACAATAGTAATCATTAACAACAGAGCCGTTCCTAGAAATTTGAGATAAAGACTTAGATTCTATTAAGTAATTATAGCTCATTTTCACTTCCGATTAATATGATTACCTAGAGCGTTCTAGATATTACGTATTCCTTCGAGTCTAAATCAAAGTGAGTCTATCGAAATCAATTTCTTTGATAATTTCATGAATATCTTCCTTGCTTAAAGATGAATTCACAATTGCTAAATTCTCTCTCGATTATTACACTAATTTTAATAGATGAGATTTGCACAAATCCCTATATGCTGGATTCTATCCAACTTTCTATAAATATTAGACAGCCTCTTTATATCTGCCATCTTACAAGTGCCTAACTCCGATTTGGAATTGTGCTTCAACAGTATCAGAGGAGGGTAAGATAAATTCTAAAAATGTCTCTTCGCGATTTTATTAAATGGAACTTCTATAATTCTCTATTATTCTATTAAAAGATAGAGATTCTTGATTGTTATATTTGCTCTTAGTTTCTTACTTTATTTTTTCATACAATAACAAACGTTTTTTGGATTAATCATACATAGATAGATACTGATAAAAGTGACACATTAGTAAATTCTCATAACAATCTTACGGGTATGAGAATTATTCAATTACATTATGTAAAGTAGTATACAATTTACAATCGATATATTACAAAAATTAATCCAGGATCTCCTATTATTCAAAAAAGTGTTTTGAACTCAATTGATCGTTTTTCATATGACATACAAGAATTAGATAAAACTGGAGGATTTAGAAAAAGGAATTGAATTTGAATTAATATTCAATCTTTTATTTTAGAGTGACTTTGGGGATGCCCTTATCCTTTAGTTCAATTAAATTAGAAGATTCTTTTATGTCATCCTAAGGAATTTAAATACTATTCAAGTTGCTTCTGACTACTTTTGATAGATGTTTCAAAAACTATTCGCATTTTCGATATTTCTAAGTGTTATTAAATATTGAAATATCATCTAAATACTCTTTGAGATAATTAGTAAAGACATTAATGTGATAAGGCGCAGATATTCTATCAGATTGTAATTCCTTCACTATTTCTACAGCTGCCTATGAATGTTACAGAAATAAAGCTAAGATCATTAGTTTATATTTTAATTTATAACTGAATTTTGTCTTATCTTTACTTTCAATGTATAAATCACTGCAATTCTTTGACTTTTCGTAGGCTTTCAAATAATATTAATAGGCCTCATTATGCTATCCCAAATAAAGACATATCTTTGCCATCTGATCATACACGAATGGAAGATATGGATTAAAATTTTATTACTTTTAAAACAGTATAGTTACCTTTCTAAAGAAACTAAATATCACTAATGAGAGCCAATATTCTTTGAATCTTTTTAAACCTTTTGCAAGTTTAAGCAAGCAAATAAGATAGGATTCGTTATATTACTTATTCAGAAAAATAACAAGGCTGGTAATATGAGAGAGTCTTTGTTCTCCATTCAATTTAGCAAAGAAGATTTCCCATAATTTTGCAGAATGAGTTAAGCCAGTAAACAATATACCACCTATTTGGTTGATGTGGCTGTGATCTTACAGAAATCTATAGTAGGTTGGTGTAAATACGGCATCTTCAGTAAAATTGCCGCTTAAACAGGCTAATTATACCTAAGATCTATGTAATTTCTCTTTTCTTTCTTGTTTTAATTATAGAGAATTTTCGTTGAATATTTAAGATTAAGTTTAAAAATTTTCAATGCTTTGCAGTATTTATGAGCATTTTTGGAGTATAAACTATTTAATATTAGGATTGCCATTAGTTTCAACCTTTTGGTAGCAGTATTTTAGTATATTTAGTAGTCCATCGCACACATCATTAAAATAAGTATTACTAAATCTCGAATAAATGGGTATCTATCTTTTAAAGATGGGTTGAGTGAACAGATTTATCTTATCAAAGATCTCAAAATGTTCGTTTGCTTCGGATAATAGGTTTTCTTTTACAAATTGACAACCTTAGATAAAAAAGTCAAACCCGTAGAGAACATCGAAGTCAACAGGAAATGCTTTGTTTTCATGATCATAATGATGAAACTAAAGATTTTGAATGCTTTTTTGTTTCATCATAAATTTTTAATCGTCTATTGTGAGTTAATACACAGATATGATAGGGTTTAGTACATATTCTAGAAAAGTGGAAGAGCTATTTGAGTTTTCAATTAAAATTGTGCTGATAGTCTAACAATACTATAATTAATTGCATAATGGACAGTGAGAGTGTATTTATTGCATTTATTTTTAATATTAATAGTGCCATATAATATAACCTATAAAGAAGATAAAAATCATTTTCATGTAAGTTGAATGGATTCAAGTTTTTCGATGATTTTTTCATTTTAAGTTTCCTGAATAATTTGAAATAATTAATTGAACTTCTATTGATTCAGATGGGCCAATTTCTCTTAATCCATTTGAGCCAATCTCAAGACTTGGTTCTCCTTAGCTAAAGCTTTGTACATTTCTTATAAGTTGTCCCTACTCCATATAGAAATGGATTACCTTGTAAATTAAGAGGAGGGGTGTATTCCATAGACATCATTGAATTCAGAAGAGTAATTGAGAAAATACTCCTACCAAAACTTCACAGACTTCCCTGTAAATTATTCAGGTATAATCACTTCTTATTCGATGGAACCAGGATTCAAATAATATGCATTTCTATATTTCTCTTTATATTTCATCACCCAAGACCAAATGGACACTGTTGATTCCATGACTTTTTGTTTTTGAATTTCCTAGAGTGAATTCATAATGTGAGAATCAATACCAAGAAGGAGTCGCATAAGAAGCTACCAAAAAGTGAGGACATATGATGATACGCCAAGTCCAGTAATAATTTGACATTGAATTCGAAAGATAATGGATAAAGTTATAACATTTGATAGACACAATCCAGAAACTAAAAGAATATTGGTGATCGACAATCATCGCTATGTTATCTGTTACCAATTGCAGATCTCTAGCAAAACTAATGTCCATTGTTTATCCACTCCTTCTAAATTAACATCATGAATCCATCGAAAGTTCTGTAATATCCATCGATCATGATCTACACCAAAGACACTAATTAAGGTGTTTTATCCCATCCATCATTACAATGAACTAACACATTCAACTTCTCCTTTGTTAAACTCAATGAAATTCTCACTGCGCCCTGTATTAGTGATACAATATGTTCGTACCATTATGATATCTCTAATTAAGAGATAAATGATATAGTCTCACTAAAATAATAATACACTCCTTACCTGAATGAATTTTTCAACAACTTCGTCTACGATTCCCTCATTTTATGGATATTTTGGATTTCCAGAAACTCAATGCTACAATTTTTATAATACATTGGATTTTCGAATCCCTTACCTGACGTCTATTACCCTATAGAGTTAACATCTGAACGAGCATCAAATATTTTTAATTGAATCTCCTCCTATTGATTTTCTGGTTCGTCAACCATTTGCTAAGACATCTATTTCAAATATAATTCATCTTCCAATGATCTTATCTATCCTATTCCTATTCTACATTATGCGCTTCTCCACAATGACACTATCTTCCCATTCACTTAAAATGCATATGATAAAATTGGTATTCTCTCCTTAGATCTAAACTTGGCTGTTTTCTGTATGCAATCCATATCAACTCTAGCAGGTACTATCAATCTATTGTAATATGTAGCGCATATTTATCCACCCTCATTGTTCACGTATTTATATAACACATTCATTTATTGTTGTTGACTTTCTTATTAAATCAACACTCCCATCCTCTCAAAGTCTTTCTCTATATTGTATATCTTCCACCCTTAGAATTCATTCTCCAAATTCTACATTTCTTTATAAAATGTAAATGCAAATAATGTTGTCTTCTACAATGTGTAAGCATTCTTGTTGATCAAATTAAATAAACATGCACAATCATCACTTTGCTCTCTATAAAATCTATATCTCAATTGTCTACCATCCTTCGATGATATCTCAAGTATAATTGAATCATTTTATTTCTTATCAACAGATCTATCCACTTTTATCATAAATGTATAAGGTATCTAAAAGTAATCCTTTCTGAAATCTTTAGGGAATCTTTAAGGCGAGAAAACAACCTTTAATTAATAACCATATTACTTAATAATTTGTAGCCACTAATAGACCAGAGAATTGTTATACACCATTGAAACACACGACATTTACCTACTACAATGAAACCTCTCCAGGCTGCACAACATCCAATCCTATCTAATTCAAATCTTTCGTTTAATTTATTGGTTAAACATTGGTCTCTTGATTTGGTTACTCGTTAACTTATCTTACAACAGGGGGTTATTATGGCTAGTTAGAGGTATTTCTAAAAAATAATTTCTATTATTTTATTATTCATTACTCTTGGAGCGTCTGACATTGAACAGATTATTAATAATCTTAACTAATATATTTATTAAAGTATAAACAACAAAAATTATACAAACTTCAATAATATATAATCAATTAAATTAACTTACTCACATTTCTATATAGACTTTTGAAATAACTTTAATACTATTATTCTTAATAATCAGATTATTCAAGTTTATTAATTTAATCCTCATAATCTCTTCCATATGATTATACTGCAGTCCCTTGAGAATATAAGCATTAAAACGAAGAGTCTATGATTTTTCATCTCTATAAAAATGTGAAATACCAAAATTTATTGTTTTTATGAATATAATTAGTAATTCCTAAAACATAAAACATAGATATTTATTCATATAGTATTAATTACAAAATCAAACAACATATATTATTACAAAGCATGAATAATTAATCTATTTTTAACAATCATTGGTTTGTTCATCCTAAATATAATCCATTAATATTGTTTCAAAAAAATGTTTAATTATAATCCTTTTATCTTGTTTTATGATTATGGTTCATGTTCCTTTCTTTTTCCATTTCAATCAATAAGAATTAACTTATAAATCCAATTTATCATATGAACTTGCTTTATAATTGAATAACGCTTGAATGATAAGTAAAATTTTATATATTATGATTTAATTTTTATATTAGAATGAAAGTAAGGAAAAACTCATAAAGTGGGAAAGTTAGCGTAAGTATATTAAATAAGATAGGAAAGAAGCAGCAGAAGATAACTGGAAAATGAATAGTTGGTTAAAAAACCTGATTTTTTGAAAGCAGCAACTCTTGGATAAATATTTGTAGTTTGTACTCAACAATTGGGAGGATTAGAGGATGGTAATCCAAATTAATATTCTTAAGGAAAAATCACGAAGTTACAATTTAGAAAGTTTCTGATGACTGAATAGATTTGCTTTGTTTTCAATTTAATGGGTTTGGGATTGAGTGTTATGCAATATGATTTAGAATTTGAAGAAGAGAACGAGGATGTAATTAGTTAAAAATAGAAATTAGATTTCAAATTGTTTATTATGGATCATATTTATCTCTACATTGGTTTTATTAGTTTTAACTGTCTTGCGTTATTAATAACACATGAATTGGTTGAAATCAAGAAAACAAATTAGTTAAAATGATAGAATATGGCAAACTGAACAATGGTATCCAATGCTCATAGAATTGATAATTTATTGTGTAGTTCCTTTTCCTTTCACGATTGGGATGAGAGTGTACTTTTACAATAGTTTTCAAGATGCAACTGCCTACTATCATGTTAATGAAATACTTGCTCTATTTATGATAACCAGAACTGTGTTTATCTTTAGAACTATTTTGGCTTAGACATTTTGGTACAGCAACAGAACTCAAAGAGTATGCAATCTTTACGCATGCGAAGGTAATTATATGTTTGTGGCCAAATCATTAATGAGAACCTCTCCATATACTTCATAATTCATAGCTCTAGTGTCTTTGATTGGCATATTTGGTTATGGAGTCAGAATATGCGAGAACCCATTAGCTAGGAATGACCCTGCAAATAATAATTTAGGTAGATATGCTAATGCTTTATGGAATATTATCATTACAATCACTACAGTGGGATATGGAGATTTCTATACAAGAACAGATTTAGGAAGATTTGTTATCTTCGTTGTTTGTATTTTAGGAATATTTGTAATTTCTGTTATGGTTGTCACTCTTATTAACTCCTTGGTAATTTCAACTTTAGAATCCCATGCAATTACTGTATTGGAAAGAATTCAATTAAGGTAGAATTTAGTTTCATCAGCCTCTTGGGTGGTGTTCTACTCACTTAAAATCTATGTTGCACTCAAGTATTATTCTATCCTTATGAATTTAGAAAGGGAAATCTGAGTAAAGTCTAGCTCAAAATATTACTGATTAAATTAAGGAAGAATCTGAATGATTTCAAAATTTCAAGGAGAAAATATAGGAATAAACAAGATGTAGGGAATATGAATGAAGAAATTACTAACTAATTTAGTCTCTAAAAATCAGATTTTAGTGAAGTCATTGAAAAGTAGAAAGGATTATTATAATAAAATTAAGACATCATGAATAAATTAGGAGTAGAAGCTAAACCATACATATCAAGTCCCTAATTGTGATCTATATATATATAATAACAATTATGATTATATATCTAATAATTTATTTTACAAATCCAAATTCTTAAATAATGACCAATACCAAATTTATAGAAGGTTTTTTAAATATCTACTAAGTCCTATTCCTTATTTAAGCAAATATTTCACTCAGATTTAATTAAAGTATGAAAACCCTAAGTATTATTTCTTTATATAAGATTTAAAAAGCATTTGGATTTGAAAAGTCTTATAAATTTCTAACTATATATCTAGGTGGATTTGTTTGAATTTGGATATATTATATAAATATATCAAATCCATTAGCAATAAAATATGATATCTTAACACTAGAATTACGAATAAACTTTCATTAATGTTCAAAATTCAATAGTAGATTGCAAAAGAATAATATTTAATGATACTCTTTATTGTAACAAAATTTTCAATAATGAAAGTATAAAAATCAGTAAACTTATGTGGTAGTTGGTCTATCTAATTCTTTATACAATCCCTATTATTGCAGTCTGACCTCCTTATTTTTGATACTATTATATTTCAATTTCTAATGATGTTATTTCAAAAGATTACTTAGTTTTCATTGATTAAGAGAGTCTCTGATCCAATGATGCTTTCTCTAATTTCAACAGTCCCAATTTAATCAATCAATCTTTCATCTCTTGTAAACAATACGGTAGTTTTATTATTGCCCATAATTCCTCGTACAGTTTGGGTCAAAGTTGATAAATTCAAATAGCCCTTAAAATAAATGAATCGATTTACTTGATACATTATATTATCATCAATTGAGATTTCACATTCCTTTAGCTCCTCTCACAGGTGTTTTACTATAATTGTAAAAGGATATGGCAGATATTTATTGAGGAGTATCAAATAACAAAATCAATTTGTTGACTTAGTAACTAATCTGATCAAAAACACTCGAATTTATATTCGTTTTTAATCTATCTGTGTATGAATTAACGAAAGGAGATAACCACATTTGCTTACCATCTAAGGTTATGTTAACATTATTTAATAACTTATCTGGAGTTCTGACATCCATTTCCATTTGAGGCAGTTCCTTAACTGAATATGGTTTTGCAAACAATTTAGGATAAAGTTATTCTCCATTTGGATCAAATATCTCAATTCCATTCAATCCAATATAACTGCAAATACCCCCCATGTTGACAACAGCTTGATAACTAGCTTGGTTCCTTAAGGTAATTGCGTGGTTTCATAATCTTAATATATATTTCTTTCGAATTAGTAATTTACCATCACAGTATCTATTCTCTTTTGATAAGGTAACTCAATCAATTGGGGTTCATTTACATCACTCAATCCATGTCCTTTTCTCAAATAAATGCCTTAGATAGTATTTAGAATTTGATTATCACCTTTGATATTAATCATTTACACTCCTTTTTCCAATTCATCCTCTTTATTGTAATTCCAAATTGAAACCCTACTGATTTGAGTTGGTTAAATGAATACAAATTGTATCTTTATTTTCCCATTATTCAATTACCATCTCTCATCACTATTCACAACAGTCTCAGATTAGGATGTAATGACTTTGTATTTCTTAATTTTCATTGACTATCCAAATTTATCATGGATATCAATCTTATCAAGGCCAACAAATTTGTCACCCCAATTTCTTATTATATACAACGTTAATACTTTTACAGTAACAGTTGGTAAAGACTTAACATTAATCTAATTTTGAGATGAGAACAACCTTTTAGGAAATTATTGTAATTTTGATTCAGACTCTTATCTTATAATTTGTGGAATTGAATCAGACTTTTAATGTTAGTAATCTTTGTTTAATTAAGAATTCATATTATTATTTGCAAATTTTTAAGCTGTAATTTCACCTTTAGGCTTATTAAATGTTGCTGTATCCGGTCTACTCAATTTGACAGTATTCTCTAGAATATGTTTTTACTATTGTATTTAACTTTCATGTAATGTATTAAGCCAATCCTATCCCTAAATCTTTTCCATAATTTATGGATTATTAGTAAACATTATGTATTCAGCATTATCAATACCACATGTACCATTGGCTTATTTGATTTCACCACTGAATATTGAATCTGTATCCAAAACTATTTCAATATTTCGAACACATTTCGCTCTGTAAGTTCTGCCTTTATTGTAATTCCAGATTCTAATCATGGATAATTTAGTGTCATTAAACTTAATTGTAATTTCCATATTTTTATCTATTCTTTCGATACACATATTTTTATCATCTTACGTTAAATAATTGTCATCAAACAAAACCGCAGCATTTCTGAAAAAACCAGAAACTGAATTGATTTTTACTTTTTTGCCATTATAATCAAAAATTTCAATACCTGTTAATCCAATTGAATAGAGATCTCCCCAATTTTTAAGAAATTTAATAATTAATTTTGATCCAAAAGGACATTCAGGAATTGAAATATTTTTGGTACGAGTGGATGTAGTTCCTGCAGCAATGTGAGCAACTCCTCTTTTGAAGTTGAGCTATGGACTAGTTGAATCCTCTTCGGTCAATTACTTTTAAGAGAACAAATTAAGAGATTTCTTGAAGAATCTTTATTGATGGATTGTTTATTTTGTTTTAACTGAGGATGGTTCTTATTTTTATTCAAACTTTTTAAATTTCTTATCATCATCAAAAGGATCAAATATTAATTTAGGTTTTGCATGTTTTTATTGACTTGATGCTTTGGATAAATTAATTCTAAATAGAAATATTATTATAATTACTCTTTATTTTCATCAGATTTCTTGGAATTAATGGATTGGGATGATTAATTGAATGGTTAAGTTGAATCATTTTGATTCTTAATTCGAGTTTCATTCTCTTTTATTGTGTTAACAACTTGTTATGGTTATGGTAGTAATTCGATAGTTTAAGCGTATTCTGAAAATGTATTGGCTACTCCTCTGGCAATTTAACCTTACCATAAGACATAATCATTCTGGAGAATTTCTAATTCACAGACACACTTATCCAATTCTTTTCTATTTTTATTAAAATTCCATATTTTAACAGATGTGAGAAATTCAGATTCTTCCTAAAGTAGATAACAAACTGTGATTGTGATTGGGAATTATCTAAAATTAGTAATCCACATCTATTCAGAGTATATAGTAAGATTGTGTCCATTGATCAGATTATTAATAGTGTTATGGGAATCATCATCAGAGTAAATGCAGTTGATTTTGACATATTTTCTGTTATTATTCAACAATTCAATACTAGTTAATCCAACCTGAGTTTTGTTGCCATAGTTGGAATGGATTTTGAGGTGTATTCGTTTGCTTTTGAAGAAGGAGATGAGTTCTTCATGTTTAGGTTAACCATTTTCAATGGATGCTAGAATTTGTAGTACTAATTCTTATTCATATTGCGGGAGCTTTTGTATTCTATTAAGGTCTTGTTAGTATGAAAAAAGAATACCTTGTTTCCAGATTATTTAAAATTTATCGCTCTACGTTAGATGTTGGAATTGTTTTTTATTAAGCGATGTAGGTTCTTGGTTTGATTAAGGGTTTCTAATAGAAATATCAAGTGGTTCTTACATGTAGTTTTTCTCCATCTCTAATGGATCGATTGAGAATGCCTGCTTATTTACCATCTAAAGATTTCATGAATGATAGGATTGTATTATCAGGATTCATTTCTTGTTGTACCAGAGGTGGTTTAGTAATTGTTCTTGCAGTGCTTGAGACCTGTTGAATTGGTTTGGAACTGTTATGACGCGGAGTAGCCTATTTTTCGAGAGGCAGTCTTTAAACACTCATATTTTATTATTTATTAACTAAGTATTGGGATTTTTACATTACCAAATTTTAATTAATGGGTGAGATTGTGTCTAATCAGCTGTTCGTAGCTGGATACAGTCGCAGCAAGGTGTAGGACGAGAAAGATGTGAGAGAAATCTTTAGAAAGTATGGGTCAGTCAAAGAAGTCGCATACAAGGGCTCCTACTCTTTCATAGTAACTCTTTCAATTTAAGTTCTTAAAGACTTTCAGCAATGAAGATGAAGCTAAGGAGGCTCTTACAGAAATGAATGGGGCCACCTATAATGGATAGAAATTGAAAGTAGATGTCGTCGACAATCGCAAAGGGAGAAGAAATGGACCTAATGAGAGTGACGAATGTTTCAAATGTGGCAAAGGAGGACACTGGTATTGAGTTCATTCAATCTTAATAGGGCCAGAGATTGTCCCAAAGGCAGATCCCCTCGCAGAAGCAGAAGATACTCAAATTCGAGATCTAGGTTGTTAAGACATTCTATTATAGACATCACAAAAGAAGATCTGGCTCAAGATCACGTTCCTCTTACTCATCCTCGCGTTCCAGAAGGAGAAACAGAGATCACAGAAATAGACGCAGATATAGCAACAGTCCCAGGAGAGGCGAAGAATAAAAAAAGGGAAATTACAACAAGAGGAGGTCACCTTCAGACTCTTAACATCATTCCACGTCTTGAATAAGCATGGGCAAAAACAAATTTTATTATTCAACATTATTCTAATTTAAAAAATAAGCTCTTTTCCCGAATTGATTTACAATATTCCCTGAACATATATAATAATAATCATTCATCAAATTTTGCTCACTAATTTATTTGTTAATTCTCTTACTTTCTTAAGCACCCATTCTTGATATCTATGATAATTCCTCGCTAACTTCCAAAAAGTGTGAAAATGCAAATGGAGCAATCAAAAAAATTAATCCTTATTTCTTTATCACAATTTTATACCTGTTGTTCCAACCCACAATAACCTTCTTGACTACCTATATAGAGATCTTGGATTCAACCATCCTGTTTAGAAAAATCTAATTAACTTTCCCCACAATCCCTTGGCAGGCTTTTATTAGTTTTGGCTTTAAGAAACACTTGATCTATTTCCAACACCATATCTAGATGAATTCATTAAATATTTAATTATTTATTGCCTTAATTATTTTTAATTAATCCTTGCTTAATCAAAAAAATAACAAAAAATCTCCGAAAAGGCGGATTTGAACCACCGACCTGGGGATAACTGGATAACACTACAGTCCCTCGCTCTACCAACTGAGCTATTTTCGGATGATAACATTTCCATTCATTTTCTGCTTTCATTCAGAGAATTTACTCACCTGTTAATTAATCTAATTATATTAGAATATATAAATCTATTAAAATTAATAAGATAATTTATTATTTATATGATCAAGTTAATCACGATTGTTTAAAAGCATCATGGCAATTTTATAAATTTTTAAATGAAATCTCAAATACTGAATTCTAAGAGTGTTCTGTATTTTAAATTAAATCTGAGTCTTTAATCAAATCAATTAATGACTGATCATTATGATGATATTGCTAAAAGGATTGACTGCTTTTTGTTCTAGTGTGTTACGCTTAAGGGGTGATTGAACTACTGATCAGAACTTTAAATATCTACAAAATGAATTATAAATACCTTAATGCATTCCATGTTTTCTTCTCCTAATATTTCACTTACCAACTCTTTTTCCTAATCCAACATTTTTATAGGATTATTAGAAGATTCTAAGAGTGTCTTCATCTATTGGAATCTCTCTTCTCCTATCTTTCTTTTAAGGAAATCTGTCAATAAAATGGATCTCTAGGGAGATGTTGGAGCATTAGGATTTAAAAACTAGCCTGCAAATGAAAAAGTCTTTGGATTTTTAAGTAGAGTTGGTTGATTTTCATTCTCATATTCATTTGTACCTCTTTTAGTACTGTCATCAATTTGAGTATTGATTGAGATTGATTTTTAGTATCTTAATTATTTTTGAGCCATAACAGCTTAATTCTATTAGATGGATTCATTGATAACGTCAGGAAGTGTATGTAGATTAAATGATAATGGCTTATTCTTATTGGCATTGTCAGCAGTTGCTAATTATTTGAATGTAGGTGAATTCTGATTGGAAGTATCTTAAATTAATTATTGCAACGAGACTTTTCTTCTCTTCTAATTACATACTTATGGTGATTATTATTGTTATTGTTATTGTTATTATTATTGTAATTATTTTGACTATTCAACAAGGAAGTGAATAGAATTTTTATGCATTTTCTTTTAAGAAGATTTATTGGATTGTATAGGCGAAACTGGTATGATGTAATTAAATTAGGTCTTATAATGTCCTTGTAGCCTATACAATTCTGATTAAATTTATGGATATTAGAGGATAGTCGAGATGTCAGGTCTTTTTTCAGGATTCTTTTCTAACATTTCATCTATTAATTATGAGATAAAATCTGAATAATTTCTGTGAATCTTGGGATGAGGTTCATTAATGATCTTAAAAGCAATTTCACTGATGGATTCCCCCTTAAATGGTTTTTGAAGTGAGCACAATTCATATAGAGTACATCCAAGCATCCAGATATCTATCTTATGATTGTACTGTTGATTTTAACAGATTTCAGGAGAGAGATAAAATGGAGTTCCTTTGATATTAAAATAGTATAATACCAATTGATGTTTAGGCCAGATCCAAGGTGCTGTCTAAAGTTCTAGATATTCCAAAATCTCCCAATTTGACCTTAAAATAAATAAGGAATGTTACAATTCCATTGTTGCAGAGGAAGATGTTTTGTAATTTGATGTCTCTGTGGATTATCTTCAACTGGTGGAGATATTGGATGGCTATGGAGATCTAGGAGAACCAGCCAAGAATCTATAATATTGCATAAATCAAATACTAAACTGTATTTTCATCAATGTATGTTTGTGTTTATTTAGCTTGGTTGGTCATCATACTCAGATCGGCTAGAAGATTTGGATAAGAATTTGATACCATTCTCGGCATATTCCATAACAATACATAATTTATTATTATGGGTGAAGGAATCATAATGCGAAATAATGTTGGGGTGATCCAGACTGCGTAACAATTTAACTTCATTGAGTGGATCAACCACATAGCTTTCTCTAAAACTCAAATCTACTCTTTTTATAGCGAATAACTGAAAGGATAAATAATAACAGTACTTTGTCATCTGATTTCCTTTACACTAACAAAACATCACCATAATTGCCTTTGCCTATTTTCTTGATTCTTTTAAATTGATCCATTTACTATGAAAAATTCGTTAATTATAATAATTATTCAATTTCCCACAAAATTTATATTTAACATAATTGTCAATTATATAGATTATTTAGATATCAAAATGCAATTGTCAACCTAACTATTATCTGCAAATTGGACAACTAGTCGATACCTATTCAAATTAGGGAAATCATATACATTGAACCAATTCCTGATGCATAATTCATGAAACTAGTGTTATCCACTGCAAGGTAATTACAGAATGTTCTCATGCTAAACATATTCCTGCATACAAATACAACAAGTCTTGTCCTCTTTCATCCAAGTATCATCTGAACCTGTGTATTTGTGAGGAGGAATAGAATCCAAATATTTCTTTAATCGCCTAATCGAATATAAATGTTTCCCTTTCCTGTAAATTGACAAACAACAAAGTAATCTAAAATACTATTGAATATCTACGGCAATGCAATCACTAATACAAACACCAAACAATAGAGCAAGATGAACTCTAGAAACATCGACAAAATTATTGGCAACAATATATTCAATAATTCTGCATCACAACTCTCTTAAAAGTATTCGAGTATGTTAAAACGAAATGGCGAATTCAACATCAATATAAAAAACCTAATTATAATCAACTAAGCCAAAAAGTTCAAATATTTTTATTCTCTCTATTTAAATATTACTACCAATTACATTCAAATCAGGACATTAAGAAAATATTAATTTCTTCACAGTCATCATCACCTTATTTAATTGTTGTCTATCTAGAATCTCTTCTAAGTTCATTCCTTACTATTCCATAGTATATTGAATTAAGTTCAATTTGTCGTAATTTTCCAACTCCACCTTGTACTTGAACTCGTGGTATAGCATGAAAATGCAGTGCAATACAACTGTCGTTGCTGTTGAATGTGATTCTGAAAGCTACACACTTCAAAGCTACTCCTAAAAATATTAATGTTGTCAGCAATTTCAATATTGTAAAATAAATGTAAATCTAAACATCCCTTGACAATTGTCCAAACACCTATTTTAAAACAATGGGGTAAATTCCATATCTTTCTCTTGAATGAGGAAATTAATAAATATTTTATATTTTCCAACATTTTTATATATAATTAACAATCATATATATATATTAATATTTATTCTTCTCCTTTTAAACTAGTTTAATGGCAATCAACAATCAGCTTCCCTCATTAAAATATAGTATAATTTAAAATTTAAAAATACTGTTAACATAGATTTGATTTCATGATTATTATTTCAGATTAAACATGCATTGTAGTAATCATAATAATGCTTTTTGTATCTCTATGGGAAAGCCTACAATAAAATAAATAACGGAATATAATTCAAGAAATTAATCAGTCAGTTTTTATCAAACGCAAAGGGGGAGCAATTCCCCTTAAAATGAAGAAAGCAAAAATTATATCTCTCATAGAATTTCTTAAAATTCACATGATCAATTATTTTACATATATAAAATAGGAGTATAATACTATTTATTATAAATTAGTATCAATAATTGATATATCATTTGATTTAATTAGGGTGGAACTCCACATGAGTTGAAATATAAAATAAATACAAGAAAAAAAGCAATACCTATATAATGACACAATATTTATACATATTTATTTCCTTAATTCAAAATTAAAGAGTTTATTTATGATAATTCGATCATAAACTTTATATGCTACTTAGAAAAAATGTATAAGTTTAAATATGGATTTTCGATTTTTGAATTAATCAATATATTGGTTGTATTATAGTAATTTATTTAAGTACTCTCAATTAATTTTGTTAAAAATATGTTAAAATTGTAATTTTTGAATTATTGGAATAAGTTGTGCTTACTAATATATTATATTAAGTACAATTATTAAAGAAATAAGATCAATAATTTTATTATTGACATTTATTTAATGATAATTTCTAAAATATATATAATTTAATAAAATGTAAGAGTAAATATTTAAGATAGTGATAATAGGGAATAGTGCTGTAGGGAAATCATCTTTATTGATTAGATATTGTGATGACACTTTTAGAGATATTTATTTAAGCACAATAGGAGTCGACTTCCGATTTAAAACAATAAAGTTAGATGGACAAGGAATAAAGTTGTAGATTTGGGATACAGCAGGTTAAGAGAGATTCAGAAACATCACAAATTCATATTACAAAGGTATCAATTGATAGATTTACTTATAGGCGCATAGGGTATAGTAATAGTGTATGATGTAACAAATGCAAAATCGTTTGAGGATGTAACAAAATATTGGATGGCTGAATTATCCCATTATGCAGATTAGAATGTAAAGTTGATGTTGCTGGGTAATAAGATCGATATGGCAACAGAGGAGACTAGATAAGTTAGTTAGGAAATGGCTGAACAATTATCAAAAGAATTTAATATGCAGCATCATCTTGTGAGTGCAAAGACAGCTGAAGAAGTATGTATATGATAGCGATATTTAACAGGTTGAGAATGCATTTTTAAATTTGGCAAGATCAATATATAATGAGAAGTCATTAAGAGAGATGGTTCATCCATAACAATAATAATTGACTAGCAACAAAAATAAAGATGAGAAGAAAAAGGTGTGTTGCTGATTAATCATTGCTTCGTTTTTGTTTTAAGGATATTTATTTATTAATGTCATATACATCAAGATATTCATCAGCTAGACCATAGACTGTCAAAAGTTAGGTAGAAACTAAACCAACAACTACTCCAACTGTTTAAGTTACCAAACCAGCAGACTAATCACCTCAGCCAGTTCAAAGATCAGATGTGAGAAGATCAAGTCAACTCAGAGCAAGTGGATAGCCTACAGTAATTAATGTGTATATATGATTCATAACACATTTAGACCTCCTCCAACTACTGAAAGAAAGTGGTTAGGCAAGAATCCAGAAGTTGTGTGCTTTTTATTGGCATTGGAAAATGATAGAATGATGAGAGAGAATAATGCATAATTCAATAGAATTAAAGAATTAGAGGGTGTCAATGAATAATAAGAAATAAGAATCCGAGAACTCTAGACTAAGTTAGATTCATAAACTACTGAAATATCTAATTACAAGTTAAAGTATTTATATTTATTAGATCTGAAATCGAAAAGCATATTATAAGAATTAAGTAATTAGAATCAGAATTGAACGAATACAAATCGAAATTGGGAAGCGTAGATTAAAGTCTGGCTGGTAGATTAAAAGAGGCAGAAAGGAAATTATAAGACAGCGATAAAGAATTGACCAATTGGAAAAATAAATATAATACAGATAAAACTAATTGGGATAATGAAATCAGAAGATTGAATGATCTACTCGCTTAAAAATAAAAAGAATTAGATGATTATAAAAATAATTAAGGTAAAAATTATGAACAATTATAATAATAATTGAGATAATATGAAACTAAAATAAGAGAATATGAAAGTTAAATTAGCACCTATAAGAGTGATATTGATCGTTTGAATAAATTGTTATTGGAGAGAAACTCAGAAATTGATAGATTGAAGACTGAATTGAAAACCAGATTGTAAGAATTAGATGATTGGAGAAGTAAATTCACGAATCTGTAAAATCAATTTAATACAATGAAATCATAATATGAATCCAAAATTAATGATTTAACTAACACACTCTAGAATAGGGATAGAGATTTAAATGATTGGAAAAATAAATATGCTAAGTTGGAAGGCTAATTTAACAATCTTGGAAGTCTTCAATCAGGAAGTGAATCCAAAATCACTGACTTATAAAATAGACTTTCATAATTACAATCTGATTTTGATAGATAGGCCACGTAATTAAGAGATAGAGATGCTTAGATTTAGGCATTAAAAGAAAAACTCTAGAGATTAGAATAAGACAACTTTACCTTAAATAATCAATTATAAGATTTATAATCCAGATATAACAACTTGTTGAAGGAAAACGAGAAATTGTAAAATGAATTAAGAAACAGAAAGAATGAATTGGATTTCATGAAATAATAATTACAACAGGCTAATGATCAACTCAAGAGATATGAAGATTAAATCAATTAATTAAATGAATAAATTATGGAATGCAAGGATTAGATTATGGCACTCTAAAATTCAAAGGAAATGTTGGAAAGATAACTCTAAGACTTATATGCTAAATCAAATGATAATGTAGGGGAACTTAAAAGTGCAAATGATCAATTAGAAGGAAAGGATAAGGATATAGCAGATCTCAGGGACTAATTAAACCAATTCTAAGTTGATAGATAAATTATGGAATCAATGATCAGCTCTTTGAATAATCAATTAGCCAATAAAAATGATGAAATACAAAGATTATTAGCTTAGAACAAACTCAGATTACAATAATTATTAGAATTACAAAGTAGATATGCATAATTAGATTATCTTCTTAGTGATCTCAAGGGAGTTGAATTACAGAATAAATAGCTAATCGCTAGAATCAATGAATTAACATAATTGGTTGATGATCTAAAGAGAAAACTTGCTCAATAAGAATTACAATTATTATAATCTAAATCAAATGAATTTAAGATCTAAGAATTAGAAAGCATTATTAAAGAATTGGCTAAAGAAATTTAAAGATTAAATGAATTCTTGAATTAGAAACTAACTGAAAATGATAAATTAAATATGTAAATAATTTCAATGGAGAATGAAATTAATAAACTTAAAAATTTAGAACCTTTATTAAGGGAATTGGAAAAGAAATTATAAACCCATTTGGATGATATCACTAGATTAAAATAATTGTTGGATTCCAGAACAAATGATTTGAATGAATGGAGGTTGAAATACTCTAAACTTGAACCAGTGATTGATGAAAAAAGATAATTAGAAGAGAAGAATAGGTTATTTGAAAATAGGATTTAAGGATTACAATAGGATATTGAAAGATTAACTAAATAATTGAGATAGAAACAGTTAGATATAGATTAATTAAATTGGATATTGAATTAGACTGAAGGATTGTTAAGAAATAGGGATGATAGCATAAATTCGCTTGAAACTAGATTGAATAATCTCTAGAGATCATATGATAATGAGAGATAGAAAACTCTAAATTTTGAGTAGATTTAAAGTTAATTACAATAAGCATTAGATAAAATCAATCAATTAGAAACCTAAATTAAAGGATTGTAAAATGATTTAAATAGAGCCAAGAAGGAAGTCACTTATTAATAAAATGAAAACGATTAGATGAGACAATAGATTGCTAAGGAAGAAATTACAATTTTAGATTTGAAATAAAACGAAGCCAGATTCAAGGAAGTTGAAAATAGGTTAAATCAAAGTCAAAAAGAAGTTGAAAAGTTAACAAGATAATTGAATGATAAGTTATAAGCATATGAGGAATTGAAACAAAATAATGGGTTATTGGATACAAAATACAAGAATCTACAATAATAATATTAAGGAAATTATTATGGAGAGATTAATATTAATTAGAACAAAATTAACAATTTAATACTAAATTCCTGAGAGGCCAAGAATTTTGGAATTAGAAAATAACAATAAACAATATAAAATTGATTAAGATAGATTAAATTCTTCTTTGAATCAGAAACTTTAAGGAATTGAATGAATTATAAAAATCTACTTCCATAATTAGAGGACAAGATTCACCAATTGACTCCATTTGAAGAGAAAGTATTAATTATTTTTAATATTTTAGTATGCAATCGTGTAGCCCAAATATGAATAGGAGTTAAATAGATCAGATGAATTACAAAAGAAAATCAGAAATTAAGAATAACAGTTACAAGAGTTAGAGAAAGTGAAGAAAATGTAAGAGTGTATAATGATAATATAGAGTACAAGATTAAACAGTGATGTTGACAGTACTCTTTGGAGAATGTGAAGGATTACGACAACAGTGTACGGACAAAGATGGAGAGATTCAGGATCTAAGATTTAATGTAGCTCAATTATCTGATTAGTGATATCATATACAATTATAAACAATATTGAACTGAAGAATAATTATTTCAATAATAAATTAACAATTAATTATACTAGTTAATTTAAATTCAAAAATAAAAAATGGCATAGAATGAAAATGAGATTTATCGAAGAATCAAATTACTGGGAGAAGGTTCTTTTGGAAAGGCATATTTGGTGGAATGCATTCAAGATGGAACCCTTTGTGTGATCAAATAAGTAGATTTAAATTAAATGAAAGAAGATGAAAGAAGAGAAACAATCAAAGAAGCAAGAATTTTAGAAGCTTTGAGACATCCTAACATAGTTAAAATTCAGAGAAGTCTACAAAACAAAAAAAGGTAGGTTATGCATTGTTATGGATTATGCAGATGGTGGGGATTTAAGCAATAAAATCAAATAGACAGGATCATGTCTCTTTAGTGAAGTATAAATACTTGATTGGTTCACATAAATATGTTTAGCAATCAAACATGTTCATGATAGAAAAATCATACATAGAGATTTAAAAACCTAAAATATATTTCTAACTCAAGATGGTATTATCAAACTTGGGGATTTTGGAATTGCCAGAGTGTTGAATCACACAAGAGAAAAATGCAAGACCATAGTTGGAACTCCCTATTATTTATCCCCTGAAATCATAGAAAGTAGAGATTACTCATTCAAAACTGATATTTGGTCTTTGGGCATCATCCTTTATGAACTATGTACTCCTCAAACCTCCATTTAATGCTGAATCCTTACATGGATTAGCCCTTAAAATTGTTAGAGGCCAATACAACCCCTATCCCTGATAAATTCTCCACCAATATGAGATAATTAATCTCATCTTTACTTTAAGTTGATCCAAATAGAAGACCCAATATACATGAAGTCTTGAAGATGTATATTCAAACATTAATTTAGGCCTATCATAGTAAACAGAATCAGAAGTGTTCTCTCTGAAAGTATTAGAAATGTTGAATTTTCCCATACTATTTTACACAAATAAAATTTTGTTAATCATAATTTGATAGTTCCATATGATACAGAATTGAGGAGTGTGTGTTCATAACCAAACCTTGGCAAAATATAACAACAACCATTGCAACAATTTCAATAATAATAATAGCCTAGCAATTATTTATTGGCATTTAATGCAAGAGGATAACCTTAAAATAATTTATTAAAACAGAAACAATTATATTAATAGCATTTACCATAAGTAAATATCTTATATATTTAAATTAGAATTATGACTATATATCTAAACCATCTTAATAAAATTATAATCCTTATATGAATTATCCAAAATATCAATACAATAAATAATAATAATAATAATAATAATAACAATAGCAATAATAAATATAACCATTATAAGTTAATAATCGACCAAATATTTCACCATTAAATCAATAAAGAAATGAAAAATCACCATATTACGAAGATAAATCACCATTAAGCAAATCTCCATTTAATAAAGAAGGGAGGGACAAATCTCCCTTTGAAATATAAAGAGAATAAGTCAGATAATAAATCAAAAGAAATGAAGAAAAGTTTCAATAGCTTTAAGAAAATAAATTAAAATACTTATAACCTGATAAGTATGAATTACCCAAGTTATCTAGAGAACCATACTCTTAACCATAAATCCAATAAAAATATTAAAAGTAATAATCTGATCCTATGTCAGTAAAAGATCCGATTAGATTGGAACCAATCAATAATAATTAAAAGACAGAATAATAATAATAAAAAATCGATTTGCAATAAAAGATAGAATAACAATTATAATCATAATACCCTTCATCTTCTAGAGATTAAAAGGAATAAAGGGACAGCGTATATTAAGCCCCTTAAACTGAAAGAGTATAAGTTGCACAATACATTTCTCAACCTCCTCCCAGTTAATAATAAGCTGATCCAATCTAAAAAACTGAATCTGTTAAACCAAGCAGATAATAATTAAAGGAAAGTCAACTCATCCTATAAGAAATTAGAGAAATAAAAAATGACACAAAAGATGATAGAGAGAAGATGAAATAATTAATGGAGATGAAAAGATAAAGAAATAGTAACACATAATCCGAAATCTAAGAAGTTATCAAAGAAGCATCTAAGAATTCGGAGGAATAAGAAAATGAAGCATCACAGTTATTAGCAGAATTAGAAGATATTGTTATAGCTGCTGAAGGCGGTGATGTTAAACATTCATAAGTAATTAATGTAGGAGATGGTGATTTACTTAATATACAACAATCAGTTAGAGAAAGTGTGGATCGAGAGGATGATGATAGTTTAGAATAAAAGTCGAATGCATCAAATGAAAATGGAGAACGAGACAGCTTTCAAGATGATGAAGACATTATTTGTGAAACGCCAAAAGAATTGCTTTATCAATTACTCTTAAGATAAATTGGTTAAGAATAATTGACTAAAGCATTAAATAAAATATAAAATACCTACTCTCAAGAATATATCAATTTAATGCAAAATGGATTGGAGGAATTGTAATAATACAAAGCACTAATATTCATGTATGAATGCATGTGATTTTATATTTAATCATATTTTATATCTACATTATCATGTAAAATAATATTCATCTAACACTTATAACATTTAGTATTCAAAAACATTTTTTGACTTAAAGTCTTCAAAGATTCGACTTTCGTACATCAAAGTTCCACAAAACACCTATAATTATAAATCATATGAATTACTTCACTCATGTCTAAAATTTGTTAATATCTGTTTTTGAATAGATAAATGCCTTACTTTGCCTTTAATTCCTGAGTAATATTCGTCAATGATTCGATTTCTCCAAAAATAATTAAAATTGGAATTGTATACTCAAATAGGAATTTAACATAGTTCTCAAACCTAGGAGAATTCAACTTTAAAATGTAAATTCCTAAGTTTATATAATCTTGTTGATCAATCAATTTTTACAAACGAATTTCCTCATCTATTATTAAAAAATTTTCTTAGTAAAACAATGTGCTTTGCATTTTCGATATATATTCTTTATACTTTTCAGATTCACTTACGGTGAATAACTCTTGAAATTATTGTAAGATTTACTCTATAAAATAGCTATTTTCTTTGTTCTCTATCAAAAATGTTAATTTGTTTGTGATGATTCTTTTGTGTATTTTTACATTTGCTTTATCCTGGTTATAAATTAGTATTTCTAAAAATATTGACATTTAATTATGGTTTTTATTTAAATAATTATAGATCTTCTCTAAAGGTCGATTTTATTTTGAAGATAAAAAATACATGAGGGAAGCTAATTCAGTAGATTAAATTTCATTTTCCTCCAATAAATTTAGCAACCCTATCCACCATTCTTATGAATATTGGACGGCATTCTGCTAGACTTTCCATTTTAAAATCATACTAATCCAATCATCTGCTTAAAACGGTAAATCAATCACTTTTGAGGGTTGAGCAGATAAAAATGATAACATTTATTATTGTTTTTAGGTTTAATTCAACAAATTTTTATTTTTTATTTCTTTGATTACTTTTTCTGTATATGAACTTTCAGTTTCGTCTTTGAGTCTACAGGCTTAAATTGATTCTAAATATAAAATTAAGCTTAATCCTTACTAAAATTAGTTAGGCCTTTAATATTACTCTAAATCTGAAAAATCATATTATTCAGGATATAATTCCAAAAATTATATATAATCTTCTAGTTGTATAAGTGAGTTACCAAATAAAATATTAAAAAACTGCAATCTCTGTCCGAGTAATTTCTTTTCATTTGGAGCTAATTAAGATCTATCATCATTTCTTATTGCAAATAAACATTTCAATAGTTTAATACAAAATTAATTTTGAATAGGAATTTCCTTTTAAATTTCGAAGTCTTGCATGAAATAATGACAGATCTGATAGTCAATTTCATTCATTTCTTTATTACTTACACAAATCTAAAAATCTTCAACTAATTCTATATTTTATCTTTTTGTTTGATTTATTTTTGATATTTTTTAATTTGTAGATTACTTTGTCAAGCTACAAATATCATTTACTTGTTGTAAGAACAAATAGTGTTTCTCATCAAATTCATTTTGTTTCATCTATTTATCTTGATTCTGTTTGCTATCAATTTATTCCTATGATTATTAATTATTAGTATTTTCACTAAAAATTGATTATTATTATTATTATTATTATTATTATTATTGCTATTCTTCATGTTCATCATGTACAAATGTATAGATGGAGAAGTGATTAACTCTAACAACAAATTATTATTTTATTTGATCTATTTCCACTAATTCAATATTTTATTCATGGCATTTTTATGAAAGAAATTTATGTTCCTTATCATAATTCTCTTAATTTATTTCGACTGGAACCTTTAAAGTAATCAAACACGATTTATTTAGTTTCTTATTCACTTTTGGCTTGAGGTATTCATGTATTTGATCTAGATCATATACTTCCACTTTTGAATCTTGGATATCAACAATTCTATCCAAATTTAGATATAATAAATTTGTTGGAGAATCCCATCTCAAAGAGCCATATTCATTAAAAATGGTGAAATCTTCTACATTTTTTAATTGATTTATAGTTAGTTGACTAATATCAGGTAAGGTGTAATATCCATTTTTTGTTAATATAGGTCTGTAAGTTTAAAATATTCGAAATGATAAAGTTTTATGATTATCTTCATTATTATTTTCATCTATAATTAACTCGCTTTTTGCAAAATAAGCAGCTTTATCATTTTAAAAAACCTACATTTAATCAATTTTTTGAAGAATTTATTCTTTAAAATCATTTTTGGATTTGATATCCTTAAATTCTTCATTAAATGTTATAAAATTTTCACTTTCTTCAAAATAGATTTCAATAATATATTCTTTTTTGGTTTTGGTTTGTTTGGATGAAATTCTGCTGACATTATTACCACAATTAACTTATGATTATTGCGTACTAATTCTTGAATTTTTTTGGCTGTTAGAAATATTTAAATGATTAGATGAGTGCATCATTCTAAAGAGAGTGTGAGAATCGTTTTTCTTTTTAGGCAATAAATTTATTTCTTGTTACTTTTTTTACCTTTCTATTCTTTTTTTTTGTTCAAGTTAATTGATCAGGTATTCCTATTCTAAATATTTTTCTTCCTCTAGTTTATACATTTTCTCCATTTCTTAAATAGAGTTGTTTAAGGTGGTTGTAAAAGTATTTATCATGTCTACTGATTGTTTAATAAATTAAATAGGATTCATTTAATTTTAATATTAAATCATTTATAAATCGTTAGGTAACATATTCATGTTATTCATGTTTTAGAATGGTTGAAATGGTTATGAAGGCATTTGTATAGGAATCATTTGCTATTATTATTAAATTTATGATTATTATTATTAAAATATTTATTATTATTATGAAGTTTATTGTTATTATTAAAAAAATGGTGACTATAAGTTATTATTCATCTGTTATTACTATTATGGTTAAGAAAATATTGAGTTAATAGTTTAGTTATTATTAAATTAAATTGCATCATTATTTGAATTTGATTATTATTGATTAGGAATTTAAATTTATAATTAGGGTTTGTTTTATTAAAAAATATTCCCTATTTATTATTATTACTATGATTACATCCAAGGAACATTCTGATCTTTTGTCTAGTAGTTGTTTTATTCAGATTGAGGGTTGGTATTATTGAACACATTTTAGTTGAATATATTTAATTATTGTTGATTCTGTCTAGAATTAGAAAATATATTGGCTGAGTTTGTAGTGTTATTATTTATTGGAGCAGTGCTAAATATGTTTCCATATTACTTTGATTATTATTACTAATTATTTTAGTTGTTCATAGAACTGAAAAAATTATTTTATTGTCTATTATCATTCATAGAGGAGCTTGCCGTGTTAAAAATATTTTGTTATTATTGAGACTAATTATTGGATTCCCATATTGAAGAACCAGATTTTAATATTTGAAAAATTGGTACGTTAATAGCTAAAGTAGAATTTAGATTTACATTTGCCAGCCACTTTAGAAATCAAAGTTGGATTGAACCGTTTTTAATGAATTGCATTTTAAATAGTGTTTATATGATAATCTTCGATTTATTATGCTCGAATCAAGTAATAATCTTCCAATCTAATCATTACCATAGTCTAAAATTATGAGCCAATATTACCATTTTATCATATTAAGGCTGAAGGATAATAGAAGTAGACAATACATTTTTGTCATCGACCACTTAGATTTTGATTTGTTCAAACTTGGCTCTATATGAACCCTGGACATCCCGTTTTCTTTATGTTCTTAAAATTAGTATATAAAGTACTAAGGAAGGGTCCATGAATTAGTATTCGATTAGTTTGTTTAAAAAATATTGGGATTGCCATTTCTTTGAAAGAGCGTGTTTGACATTATTTACTTTAAAAATTATTTTACTTTTAAATTATAAAATGCTCAAGTAAATATTGAGCAACAAAAATTAATATAATTCTAGAAACATTAATTAATATAATTTAATGATAGATCAATATGAGGATTAGGATAAATTCTCATCCAAAGAAGATTTTCTTTTTCTTCCTTTCTTGTTGATATCATTAATATTCATCTTCTTGAAATTTTCTTCCTTTCTCTTCTATTTTACTAATTCATTTTTCTTCTTTTTCTCTTATTTTATTGACTAAAAGCTAGATTCAAAATTTCTAATTTCCAACTTATTGTTCTTTTTATAAGTGTGAATTTTGTTCTAACTCTCATCGAAAGAGACCTTCCTTTGCAAACCTTCACTTGCAATGGAATTTGATCTTTTTCTTAGACTAGATGTTATAGAAATTTCATCAAAATCTTATTAACTTTGAATGGTCTTTAATTATAATGATTCGCCCATGCCAGCACAAGAATCTTCCTTGCTTAATGTAAGTTGTTCGTCCATTAAAGCAGCTACCTTTCTTGGCCGCATGGGCGAATCTATATCTTTTATTTGTTCTTGAATTATTTCTTATTAAGGCTGCGAAGGAATCTTTCTTCTTGAATATAGGTGTTAAATAACAACCAAAATCAAGGAAATCAAAACCCATAAGATTGTTTGTATTGTTAATTTAATATTAACAGTACCTTCACTCATATCGAATTTTGAACTAAACCTAGCAAATAGATGATCAATTCATACAATAATGATAATAGGACTCCTATCGTCAAAATTACAGAATGTTATTTTTCCATACTATTTTTATTATTATCAATAATACATGAGTAGACGGAAAACTAATGCTAATACTAAAGAAGTCCAAATTGATATAGTTGATGAAATCTAATCTAAAGAATTGATGTATGCAGTAATCAAATAAATAATATTCTCAGCCTGTCATTTAGATGTACACAGATAATCAAAGTTTGACAGAAATGCAAGTGGATTCTATAACAGGAGTAATGCAAAATATAGAAATATTTAAATCTTGGTGTCCAGAAACAAGCACACTATTCGAATTCACAAGGTTAATATCATAAAATTTGTAATACGAGAGTTTTCAAAAATAAAATGCTGTATTTGATTTAGGTATCTCTTATACATATTCTAGGTGATCAAGGAGACAAATTCTATATAATTCTCACAGGAACAGCTGCAGTATACATTAAAAGATAACCGCAACAAATTGAAACAGAAGAATAAGAGATCTAACCTAAAATTGAATAGTATTTAGAAAAAATGCAACTTAATTCGATTTCAGAAATTGAATCTCAATCAAGATTCTCCTTTTATGAAAAATTAATTAAAAAGTAAACTAAACCACTTAAACAAATTGAATCTGAATTGCTCTTACTAAATACAGGGAATTTCGATATGTATTTTACAAACTATGGAATTTGTAAATTCTAATAGATCTCTTAACTACATTCTGGATAATACTTTGGTGATATGGCATTAACTACTGATAAGCCTAGAGCCGCCAGCATTATAACTATTTCTGATCTATAAGTACTCTCTCTTAATAAATCTAACTTCAAAGTATATTCTCTATTATCATATAGAAAATATTTGAAAAATAAATCAAATCTTAGTAAGAGAAAATTGAATATTTTTTGAGAATGTTTCCGACAATGACTAAATTTAAAATCAGCAAATTGATTATGTATTTTTCATAATACAAATATCCACAAAATTATAAGATTTGGAAATAAAATGACTTGGCAGATGGGTTCTTCTTACTTAAAGAAGGAGAAATCTAATTATAAAAAACAATTGATTTTCATCCATTTCTAAAACAAGAATAGAATCAATTACCAATTGAACCTAAAAAAGATAAAATTGTATAAATTGATCTAGTCACTGTAAATTGAAATTCTAATATTTAGTTAGCGAATTTGACTGATGGCTGTTTTATTGGGGAAACCGATATTTATCTCTAGAATGAAAGAAGAGATTACACAGTCAAAACAGTTTCCCAATGCATTGTATATGTCTTAAATCATGATAATTATTTGATAGTTAAAAGATAATTCCCAGAATTTATTAACCCTCTATAATTGCTTTCTTAGAAGAATGCTAATCTATATAACAAACGATTGGAAGAAATCATATAAACTAAAATTTTAAATCTCAATTTACATAAGAGAGAAGAAAGCAATATTGTTGAGAGAAGATACCTAAACGATATCGAAATGAATTAATAACGAAAATTAATTAAATCGCCTCAAATATCCTCTCCAATATTAAGATCTTCAATTCATCCTAAAATGACAAAATAACAAATGGTTGAATAGAATCAATCAATTGCTTTATAACATTCCAAAAGCGATAAAGTATCAAATAAATAAGAGGAATTCAATATGTTGAAAATGGCAGGTGATAATTTTCAAAAATGTTTATTAATCCGAGTTGAAAAGTAGTTTGAATAATTTCAACCAACAAAACCTAAGTATTTTATTCTAGCTATAATTAGAGGAAAGACTCCTTGTTTTAGTAAGCATCAAAAAGACAGTAAAGATTTACTTGATTAAATTAAACGTAATCTCATACCAAAAGAAAATAATCAATAAGAGGAACCTGAATATTAATAAAATAGCTTACCTTTTCTTACAATGAGTAAAAGATAATTCCGTATTACAAGTCCTTAAATCTAATAGAAAATGGAAATATTAAAATAATGTTTAAGTAATCCAATGAGTTCTCATTCCAAATCAGTTTCTTAGAGTGTAGATTAATTTTATAAAATCAAAGCATAACAAGGATTTGTATTATGTGATTCTCTTCATCCAATACCAGATCACGGTAGCACTCGATCAAGATTTGATAAAATATTTACAAATGTTAAAATTACTTCAAGAAACCAAAAATCAAGTAAACAAATTTGGAATTCCTAAAAAATATCAATGGATGTCATAGATACAAATTTTTTTAGTTCTTAACCTACAGTACAATACATATGATCTTTTATTGAAAACAGCAATAATAATAAAATAAATATAATCAATTAAACCAATCATTAATTTCATTAAACTGAGAATGCTCCTTGATAGATTAATTGTTATTTTATTATGTTTGGATGATTTCTTCAAGAAGTCTTGGTTAAAATATAAATTAATACTTTTTTTCATCTAACAACTATTAAATCATTTAATTTTAAATTTCGACTTCTTTTTGTAAATCCAAAATTTCATTCTATTATTTTTACATCATTTCTTTATTATTCTCTTCATTTTTATGACCAGCTCCTTATCTATTCAAAAATTAGTTATATTATTATCCTTTCAATCTACTAACTTCTTCTTTTAGATCTAAAATCTCTTGTTCCTTTTATTTTAATTCCTGTTAATTCAGAATAATTTTATCATTGTTTTCTTTTAATACTTTTTGTAACTAAAATTTCTCAAGGATTTATTCCTCATCCATTGATTCAACAGAAACATCATTTTCATCTAAATCTTCAAACTATTCAAATTTCACTATATTTTAACTCCTTTTAGATCCATTACTAATTACAGACTTATTCATTCTTTACTCTACCTTTTAATAAATATTTTTCATTTCCTCTTATAATTTCAAAATTTCCTCATCTTTTTATTATAACAATTCTTTATTTACCAACTATTTTTCACTTTATTATTAGATAGTTAGTTTATATTCTTATTCCTATGATTCTTTTTATAAATCCTCAATTTATTTTTACAGACTTTGAATGATCTATTATTAATTCGATATCTTTTATTAATAATGATTAATATCTTTTATTAGTTGATCCAAACTTTGCAATTCTTATTTCAAATCAAAGATTTCGCCCTCTAATTTTTTTATTTCTTCTTTTGACTTATTCCAACTATTCTCTATTTATGATTTCTGTTGATTTATTTCATTAATAATTATATCTTTCTCTTCTAGACTCCAATTCTATTATTTTATTTGCAATTATAATAAATGGAGCTACTATGATAATACAGAAATCTACTCTTCTGATTAGCTTGTTTCAGGTAATTGAACAGTTCCTATTTGTTAACCTCTTGGAGATTATTAAACGTCGAATAGATCCATAAAATCCTAATTAGGCTAAGATGAACTCTTATTTTCTGATAAGCTTGATAACTATTTCATTAGTTACTGAGATTTAAACTATTCTTCATGTAATTATTATTAGATCTATTCCAAATTTTTTAAAGTTTCTTGTAACCTATCGTTGAGTTATCTTTAGTTATTTTAATTCTCTTTTGATTCATTTTCATACTATTATATTTTTAATTAATATTTTTATATTTCCTAAATACAAGTATTTGAGTGCAACCTCAACTTTTCTTATAACACTTAGTTTTCTTATTCTAAATGCCTGGTTTAATTTTAATATTCCTATATCTCTTAAACATACCCATTTTATTGAATTGCCTTTAAATCTGATTTCTCCTTTTCGAGATTGTTAAGCTGTTAAGCTAACATTTATATTTGCGATTTAAATTGACCGATTTCAACTTCTTTTTGTTTCGAATCAATTGAATACTTCTTTGATTCCTCAACTAATTATTAATTTCGATCTATTTCCTCCTCTAATTTCTATTCCAACTCTAGAACTCTTACTCCTAACTCTTTATTCATCTAAAGTGCTTGATTTAGATTCTGGTCGGATTAATTCTATTTTTGAGTTAGCATACTATATTGACTTTGCCATTCATTTGCCTATTATTCTTATTAATCTAAGTTATTTTGTGTTAATTCCTCCATTTACATTAGCAACTCTTAATTATACTTTTATTGTTGACCTAATTGTTACTCTATTTATGTTTTTTATTATTGATATAATATGATATCATTTTATAGATTAGCAATTTAAGTTTTGAGTTGTTATTAATTTAGTTACTCTTATTTAATTTGATTTTATAATCCACAGTTGTTTATTAAAAGTGTTTTAATTTCAGATTGTTTATCTTCATTCTTAGAATCTCTAGGCTATTCATGTTATTTATTTTAGGAAACTTATTAACTATTTTATTTTAATTCAACAATTTATTTTTCTAATACCTCCCTTCTCAGTTGCATTTTTGTTAATCATATTCTCATATGATTAATTCTACTAAATTAAGTCTTAAATGGTTTAATTCTATTTATTAATTTTAAGTCAAAATTATTAGATTTAATCAATCTAATCTTTAAATTTATTAGTTTCATTTTGAAATAATTTAATTTCATTTTGAAGTTCTTATTTTTACTTCTACAAAGTATTATTATTGTCTTATAATTTATTTAATTTTGATTCATTAATTTTTAATTTTTCAGATAATGAATAATTTTATTATTGCCATTCATTTTTTAATGAATCAATTTAGATTTAATGATTTTCATCTTATAATTATTGTTTATTCAATAATTCCATATTCTCATTTTGTTAATTCTCGAATTAGGTCTGAAAATATTGTTTTTCTTTCTATAGTTTCTATATCTCAAAAAGTTATTTTTCAAAATCGTTTAAGAGACTATTACAATTTTATTTCAGTATTACTATTTAGTCATTTAGATTAACTTAAATGTTAATACTTTCTTATAATTTATCTGTTAATAATTATAATTCTTCTTATTTTTGCATCTAAATATTATGATAATTTTACTTGAAGCACTTTTGATTGATTTAAGTCATTTAATTCAGATATAAGTTATTCTTTTCTCTAATTTTCATCTAATAATAGACTAAGTTCTTATTCCAACTTCTAAATCCTTATTTAGAATTCCTTTTTGAGTTATGCTTCTTACTCAACTGCAATTTCCTTCTCTTATTCCAGATTATTGATAATATATTAGTGATGTTTCTTGAATTCATTAATTTATTCTTCAAGCTCATTGGAAATTGGAGCTGTGGTTTTCTTATGAACAAGTTTCAATTAAACTTCTTAAGATTTGAGTTGATTAAGGAGACTAGTGTTCGTCTACTACAAATCGTATATGATGGATTTATGATCAATTCCTTTTTATTTTTATATAATTTAATTCAATTTAATAATGATTTTGTTTAGTTATTATTATTTCTATTGAATTTTCTAATTTGTTTGGCTTTAATATTCGTAAATGAATTGGAATATTTCTGATTGAAATTGATAAAATGCCTATTAGATATTAGGATTATTGTTGAAGTCAATCTAATCAAAGGAATTATTTAATTCTTCAAGATCTGTTTATTGATAAATTCTCTGCATAATTTATCTGGCATCAGAAAGTTATTGAGTCAATCCCTTCATTGCGTTCGATAAGCTAAGATTTTCAATCTTCAATTAGTCTTAATTGTTCTACAGATTATGAATTTAGGATTAATAAAACTATTTGACTTTTTCATTTTGTAGTTTAATGTCAGATATTTCTTACAATAAAGAATTCACTCTTGCTGTTTGGATAAAGAATTATTTATTATCAGATGGTGTATCTACTTTTGTAGTATTAATATTTGAAGGACTCAAATATTTCAAATTTTGAGTTGAGAATTTTGATGTTAATGTAGACAATTTCTGATTTTTTATTTATTTTTCAGAGCTTTATAAATTATTCAAATAACTTAAATGAGGATCATGTTAAGAGGTTTAATTTTTATTGGGCATTTAAGATTCGAATGTCTTTTTTGAATTATTTGCTTATAAAAAAAATGATTATGATTCTCCTTTATTACTATTTTGTGCATTCTTCAGAAACGATTTTGCATTTACACTTCCCCCCCTTGGCCTTTCTAATTATTGAATATTAGCATTTCTTAAAGACTGCATCAATTGTTAAATTTTATTAATAAAATAAGAATTTATTGATCTCACCAATACCCTCTTCTGTAATACCCATCATAATACTTATTAGCATAATAAGTTGAATATTGAGTTGGACAATCCAAGATCTTAGACCGAGGTGATTGTTAACTATAATTAAAGTAATAATTACAATTAAACTGTTTGAGAAGCATGTAATGGATGATTTAAATTTCTGTTTAAAGGAACAACCTTAGGATCAGGAATCAATGGAGGAGGAGTATAAGATGGAGGTATAGATGATAATTGTAAAATTATTTTTACAATTATAAATGGCAAGAATATGATGTTCAGGAGATCTCAATTCTAATAAATAATCATCTGGATGTAAAAATGAAAGTGACACAAATGAACCTTTTGAATATATTAAGATCGAAAAGCATTGCTCTAAATGCTTAACTAAATGAATTACCATATTTTTCCTCTAGATTATGTCTAATGTAATCAGATTTATGTCTTAATGCAATGATCGGTTATAAAAGTCAATAATAACTATTTTCATTTCATTACTAATTTAATATCCTAATTTTATGCATTCTTTTTTCACCTTTGATGCCGTAAAACTGTTAAATTAAAAAAAATAAATATATTAATGAAGTAAATCTATCATATTTTTATAACTTTTATTATAATCGTAAGTAAGCATTATCACTTAATTCCAGAAGAAAACTTCTCCTAATAAATTACGAAATTTTTTAGATCAAAAATGTCAGGAACCAATCCACCAAATGCTAGTACATCTTGAACTCAATCCTAATAATTTCGGTTAAGATCAAAAAATGCCATCTCATGATTTTGATTCTTAAGAGTAATTGAGATATAATTGAATGAGACATAGAAAAATTTATAAGGAAATTTTGTTTTGCTTTAATTTTTATATTAAAATTTTTTCTATAAGATCCATAATTAAATAGAATCCTTATAAATAGTGTATCACTGCTAATTCCAAAATTAGCATATAAATCAATCGAATGTTAAGCATACTTTAATCCATTTTTTTTCAAGATCTCAAAACATTTTGAAGAACATTCAACATAGCCCTATCATTTTATTAGTTAAATTGTATTATTTGTATTTAATCAATAATATCAATCTAATTATACTAAATATTGTGACAATACATCAGGTTAATATATACCAGGTTTGCGTTAACTACAATTTATAATCCAAATTTGTATCCAAATTATATCTAAACCAAATGGAACCTTCAAAACAACCACTACATGTTATAATATCTGAGAATTTATGATTTCCTATTTGACCATTTTTAAGTTAAACATTTTGCTCTATCTTATGTTCATCAATATCCAATATCGATAAATTATTATTACTAATAATAAAACACTGATAAATTTGTTAAAGGTCCATTAATAAAAATCAAATCTATCCTTTCCAACTTTGGCTTAATCATCAAATTCAGTACAAAACGCACATGCATATTTCATTCTTAAAAGGAGAGTAATATTGTTAGTATTCACAGGATATATCTTGAGAAAAAAAAAGACACATTATTTATTAGATATTGAGTAGAGATTGATTTTGAAACTGTCTCTGCAGTAATCCAATCATTTTAAGGACTTATCTGAAATTTAAATTTAAGATCTATTAAAATGCTTCCTATTATGAGTCTCTAAAAATAATTAAGTTTGGATTTTGTAAAATTACTTTATTTTTCGTAATATTAATTTTTTAATCTATATTGATTTCTATTACCATTTCTTCTTATAAAGATTATCTTTCACTTATTCAATTTCATCTGATTACTGTTTGTCTGGAATTTCAAGTTATTTATATACAAATATTTCGGATTTCTTGAGAAAATTAGTCAATTCATTCATATTTTTTTAATCATAGTAATAAGATTCAGGATGGCTTATGTATAAATTTTAGTATATTTAATGATTTCTTAGTATTGAAACATATTTCTTCATTGAAATTCTGTAATGATATCCAAAAATCATTACATCTTTTAAAAATTAAGTGTTGGATCAATATAAGACGAATATTAACAGTATAATTCATAGAAATTGTGATACTCTAAATATATCACTAAAAAATATAAAAAATATCCTGAAATAATTATTTGATCTCCTATTCAATTGTTTAAAGATCTCTAATTCTAGAAAAGGTAATGTTAAATTTTCACGAAACATTAATCTAAAATCTTTCTAGTAATGATTTTAGAGAATCTTCATATTATTTATATATATTATAAACTAAACTGAGTTAGATCTGGAATTAGTATTCTTAGTTCCATCATTATTCCAAATATCCACTTTTGTAATTCAAAATTAGAATTAATTTTATAATTGTATTATTTCAAGTTGTTTCTAAATGCATTTTAGATTGAGTTTTAATACCTTAAAATCTACTTTGTTTAATGAAGAATAATTCTTAATAATTAGTATTGTCTTCTACAGAATTAATATCTTATTCTGCTTAAATTAATTGATTTATTTAAGTAACTTGAAGTTCCACTTTGAAAGACTATCTTCCCCCATTTATTTATCAGATCGAAAAATGGAATATATTCTATTTAAAGTAATTTAGGCGAATAAGCTTCAGTTCCATTTTTTACTCTATAATGTTCAATAAGCCCCCATTCTCTTTATTTAAATCTTTGAATAACATTCTGCGAATCTTTATCAAGGGAGATAGCAATTATTTTTACTTTATTTTTCCAGTGTTTGCTCCTTTTACTAAAGTATTTATTGGTTCTGATTCATAGGAATTTTACAAGGTCCACACCACGTAGCCTTTATATATCTGATAAGTGCACAATGCATTCTTCTACCTTAAATGTCGCTTCAATTTATGACAGTCAAAATTATCTGAGAATGATAATTTTTTTCAATTCCATTGATTTCCATTAATTTATTACCAATCTAATATGGAGTTAGCAATCTATATTCTACTTTACATTTTTGAGTCATTTTTCGCTCTAATTATTTAACTTATTTTTCTAATTCGTTTAATAGGGATAATTAGGATATATTAAATATTTACAAGCTTTTCAAGGTTCTTGAAGATTGCTAGGTCATCTTTGATTTAATAGATTATACGTTTTTGTTTTTATGTGGTTGTAAAGGATTTAGCGTGTTAAATGCTGAGGTTGTGTGGGAGGTGTTTCAATATTGATTAGAGAATTTGAATGTCTTATGTTATTGCATGTTTAAAATAATTATTATATAAAGGAATTATTAGAAGGTAATTGGAATAGGTATTCATATTTAATAATATTGTTTTATTGATCAACCCATCTTGTAAAGTAATATTGCCATTTATCCTTCGTAAAAAAACATATAACGCTTGCTTTCGTATGATGAGTATGAATTGAAATGTTTTCCTTTTTATTTCAATTTATATAATTACCAACAACACAATGCCAATTTGGACCATATTTTTCATCGAAAAACTTCTTGATGTAATTAGAGATTTGTGATTCAACTTTAAAATGTTCAACTGCATATTTAGCCTTGAAATAAATTCATATTTACTTATGTTCTGGCATCATTGATCATATCTGATTGCTCTGGCATATCAATAATTTATTCTAAATTTTCATCTGCCATTTGAAACTGAAATTTATTATATTTATATATTAATTAAAACTTTAGGATTCAATCAAACATTTCATCAAATCTCTGCTATGCTAATTACTATTATTCGAAAACTGGTTTATTGGCTAGTCCATCAAATTACTCGTAAATATTCACTTTCTAATAATTAAATAGTTTTTATATTACTCCATGTTAATTATATTTTTTATCATATTTACTGCAGTCAATTAGATGTATTTGTAATTAGAATAAATGCTTATTGTCTGATTTTTTTTTCTCATCGTCATACTCTTTTTTCATATTATTATCATGAGTCTTTTCCATTAATTTGAACACGAAGTCATTTAGAACTTCTTTAAAGATTTAATTGAATTATGGAGAAATTTCTTTATTAATCTCTGAATGCCAACCTTATTTGTTTTATAAGAGCTTGGGCTGATGTCTAAAATTATAAAATATTTTTGATACTATAATGATTCTGCAAAATAAGTCACATAATCTTTCGCAAATGTTGTTTCTTCTACAATTTATTAAATAAACTTTTCGAAATGTTGATGCGCGTATATTTTGATCAATATTCTATCATTAATTTAGAAGATATTATCTTTCTCTAATAGAGTTTTGGTCAATCTTTCATTTAAGATATAAATCTTTTTAGCTAAAACAAGGCAAAGTAAACAGCATTAATCTAATCCAAGATTTTCATATGCTTCATTTAAAGTTCTTGAAACATAGACAATCTCATCTCTCAATCTCATATACTTATCAATATAATATTCAACCAATTTATCTTCTTGTATTTGTTGTTCCATGTTTTGTTACAATTATTCTACTTATTTAATATTGTCTTCTAGCTGACCTGGGGTACCTTCATCTTCAATTAATTATTAAGAAACAACCCTATTAATCTAAAATTCTTATTATTTATTAATATTTAATCTAGAAAGAATATCTTAAGGCTTTTCCACCATTTTATTTTGATCCTTATCTTTGTAAAATTGTTCCATCTCCTTTGTGTTTATTAAATCAGCTTGGATGGCATTCAAAGATAATTAAGCATATCCTAATATAGAGTCTATTTCTACTTAAATCTTTTTATTGCATCAATGGATGGGAATAAAGTTCACTCCACTTCAATCTCCGATTTGGATCCTTCATTAACATTCTCTCTAATAGCTATTCTAATTCTAAAGAAATCACTAAACCATTTCTTCTGAAATTTGGTTTATCTTTTATAGGGATTTAAATATTTTACTGTTGTTTATGTCATCCAAAAATTTTTATTAACTTTGATTAGTAAATGGGAATTATCCAAAAATAAGTTGATAAAACATGCTTCCAATGGAAAACATATCTGCTGCCATCCCATAAGGCTGTTATTCGACGACTTCTGGAGCCATGTTTCCCAATGATCCTAGACTCAATTTTTCTTATTGATTCGGGTCACTCAATTATTTACAGAATCCTAAATCTGCAATTTTTAAAGTGGAATTATGTATTAAAATGTTGGCTAGCTTAAGATCTCGATGTAATATATTCTTCTCATGTAGGGCTTACATGCCAGCCAATACCTATTTCATATAGTTGGTAGCTTCATTCTCTGGAATTCTTTTGTTTCTACTTTGCCATAATTATTCAAAATCACCAGCTGATGTATTAATCTAATTATTACAATTGCAATATTCTAACACAATATAGCACTAATTTGCAGATTCTAAATACTGCACTAATCTCACAACATGCTGATTATTGATTTATTTTAGCACTTCCACCTCACTTTGAATTAATTATCCAACTATTCCTCCATGATCAGTTAATTTCGATCTTGCTATACATTTTATGGCAACCACTTCATTAGTTAGCAAGTTTTTCGCTTGAAATACCTATCTAAATGAATATTGATACCTATCCAAAGGCTCCTTTTCCTATCTCCTTTACAAATAGGTAATCTGAAACCCTTTTGCCAGGACAGTTTATTATCTTATTACTAGGGGGAGGATTCATTATAATTTAAATTTATATAATAATATAGAGGATCTTTCGACTAATTTTTCTTTCTTTATTGATATTTTTCATTAATTCTCAATCATCATCACCTCCTTCTTCTAAATCACCATAAGTCTTTTATTCAAATTTGGGATCGTGATAATCTAACCAATCAAACCTTTGTTTTGCATATAAACAAAATAAATAACCAACACCCTATCAAAAATAATGTGCATCTTGTAAACACAGCTATTTTTCAACTTTTTATATACTTCTAGTCCCATAGTTATTGAAGTCTCTATAAGATTTACTAAAAACTTATCGCCATTTATTTGGATTTTATTCTAAAATATCATACCTTAACATCCATCCATGATGCTGTGTCATGACTTATTGCTATATTTTTACTTTATATTAACACTCAGCTTGCTTTTAAATAAATACTACTTAAATACTGCAGAGACTGTTGATAGTTATCCTGCCTTCTGAAACACATTCCATAAAGCCATTTTAATTAAATTATTACAACACAAATATTTATAATTCATAAACAAAGTTATTACCAACCCTCAAAAAATCCCAAAAACAATAAATAATATAAAGTTTTAAATAATATATTTTCTATCTATTATTTATATTCATAATGCAATGATCTGTGTTGCAAATAAATTTGTATTTGGTAAAAACAATCTTTATCTAATAACCTCAAATTCTTGCTTTAATTGTACATTGTCAAAACCCTAATCCTATTATAAATATAATTTCAATTGATTATTCATATTATTAGTAATTAGCTGTTCCCTTGACTCTTATTAATAAACATAGGTTTCCTGTAAAAATTGTTGCTATTCATTTATGTAATAATCAGCTAATTCAATAATGTTTTATAACCACCTATCTTTTTCAACAGTTAATTTCTCCTTTTAACGATTGAATTATTTTTTGTAAGTGGCTTCATTTTTTCTTCTTTTTTATCTTTCAAAATCAAGAGTAAGAGAATTCAATAGTTCAAGTTTTTCAAATTCTTTTTCAATTAATAGTAAATCAGAATCAGGTAATATTATTTCTTCTAAGATTACGCTTAAAACCTTGCTCTCTTTAACTCTTTCATCATTTTTCAGAGTACTCCAAAAAACTGAATTTGCATAGAATAGATCATCATTTTCATTGATTTCGCAGATTTAGAAATAATTTTCTAAGCATGGCAATAATTAAATTAAACTAGTTTTAATTTAGTCCTTTGTTTATTTCAATGAATTTTCTTTTGATCTTCTATGTCTAAATGCATCTGAATTGATTATTGCAAGTCTATAAGCATTAGTATTAATAAGATTAGTGATTGCATTTTTGGCCACTTTAACAGTCTCAAAACGATGAGCCCCTGCATTACCTTCAAAAGGTGTTATTTAGGAATTAACAAATAGAATTTTTGGGTCTGGCATTTAATCAAAAATAGTATTTATCCTATTTAAATCTCCTTATAATTAATTTAGAATCTGTTTTTCATCTCCATGATCATAATTTGTATTAACTAAGAAACATTTTTTTATATATTATTATCCAAATACTTCAGCCAAATGGCATATTATCTATTTTTCTTTTGTTTGTAAACCCTAATATCCAAATTTTCTACAAATTAGTATACAATCTATTTAAAGGTTTTTTTCTTTTAGAAACTCGTATGTCTACAACATAATCTATTAATTCTATAAGAGATTTTCTCCATAACCAAGTACCTCCAAAAATTTAAATTTTACATTTTCTACCCACATATCACACTCTTATAAATATCCATTAAAATCATATTCTGCTATATGATATCTATATCTATCGGCATAATCTATAAGAAGAGAATTTCCAACTGCATTAATCAAAGTTGATTTGCCTGAACCTTTTTCTCCAATCACTAAAACGTTACTACCATTATTTAATGTCTCTTGTAATTCTAAACGAAAGGTGTACCCACTATTGCCATAAGCAAGTGCTGAGAATTAATCTTTTTGAATATTTCTGTAATTGTAGGCTAATTGAAATTGTTCGGCCTCCAACTCAGACATAATCATTTTTTGGACATTTTGTTTGCTCGCTAATTAATCGATAGTGTATATTTTTTGTTTTTAACAAATTTTCTTATTTATATTATATTTGTTTTTAAAGCTTTCTGGATTTGATGTAAAAATTATCTTATTTGGACATTATTATTCTGTATACTGTTGTTACAGAAAATCTCTAAGTTCCTGAGATAATGGTTTTTCAAAGCATCCACAACTCATTATCTATAATATTAAATTAAAAATAATTTCTTTTTCGCTTAAATACTAAATGATGATATATATTGAAAATGATTAGATAATTTTATAAATATTAAGAGGAACTCAATTAACATAAATGACAAATTAATCTTTTTCATTCTCATACTAAAATATTAAACCATTTAAAAAAATAATCATATAAATCTATATTTGAATGTAATTTTAAAGAATCTTAATCTGGATAGTACTCCATAATTAATATGAGGTGAGAATCAAATTTCTTTTGTACATGTATGTAAGCATATGTTCACAACACTTTTACTCTTGCTGATACTGTCTTTCATTTCTATATGAATTTATCTTTTTAATTCTATGAGCTCTTTTATATTTCTTTTATTATATAAATACTATCTCCAAAACTTTAATATTGTAATTTTAGTTCTTCAAATGCTGTGACATTATAAATTGCCATTCTTTATTCTCTAACTATATTTATTGAGTTAATTCTAAAAGAAGAATTTCTTTTTCATCATTTTAATCATTTTATTAATCCAAAATAAATTATTCTACTTGTCAAAGCAAAGAGTAAGTTCAAATTAGTTTAAATTTAGAATCCCCTTCAAAACATTGTGTGTAAATAAATTCTCCTAACCATAAATTATAATTAATTTGCAAAAATTATTCTTCATTTTGAAAATTTAAAATGATGAGAAATATTTTTCTTGTATTCGAATTAGAAAGTAAGTCTGCATTTGAAAAATATTTTCCCCATTTTCCTATTTTAACAAATTCATTTTAATTTATAATAGAGGTATTTAGATATATTTTATCTCCTTATCTGATAAATTATATCAATGTTACACACTTTTTTCTAATTTATTTCGAGTTCTATACAACTTTTTAATCTTTTCCCTAAACTCTTGTTTTATTTTATCTACACATAAACTAGGAACTCTTTACTCATTGCTCCAATGATATTGATTCTCGTTGGTGAAAAAATATTTGCCTCTCTCTGTTTCATCAATATAAATGAATTATGTTTCATCTTTAACCTGATGAAAAATTGTTAAAGCGTGCAAATACTACTTGTTTTGTTAACACTAGTAGTTGCTCTAAAATTAATTTTTGATGCAAACTTATAAGTAAAACCTTAAGATTTCACAATTAATTTAAACCTACTTTGAAATGGTATTTCTGCTTAATTGAAAATATTTCAAAAGGTACTGTTATATTTTTCGCATAGAGCAAAGTTTATTTTATGTTTATGTATTCATGTATTATTTAACCCAAGCACGATGTTATTCATCTACCTAAATATATTATCTATACTTTCTTTCTCCTAACTCAATCCCAAATGAATTTATCCAGTTACTCTTGCGAATAAAGGTGATATATAATTAGTCTATGAAAGGCAACGGTTTTTTGCTTGTTTAATTTTCTTTTTAATTTTAATTTTGTTGGATTCAATGAGTGATATTATTATATTATCATGCTACAGAATTTTACATTGCCTGATCATGTAAAAGAGATTTATTAAATACTGCTTCTTAAGTTAATCTTTATTTTTAAGTAATTTAATCTAAAGTATAATCTAGGCAATGACCAAAACAATTGTGGTCTTTTTGCAATGTGCTTTAACATAGATACTATTTTTAAATCTGAAGAACTATAAGTCAGAATCACTTTCTATTTGCTCAAAATTCATTTAAACTAAAGTCTGAATAAATTGTCTGAATAAAAAAATTCAAAAAATACATTCGATTTTTTAACTTAAAAATCATGAAATTAATTTATTCTGCAATTGTTTTAATGTTAACCATCATGAATTAAATATCTTTAATTCTGAATTCACAAAATAAACATTGAATTCGAGAATAAAAAATGTAAATCAAATAAATATACAAAATAAATTTCCTAACCTCCGTGTCAATAACTTTATAAAAGGCAAATTTAGCAATTGGATCAATTTATTCAGCTTATAACGGCATCATATTAAAGGGATTCTACTTTCTCAAAAGATATTGTGCTCTTATAACCACAGATTATCAATTATCAATCATGAAATGTTTTAGGATAAAACTTTAAGATTAAAACTCGGGCAATTAATAAGACCAATACACAAAGAAAGCTTGGAGAATCGATGAAGAACATTAACCCGGTTAAAACGTGAATGATTAATGATCTGTTTTCGTTGAACCCTTCTGATTAATTGTTTAAAATTAGGATATAAGAATGTGTATCGAAAGCGAACGAAGTATGTCTTAAGTAATTTTTTACTTATTCTAATAGAGTGATTATCTAAATTCAATTGACTATATTTTTGATCTTTTACCTCAAGTTGATCTACAATCAGAAGTATAGAAAGATTGAATGATTCTCTTAAAAGAAAGCATTTGAATAAGAAAAACAAAGTTAAAAAAACATAACCATAGATAATGTTGTTAAAATATAAAAAATTCAAGAATTGGAGAATTATGAAACTTAAGAAAGTAATAGTCATGAGTAAAAGTGTAGAAATAGAAGAAAAGGAACTTAGGGATGGTATCGCTCAAGCAAGTTTATCACTTCAATGAAAGACAAATTTAGACCAGTATAAAATGCCTAGAGGAAGGAAAATATAATAAAACTATCTTATACTTAATAAGTAAAAAATTTCAAAAGTTCATAATTATTTATAACAATCATTAGGGTGAACATGTCAAACAAACCATACTTAGAAAACAAATAAAGTTGAATATTAATAAATGAATAATAAAGTAATAAGCCTTTAAGAGAATCAAATGTAAATAAAATATCAATCATCCCACAAATAATTTTCAGATAATGATACCTCAAATGATAGCGAAGAACAATTCGAAGTTTAATTACTATGTAAAAAATTCTAAAAAAGACCTTACCATAATACATTTTAGAAAGAAGGAAAAACATATGAGAAAAACAAAGTTTTAACACCCTCCATGAACGACACAAATATATAAACAAAATTAAATATCGTTAACTGGAACATCAGTTTTTTAAAAAATGAATACCGTATCTATAATACACATCTTACAATGCTCGTCAAAATACTGAAAGATCTGGAGGCATAATATTAGGAGTTCATAAATAATTCTATTCACAAAATATTACTAGCTATTATTATCCTTAGAATAATTAACCATATATATTCTAATACTTAGTCCAAAATACAATAGCATTCTAAAAATAAATTTTAAATAGAATTGTACGATAATAAACTGATCACATTCTAACTAATCAAAAAATGAAAATGAAAATTTAGTCTAATTGGTAAAAATCCGATCATTGTTTGATTGAGATAAAATTAGAAATAAAGAAAAAGCAAAAGCAAAGGAGAATCGACACTAAAATAATATATATTGATTAACAAAAAGCATTAACAGATTTTTGAATAATATTATATATAAATTCACTGTATTTTTAATGTAAAAAACAATACTTTAAATAGATTTCAAACAATTATATACAAGGTTGAATTATTTTTAACCGCTTTATAAATAACAAAATGAATAACCTGAAGATGAATAGCTTTATATTCACTCTTGTCATTAATTCATTTTAAAACTCAATATAGCATGAATGTAAAATAGTTTATAAAATATAATAATATTATTTATCAGATAAAGAGATAACAGATGCTTATGTCTCTTCTAAACTATGATGAACAATTGATAAACAATAAAGAAATTCTTTATGACTATGCATTTTGTTTACTTCATACTAAGCAAATTCATTTATCATTATTAAATTTATTATAAACTAAATCTTATTGTAATTAATAAAATATAACATTTTTTTGAATTATTTTTTCATTGTAATCAATTTAAACGATTGTCATTGCAGTTATTTCATTTATTTCAAGTTAAGGCCCAGCCTTTCTTTTTTCTAAGCATTATTTATGATTCAGATTTCAAACATTTTAATCTAACAATGAATCTAAATACCAGATTTGAATAATTATCAAAAGACATAAAATTATTATCTATAATTACAAACATTTTATATCTCTAGTCTTTTAATTGAAGAACATCTAAAATGATACGTATTTTAATATCTAGAAATTAAATATGTATTTTTGAAACATTTTTAATGTGGAAGAAATACATTTTACTTTTCATTAATTTTATTTAATCGATAATTTCAACAAATAATTGGCATAAATTTAGAAATCATAAAATACTTATTATCAAATATATTAAGTATTTTACTATTGCTATTTTTTTCAATTTTTTAAGCGAACTAATGATGATAAACTAGATGATTTTTAATACCGATTTCTTTCAAACAGGTAATAATGTCATATCTTTATGCCCTTTTTAAGCTTGCAAAATATATAATGTAGAAACTAAGACATTGTTAATTAATTTTAGATATCTTTTAAATGAAGTACATTATGACTTGGCTTTTGATAAGTCCTTTCAGAAAATCATTCAAATCCATACTTTAAAATTACTGCACTTAAAATTATTGGATTTCTTTTATTTGTGTTATAAATAGCCCAAAGTGTTATTGTGGATTTGACGCCAACCTAATTGATATAAAATCTGCTTTCAACAAAAACTAATAAGAGTGAGATATTATGCGAAATTTTCAAAATAAACGAGATTTATTTAGAGCTATATCAGATAAAATCAAACTAGTTTTAAGAAATATAACTATGATGGAATTCGACTAAAATATAAATTGATTTATATATTATCTAACATTTCTTTACTCACATTCTTTTATTTAAAATTCTGTAATTAGCTTTCAAGTGATAATTGGAAGTTTACAATGGTTATTTTTCTTATTCTTTTTCAATATAATATCCTTGAGATATTCTTTAGGTCTACTGTTATTTGAATTTGACTTCATAACATTTAAATTAAAAAAACTGTATATTTCATGAAATAAATATTGTTTTAGGATACTACATGAAGATTTAAAACAAGTTAGCATTCCTAATATATTAATTACATTGAAATCGGAAGAATATTATTCATGATAACACAAAAAAAGTTTAAGTATTTTTGTTTATGCTAAAATAATTTCAAATCATAGTTAAAGAATTTCAAATAATGGTTTTTGATAATCGTTTTACTTATGTTAATTTAATTCTAATTAATTTTTGTTTTATTAGTATTTAAATGAATAAAATTCAGTTAATTCTTAATTACAATAATTTAGATTTGATTCTTTTGTAAAAAGAAAATTACTTTTCTATTATTAACTATTGCTATTAAGATTTTGAAAAATTTCCTTTGAAAATATCATCTTTAATCATAGTTGGATATAGGCTCTATCCATATTATTATGCAATTTTAACTTAAAATTAGCTTATTTATTAATACAATCTTTAGCAGTTGGTTTCAAATCCATTGAATTGGAGTTAGTTTTTAAAGATAGAATGAGATAGGGTGTAGAATAAGGTATTAGTTGAATGACTAACTAGTCAGAGTAATTTAAATATATGATGAATTAACAAGGGATGAATATTCTCCTCTCTTAAGCTCATTAGCTTCATTTAATTTCTTCAACTTGACATTTATCATTACCTACTTTGAATTTTTTAATAAATAAAATTATAACCAGTATTTGGCGATCTTATCTATCATATGCTGTTAGATATCACTCATGTTTCAGTAATTAAACAGCTGCTAATGATAATTCAAGTTCCGCTTTTATTGATTGTGATAATATAATGTTAATAATAATTTCCTATCGAAGTATATGAATAATTCAATATAAGTTAATGAATGGTATCAAATTTTAGACTAAAATCAATGAAAACTGCTAATAATACCTGACAATTCCAACCCGTTTTTGTTGATTTATTATTTCAAAATTCTAATAAAAAGAAAAAAATGAAAAATGTAGAGATATACTAATTTTTACTTTGACCAATAGGTCTTCAGAATTATTTGAAAAACTATTTAGTGATAATTAGATATAAATATACTCATATAAATTGAAAAAATCAATAATCTATAATTAAACGAATTTTTTTTGTATGAAATAGTTTATTAGTTTCTGGGATATCTTCTGTTTTAAATATCTCTGAATATTCTATGATTCGCATCATTTATCTATGATTTTATCCCCTAATGAAGAAGAGATTCAAATTAATTTTCAATTTTCTTGAGCTGTTCTTGATAATAAGAGGTATGATAAGTTGAAGTGTATTTTTTAACTATTTTGAGGATTCCATTTTTAATATTTGCATCATTATCTCTTTTTTTTTATCTTTATTGTTTAAAATTATCATAAGGTAAATTATCCATGATATTTTAAATTAATTAATATAATATAATTCTTCTTAATACAGATTTGATCTACAATTCTGATGATTTCTAAATAAAATAGCACATAATTTTATATTGTGGAAATTGACTAAATCTATAAATAGTGTTTTAAATAAAATTTTCATATTATAGAACCGGGTTTTCCTATTAGTTCCTTTTATCGTTAAAATCAGATACTGAGTTGTATGAAGTAATAAAGTATGAATCTAAAATAGAATCACCATAATTTACAATTAAGGAGAAATGATACCTATAATAGTTAGGTAAACTATGTTACTCTAAATTTGCTTAAATTTTATTTCTAATTGCATTTAAACCTCCAAAATCATTTTATATATTGGATGGATAAGTAAAAATTTTCTAGTCGAAAAATAGCAATATATTCGATAATCAAAATCATAATTACACTTACTTCAAATAAAATTATAAATTTTATATAAATTAATTCTGAGAAATTAGTAATTTTATTTACAAGGAAGCCTTTCGACAGATTTACTACACAAAAATCAAAAGTTGGAATGATCATAAATGAATGATGAATACTATGGATGTACTAACATAAATATGTTAAATTTAGCAATCTATGAATCAATTTCAAATTGTTATTTTCAGAATAATTTTTCCCATGAAACTTCACTGTTATAATAGTATTTATTTTTTAAATTTAAATAAATAGCAAATATGTGTTTTGTTAAGATGTTTAGAACAGCAAACCATTAATATTTATTTTATTCTAATTACCTCATAAGCATAATATAGTCATCTGGTGTAGAGGTAACATTCCTCCCTATCACGGAGGAGATCCGAGTTCAAGTCTTCGGGGTGACTTTTTATTTTTATTTTATTGTTCTATTTCTTATCCTATGATTATTTTCTAAAATCTGTTAATTTTAATTGTTTGAAAATAACTGTTATCAAATTCATAATTAAACCAAATAATCATTGATTTTTGGTAAAAGGATCAATTGGCCTGCTCCGTCTGATGGCAAGTATCATTTTATTAACTTAGGCCTTGTTCTCTAAAGATTTTCATATCAAATCTCTCAAAGATAGAATAAATTAAGAAAGTTCACTTCACGTTTTTCGAAATCTATGATGAGTTGCGAAACCAAAAAACTTTTGTGAACTTAAAATATGATTTAATGTAATCTCTACAAATTATTTTGTTTTATAAAGCAATATAACATGCAATCAAGGAATTATTTATTATTATTAATAAGATTTCAACTTCTCTAAATTTTTCTAATTAAATATACTTAAGATTTAATTTATTTATGTGCTTAATTATAACAAGTGCACTTTGATTTCAACCTTAATTATATTTCTCATTTCCAAATTTTCAAATTTTGAACCTAATGAATTCTCTTGATATGGCATCTTTGGATTAAATAGCTGGATGAATTAAATACATAATAAGATTAATCTAATAAGAAATATAATTTATCTTTTATTAAATATAATATTAAATTTATATTGAAAATTTAAAAAATTGATTTGATTCATCTATTTAGATAGATACTTCAATTCTATTTCATAACAATATTGATAAATAAACACTGTGAATAAAAATTAAATATTTCAATCTATGTAAAATTTAATTAATTTATAAATTCACTTCAAATACATTCAAAAAAGAGAATTTATTATACTACCTATAAAAAATGAACAAAAGAATGTGTCCCTACTATTTAATAATGAGAATGTAGTAAAATTAGGTTAATATTAGTAAATTGATTGAAATGATTTCTATCATTTTCAAGACTTTAAAATAGATTTGAAATTGACTATTGAGCTAAAATCATTTAATATTAATTAATCATAATTATACTTTAATTATGCAACTTATTTAAAAATATATTCAATAATCAAGTTAACTTATTCCTTAATTTACAGGGATTAAAATACCTTGTTGTCAAATCTTTGAAATACGCAATTCATAAATGATTACTAAAATTTATAAATTAAATATATTAGGTTTTACCTCTCAGTCATTTTAACTAATTTTCACTCAACTAAATTATATGAGATTATAAAAATAATCAGCTTATTTATTTAAAAAATATCATCTTTAATTAATTGTATGTTGTAGTGTAATTTTATGAATATTGATTTTGATCTATTGAGAAAATATAGATTTTCAATTTAAATTACCACAGAGAATGGACAATTGTTATTGTTCTATAATTAAATTATAAGACATTTAAATGAAGTACATGTAACTAATAAAATTTCGATTTAGAAAAATTCAAAAACTTTTGTCAATTTTAAACATACATCAATAAGTAAATAGCTTTTATCTAGGAGAGTTTGAAAAATTAATTCTTCGATAAGTGATTATTAAAGATCCTGTTTTGTATCTGATTTTAAATCACAAATATCTATAGGGATGAGTAAAAAATATCTTAGAAAATTAAGAAATTATAAAAATTATTAATGGGACTCTGGATTTTATTATTAGTAGAGATTAGTTTAAGTTTGAGTGTTTTAAAATCTGATTAATGTTTGGAATGCTCAAAACTTATTAGAAAAAAGGATTGTGAATATAGTAATTGTATTTGGAGTACGAATAATGATAGCACGGAAGGGATATGTATTAATAACGGTTCAGATGGAAATCCTGGAAATTCAGATGGATATGGCAATTTTTGTAAGAGTGTAGCGAATCCAGCTCAAAATTGTTCCAAAGTAAAAGGCTGTGCATACTACAATTCCAGCTGTACATTTTTTACAGGTTGCTCAGCATATTTTTTCCATACAACTCTTGATTGCCAATAAATATCATTTTACTGTATATCTGAAGGTGATGGATGCATTGATGCAAAAAAATGTGAAGAATATTTAACATAGGATATTTGTGAAACCTCAGGAAGTTTGAGTGGTAAATAAAATAGATAAAATTAGGATCTGGTTAATGTAAATGGGATTCTGAAAATAAGAAATGCAGAGATGAATTGTGTAGTGAAGCAGGAAAAGACTTAGCTACTGATTAGGAATGTTCTAAATTTAGGATTGGTTGCATCACAAAAGGATAAGGATGTACAGAGAGCCCTTTAAAGGAATGTAAGACTTATGAAAGTTCAGGGCAAGATTGTATGAAATTAATTGGGTCAGATGGAACTTGTGAGTTTTTATCGGGTAGTTAATTTTGTTAATAAAAAAAATGTGAAACTGCTCCAATAACATTTACAAAAGATGAATAATGTGATTAGTATTTGAAGGGATGTTTAAGTACAGGTAAAGGGTGTGTTTAAAAATTATGGCCATGTAATACTTATCAAAAAGATTGTAAGAATTATGTAGGTTCAGATGGGATTTGTGAATATGAAGAGCAATCAGAGAATTGTAGAAGTCGAATTTGTGAAAATGGATAATTCAATTCAAATGAGGATTGCAATCATTACAAGATTGGTTGTGTTACTAATGGAAAATCTTGTGTCACTACTTTGCAAAGTTGCTCGAGTTATAAGGGAAATAAAACTAGTTGTTTGGGATTTATAGGTTTCGAGGGGTTGTGTAAAGGAATTGAGGATAATGAATAGTCATGTTTGGTTTAGGATTGTGTAGTGGATAGTGATAATAGTTTTGTTACTGATGAATAATGCTAAAAAATATAGTAAATTTGTAAGACAAATGGAATGGGATGTGTTTACAAATTGAAATTGTGTAATGAATATGATGGTACTGAGGAGATATGTTTCTAATTGATTGGGTCTGATGGAAAATGCAAAGGAGGTACAGATGGTAAATGCTAAAGGAGATCCTGTTCAGATGCTCCAAGTACATACAACACTGATTATGAATGTAAGAAGTTTTAATCAGACTGTGTAACAAATAGTAATGGATGTATAAATTAGACAAGTTGCCAATTGACTCTAAAAGAAATCAGTTGTGTGGGTACTGTAGGATGTCGATGGAATTCATCTTGCATAGATTCGACAAAATGCTCTAATTTCAATACATAAGTGATATGTGAAAACAACTCAGCCATTAATTACTCATCTGCTGATGGAATTACTACTTATTATTATACAAAATGTACTTGGTAGAATAATACTTGTCAAAATTTATCATGTTCTGATTTAACTGGGGACAAGTATGATTCTGATTCAGTATGTCAACAGGTAATGTCAAATTGTGTTTACAGTGGTTATGGATGTATAGACAAACAAAGTGATTGTACACACTTTAAAGGGAATCAAAATAGATGTGCATTATTTACGAATAAATGCTGGAATGATTCAAATGCAACAGAAACTTCACCTTGTAGAAGTAGATTGTGTTCTGATAACACCATATTCACGACAGATGAAGAATGTGCTTACTTTTAAAAAGGATGCAGAACTAATGGCAAAGGATGCATAGAAGATACAAAAGTATGTTCTGACTATTAAGGAACACAAAATCAGTGTAATAAATTTACAGGATACATCTCAAATAGCAGCGACAGATAATAGTGTTACAACACAATTGGGGCTACAAGTACTACCAGTTGCATCATTAAAACATGTGATATGGCAGTTGGATTAACAAATAATACAGATTGTGGCAAATTCCTAAAAGGTTGTCTTTGGAATGGTTTAAATTCTTGTGTGAAAGAAACATCTGATTGCAATGCCTTTTATGGGGTTCAATCATAGTGCAATACATTTATTGGCAATAAGTTAAAGTGTTATGGTTTAAGTAGTAATAGTTCCAACTCTCAATGCAAAGTTAAAGAATGCGTAGATAATACTCAATCTGGACTGACTGATAAATAATGCAATGATTTCCTAGAGGGTTGTGTTTCAAATGGGGTTGGTTGCACTCTCAAAGATACTACATGTGATCTGTTTAATGGTACCTCTGATACTTGCTCTAAATTCGTAGGGAATGGTCAGAAATGTACTAGAATGAGTAATTGTACTACTAGATTATGTTCAGATTATACTAACCCTAACAAACATGAAGATTGTTACAATTATCATTCTAAGTGTCGATTTGTGAATGGATTAACTTCCTGTATTGATCAAACTATTTGTTCTAATTATGTTGCTTAAGGAAATAATAATACTGAAAAAAATGCTTATTGTAGAGCTCTCAAAGATAACTATAATTTCATTTGCAGTTATCAATCAGGAGATGCCAATTGTAGTAATTACCTTTGTGATTAGATATTAACAAAGACAGAATGTGAATCTTATACAACAACCAAAATGTGTTATTATATCAACAACTTGTGTATTTCATCTAATGATTGCACAAAAATAACCATAGACAATTCATCTTCCAATAAACCTACAACGGATTCATCTAAACTAACTTGGTGTAATTAATACAAAGATATCAATAATAAATAATGTTCATATCACCCTACTTTAAGTTCAACTAAATGTTCAAATTTTATTCTTTGTGAATAAGTAGTTTTAGCCACTAACTCTGCTGATTGCAATAGAATACTATATCAAGATCCAAACACAAACAATAAAGGCTGCTTATATTACAATAGTCAATGTTATACCATTAAACCATAATGTTCAGAATATGTTGCTATTGGTAGTAACAATACAGAAAAATCAGCATTTTGTTAGGCAATGAAATTAAATACATCTATTGGTAATGATCCTACAAAAGTGATTTAATGCTAATTTGTGAATGGGAATCCTAATTGTTCATCTGCAACTTGCGAGAGTATTTCAGTTGCCAATAGTCAAATAGATTGCGATACTTAGGCTCTAAATTGTGTCTATTTCTAAAGCAAATGCTACACTAATCAAAATGCTTGTACTTCATACAGTACAACCTCAGTATCTTCAAACAAACCATTGTTTTGCTCATATATGAAGAACTCTTCAGGAGAACATTGTGGATACATAGATGGTATGAATAATTGTATAAATTCTTCATCCGATTGTAAATTATATCGATGGGCTAGTTATAACAGTAATCCTGCTCCATCTCCTGTTCCATCGACAAACGCAAATAAAAGAACTTATTGTTAATAAAGAAGATCGTCTTCAGGTAGATTATGTGGTCATGTTTTTGGGGACTCTTATTGTAGTTTAGAAACAAATTATTGTGAATTAATCTAATCTCCTACTTCCCAGCTCACTTGCGATTTATCAGCGACTGGATGTACTTTCATTTAATCACTTTCTCTTTGTGCTACTACATCAAGGTTAACAACTTGTAATGATATTACTTTTGACGTTGCAACATTAACGACTGATGCTGACAAATTAAATTATTGTTAAAAAGTGAAGAATTATTATGGGTATTGTACTTGGATGTCAGGAAGTGGATATTGCGATGATCTTACATCGACATGTACATCAATTAGTATCAGTTCAATCTCAAATGATGATGATAAAAAATCCTATTGTTTGAGTAGAGTGAGCAAAGCAGGAAGTTGTGCTTGGAGAAAAGGAGATTCTAGCAGTGCATGTAGATCCTTTTCTTGTTTTGACATTGCCAATCCTTTAAATTAAGCGACTTGCGATAGTGTAATGAGTGGTTGCACTTATTATTAAAAATAATGTATAACATAACAGTCTAATTGTAATTCATATTATGCAAATGGAGCAGATGATGATTAGAAATTGTATTATTGTTCAGGACTGACTTAAACAACTAGCAATTTAAAATGTACTTATATCAAAGGAAGTTCATTTTGCACAGTGCAAACTAGTACTTGTGCATCTTATACAGTTAGTACATTAAGCAACGCAGATAAATTAACTTGGTGTTATTTATTAAAAGATGTATCTTCCAACATATGTGCCTATTCCAATGGAGATAGTGCTTGTAAGTAAATTACTTGTGAATTGATTATAAGTCCTTAATCCTAGAGTGATTGTAATGCATACTTGTCTGGATGTCAATTTTACACAGGTTATTGCTTTACTAAACCTTCAAATTGTGCTTCTTATTCAATACCTTCTACAATAACTGACAAAGTTGCATTTTGTACCAATTTGTAAAACACATCCAATTAATATTGTGGATATGTTAGTGGCAGTACTTGTGGAGCATAAAGCAGTTGCACTTCTATTACTGCAACAGGATCAACGACACTTTTAAAATAATCCTATTGTTAAGCAAGGAAATCTTAAGATGGCTATATTTGTACTTATGTAAGTGGAACATATTGTTCATTAGTGGATGCTTCATTAAGTTGCACCTATATAACTGGTACGATAACAAGTCAAGAAAGCTGTTAGTATTTTTCATCAAATTGTTCTTATTTGGATTCAACAAAGACATGTGAATTGAATTCAAATTTGAATACATGTGATAAATATTTATTTAGTAGTACAATAGATGAGAATACAAAATTGTCATATTGTAGATCTGTATTATCAGGATCTTGTAATTATTAATTTGGTGACATAAAATGTTCGAATTAAGTAACATCATGTGGTTAGTTTGTAATAACAAGTGTGAATGATAAAAAGAATTATTGTGCAGCCAGAAGAAGCTCAACTAGCAATTGCTCTTATGATGAATAAAATGACAGTTATTGCAGCTAAATTAAATGCAGTGATATTGAACTTCCGACTTAATAAATGGATTGTAATAAACGCATGTCTGGATGCACTTATTATAGAAATTCTTGTCTTTCAACTTAGAACAATTGTGAATTGTATAAAACATATGGAACTGATGATTAAACTAAGAAAAATTATTGCGAAGGTCTAAAGTCCTCTGATAATACTTTATGCACTTTTATACCGGGTGTAGGAGTATGTTTCAACCTATAGACCAGTTGTTCATCATATAATGTATCTGCATTACTAGATAAAGTAACATGGTGTGAGTAATTAATTTAAAGTGATGGATCAGTATGCACAAATATAAATGATGCTTCTACTTGCAGCATTAAAAGTTATACCTGTGAAACAATCGTAGCTAACAGTTAATCAGATTGTGATAAAATACTGTCAAACTAATGCGTTTATTATAATACCAAGTGTTATACAAAATAGAGTAGTTGTTCTGCATATGTGATTCCCTTAGGTACAACAAATAAACAACTGTTTTGCAAGAATATGTTTGATAGTTCATAGAAATATTGTGTAGGTGGATCTACAAATTGTGGACTACCAACTACGGATTGCACAGATATCTTGGCAAGTGGTAGTGATGATTCTCAAAAGAGGGTTTATTGCAGAGATTATAAATCATCTGATGGATAGATGTGTGGATATTCATCTGGATTGAATTGCGAGATTGAACAGAATTATTGTAGTGTTTTTACCAGTGTCACAAGTTAGGAGTACTGCAATTAGAGAATGAATAATTGTGTTTACATATAAAAGAGTGGAAAATGCATTGAGAAATATTTGGTTTAGGATTGTACAACGATGTTGTTTGATTCTGGATTAACAAATGCGAATAAATTAAGTTATTGTTAATCATATAATCCAGGGGGGAGTACTTGTACTTGGATTGCTGCTTCAGATCATTGTGAATTAGATACAAAACAATGCACTGATTTTGATGCTTCTGGACAATCAGACAAAAGGGCTTTCTGTTAATCAAAATTGGGATACAATTGTTCATGGAGAAATGGAGATGCATCTACAATCTGTAGAAAATACAAATGCCAAGATGTTGATCTTGCTCAAAGTTAATCTGATTGTGATTCTAAAATATTTGGATGCAGTTTCTACATTAACTCTTGTTTCACTCTTTAAAACAATTGTGATAATTATTATGCATTGGGTACTGATAATTAATTGAAGCAATTATTTTGCAATGGAATTCCTACCATATCAAATCAGAAATGTACCTATCTAATAGATGATAATTTATGTCGAGTGAGAGATCAGTGCACAACCTATAATGTCAATGGAATAAGCGATAAGATTAATGCTTGTTTAGGCATGTATAATTCAGCAGGAATCTAATGCATATATGTCAAAGGTACGACTTGCAATTCGGTTGATAAATGTGAAACATATAGTGGGTTATCTAATATGAGTGATTGCACTACATTGTTTGATAGTAATCAAAGACACTGTCTATAAGGGAATACCACCTGTCTCACATTCACTTGTGACAATATAAGCAATCCTGCATCACTAAGTGATTGTGATGCCTAATTGAAAGGCTTATGCTTTTTTAATACCACCAATTCCAAATGCATAAATATCTCTGATTGTTCCACTTATAAAAAGAGTGATTGGCCAACTAATGCAGATCCTATTAATCATTGCTCAACACTTATTGACAAGAATGGACATAATTGTACTGCAGATAATGCTAATAGCACCTAATGTAGGGAGAGATTGTGCAGTGATAAATTATTCTATTTGAATTCAGAATGCAAAGAATGGAAGTCATCTTGTAAATCAGATGGATCCAAATGCATAGATTCATCTAAGCTGTGTTCTCAATTTACTGGTAATTCTGATTCATGTAACAAATATTTGGATTCTGATAATATCAACTATTGTAAAGTTATCAATGGGTCTGAATAAGGCGTCGGCCCTTGTTTATCATTATCATGTTATCAGAACACAACAGCTACTACTGATTCAGATTGTAAAGCATATCAAAATGGATGTTTAACCAGAGGAGTCGGATGTATACCCAATACAGCCAAATGCGATGAATATAGAGGAACCAGAGATCAATGCATTAAATTCAATGGGTATCTGACCCCAACAACAACTGAGATCTGTTCAGGAGACTTTACAAATACTGATTAATCAAAATGTAGATCAAGAATTTGTTCAGATAATCTAATAGATAATAGTGATACTTTATGTTCATACTTTAAGACTGGGTGTGTAACCAATGGATAAGGTTGTATCGATATCAATGCCAGTTGCAGCAGTTATAAAGGCACTCAATAACAATGCAGTAAATTCATGGGTAACAACAAAACTGTTTATTGTTGGAACAATATAGATGCTCCCAGTAATTACAATTGTATTGATAAACTATGCTCTCATGTATTGGGTACTACAGATCAATAATGTGAGCAAGCCTTTCCTAAGATAATGATAAATGGCAATTTGACACTTCTATGTGTAAGTAATGGTATCAATTGCATCAAGAATCCTGCCAAATGCAGCGATTTCACAGGCAATAACATAACTTGTTAGACGTATACAGCCATTGTTGATGGACCATGTAAAGGTAATTTAGACAATTCAATGGGATATTGTTAACCAAGATAATGTTATGAAGCACCTAAATCATATGATACTGATGCATAATGTTATGATTATCATCCTTCTTGTTTAACAACAGGATAAGGATGTATGAAGTTTTAATCGTATGATAATTAAGGCTAGCCATCCCTAAATTGTAATAGTTTAGTTAGTAATGATGTTTGTTCCTTAAAACTTGGTTGTACTTTGGCCAGCTAATGTTTAGCCTCTGTTTCCTCATGCTCATTATTAACATCATAAGCAGTTTGTCAAACGTCAGTGTTATCAAATGGAAAGAGTTGTGTTTATGATTTGTCGATAAATAAATGTAGAGAGTTTCAGTGTTCTGACTATGTTGGCATCAACGATAATAATACTTGCTAGAAATTCAGTAGTGATTGTACAACCAATGGGAATGGATGTGAAATAATGAAATCTTGTGGATAGTATTATGAAAAACTCACATGTTAATATGCTTACTCCACTGATCCAATCAACAGATGTACATGGATTGATTCTGGATGTAGACAGAGAATATGCTAAGATTTCTTAGGTACAACCAGTTCATCTTGTAAATCATTCATGTCTGGGTGTATTACAAATGGTGCTAATTGTGTTGGACCAAATTACTTATGTTAAGATTTGCTACAGAAAACTTGTCAAACCGATTATCTAGGCAATCCATGCATATTCTATAAGAACACTTGCTATTCCTACTCGAAATGTGAAGATATGAAATTCACCACTCATGAAGAATGTCAAACATTCTCAGAACTGTGTACATCAAACTAAATAAATTGTATACCTTTAAATAAATGTCAGTATTACACTTAATAAGAATCCTGTAATATAGGAATTGATGGGATGTGTGGTTGGAATAACAGCAAATGCAATCTATTCAAACAATGTTCAGATGTTTTGGGAACTTCAACTCCTATTTGTCAATAATACTCTCATGTTTGTGTAAGTGACGGTGTGAAATGTGTGGAATAAAATATTTGTTCGTTCTATTACTCATAGTTTTTATGTGAACATAATCATGGACTTGATGGAGTCTGTATTTGGATTGATAATGCCTGTCGATTGAAATAATGTGAAGATCTGACTACCAATACTGATACATTCAACAAATGCTTTAATCAATTAACTCCTTTGCATTGTTCCAGTAATGGTACCAAATGTATCAGTCTATCTTCGTGTTAGTATTATAATGAGAAGTCTTGCATACTGGGCACAGATGGACCTTGCATTTACAAATTACCACTCGATAAGTCATCAAGTTAAATCTCTTGCAGACTTAAGCAGTGTTAAGATGTCACAGGCAAAACTCTGGATGTCTGCATGTCTGCTTTTGATACTACCTATAAAAAATGTGTCTCGAATGGGTCCATATGTGTTGATTTCAATTACTGTTCATAATATACTACTAAGGTTGCATGTGCTTCTGGAGGTATGGATGGATAATGTGCTTTCACACCCATCGCTTCATAGTCTAATGATGGAATCTGTAAACTCTTCACTTAATGTTCAGATGCTAACAGTGACAAAGATACATGTCTTGCTAACTCAAAGTACTGCTAATGGATTTCATCCAATGTAACTAAACAATGCATCCCTCATACTTGTCTCACTTATAACTCCAAAAAGGATTGTGTTCCAGTTCCCAGTTTTGATTAGAAATCATTCCTTCTTTGTGCGAAAATAAATAACGCCTGTTAGGATGTCTAACCAACAACCTTAACCATGGATACATGCTATATCAATAGTGCCTAAACATATCTTTGGAACACATCCACATCCAAATGTGCTTAATGCAAAGCCAAAACTGATTCCAATGTAACCCCCAATACTTAGGTTTCCACTAAATCGTCAGTTATGCTATTTACTATAGCAATCATACTCAGTTTATATTTCTGACATTAAATAAATTGTGTTATTCAATATTAAATTTATTTTATACCTTTTATTTCTCAACACAGAGCAAGATTTAAATATAAATAACTAAATTATAAGTCTAGGCTTCTATTTCAAACTCTAAAATTATCCCCAATATAAAAGTGATTATTATCATATTTTTGTAACTTCTTCTGAAAATGTCACAAAATAATCCAATTTATTTCTACTTTTAAAAGTTGTTACATTAAAAGCCGTAATTCAATTCTGAGATATTCACATTATTAAAAAATACTATTATTTCAATTTAGAGATTGTACTCTATTTTTAGGTTTATATATAATACATATATTTTTATTCAATTGCAATAAAATCAAATCATACATATTCTGATATATAATCTGCATTATGAATAATATATAGTATTTATGCATTTAAATTTAAAGATAAGAATTATTATATAATTATATAACAAATTTTTTTATCAAAAATAATCTGTAAGAGTGGATATTTAGGTTAGTAATTAGTTTTAAATTTAATTACTTCTAGAATATCTATAGTTTAAATGATCTATTGTTGAGAAATAACCTTTTTTTATTGATTTTTCTCTTAGTTTTATCATTTTTTAAATTGGATAAACTGAATAAATACAAAGATTTAATTCAAATAATAGAAACTAGTTATATCAACGAGATTTCTGATAGTTAATTTAAAAATTAGTTCATTGTTGTCTATATCTATTTTTAGAGCTAAAGTGATCAAATTTGATTGAATTTGGTTGTTAATGATTAGGTTTATTTAATGCAATGTTTGGAGGGGATTGAATTTTAATATAATTAATTAATATAAAAATGGCTTAGTAGAAAGGAAAGAATAAGATTAATCATAGATAAAGGTAGGGGGATTGGATTTGTAGTAATTGCAGCAATATGAATTTTGCATTTAGAGACTCTTGCAATCGATGTCATACTATAAAAATTATGAAAAATAATGAGAGTAAAGGATTCAAATCTGCACTTTTTTTGACAGAGAGTAATGGGGATATACCACCAATATCAGATCGGTCAAATAAATCATCAGGTGAGAAAACTGATATTGGAACCAATAAGTTTTCATTTGATAAATTACCTTCTATGGAACCAATTTTAAAACAGATAACTAAAGAAACATGTAAAATCAATTAAAATATGAAGAACCAAAATATGATTTCTTTGAGTTTGAATGGCAATGCTAATAATGTCAAAAGATTAATTAATACTATAAAATTCATTGTGTCGAATGCGGTGCTTAAAGGTATAGAAAATCTACGATTTGATCTATTACAATAAAATGTTGATTTTGTTATATTATTTAAGTTGTTTTGTATAGTATTTTTAATTTTAAATGAAGGAAGGAAGAAGTCATTTGGGGTTTAATGAGATCATATGAAATATTAATTAATATAATTTTATTAATAAAAATTTAACTGTTAATGAAGGACATTTCAAGAAGAATCTTTGAAAAAGAAAATTAAGCAGAAGTTTCCAATAATCCTAGACAATTGAATAAATCACTGACTTAGTTGGTGTCATTGACAATGATAAACAATACTAGAAGTATCACATCAAATACTATGTCTCTTAGAAGCTGAATTTAAAGGCATAGATATAAAGAATACTCAAGTATCTGTTTCTCAAAGACCACTTGTATTTTGTAAGCCTGAGCAGAGAGTTAAAACGCTGAAAACTATACCATCACCATAAAAATAATCCTAAGAGAGGAGCAACGAAAGTCAATCAAAGGAATTATGTAACTTAATATAAAACTACTCAGAGCCTATTTTGGATTATTATACTAAATTGGATGTATGCTATTTAAATGTATTTTTAGACTGAAACTCCTAAAAATAGTTTATAAAACCATTCCATAAATGCCAATTTGAGAGCCAAAATGATAGATTGGATAGTTGAAGTTCTTTCATCTTATAAATGCAAGGACCAAACTTTTCATTTATCAATAAGATTGATGGATTTGTATTTATCAAAAACTACTCAGAAACATCTTCCATAAGACTTACATTTAGTTGGAGTCTCATCAATGTTTATAGCATGTAAATATGAGGAAATCTATCCTGTGAAATTGCAGGTAGTTTATGAAAAAATTGCACACAAAAAATTATCTAAGGAGGAAATCAAGGATAAAGAAGCAAATATATTATAAGTTCTTGATTTCAATTTGAATGGAACTACTATATTAGATATCATAACAATGGTCTTATCAATTCTCAATCTACATCAATAGTTATATGAAGCTGCTAATTTTTTAGCAAAATTAGTATTTATTATAATATAAAGCAGGCTTTGTTTGATTATGAATTTGTCAACCAATACTCATATTTGTAGTTAGCATGCGCAGTTTTAATTGTTAGCACAAAGACTATTGAATAGATTGATTAAAATTTATCATCAGAAGTGACAATTCCACTGATTATATCAACATTAAAATTAGATTATCAAGATTCCATTGCTTGTGCCAATAGATTATTATAATTGGCTAAGGGATTTGATAAACAGTTCCCTAATTTTGAAAATCTTAAAAAATTCAGTAAGTTTCAAATTTCAGACATTATGTAAACCTAATGTTGACTTTTACTTTTATATAATATTTAAGTGCTTAATCTATGTTATATTGTAAAATAATTTTATCGTATCTAAAGTTGCGAGTGTGAATTGTATAATAGTTAATTTCTTCTCTTGACAAAATAGAACAAAATAAGCACACTAAAATTAATTAATTTTTTATAAAATTAATATATTATTAATATGCCATTAGCATAATTTTAAAGATTTATAATATTCTTGAACCATTTTAATAATGAACTTGTATTAGAAGCTCAGAATTGGATTGGACATCTTTTTAAATATAAATAATATGAACAAATACTATAGAATTTTCTTTTTTAGAGAATTGATTACGATATATTCATATTTTCAAGTTCTTAGCTAAATATGTGGTTATGTGTTAAGCTGTGATTAGCAGGGTTGTTATGTGTAAGATAATGATGCCGGAAGCTAGGAATGTGAGTCAAATTCTTATTTGAGTTATCCTTGAGGGTTGAAATAAAGGATTGATTGAAATACGTGTTAAGATGCAAGTAATATGCTTTGAATGGTGGATTAATATATTAAATTTGGTTAATTCATGCGAGATACAAGTGCTTAAATGAATTTAGAGCATTAAGATTGCAATTAGGATCGTTATTGGTTTGTTATGTTTATCTGATCAAGCTTCGTTGGCTGTTTGTCAATGTATATCTAAATATCACATAAATAACGAATACCGATTGAATATCGGATTAGATACTCAAGGGTTGAACAACCATAGCAAAGGGATTTAAGACACTTATTTTGAGAATACTTTCAACATTTAACTTCTTCTTTCTAGTTTCTTTTTTCCCTATTCGACCTTCTCTTTCATATGTCTTCTAGATTGTTCGTACGGTGCAATACTTCAATTACAGTTTGCTGGCCACCTAAAGAGATATTAATTGAAAAAGCAGCTTATTTAAATAGAAGGATATAGAAGGGGAGTGATGAGAAAGATTTTAATTTATACCTCTTGTAATGATAACTTTTAATTCAATAGCATATCAAGTATTAGTATTCTTTGGTCACATTCAATTTTTTGATATTGCTTACTTTTCTTTGATTTGTCTTAAATGTTATTGGATTTGCCCATGCTTTGTGAATCTTTATAATTTTTATTTTGAAAAATATTATCAAAACCAGATCTGGCTTTGAATTTAAAAAAAAGATTCATTTAGTGACTAAATATTTATAATCACATTGCATTCTATTTTTATATACATCTAAATCTTATATTAATGAAACTATACAAATTTATTAAAGCTCTAGTTTGTCCTTTTTAAATAATGATTATCATTAAATCTCGATACTTTAAAATGAAATGAATTTTCAAGTATTATTCTTTGATTTTAATTTTTGTATCATAAATAAATATATATCATAATTAAACTTTTTTCCTTCTTTGAGCAGCACTTTCATCTTCATCTTGTTCATCCTCTTCATCCTATCTTGGTTAAGAAATAGATTTTTTGGATTCTCTTTCTTCCATTCTTCTTCCTTTTCTACTAACTTCAGCCTTCATCCTCTCTTAATCCTTGGCCTTGAAAATATCAAACAAGAATAATCGATAGACACAATGAAATTCTTTAATATCATCAAAATGTAAAGGTCTTCCTAATTCAAAGTCCCCTTTTAATGAGACACCTTTGTTTAGTTGAAAGTAGAGAGTTAAAACAAAGTTTTAGGTTTGATCAACGCAAACTTCAAAATTCCTTTGACTAATTGATCGATGCATCATATCAAAATAACTATTATAGGTTCCTTCTAATCCACTTTTTTTGCGTTTTTATTCAAATTTTTCCAAATCAAAATCCTCTACCCAAAAATCGAAACCATTTGTAACTTGAATTTTGCAACGTCCCTTGCTCTCCATAGGTTGAAAATAGATGATGTACTCTTTTTAATTGTAGATGATGAGTGTATTAAGGAATGCCAATTTGCCAAGCGATCTACAAAATTCAACTCTTCTCTCTGTCATAAATTAATAATATAGTGTAGAGGAGTGTGGTATGGGAATTAAAAATAGTTAATATCATGCTTATTATTGTTTAATTAATTATAAATTTAATTAATGATGGAAACAGAAAACTAATAAATTGGTAATTAGATTAAACCTAAAACTACAATTCTTTGTTCAATTTGCGATCTTGCTTTCACTCCCAGTGAATAGAAGACACTTATTTGCACAAATTGTATTATCAATTAGACTGACATTACTGTTGGTATAACCAAAGAGGGCATTGTAAATTACTGTCGATTCTGTCATCGTTATTTAAGACCCCCTTGGACCTTGTGCGAGAGGGAATCAAAAGAATTATTGAGCATTTGTTTGAAGAGATTAAGAGGGTAAATGATATTTGAATTCTTTTGTGTAGATTGAATAAAGTAAAAATCATAGATGCAGCCTTTGTGTACACTGAACCAAGTTCAAAGAGAATTAAAGTCAAGTTAACAATACAGAAGGAAGTGCTCAACAATACTAATATGCAATAAGTATGGATTTCATAACTAATTAGACATTCATATGCGAATTCGTGGAACATTATCAACAATGTGAAGATTGTAAAAAGGAATTCACTCCTCACACTTGGGGAGCAGCAGTCTAAGTTCGTTAAAGAGTGGATCATAAGAAGACATTCTTTTATTTGGAACAATTGCTATTGAAATACAATGCAAATGATAAAGTGTTGAAAATAGAACAAGTTGATGATGGATTGGATTTCTTCTATAAATCAAGATCACATGCCAATAGATTAGTAGAATACCTGTCAACAATATTGCCAATCAGAGTGAAACAATCTAAATAATTGGTATCACATGATGCTAGCAGCAATCTCTTCAATTATAAGTATGTCTATGCAGTAGATTTGCCTAAAGTGTGTAAGGATGATCTGGTTATTCTCCCTTAGAAATTGTGCAAAGAATTGGGAGGAGTTGGTAGAGTACAATTATGTTATAAATTGACAACCATAGTTCATTTAATTGATCCCCTCTCAATGAAATGTTCAGATCTATCCATTGAAGCTTTTTCTTTGTATGAAAATGAAATTGAAGTCTATAACCTTAAAAACACATCAACATGAATTCACTGTTGTTGATGTTGAACGTATTCACACCAGAAATTTGAATGAAAGTTATATCTCAAGTTCATAAAATGCATTCCTTCCAAAATTGACAAAAGTTACTATTATTAGGGAATCTAATAATTATGTGCCTGTGACTGTTAAAAGTCATTTGGGAGACATCCTCAAAACAGGTCAGGTTGCTATTGGTTATGATTTAACTTAATTGACTATTGAATCTTTGGAGGATATTTCTAATTATCCTGAATGCATATTAGTGAAGAGACAAATCAATAAGGAAGCCAGAAAATTGAGAATCTTTAAGTTGAAGAGGTTGGAAGCTCAGAATGTTATGGAAGAGGAAGGAGGAGAAAGAAAGAGAAATTAATGTATTTAAATATTCCATTATCTTTTTTAGAGAAGAAATAGAATGATTAAGAAGAGCAATTCGAAGAATTCTTAGATGATGTAGAAAAGGATAAGGAGATGAGAAAGAACATCAATTTATATAGAGATGAAGATAAGATTAAAAAGTTAAGCAAAGAGGATTTGAAGAAGAAATAAAAGAAACAAGTTTAGTAATAGAAAAAAGATAATGATGACGAATGGTAAGATGATGATGAGGATGATGTTAAATTAGAAGATTTAATGAAAGATTTGAATTTGGAAGATAAACCAGAGTTGGCTGAACCTGTTGATGAAGCTCAAGATGAAATCAATCAATTTATTACCAAATTAGAAAAAGTAACAATAGAAAAATGATATATATATATATATTCTTATTTTTAACACATATTCACATAAACATTAATCAAGTTGTATTCACTTAATCTCCTTACTTTAACTATGATAATTCATATTATTATTCCTCATTCAATTTTTTTCTTTTCTATTTCTACTTAGGAATGTAAATCCATAAAAGAATTAAACCTATTCCCACTGCTAAACTAATTCCAATGACTATCAATATATAATCTATTTTTATTTCTTCAATCTTCACTTCTTCTTTCATCTTCATTTTCATATCGTTCGTTTCATTATAAATTAAAGCGACATTATAAAAGTAGGTATATGGAATATCGTAACCCTCATAAAAAGCTTTAAATACAAGTTATCCGTATATTATTTCTCTATTAATTAGCACTACAATTTTGTATTAAACATACCTATAAATTGTATAGCTTCCTGTTTCTCTTTCACTTCTAAAATAGAGGTATTGTAAAATATAGAACTATCATTAGTATATCTTCCCAGAAACTCAATATCGATTTCACAACCCAGTGGTCTCATATAGTTTTCTTGGTTAGAGAAATGCATGATATAGCTATAAGTTATTTTAAATAATTTACATTAGTTTATTTAAATTCATACTCCCAGTTTTTTTTCTTTTCATCGCATTAACAGTTACTTCTAAATAATCATTTGACAATTTAATGATTTCAAATCTTGTATTCTTTTAATGCCATTGATCGTGAGAATATTAAAGATGCGGCACTAAACTGACTATATTAAATGGATAAGGATCTGATCTTTCTATTACTTAAATTTTGAAATATGTTTCTCTTTAATTGCCTTGAGATAATTTCTGCAATTGAGTCTTTCCTAGACAATCGAATTTCTCAAATTGCATTTCTTATTCATAAGTAGCTTAAATATTGTATTATTAAGTCTCCATAATTATTTCAATATAATGATTGTTAAAATTAATATACTTGAATTTATTTTTTGCATTATAGGCATCCACTAGAATATAGTAATTATCACTGCACTAGAGGGTGATTTAGTATGGTTATTCAATTTGTTGAAATTAATAAATGAATTTTTTCTTTGATTAATTGAAGATTAACTCTGATTTTGGAATTATCTTTAATTTATTTTATTACTCGTCATTGAAAATGACTTCAATTATTACATCAGATTAACTTGAAACTTAGATTACATACTCCTAATCAATTCTGTCAATTTTAAAATTAAATAATGATTAATTACGACTTATAGTATTTTTGCTATTGAATACTCGACCTAATTATAAAATGATTGGATTTTCACGATTGCTTAGATTGATAGAATAATAAGCATCCTTCCCAATTTGTAAAATGCAGGTTTCATTTATTGGGATCAAGTGGTTAGAGTAGGTTAGATCCATTTTAATAAAGCGTTTAATTTTAAAGTTAAAAGTCAAAGTGATAGATTTTGAGTAGACAAATAAATTCAACTCTCCTGGGGTAAGTTCGAATTCACAAGTAGTTAGGCATTAGTCATAATAAATTCTACCATACGGAATAGAAAATGGAATTTTATTATATATAAGAAGTATAGATAATGCAGTTGGTCTAATTGGATGAAGAGATAAAATATATGTGCAAGATTAGCATACATCCTTATCAATTTACATTATTCCTCCAAAAAGATCACTATTATTAGCCAACTCCATTGTTTCATTGTTATTTTCAATCCTTATTGAGGCAATGATGTTCCTCATATTATAAATCATTATTCGAAATGGTTCTTAGTGGGTATTCAAGTAATAATATTAAACGTTATCATTAATTGAAGTTTCAACAAATTATCCGTTGTGAATGTAATGCAACTAGAAACCTCCAAGATGTAACATTATTTCAAAGATGCAATTTTGAGACGTTACACCGATCATATATTGTCCTATATTATCCTTTTCTGAGATTGTTAGCGTATCTGATGTAAATTTATAAGTGTATTTATCAATAGAAGGATAAAGGATATTATCTTGTCCTTTAGATTTCTAGACATAAATATCGCATTTACATTCTTATAATGCTCTAACAGTAATTTGGATATCCATTATTACTTCGCTAATCTCAAAGTAGTAATAAGACATGCTATTTTAGCTGGCATATCCAATAATCATCTCTAGATTTCTAATGACAGTATATTTTGAGGATACCATGACATTGAAATAATCAAAATGTCCTAATACATAAGCATTTATTAACAGGATGCAGCCTTAATTTTAGCATTTCATTAGATTGGTTTCATTTATGAAAAGCAATTTATTGGATGGACTGGCACTAAATAACTCTTTTATGTCATGTTTGGAAAAAGTTGGGTAATTCTCTTTTTCTATATTATTAGAGTCATAATCAACAATATTACACAATAATTCGATTAAATTGAATTTAGTAATTGCTTAAATCTTAATAGGATTAATGATATTCTTAGGAATTAAATAGTAAAAGTAGAAATGCTGTTAGTTCTAGATTGGCCTTGTTTAAACGATATTATCTTTTAATAAAATCGCAGAATCAGAATCTTGAATTAGAAGGGTGTACTTGTTGGATCCTCTGCTGTAAACTCCAATTTATAGGATGCTGTCATAAATGATGTTAGGAATGGTTATGTGATTGGAGTTTGGTTTAATTAGGTATTCATAATTAAATTAATCAGGATATTTGTTAATGCTACTGATATAAATTTAGAGATTGTTGTTATTATTATATTCAGATTAATATGTTACAATAATTTATATTTATTTGCTATTTTAGATTGATTAGTAGAAAAAATATAAGGTTTTTTAATCTTCTAGCAAACCATAAAATGTATCGCCAAGGAATAGTTGCAAAAAAGGAACTCTGTTGATAATACATTATTTGATATGATTCACTTACTTCACGAGAGGAAGTTTTAACATACAGGTAATAAAACTATTTTGGATTTTCAATAATTAAAGTTTGCTAAAAGCTTGTTAAGGTTAGATTAGATTCATAGGGAGATTTGCTCCCTATGAAGTTATCACTACCAAATATGTAACAAATAAAGTTACCCCATAATGATTTCAGATTTATATAGAAGTTAGCATTCTCAGTTATTTCCAAGCTGAAGTAAAGATCTAAATCAATAGTTTTGAATTGAACCCCAAAATGTAAGGGAATGTATTTAATTTCTGGTGTGACTGTACTTTTTAAAATTTCAATAACTGAATATTTCAAGTTGGTTGTTGCTTAGATTTGAATTGTATAAGAGTGGCCCACTTCTTCATCCAAACTAATAAATTCAATTTCTGAAGTCGTTAATTTGGTCTCATAATGGATAGATTTGATGGTATTTGCGATTACAAATATTATATTTGATTCTCCTTCATAGGCTGCAAAAACGAAATAATTCTGTAAATCAGGTTTTTTAAGTGAAAAAGTCTAAATCTAATAATGGTCATTAGTTTGTTACTTTATATATTTATAATTGATTGTAAATTTATCAAATTGAAGTATAGGATTATTGATAACCTGTTAAGTCGTCAATGAGAATCTCATGAAATCAACGTAACTGTATATTGCAAGTACGTACACAAAGTTAAAAGATATTTTTTCAAACCAGAATTAAGTTACATTCTTATTTCCAGCAGTAGTATCATATTAGATTCCTACGAAATTTGAAATTTGGAGATCATCAGAAGGAAAAGATGATGCCTGATCTGGAGTGATTGAACAATTATAATAATTATCTGGATCTGCTTTTTAGAGGTATTCTTATATGTCATCTATAATTGCCATCTCTTCAGAATCTTTAAAGCATTATTTGCTTAATAAAACTCCGTGTCCTTTTGGAAAATTTGCTATTACCCTTGTATTGACTATCTCCAATTAATCAATAGATTTGAATAAATATAAAGCAACTTAATTCTTCTCTAAGACTCCAGCATTCACCTTTGAGTGAATAAGCATCTACCTTGGGTTGTCACTTATTTTCACTTCTAATTCGTACTCTACCATCTCATCCTTTGTATTGATTGAGATCAAATAGACTTCTGTGTAAATCATTTTATATGTAGGAATAGTATAATAATTATACTACTCTTTATCGAATTAGTATTGCCAATCAAAATCCAAATAATCACGTTTACATCTGTCTTCGATGCAGGGTTACACGTAAATGAAAACTGAATGAGTTTTACAGTTCACATAAAACATCAACATATGTTCTTTGAAATCTTTGATAATCAATTTATAATAATTTACATTACCCCTAAGTATTTGATCATTCCATTGTTGATTTAAACTGATTTCATGGAATTTTTAAAAGGGGTTAAGAAGAATGAGAAAGTAACCTTCCTAATTAATGAATGCCGTCATTACACTTTAAGGATAAGTGTAATTTCTCTGTAAACACACAAGTCCTTCTTTGAGAAATAATTATTCAATATCAAATTCTGATGTAGTAGGAATTGTTTCGTTCATGTTTATGTAAATATTAAAAGAAATAAACTTAAGGAAATGAATGAGCTTAAGACAAAGTCTATCGTATTAAATATTAGCTAAATTTAGTTTAAATGGTTTTTCTTTTTCTTATTTCATGATCATCACTCCTTCGACAAAAGTATTCATGGTCATTATTTTTAGTTCATAGTGACAATTAAATAGACAGAGCACTACAAAGTAATATGTTATCTTTGATATGTGTTGCTATGATTTTATTTGACAAACAATTAAATTTTCAAATTTGCATTCTTAAGCATTATGGACCTGTCTTAAATACTAAATAAATACTTACTTAATTTCCTTTTAACTCATGTATAACTAATATTATGGACGAGCATCATTTAATGTTGCTAAAAAAACAAAGACTTCTCTATCTTGTGGAACCTCTAATTTATAATGATAGACTGGATAATGGAGCCATGAGTTTGGCACCTCTCTAATGTTTTAGATTTACATACACTTACCCATAATATTTATATGATTTATCAATCTCCAAGTTTATTATTTCCTTTGATTTAACAAATTACAACAATATCAAAATAATATACATTTTATTATGTTTTATAAGACTGTTTCTGATAAAAAATGCACACCCTCTCCTTTACGCAAATGTTCCTAATATCACATTCCAAACACTTACTTTTCAACTTTGAAACAACCCCTAGAAAGAACATTCGAACCCATAGAAAAACAAAAAACATTAACTGATGAGTAACAAGAAATCTAAAAGTTGCATTAACTTATTGAGCAATTGAAAGACGAAAATAATAAATTGCGTTCTGCTTTACAATAGTAACAGTTATAATTTTAATATGAAACTCAACAGTTAAATTAGCAAATAGCCAATATGCAATAAGAATAACAATCCCTCAAATAGGCTTTGATAGATCGAACATACTAAAATAATAAGATGATCTAATATATCGAGGAATTGTCAAGTTAACATAAAAATCTGCAATTTCAATATTAAGATGCCTACCTACTATTGCAATAGGCAGAGATCTTCTCCAACTAAATAATGTTGCTCTAGAAAGAATTGAAAGGGAAAGAAGATGAAATTGAAATACTAAAAAACGAACTTCTAATTCCAACTAAAACCAACACTGAATAGTCAGAAAATCAATTAATTTATGACTTTCTTAAAAATGTTAAACAATAATACACTGATGATGAATGCAGATCATTGCATTTATATGAATGATGTTAATATATTTATATTTTACTGCTAATAATAAGAGAAGTAAAACACATAACAAAGATTAATCAATTTTGTTTACATCTGCAAACTGGACAAGAATTGTTCATTCTCAACCATTTTGCAATGCAATCCTCATGGAAACCATGATTACAATTCATCATGGCAATTTACTCTCCATTTTTGAAATCATCTTGACAGATGTAACAAGTCTGCTCCTGTTCCCCTTCATGGGTTTATCTCTTCATGTTTTTAATTTGATCTTCAGTGGCTCCATTATTTTAATGTTCATCGTCATTATTTTAATAGAAAATTATGTGATAATACACTCTCTGTAATCTTACTGGTTATTGATAGACTTAGAATTGTTTGGGATGATATTGTTTGGTAACTATTTGTTCTAAAACACATCCACAATTTTAACAGAATTATTCTGAATTTATTAATTCACCCTCTAAACGATAATGTGATTCCTTTTAACATAGATGACACCAATAGTTTTTAAAGGCAACTTGATATTAACTTTGATTCATTGTGATTTTAGATTAATAATTCTATAAGAATTAGTTTCATATGGTTTTGAAACAATTTTTAGTAAATTCTCGAAATCAGAAGAATTTTTAAATTCTAGAAGGTAAAATAATAAAATATGAATGAAATAACACACATTATTTAATAAATAATTTAATAATTATTATTCTTTTATAGCAAATGAGCATTAATAAATATTAAAAAAAATGATTATTTTAATGCCTGCCTACAAAAATAATTTGGAAGTGCTAATAAAACAGGATACCAAATAAGGTATGGGTCTAATAGATCATGAATAAACTGACACTTTTCATATGTGGAAATTTCGAGGTGGGTCGACAACCATTTATGAAGAAAGTATAATCTCTTCATATGGCAGATTCAGTTTACTTTGAGAGTAATGATACTAAGAGTAATAAAAAGATACTACTGAAGGTGAACAAATAAAGTAAGTTGTTTTATCAAGAATTCAAATAGCAAATCAATATGAAATCATATTATCTGTGACTCAGCCTACATTTATTGTTGTAAAAGACATTAAATCATCAAGTGGATCTGAGTATCCCATTGTAGTCAATTCAATTATTCGTCTAGGAAGAGTGTACTTATGTTACTCATTCTGTTAGTGAATACAGAGTCTTTGAAGAAAGAAACATACAGATGGAAATTTTACATGCTCCAATCAAGCATCAGGATTGCCAACAAATAAATGACATCAATAAAATTTACTAATGCCGATTCTGTTTCATGGAAGGCAATTAGAGTAGGGATTAGTTGTTTTTAACTAACATTTGCAAATGTGCAGGCAATAGTCAGGCAGTGCATTTAGAATGCATGCGTTATTGGGTAGACTCCAATATCACACGGGAGGAGACTCAATTTGGATTATCATTGAAATGGTAACCAGAACCATATTTAATAATAGGAAGAAGCAACATGAGTGCACCATTTGCAAGGAGAGCCTACCAATAAGAGTTCAATTTGAGAATGAATATTTCGATCTATTCACTCTTGAAAGACCTGAATTGCAGTACATTCTAGTCGAAGTAATCCAATTTCTGTTATTCAGAATGTCAATAGAGAGAAGAATGTTTGTTGCGAGATCTATCTGATACATGCTCTTTTACAAGACAACATTAAATTAGTAAGTCTTTAAATAGCTATCATCCAAGGGTAGAGGTTTCCAATGCGATATCAAGGCATAGGACATCACTGTATCTCGACATCATGCCACAATCAAGTTATCCAAGAGTAACTTTGTCATCGAGGATAACAAGAGCAGATTCGGAACTTTGGTCTCAATCAACCAAAAGTGCGAAATTGATTGTGCTGCTTGTGGTTTCTAGATAGGCAAATTACTCATTAATCTTAATTAACAAGATTAAATTCTTAAAGGTACTATGTTATGTCATCATCAAAGGAGCACCATCAACTTAACACAAATTGACTTAATTACCACAAATTAGCAAACAACTAGAAGAAGATGAACCTCAAATGGATGATGACTCATTTCAACTGGAAAATAAATGATTTCTATTCTTAATTTAATTCATTTATCAATTTATATATCATTTTATCAAACATAAAATTTTTAGTTAAATATTTATTAACATTTCTTATACATCTTCTAATTGTACTTTTAACAATCTTCCAATTTATTCAATTATTCCTAGATTCCTAAACTATTGTAATCACTAACATAATTTGTATTGTAATTCAATATCGTAGACAATTAACTTGTCAATTCAGTTACTTTCTATTGCAATTCTTAGATTATTTCAAAGTACAATTGCTTCTCATGTTTCCATTCCTTCAAATTGGAATTTTAAGAATTTGCTTTGTGGAGCTACTCATTCTACTTCTATAAAATTTGCATTTGACCCTACAAAACAGCTATTGTTTAAGCATAATTCGTTAACGATTTCTAATAATCGTCGTGAATAACCTAAACTTAGTGTTTGATCTCTATATTCAATTTATTGGAATAAGATTGCTTCATCTCCTTCTCGAATTCGATGCAGGATTATCTCCACTTGTACTCTTATTGTTGCAACAATTCATTTAATTTCTTATTTTCTTCATTTCTTTACTCAGTCTATTTATTCAGATCTGCAATCATTTGAATTTGATCTTAATACTTCTTATTTATGATGTAGTTCTAGTCTTTGTGCTATTATTATAGTGAGACTATCTCTTATTCCAATTTGAGTATTAATTCATTTTGCTATTTGTACTATTATTGCAATTGTATCTGCTCATTCAATCGCTATTATACCATTAGATTCAAATTCTCATTCTCCTTTAACACAATAGTGATTTTATCTGACCACACTTTTTCAACAGTTTGCAATCTCTCTATTTCAAAGCATTTTAGCAGATATTTTTATGCCAATTACAGAAATTGCTCTTTGAATATCTTATTTGTCTATTAGGATTCAATGAGTTATTGATTTGTTATAGATTTTTATTCTATATTCAATTCTTCTCTCTCATTGAGTATTTATTGCAATTCTAAGACTTATTAAGATTGTTAATTATTGATTTTTTTGTATTACATAACTGTTTGTTAGAGTGATTGTGTTTCTCTTTATAATGATTATAATAATACAGTCTGATTATTGGTTTCATAAGCAATCTTAGCTTTTTCTAACTCTTACATCAATTACTCATTAATAAGGATGAGTTTTTAATTCTCCTCTATCAAAATAGTAACCTTATTTTATAAATTGATCAGAGTTTGCTGTTCTTTTGAGTTTTTTTAATTGAAATCCGAGACTTACTCATGTTGATTGATGGAGACGAACTTATTCTCCTTAGTTTCTGAGGTCATCTTCTTATTGACAGTGTCAATGATGGATTAATTGTGCGATAACTACCTTGTAATAGTGGGTCGATTGGATTGCATAGAACATGAGCGTTATTTGGAATTCTCACTGCTAACAGACACTGGGTTTAGTTATGAATGGAGATACATTGTAATTCAGAGTTGCACTCTGAGTGTAATCTTTTGGATCCACTTGATTTGATGGCTGATGACTTGATTCCTGAATTTAGATTGACTGATCTGATGACCCCTTGTGATTGAAGAGAGTTGAATATAGATTAAGGGGATTGTTTGTAATCCGAGATTGATATACTCTGCAACATGTTTCAAATTTAAATTAATATATAATAATAAAAATGTTAAGAACATTTAAGTTTTGCACAGAATTCACTACCACTCAATTCCTGAAACTGAGCAATCTCTAATTAAGTGTAACAATAATAAATGATAAATTAAAAGACATTGAATGACAAGATTGAGAATTTTGAGAATGTGGAAACTTCATTCTCAGATGGTGTCCTCAATGTGCATCTACCGAATGGGAAATCCTTTGTGATTAACAGACAGACTCCCAACAAATAGTTGTGGTACTCATCTCCCATAAGTGGGCCTCAACGTTTCAACTATGTCAATGGGAAATGGGTCAATTCAAAACAAATAGAAATAGAGAATTAGTTATTAAATGAAATTAATGTATTAATAAAATGATGATTACATAAAATTTGGATATCAAAGATTTAAGACTTTTTATAGTACTTCACGAATAGGTTTCGATCTTGGTCTAATGACTTGAACTAATTCGATGGCCTACTCTAGAGTGTAATTCAAATCCTAAACCATGTAGAGTATAATGGTTTGAACACTCCTTTGAATCCCATCAGTGCAATGGACATACACGCATTTGCCTTGATCCAGCAGTTTCCTGAGGATCTAATAGGCATCGCCTCCATTTTAGAGATAGGATCTCTTATTACAATCCTTAATTGGACATTGCAAATAGATGATACCAAGAGATTGGCTTTGACAATGAAGTTAATCAAAATAATCTTCTGGCAAATCCTTGTTGATTAGATCTTCAACAGTCTGTAAGTTGAGTATGGCATTTACACCCAAATCTTATAGAATGCGGATTTCACTATTATATTACAATAAATAATTACTCTATATAAATAAATGAACCAACGTATAAGTTTTCAAAAACGCGATTATAATTCAGGTTGAAATCTACACTTGAGTCAGTTACATGCATGACATTGTTGATAATTGGATGGGATTGGATCATTCGCACACCCCCTCTTTCCCACTTTTCATTGGATTGGTATTTATAAGCCAATTAATGAATAGATTTATTCGGGATCTGAAAAGTTTGTGTGCATTCACCCTCAATTCTGTTGAGCGGAATCTTGTGTCTTCCTGTTTGAGTGTAGAGATTGAGAGTTATGTTGGAATCAGGGTAATTCATGAGTTTTAGAGTAATACGAAGATGACCCCAAACATCCTGAACATCTTGATGAGAATTGAACACTCTGTTGATTCCATCTTCCCATTGAACTATCTGTCTGCTGTCTTACTTAACAACTACATAACGATAATTCATAGGTAAACAACAGGAGTCCAGTGTGACAGTCCAGATATCATCTTAATTCCATTGCATTTAAATTCCATTCTACACATTCCATTATATCTTGTGACAATCTCCAACTATTAAAATCACCTCTCCATAATTGACATGTTTCTGAACAGAAAAACAACTCATTAAAATAATTAATAATCTTTCAAATCAATATATGTATTTTAATACTCAACTAAATTACCAATTTCCTGTACTATCTAATTATTCCAAATTAATTCCTTCTCCATACCCTATATATCCCAAATCAGTGAATGATCTATCAATCAACCTATGGTCAACGTACTTCCCTTATTTCTTTGGTACAACCTCTACTTCAGGAGTCAATGATGTCGATCCCTCATAAGATCTGGTAGATGCCTACTCATACTTATTGTAAATACTCTTCTATAATTAATCAGTAGAGTGGGTTGAATCCCTTCACAAATCTAACCCTATTCCAATTCCTCCTACTCTGAATTAATCTTCTTATGAGCAGTGAATTTCTTGTATTCCTCCTCACTCATCTTATGTCCAATCTTCTCATCAGTCCTCTATTTGAACCATCCTGAAGGGGGAATGCATTCCCTGAAATTCTAGAACTGAAACACCATATCGATATAGCGTTTCAAGGCATATTCGCTACTGGCATTAAAGCATAACTCTCTCTTCAGTGTTTCCTGAGCAGTGGTACGATACTCTGGCATCTGATGCAACATTGGCAACATAAACGAACAGAATGACAAAGCCTCGTGTAATTTGAATCTGTATTTTTCAGTCAACACATTATATAGATTCCAGAAATGCAATTGCTGAATTCTCTTCATCACTCCACTCTGAGAAAAGTAACGCTTATTGTAATTCTATATTATCTTACTTTAGCCTTAGCTCCTCTTGTTCCATACTCATACGGAAACTTGCCTAATAGTTCTTAGATTTAAGCTAAATGATCTTCATTCTTAGAGAAATTTGGCCCTTGTCTAGGTTCAAACAAATAATCTCCTGTAAGCATTTCAAATATCATGCATGCAAAACTCCATATGTCAGCTGTTGGATTGTACTTAATTCCCAATAAGACTTCTGGAGATCTGTATTGTCTAGTTTAAATCAATGTGGAGAAATGATGATGAATCCAACATGCATTTCCCAAATCTGCTATCTTCACTCTGAAATTGCCAGGCAATGCCTTCTAAGTCTTGAATGATATCCTTCCAAATTTAATAATTATTATTACTTTTTTTGATTATCCTATTTGAACAAATCCTTAATTGATTTAGGCATCTCTTCCTCCTCCTACTTCACAGGTCCTTACTTCTTCTTCTTCTTTCTCTGCTACTTCCTTCTCTGAGTCTTACTCATCTATGTCTCCTCTTCATCCTCATGATCTTCCTCCTCTTCCTTCTTCTACTCATCTTTTACAATACCCAACATCTTTCGATATATGTGAATTCTATCTGAAAACAGTTGATTTGATGTCAATTGCCCATTCTCCACTATATCTTTTATTTCCTCGTCCGATAAACATAGCAACACATTCTCTGGCTTCAAATCAGTGTGAATGACTCCACAAATTCTATGTAGGTAATCCAACCCAATCAATATCTGCTTTGCCATTCTTCTCACAATATCTATTGGACACTAACTTTTAATTCAATCAGTATACTCCTTTGTAATTGTATCTTTTTATTATCTCTAATAGATTCACTCCCAAAATCTCGAAAACCATACAAAAATGATGGCCATAAGGTCCTTTGTAGACAAACGAATTCAATAATTGCACAGTATGAGTATCGTCTCTATTGAAATGAGTACGTCCTTCCTTATTAATTACTTAGATCGAACTTATACTTCTGCATAATATTCTTTTAATGATTATATCCAAACAGGATTTTACACATTCTATGCCACTTTTTATAGGATTTCCACCTAAACAAACTTTGAACCATATATTTTACCTCGTCGTAAGCTGCTTCCAAGTAGTGTGATGCACTCTTCTGAATTTTTAGCGCCACATGTGTGTCATATTTGAAATCCTTTGCCAACCACACAGTTGAGAAATGTCCCCAACCTAATTTCTGAATGACTACATAACGATTCAGCAACACTTCCCCAATATGAACTGGGTGATATCCTTTCTTATAGTCATATTTAACAAACCTCCTATCTTATAATCTTCCATTCCCTCATCTTCACTGTCATGCTCCTAGTCCAGGTGATCCATCAACTCCCCTATCTGCTCATTGCTCACTTTTCAATTATGAATAATTCTTACCACCACTTGACATTTTATAAATATTTTAATATTAATGAGACATAAATCAAATGAACTAGTCAATCTCCTCATTCCTGATTAATAACCGTTTGCATTTAAACCACGTTTCTCCAAACATAAGAACTTTTATGCCAAATAACCAATTTTATAATTGCATTACGTTACTCCTACTCAAAAGCAAGCCAAACTCATACTTGATAAGATTTGTCACATCGATAAGAAGGCCATCGTTAACGACAGACCTGAGTCCTCCTTTCAAAAACGAAAGCATTTCTCAGTGGATTTGTGTTTTAGTTCAAGACCATCATTTTTATAGAAAAAATAAATTAGAATCAAATCAATTCAAAAACCTTATTTTTAATCCAATGTGTAACCAAACTAATAGGATCCCATATCAACTGATTTGTAAGCCAACTTATCAACTCCCCTTTAAATATCCGAAAAAGATTGGTTGGCCTTTGTTTTAGAATGATCTTTGTTTTTATTGTATATTTATTTTAGACATCTAAATAATCAAAATATATCATCTATTTAGTTGGATTTCCGTCATTATCGTCAAATCGCCATCACTGCATCCACAAAACAGAAATCTCTTATCCTTTGATGGAACAATGGACAATGGAACTACCTCTAATTTGATCTTGTGTTGATTTGGTTGCAAATACGGTAATTGTCTCCGAACGATCTCCCTGTTCTCTGTGCCATAAATCTTTTCTCTAATGTGATACAATACCATAATATCTTGAAAAAGATTGTTCCTTATAATTTGACAATCAATTATGGAGAAACAGGTTTCAGTTTGAACTTCTAAAAAGTATCCATTTATTGAATAGCTGTATATCTTGTGATCTTGGGCTGAGAAAAACACTATGCAAAAGAGGGGACGACTACTCAAAAGGATGGAGTTGATGGCTAGTTTGTTGGGATGGGTAAAAGTTCTCAAAAGGGATCCAGTATAGAGATTATACACATTGATGGATCCTCCTGCACAACCAGTGGCAAACAACTTCATACTGTTTGAAACGTTAATGCAATTGATCTATTATAATAAGTATAATAATACTGGGTTTTAATGTTGGAAATACATTCTTTAGACTTGTAACTTGTAGGTAGATTTGTCTATTTTCCAAAGTATCACATGTCCTGTTTTATCACCTGAAATTACCATGGACTCTTTTTTGTCAGTGATCAATTTGGTTATGGTACTGGTATGGAATTAATAAACATCGCTGATCTGATTATTTTCTCCAATGGCGATTAATTTACCAAGAAAGTAACCACCGCAAAGGAAGAGTTTCCCTTGATTCAATATCAGTACGGGATGAGATGATAGATAAACGATGGGATCCAACAACATAAAGGTTTCTCCTTAAGGTTTAGCAAAACTCATTTGTTTTTCCTTTTCAGCTGCAAATGTAAAGGGTGCTTGATTTTATTGGGGATCACTAGCAGCATATTTGAAATAATTAATTTTTCCATCCTTTCTCAAACACAACAATCGATTATTGGATATCAATTTGATCATTACTATTGCTTAACTGTTTAGAGATTGGAAATCAACTATGGGTTTTAACTGGTTATGAATATTCTTCTTTTGTGAGGGTCTAAATTGTGTTAATCTGGATGACGTTGAAACAAATTGAAATTCATTATATGTAATCTACTCGCTGTGTTATCTAGTAAATAATTGAGTGGGTGTTATGCCAAAATTAACAATCTGAGACTCGATTCCCAATTTATTCTCTTCCATCTTCTACATCGTAAGAGGACTGTCGTAAGTGAGATAGAAGAAAACATTCAAAGATTTCTAGGCTTCTCTGCCTCTTTATTTGTATCCATAAATGAGATCTATCCACTCTGGGAGATGTTTAGAAACTTCCTCACTTTCCAAGGCATTCCTATACCCACTTACAAACAACCAAGGATTACCCTCACACCATTTTGGCAGTAGAACATTATTCACCTATTTGCCATTCTGAGTTTTCCCAAAATTAAGATTCGCAATATTCAGGAACATTTCTGGTAGACAAAAGAATTCTGGAATGAGTTCTCTGACGTCAGCAATATCTTCAATAGCACAACGATAACTCTCATTAAAGGAGTAAAATAATCGATCAGCCATATCAAACTTGTCTCCTTGTATAGCTTTGGATGCACTAGTGAATGGTTCCAATCGGATCAGGTATTAAGAAGTGATCGCAGGAGATGAATAATGTGAACCATAATGAAATGGAGGTATTTCACTTCCCTATTCAGATTGTTCAAATCTGTCTATATAACTTTGGATTCTAGATTCATTCCCCATAGCTCCCATGGTCTTATTTAAAGGTCTAAATCTCCCTTCAGGGTATATCTTCATTGGATGTATTTGAATTTACCCGCTTTGATCATTCTCCTATAATACCCATGGGAATATAGGGTATTAGGTTAAATCATTATAACTCCTTGAGGACAGATTGTTAATCATAAGCAAGTACTTGAAGTTACTCATTTAAGATCTAATGTAGAATTAAAAAGTGTACTTAACCCATTTTTGGTAGTAACCTAGTTTATCAATCAACTTAACTGGATCTGTAGTCTTGCTCTGATTGAAAAACGGGGCATTGGAACTCTTCCTGAAACTCAATATCTTGATTGAAATTTCTTCCAAATCGTTGGGATCAGGAACACTGAAGAATATAGATTTACTTATTGTATTAACATATGTATATACCCATCAATAAAGAAAATTTCAAGGGCATTTTTTTTCTGCAAATATTTCTTCTTAATAATTTACACAAGATTGTATATTGGGTACTTCTTGAGAAGTAATTAATCATCTCTTAATTAGAAATCACAAAGGGAAACATGACTCACTTTTTCTACCAATTTTTCGTATTGCACCAAGAGTTGAGAGTTACTCAAAGTGAAAAAGGCATGATAGTTGTATAAACCATCAATGACTAAGATTCTCTTACCTTTAAATGTATTATCGGCAAATTATTTCACATTCAATTACTAAGCAAATGGTTATTGAGTAGCTATGGTCATGACGGCATTCTTAATATTGCTGCCTATGGCTTTACTCATATTATAAATTTAAGTGGCAGCTTGAATGGCTTGTAAATTCCCAAAGGATTTCTATTTAGACTGAGAGTATAACAACAAGGGAGCTTCAAGAGGAGTGTGAATGACAGGGTAGTTTCTGAACTACTCTGGGATTCTCACTACTGTTTTTAAGTAGGGACGAACCAAGTACTTGGTAAGCATTCTAGAAACCTTGACTGATTAGATATCATCCATTTAGAACTCGATATCGAAGTCTTGTATTATGGAATCCCTTTAATAGAATCCTTTCTTATTTGTAAGCCACTCTCCCTCCAAAAAGATCTGCCTAATACTCTTATAGTATTGATGTCTTCCGATTCTTTCTTTGTTGCTTTCAAGATATAACCATTAGGCTTTCCTTTCTTCAATTTAGATGAGACGGGCCTCACCAAAGGATTAGACTTCGTAGAGTAAAGTGTTTAAGGAAACACCCGATTCTTTAGACCAACGTTAAGGATGGACTATTTTGATATCCATATACTCTTGATCCAATTTCAATTTATTGATCAATTCTTCAAAGAGTTTTTCATTGGTGAAATTAGTGGTAACCAAAGCATCAAACAACTGCTCAAAATCTTCATATAATTCAAGGAAGAATCTATACAATATAGAATTGTTGTTCTTTTGCAAAGTTATGCTGATCATCAAACACATTTATGTGATGACTTCTCGAATTCTTGACCTTGGCACTTTCTTAAGGGTTACACCTAGTATCAATTATAGGGGATAAAATATTTCCGATTTGCAAATCTCTTGACATAGAGAATGTACCAATAGCAGTTGAAGAAGGTTATCCTCATCACTGACATTCAACAGAATTTCGAATACTTAGACTTGGTTCAAATTGGTGTTTAGAAATTAAAACATTCTCTGCGAAAACTCTCTGATTGGCCCATTGTAGAAGTTGGAGATTTGAACAAGTTGTTCTAAGTAAATAACAGATTAATACCATCAATTTGGCCTTTAAATACATATTCTTTATAGAGTAAATTAATTAGGATGTTGAATTTCTGTAGGTAATTTTCATATCGTTCTTTCAATTCAAACAGATACATAAGAATCGCCATAATGTTCTTCCATATTTATGAATCATAAGAGGGCGAATAGTTTTTAAATTAATCACTAAAATAATGAAACAATGCTTATACTAGAGCAATTCAAAAAGGGCTTGGATTTACTTTTCATTTTAACCTTCGAATTTTAGTAAGTCATAAAAGTACTCTGCTCCATTAATCTCATGTTTCATCACATTCAAGAGCAAGGTGGAATGCAAGCGATTTCCTATTTCATAGATCTACTAATAGTATTTATAGATTTACTAGATTATTTTCTGCTTAAATTGATATGGTTCTTAATAGGGATGATTGAAATTGATCTTCGTCCAACATGATCTTGCAATTGTTTTGATGGGATTTGCATAGACATAAGAAATCCTATAGGATTTGTGCCTTGAGGTTTTGATCCTAAGAGTACTTCAATATTTTCATAATGATATTTATAATGCTTGATAGATGAATTTGATCACCTTCCTCTATCATTACAGACTCATTGGCTCCTATTTTTAATTTATTGATCATCCAACCCATGAGTTGATTGTAAATTGGAGTCAATGTAGTCTTTGATTCAATTTGATCGTTCTTATTTAAAATTATTGTATAATTGATGAACTCTATGGCTTCTTCAGTTTGTTAGGATTAATAGGGATTGAATTGTTGTTATGAGATCAAATTCAAGAAGTAGATGATAATAGCCCTAACATCATTTTATGGGGTAGTTTTGAATAGAAACAACAATTGATGGACGATATTGTTCTGATTCCATACTTGTAAAATGTGAACAGTTTTGATTCCATCATCAATATTGTCAACTAGTAAACTCTATTAAATTAGAATGGATATACCTTGAGTATTGTCAATATTTGCAAAAGCAGACATGGAGACATTTTGTATAAGAAATAGGATTCAAAGAGAATTAAATTTTCAGTGGTATCAGATTACTAAGTAAGTAAATACAGTATTTTTTCAAAGAATTTTAATTGAAACGAGGGTTTGGGATTTTGATAATGCAGATGGCAACATTAATCATCAGCATAAGAATATATTAGGATGTCTAATAAATCTCTAGGAGAGATGATGCTAGTGAATTGATTCTGCGTGTAATTAATACAGGATAATTGTAGATAATTAATAAATGGTTTCTCTGAAGTACATAGTTAATGCAATTTAGAATTCCAAAGAATGTAAATAAAGAAGTGTTCCATTAATCGATTGTCTGTAATCACTGACTTGGTTTCATTCAACAATTCAACGCATTTATGATTGATCAAAGGTCTTTAAAAACTCATAATAATGGAAGCTATAGTAGGTATGAATTTAGAGTGATATGCTTCCGATTAAAGTTAATTATTGTTTTTCAAGATGATGTTGACAATTTCAAACATGGTTGCGATATGATCTGGATAATTGGCAGCTAAATGAAGGAGAGCATAGAATAATTTGAAGCCTCCAAATTAATTGAATTTATTCTTATCGGCTACCACAAAGCCTGAACGGTTCTGTAAAATACCTTCTTGATTGCCCATTATATCAATTATACGATTGCCACTTGCAAACTCAGGTATGTAGATTGACATTATGCGTTCAAAGTATCTATCCAAACAGGCCTGCAAGGTCTTCAATTTATTATAATCCATCTACTATTATCCATACACAGATTAAATTGTTTTGATTCTATATAATTAATTATACAAACTTAGTGGAAGATTGATTCATAACGATTATGCAAGTTGATGTTCCAAAAAAGTTCTGGCAAATATTGAATCTAGCAACACGTGCATTCTAATTCAAACGAGGGAACTCAAATAATTTTGAACTCTACTATTCATTATTAAAAAGGATCTAATCTTCAATTTAATCTAATTACTGTCAGATGAGAAGATGAGAATGTCTTCTATGGTTCATGAGATATCCCTAGAAAATTTTATCCATCCTTTAATTATCCTAAGAATAGTGTTCCTTAACCCATCTAAGGTTCTTTATACTCATTCCCTATTATTCGGTAGTAAACTGATCCTCTCATTATAAAGCATTCAATTCCACCTCCATTTGTTGTACCCTAAGCATGAATACTCAAAATCTTTTGAACTCCAAAATTATTCTCATTAAATTAATCATAATTGACATTCTCAACATTGAACCAAATGCAAAACCCAATACCCTCTTGGAATGGCCAACTAATATTGTCAACTCTAATTCCACTTCCAATTCCTGAGAAATAAAAGTGATTCTGAAGTCTCGGTCGTAAGGATTCCTAAATTTAATTATCATCTACTTTATACAATGTAAAAATATCAGGACATGGGTTCATTAAATGATACTTCAATACCTTCCTGGAGATGTAGCCTTTCTAAGCTGTGAGAGTGGCTGCTTTTATCTTCGGATATATAATTAAGTATAATTACATCATGCAATATGCTATCTTAGAATTCAGGGAGCAACGTGTTATACTTATATTGTAGGTATCTCTCCTCGAATTTGAGTTCAAAAGGATCTGTAACAATATTGTATTTGTTATTGAATTCCTTAATGGTTTATTCCAACATAATAATATATATAATAATATTATAATGGATCATTAACACTCCATATTCTGAATAAACAATTGAAAAGACACTTCAAACTTTTTAGATTAATCATCTATTACAAACATGGAACTTAATTACAATCATTGAACCAAATTACAATTGCCATTTAAGTAAATAATACCCATTATTTCTAAGATGATAATCAATACTCAGTAATATCACAAAGTTATTAAATTTCAATTAGAGTGATTGTACTTACATCATTTAGTTATGTAAATGCAAGTGCAATATAACTTTTAAATCTATATCATGCATTCCATATTGCTATAACAATCATTAATAAATTGTTTTCTTTTCTATTCCAATATACAATTGAAATTCAGATGTCATTCAAAACTTTCCAATATAAATCAACTAGAATGCTGCTTTATTATTTCTCTTTTAATAGAACAGTCCATGCAAATTGTTTAGATTTTATTTTAATTTGAAACCCTCACTTCAGAACATCAAAATTTGTAAACTTTTAAGAATCAATAACTATTTCAAGACCATTTCTGCAGTAAAATTCAATTCCATCCTATAATGTCTAATAATTGTGAGTGTAAGATCTTCTTGGAATTTCCTGAATAATCTACGATTTTCTTTAACAATTGTGATTAACATAATTATCTCACAGTTGAGTTATAGATGAAGTGATTCAGTTAAGTGAGATGGAATTTCATTTATTTATGAATATATATGAAAATGTGTAAAATAATTAAATATTAATTATCTGATGGGATGTCTAGGTAGTCGTCCTTAGAATGAGGAAAAGGCTTCATCTGATAGTTTGTATCTGTTGTTGGATTAATTGACAGAGGGACAGTTTGTTGAGACCATCATCATATACACATCTGTTTACAACTATTGCTACATCAAGCAGAGGAAGGAGTGGGTATTATAGAAGAGGAGAATCATAAAGAGTGCAGATAAGTGGATGCAAAGCAATTTGGAATCTAGAAATTATATGCACTCATTCTTGGATTCACATCCATAATCTATTATTTTATTGAGGCCTCTTCGAAATTTCAAACCAGCAATCACTTAAGCAACTATTCACACAACCCTAATGAAAAATGACTTCTTTCCCCAACAGATTTTTGTAAAGTTTGTGGATGTCAAACAATCATAATTAATCAATTTTAGCAACAATGGAAAATACACTATATTTTTGCAATTGTAATTGTATAAGTTGCAAAGTCTTAAGCAATTCTATAAATTCTAATAAATCATCACCATTAAGTTATCGAAAATCTTTAAGTTTGCTCAATATGAGTTTTATGGTTTGATAAATTGGACCTCAACACATAAATATGTAGATTTATAAAAATTTATCAATAAATATGGATGGCATATGAAATTCATAGATATCAATGAAAACGTGCCTGAACATCATTAGTGTATAATTATCACAGAGTATTTTAGATTTCAATTCAAATCAAGTATTTCACATCGAAGAATAAACCAAAGAAGATATATTCATCATCATTGATCCATAAGGCAAAGTAATCAGAGCAGAAACACCTGAATTTTACGTACCCAAAAAACCAGATTAAATCTGTGAAGAATTTGATGACGTTAGTTCTCAGAAATCTAAGGCAATTAAATATGAAAAGAAGTTACTGAAAGAATTACACATTCATTATTCATCATATATCAGTAAGAATAAGCCATAAACACCAAAACATACATTAACAAAATAATAGATTTTGCAATAACAAATCTACCAATCCAGTGAGACTATCAGCTATGTTTAATATAAGGATTTCAAGTAATTGTTTAAGAGTGGTCGCTTACCATAGATATTATCTAAATATCATCCAGGAGAACCATTTTAATTTGAACTCATTAAACAGATCTATTTTAATTATGATTTTGATGAACAAAAATTCAAAGAAGTTACTAAAACATACTTGTTACCTTCAATATATCCTGCAGCATCTATTCAGAAATAGAAAATACTCACAGAAACTTGTAGAGAATTAAAAGAATCAATTGGATTGAGATGGAAAGTATTGATCTTGCATTATATTAGGACCCTGATTTAAACGTTTATTCCATTCCTCACACTTACACATTCAATAAAATTGATTTGATGGATTTCCTATAGGATTTCACGTAATAGTTCCACTTCAAATTGAAACTATTTCTAATTAAACGAAGAAATATAGAATGGTAGACAGATTAGAAAAGTGAAAGCAAAATAATGAGAATTCTTGAATAAGATAAACTGGAGTGGACTAATCAAATGAGAGACTCATTTGTTTTTCTGGACATGTATGAATTACATAATAAATCTATTGCAATCAAGAACTTAGATGAGTTAAAGTTATTGAAATAATAATAGGAATAACATATCATCTAATTTAAGTCAATAAAAACTTAGAATCTGTGCGGTAATGGTATGAATTTGATTAAGAAATATATATATCATGGCATAGATTACCAGATATCAATAAATGAGAAATTGATGGATTTCGATGAATCCATTAAAATAACCATTAACACTTTGCTCTTTGTTTTGTATGATGATTTTGAGAAGTAAATACTTATAATTTTAAATAAATTGGCATCCATTGAGGATGAATTTTAAGAACCCACCAACATCATAATAATCACTTAATTAGAAAACCAGAGTAATATAATCAACGAGTTTATTACTTAAAGGATTCAAAAATTACAAATTTAATTTTGTCATTTCAATTAAGTTTGGAATCAAAGCACTGGGTTATCATTTAAATCAGATATTATAGAAAAATACTTCAATGTTAGAAGAGATTATAAAACAGTAATATATAATTTGATTAAATGATAGTTTTACATTGATAAATATGGTTATTTGATGGCAATTCAATCAAACGATGAATTTATCGATGGCATATGGGTAAACAATTAGAATTAGATCATAGTAGATTGGTTCATTCAGCAATTTGGGTAATATTATTATGTTAATCTTAGAATGACACATAAGAATGATGATTCGGAATGGAAATAAATTAAACAAGAATGTTGCTAATTCAATTAGAAATATGAAGAAATTGTGAGTAGATATGAAATTCCAAAATAGATGATAGTAACAATGAAATCGATTAAATGCTTACTCTGGGACAGTCACAATTATAGTTTTTTAGAATATTCAAATTGCCCAACTATTACTCACAATCTAAACGTAAAGTAAATAGCATTGTTAAATATTTTCATCCCCAATATCATAAAATTAATAATTTGAATACCAAACTTAAAAATCAATAAAAATCATCATCCTACTCAAATGTATTATTGCTGGCCACAACAGCCTATTATTTATATACATCATATAAAAATTATGAACTAGTGGCTTCATTAGGCTTCTTGTCTTCTCGCACTTTAATCAATCTTGGAAATCTCAATCCCACTCCTTTATTATTTAATTATAAAATTGTTGAACAAGCACTATAGATGGGTGATATTTGGATGTCAGCACTCTTGATCTCCCAAACAACAACAGGACTAAACCAAACATCCATATTCACTCCATCGCATTTATATTCTGACAATGGATGAGGAATTAAGTATTCTTGGAAGAATTAAAAGAACTTCTCCAAATTTTCATCACTAAATCCTGTGCCAATCTTGCAAGTGGTTTCATATTAATCCATATCTTCATTATAACAGGCCAGCAAATAGCTTCCGTAGAATCCCTTTCTTTTTCCTGTTCCATAACAAGCACCAATAGGTACTAAATCAAATGTATCAGACAATCCATTATCTAAATAATCCTTTTTTAATTTCAACCAATTAAATGATCTTTTGGCTGGTTCATATTGCGAATTGACCTCTAAAGTCTTGATCATTAAACCTTCACATCCCATTTTTATTGAATTTAACAGAAATTCTTCAATTTCTTCAAAATTTTCTGAGTCTCTGGATGTTGCAAACTTCAGCTTTCCTTCCTCCTCCTTGAATGTTTCTCTCAAAGTCTATCTTCTTTTCTCCAAAGTCTCTTTCAAAAAACTTTGCCTATTCAAATATAGTAAATCAAATATGTATAAACAAACTTGAATTTCAATTTGATTCTAATCAACATTCTTTTTAGCTCTACTTGTTAGAGTTTGAAATGGTAAGATTCTATTATTTGCAACATCATAAGCAACAATTTCAGAATCAATTATAAAACCATCCAAATGCTTATAATGAGTGTGAATGTAGGTAACAATATCTGGGTATGTTTGAGTCATGTTCTCTAGATTCCTTGAAAATATACTCACTTGACCATTTTCAAAATGAATCTGACCTCTTAAACCATCATATTTATATTCACATGTAAATTTCATATTTTCGAATCTCTAAAATATCATCTATATTGATTTCATAGGCTTAGCCAACATGGGTTTACAGGGCACTCCTGGTATAATATGACATACTTCAGGAACCTCCTTTAAACTTTAAATGCTGAATAGAGTATCAATAATCTTTTTGTAATTCGGACATTCACATAATGCTTGATTTATTATGCTTTCATAATCTCCCTCCACATTCCCCTTGTGATACAATTAGAATGCTCGAGCTAAAGCAGCTTACATAGTCTTTTCAGCTGCTCCAATCTTGAGATTCTTCTCTATGAATCTTATTATATATTTGGCTTCAATGGGTTTAGCCATTCTTAATAGATTGGTCAGAATTCTCTCTTTCTCCAATGAACTTCCTGTGCCTTCTTATTTTTGCAATTACTATAAAGTGTTAAAAACTTAAATCATTGTTAATTTCACTTCCTCCTTGACAGTCTGAGATACAAAAAACTTGTTTAATTACGTTTAAGTGGATTTTGATTTTTCAATCGCCAAACCTAAATCTCCCAATGTGTTCATTAAGTCTCTTACTTATTTTTCCTTTTCATAGTTATATTTTATATACACTCTTCCCAGACACAGCACTGATGGATTTTACAATGATTCCTTTGTCCAATCCCTAATTCCCATGATTCATAATCAGGTCCCAATTTCAAAATGCTAAACAAATATGCAGGTACAAATTCCTCTCTATTTTCCTTCATGATTCTAATAAACAATTTGGCCACTAATTCTTTTATAGCATCCTTAGAATTCTACCCTTTTATTTCTCCAACCTTTGATATTGAAAGTACACTCTACTTGTTCATATAATTCTGCCATATCCATGAATAGAACTGCACCTTTCACCTCTGGATTGAGTTGTTTCGATTTTGTAGAAGGCACTTTTAATTCAGCTATTAGTTTCTCCTTCTTGAGGTTTTCCTCTATAAATTGTTATTCCTTAACCTAATCATTCTAATCTTCTCCTTTCTTGCTTGATTTGAAGTATGAGGCAATGTTTTTTTGCATAAGGCGCGTAATAATTTAATTAAATTACAATTATTTACATGGCTTCCTATAAATCTATTTTTGACGGTCTCCTTGATTCAGTCTCAATTATTATTGTAGATAAGATTCTTACATTAAAATAAAGATACTATAATTCATCTTTAAATCGGTTTTACTCCATATTAGAAACCATAAGAAAATGAAGTGTACCTGCTACTAATTTGAATTGATTATCATTTATGGATATTTCACTTTACAATAATAAAATCACCAGGGAAGGAATTGATGCTCTAATGCAAGCTTTTATGTACCTCTAAATTTGAAAGATGTAAATTTGGATGTATATTACGCCCCAATCGGAAAAAAACGATTGTAATAGTATCCAAAGCTTTGCGCGAGTTAAGGAAATTGTGCAAAATTATGGTTATCTGTGTAAGATATTGGAATTAATGATGAATCATTTAAAATATTTAACAATAAATTTTCCAAATTGCCTTCATTTTAAATTACTAAATTTTATTTCAAATTATAAGTTAATTAATTTATTTAGTAACCCTTTAATAAGAAATTGGTTCAAAAATTGTAAAAGATGATTCACGAGAAATAGATAAATAGTTACGAGATATTTGTATGATTAATTATAAATTATCATCATTCTTATTATAATAACTAATGTTCTAATTTTCTATTATTTTAGCCTATGATTGAAATCTAAATATTTAATTAATTATAAATACTCTATCTTCAAGTTCTTTTATTTCGTCATCATAATCGATATCTGTAACCAAATTCTTTAGCTTCTTATTTTCCCCTTCTAGTTACTTAATCTAAGAGTTAAATAGATTATCATACTTTATCATTAAGTTTATCTAGATGAGTATTTCTTTGAGAATTCAACTTTTATTTTTGCATCTTCTCCTCATGCATAGCTGAATCGTATTTGTATCTATACTGAACTTCATCATGCTTTGATTTCTGATATTAGATTTGTTAAGATTGCAGTTCCAATTGCAATTATTATACTTCTTAATCCAAATCTGAGAATTCAGAATAAATTGTATTCAATTATTCATTTTCTAAGATTAAGCCTGTGACTTTGGATTCAAGGTCTTGTACTAAGGATTGGAGTTTGGTATATTCATTGAATTAATCCAAACCCTAAAGATTCTCGCAATTGAATTGTTCCAATTTTTATAGCAATCCATCATATTCTTCTTGCATCTACAATAATTCAGTTTACTATTACTCCTTTTCTTTACGTAATCCTTTAATATCGCTAATTCTTAACAATTAACTATTATCTTGATTCAATTTATCATTTAAAGTTTATAACATAATAATTTTATTTTCTAGTTCTCTGATAAATTATGTACTATTGCCTCTTTAAATTTATGATTCCAATTTAAAAATATCTTGTTGTAATTTCTAATTCTAATCTTTTATGAATTGCACTTCTGTTAATAAATGATTGGTTCTAGGTTGCTGTGAGATACCTCGATATCCTGGAGAGTGGATTTCGATGTGTTTCTAGCTGTAATTTTTTCGTAATGGTGAAGTTACGAGTTGCTGAATTGTGTTCCGACGTAGAGGAGCTGGACTCATTATTATTGAATTCTGTTGTTCTTAGATCTGCGGTTTAACTTTGAATTAAACATTATAATTTTGATTGCTTTTATAATCGCTATGAAGAGTGTTAGTTTTGAATTGTGCATTTTTAGGTGTCGCTCCTCTATTATCTTAATTATAGTCAATCTATGAGAGTGGTTATCTTTGCATATTCAAAATAAACTGTTAATTATAATTTTTAATAAATCATGGTATATACTCTTTGAACAATGTCTCTAATAACTAAATTGGATCCTTGAACTCTCCAAATCTATCCAATTTTAAATATTGTTAATTAAATTGTCTCACGTCCTTCGCATACTTCATAGCCATTAAATAGTTTTGTAAATAAAGTAATTCCTATTTATACTCCATTATATTTCATACTTAATCAGATTTATTATCATAGAAATTCAGGATCGGAATACCATTTAATTGCTGCATACAAAATGAATATGCAGCATTATCTATCAGTACCAGATCCGATAACTGTCTGTTTCCAATGACTCTAACCAAAAACAATCATTCAATACCTTAGATCTTTCACGTATGCTCCCTCTTCAGTCTATACACAACTCTCTCTGAAGAATCGATGCGATATCCATTATTTTGTTGGATCCAAATAATCAATCACAACATTTGCATAACAAGAATGTGAAGCTGTGAATACAATCAATTCAAAGTGTCTACTCAATGTCTATAACACCTATTGAGCATAAGGTCTAATGTTAATGGATGCCTAATTCGAAATGATATATCGTACCTCAATTACATCTCCAGTCGGAAATCTTATAGGCAATATTACATCACCAGGTACCTTTAATGACTCATTACAATGAATTAACGTTTCATCTAAATCAAACACTATTGTTTTTTTTAATGAAATAGGTGGCAGATTTACTTTCTTCTCCTCATACTGTTAGGAATTCTTCATCTTAGAAAATGAAGCAGCTGATATTGATTAAACTAAATGCTCTCTCACCTATTATATGGGTTTTGTGATTTCTGGTGTCATATAGCATCTTATCACTGATGAAATATAATATAAAAATTGAGTTTCTGACCTAGTTGATCTTTCTCTCTAATTGTTTGAAAATGCTATTTTCTAAGCCATTCCTTTAGCTGATTCAGGATGAATTTAGATTATTTTCTAGATACTCGCTTCGCAGCTTGTTTTCTATTAAGTGACAAAGGTTGATAAGGAAGGCTTTTTATTGAGATTATCATTTGATATGATTCTTGGGTCGTTTACCAAAGTGCTTGATTTCAATTTATTTTGCATTGAGTTCAAATCAAGATCATTCTTGCTAACTTTTGGTTTATTAACGTTTTCCTGTTATTGCTATTATTAATCATTGGTTTTCGTATTAAAAAACCTGGATGCTAATCCTTGCTTTGTTTACCTCTAACTATTATCAATATGAGTTTTGATATTTATGATCTTTTACTCCAAATATGATAATTTATCTTATAATTTTCTATATTCAAAGATTTCTTTAGTGTTTGGCTTCTTATTTGCAGTCTCTTATAAATTAGATCTAATCTCCATGTTCTCCTTCTAATCCTTATACTAAAAATTTTATTTGCTCAATTAAGTCGAACTCTTCATTTGAGTTAATTATTTCATCTAGTTAGCTGAGCTTGGTCTCGTTTGTTCTGGAATGTACCTTCCTAAATTCTTTTCAGATAATGGTCTTCTCAATTCATACATGTGAACGGTAAAATTTTAATTTTTAAATTAAATAGTGTTATTCAATTATTTTATATTAATCACTCAAATGAATCATATATTTACATATTATTAATGATATGCCCTTTTTATAGCTAACTTAACTAGATCTTAATATTTTTTTGTATTATTATGTAGTATATATAATTAGATTGCAACTTATAATGATATTTCAAATCTTATATATTACATAACAATAATTAGTTTATCAAAATCATTTGTTTTTCATAAAAACCTATAAAATTGGTGTCCCAGATTAGAGAAGATGTTGAGTTGATTGATATCAAGAATCCTACATAATCATAAATTTAGACTTGGAAGATATGTCTACTCAAATGAGGTAAATTTATGAAGTAGAAACTATTAATAATAGTATGTATGAGATCATTTGCTTAGCCTATTTTTTGAATAACATCATTTGGAAATGTAGATATTTAGAACATTTTAATACAAAATTATGATTAATATATGCTAAAGTTATTTTCATCTTTTTAAACCTTAACATAATAGTAGGCTTATCTCACTAAACATAATTCCCTCTATATTTATTTGGTAATCAAATATTATTAATTAACAAAAGCTCTTAGCAAATATATATGACTTTAATCTTATCACTTTTCAGTCAAACAGCATTAATTACTTGAGTTATTTACCTTGGCACCTCTTAAATAAGGCAATTAATATCACTCAAAGAATTATTAAAATCCCGTATTTGAATAATGGATTTTTGATAATATTATTGTAGAATAGAGACTATATTGCTCTCATTTGTCTTTATTTTCTAATTTTCTTTTCCACTTTTGCATTAGGAATTTTGTTACTATTTCTATGAATAATTATTTAATGCTCACAGTATTTCAATCCATTCTTATTTCAATCAGATTAAAGAGATTGAATGAATTATCCCATTTATTTATATTAATTGATTAGTGTGAATGATTATAACCAATTTATTACCCTTTTTCATTCTTATAACCTAAGAATCTGAATTTAGAATAATAGTGATAATTATAGGTGATTATAATAATGATGCAAATGATTAAATGTTTCATTCTTCATGGGCATGACTGGGTTATGTTCCCTTAATCATCCAACAGACATAAGCTGGGTATCCTAATTGGAGAGCTCTGAGCGATCTGAAAAACCACATGTTTGATTTATTCTAAATAAAAAATATTAATAATTAATCATTAATCTCCAGAAGAAAACTTGAATCTTTGTTTGTTAGATTTGACTTTTCCTTGATTTTATGATAGGAAATCAGGAATAGCGATTTATTACTAAGATTTTGTGATATTATTATTGATTGGAACTTCGATTTCCTAGACATATTGTTTGTTTAATTCTTGGGTCAGAGACTTTGAATCTAAGGATAGCTTATCTAATAAGCCACAAAAGCTATTTGATCTGGAGATCTTCTCAGAGTGACAGTCTTCACTTTTGATTGATTGCTCTCCCTAATAGTAATTATAACACATCTGATATTGCTGCTATGCCAAGTAGTACTGATATTAGTATATCAAAAATTATTGTTATTATATATAATTAATATTCCTATCTAAACAGATTACTTTTTAAGGTTTTTGTTCTTGCATTTAATCGCTACTAGCATTACATTATTAGGGAACTAATTTTTAGATGATGTTATTTATAAGTTAATCCATATCTAATTACATTTGTGAACCTTTCGACTCTTTGTTTATTAGACTCTTGAATCTATTTTTCACTTAATTTTCAGTTCTATTTTTCATCTTATAAGAAATCTTAGACCATTTCAATCCTTCAGACTGGGCTAATTTCATCAAACACAAATCCTCCTCCGGTTTCCAATAACTCCTATTAAAACACCTCTCTTTGATTATACCTATTGATTCTGGGATCCAAATAATTGTTCCATCTCTCTCTACATTGTTTGGCTTTCTTGAAATATCGGCCATTTGATTTGGTGAATATCTAAAACTGAATTTCGTGCCATTTCAAATTCTTACTATTTTCAACTTCCACTTTTAACATCTGCTCTTCTTCCTAACACCACTGCAATCTATCCTCTCTTCCGATCACATGACATAGCCATTTATATTAACAATTTAAACTACTTTTGAATTTAATCAACTTCTCAACCATCTCCCAATCGTTCTAATTATCATCATCCAACATACCATTTTTAAAAGATTCATTTTGTGCATCGTACAATACTATATCACTATCCAAATCAATATTTTCCATTCTTGGTCTGTCCATTAGGTTTGTGAATGCATTTAAAAGAAAGTCCTACTTTAACTTTACGCTTACTTTTGATCTTCAAATGTGTAAAACTCTTGCACTTCCCCAAATGTTATCACTTTCTAACTTAATTTAAAATCGACCGATTTCTAATATTGAGTCAGATCGATATTCCAATCCCCCTCCCCAAGACTCTTGAAGTAATCCAGAAGTACACTTCCATTAGATTTCATAGATTAAGATTACATTTAATATTTATCACAATAAAATATGACCCATGAATCTAAAATCAAAGATTTTTTTCACTAAATCGGTTTAATTATTAGTATTTATACTTATATATATGATACAATTATTTATAAATCATTAATTGGGATGTTCTCAAAATCGATACTGATATCGTCAATTATAACTCTCATTTGGAAATGCAATTTAAATCATTTTGCATGACAATTGAAGATAAAAAAGACAATATTTTGTTGACCTCTCCACTTTCATTTATTTAATTCTCAACATTGATAATTAATAAAAACGAATGTATATTATAATTTAATAGCCTTAAATGTCAATTTTAGGATGGTGTTCTTTTTTTACTCTTTGGTGGCCTATATTTTTGGACTAAATCGCCCTCCATTTTTTAAATCAAATTTGAACTTTTCAACATATTAAAAAGTATATTGTAATTAATATCACTCTTGCAATCCATAAACATCACTATATTTTCAATCTCCTCATCAATCAATTGTAAATGCTCTTGCATAATATAATTGAAAATGATCTCATTTACAAAACCTAAAATGACTATTTGAAATTCTATACCATTCTTATCATTATCATGTTCCTAAAAGATTTCTAATAGTTTAATCTACTTATCTTGGATTCTAACTTTTATCTTCGACATAATTCCCTCGATTATCACTGCACTAGGCAATTTCTTTTTCTCTTCCTATAATTATGGCATTTTGGCTTGCAAAACTGCGTGTCCATAAAAATGTCTCTTGGTTCCTATCTATTAATCTGTTGGTTTCTCAACTGTGTATCCAACAACTAAAATAGAATTCACTTTTACAATTCTCAGGAGAATGATCCTTATTTTTCTTGCAACTTTTATTTATTGTTTTTATGTTTAATGGCTCATTACAAAAATAGCATATCATTTCTGATTCTTTCAATTATTCAGTAAAGAATTCTACCAACTTTTGCCACTCTTTAATTTCATTCTCAGAGTGTCTTCTTAATATTTATTATGATAATTCCTCCTCTTGTTTTCTTTCGTTTATCATTCTCCATATTATCTCATTCAGAATCTCAAGCATTTGCTATTGTCCCTCCATCTTTCCTAGTAGTAATCTTAAGTCAGTTAATTCTCGAGGTAAATCATCCGGAATCTCATCTATTCCTTTGTTATAAGGTTTAGCAATCAAAAACTCAATCCTATCTAATAGACTCTAGCTATCAAATAGAAATTCAAGGTAATCATTCTTTTTTGTCAAATTAAAAAACTAAATTGCCAAGTCATTCATTTCATCTAAATCTCTAAAATCCCATATACAAGAATACTTACGATTATATCACTGATATTTAATGTTGTAGAATTGTTTATTTCATTTATTCAGCTTAATTTAGGCGGTCCTCTATTCCATTCATTTCAGCTCTGCAATCTCGCTCAATAATATTTTTCACATATTTGATCTCCTGAATTCTATATTCAATTCTATTAATCTAAGCAAATATTTCATCTCTCTTTGGTAAAATATTATGCAATATTTCTTATTTTATATGTTCAACTCTCATCTTAAATGCCTCTTACAATGAATTAATTCGATGTAACTAAATTCATTCCTTATTAACTTACAGTGTAATTATGCGGTCCCAGGGTAGTACAAAGCTTGCAGATTGGTTCTTCGCATGATTCACAGAAATAGGTTAATTCTCTATTGTGATGAACGCAATTTTTTTAATTTAAATTGCTCATTATTTATATAATGTTAAATAACTTACATTTCAAATGAAAATTATTATTATTTTAAAAATTGAAAGCCCTTTTTCAAATTTATTATCTACTCTATTATTGTTTCCTATTGTTTATAAATTGATTTACTTAAGTAGTTTCACACATATTTTGAAAAAATTAGTTTGAGTATTTTTAGTTTATTAAAATTGTCAATTAAAGCTTATCTTTTAGTAATATTATAGATAATTGTGGATATATTTTGAGATTTCCAAAATATCATAGAGAGAAAATTAAGATTTAATTCTGGTTGATTTTCAAATACTTAACTGATTTCATGAAAAAAAATATATGTAAGTTGAGATGGATTCGAAGGATAACACATATATCAACTGGTAATGATATGAAGTTCAGATCAAAAACATTTTGTTTAGCAAACTCATCATTTGTCAAGATAAGCGTAAATTAAAACATTAAACAATTGTGTAAATCATTCTAAATATATAAAATAATTTTAAAGATTTTGTACGTATTTAGAAGTATATTTCATATGTTTATATTTCTTTTTTATTTAATTTATAAGATACATATTCATTTCAAATTGTAACAATCCATGTTCTAATCTTCATAGGTCCAACTTGATCCTCATCATAAGTTTCTTAAGTTTCCTTTACATATGTGTCAGTCCATTCTAAAAATTGAATAAATATGTATATTACTATATCTGTTTTATTCCCAAGTTTTTAGTTCTTGATTGCCTGTTAAAGTAGTTTCTTTAAATTATAAACCACTTGGAAATTTAAGCTTTTAGATTCCTTCTTCTCTTAAATTATGCACTCTAACTAAATATTAATTCTCTGTTAGCCATGGTTCAATATAAAATTTGCATAAATTGTAATCTGATTACTTTTCAATGAAATTTTCAAATTTATTTTCCAATTTTTAATATTCGATTTAATCTTAAGTAGAGAAATACATCAATGGTTTCAGATCTTGTTAATATTATAATTGTCTCAGATTATTGGATTCAGATTTAGGATTGTAGAATACGATTGTATGGGACATCATTTGTCTCATTCCAACCTTTTTGTTATCAACCTCCTCTTACTCATCAAGTCTTTCAAAGACTCCTTTATTATCATCATTACTTAAACGTCTTTGTATCATTAATTCAAGAACGCCATTACTAAGACTAGTTCCTCCTTAAGCTCTATCGTTGAGAACTGCACATGCTTAATTTCCATTTTCATTCTAAATCATGATTGCACCATTAACAGGGAAGTAATTACCTGAGACTGGTTCAAGAACTGTCATTTACCATGAATCTCTGTGATTGACTTGACGTCTTTGTAATGTCAGTCCATTGCTATCCGTATAAAATACTTTATTATTATTGATATCTGTAAGGACTTGTAGGACAACTTCCTTTCCTCTATAATCTGACATATTAACAGAATCCACAAATGTATCAACATAGAAGGTGTTTTCATCGTCATCAAAGGCAGTAACCCATGCTTTAATTTAACTTTTTTCAATATAGTATTATTTAACCAGACTTCCAGTAAATTTATAGGCCTTTACGTAGTTTCCATATGGACGGGACTATCCATCTGGTCGAAAGACATAAGCACCTGAGGATGAAGCATAGACATTATAATTTAGTTTGAATTTGTCAAACAGTTTTGTATCTTTATCGACATCGATAGTTTCAGGTTCAATTGTGATAATATTGGTATTATCTTATGAAGCAACAGTCTGAAGTTTATAATAATGAATTAGCTTAGAATTATCAACTATTCTTGGTATATAAAGAATGCATTGTTCATTAATACATAGAATTTCTCCATTTAGTAGAGTGCCTTTTTCATCAGTAGCTTTGATGTACAATTTATCAGGTACCAATATCTTAAGGTATTCTTTGATTCCGTCATTATTAACTTTAACATCAATGACAGTTAGTACGACAGTTTGATTTTTGATCAAGGGATCATGTAGAGAGTGACAGACATTAGATCCATTAAAATTACAGGTAGAATGAGCTACTGATTTAGTATTTGAAAGAGTGTTGAGTAGAGCACTAATTTATTTGTTCATATTCTGATAGGCAGTTTTGATCATTTTGACGTAATCATTGTTGACATATTATTTGGCAGTTCCAGTGATTGCATCGTGATGTTAAGCAGTACCCAATGCTTCAGCCAGATCCTTGAGGTTCTTTTCATCGCAAAGTGATTTGCATTGATTGTTAATTTTGATGAAGGAATAAAACAATTTGACTTGTTGGAAATATCTGCCTATTCTTCTCACATAGCCTTTAAATGCCGATCTACTAGTGAAGTAGCCTGCCCAATATTGATTGGGGTAATCAGCATAAGGGAAAAAGTCTTCTTTTTAGGAGGGATAGGTAATGTTCTATTCGTACAATGCTTAGATATATTGTTTAGGTGTTCCATATTGAATAACCATTTTATATTTCTCTGTATCGCTATTGACTTTATTCATGACTCGATCCATTTATCCAAAATAGGAGGCCGCATCTGACCATTAGAAATCCATACCAAGAGTGTGAGCTAAGATTTTGCCTTTGTATGAATTTTATTGTTATTTGAAATATCTAGCAAGTTCTTCTGTTTTAGATTACAAATTGGAATCTGTAACCTATTACCTATTGGGATTGGTAACATCGAAGTCAAAACCTCTAGGTGATGAGTAATAACCATAATAATTGACATGTGTCAATATGGAATGTCCTGGATCACAATCAGGATGGATCACAAATTCCAACTCTTTCTTTTTTTCTCTAATCGAACGATCCTCTTAATCAATACGTCCAAAAAACCAAGCATTGAATCCCATCATGTTTGAGAATAGAGCTTGGGTGTTGGAATGTCCGAATGGATCTACTTGCCATCCGACCGATGGAATATAATTGAAGTGTTGTAGTAAGAATTTATGTCCAAGAGTCATCTGATCTATTATGTCCTCATAGTATGACGTGGCCTCATCATTCATACACCATCCTCCACTCAAAAACTCCAACTGTTCGTTCTTTACTAATTCTTTGACCTACTCTTTCATTGTGTCATTCTGTTCATTCCACCAACTATCGATTATAAATGAATTCCGATTACATAGAGAAGAAAGCAATCTCAACTTAAGAGAAATGCTTACTTTTATCATGTATTAGCTATTCCATATAGGAACTAATAATTTATTTGACTCCTCGTGAATCCTTGTAATATTCCATCAACGTCCTAACCCATCCAACATCGTCATGGGAATGAGGAAATAAGAATACTCTGAGATAATCTGTTTCAACTGTGTTTACCTTCCCCAAAAAATTACCACATGCGATTGATATAAGGGTTAGTAATAAAATCATAAACATTTATTTAATTATTGTAATGTCAGAACAAGGAGAAGAAGAATAACAATAATAGGACGAATAATAATAACTAGAATAATAGACCTTTCAACTTGATACCCAAATTGTACTATCATATTCCAATTTTTCAAGCCTCCTGAAGATCCCAATGTGTTTATGACTCAATAAAAGCTTGAACAAAATCAAGCCTGGAAGTGCTTTGATTTCCTATTCCCAGCAGGGAAACTAGCCAAACTCATCAAAGTTAATTATAACCAACCCAAAACCTTTCCGATGACTGAAATACTTACGAAACTGAAATTAGACGATGGATTGCCTGTGGTCAATTTTATTGGTTGCAGACACAACTTTGACAATCCAAACTCTAATCGTGGCAAATTCTACGCTGGTATTGCCAGAGCATGTCATAATACTGATGCAGTTATCATCGATAATGGAATAACCACTGGCATTGAAAAATTCAGTCTCAGAAGAAATTGCACTGTATTCATCCTATTCAAGCATAATTAGCTCATCGGTGTTGCACCTGAATAAGCTGTCTCCTATCCCAAATTGAATCCCACCAAAATTGAAAAAAATGAATTAAGCAATGGTCACTCTCACATATTCCTGATGGGAGGCGATAATGTGGACATTGGAAGTGAAGCACTATTTAAAATCAATTTATGCAAAGCGTATCAGATAGTCTATAAATATAAGTATTGCAACTGGGAAAATAAGTAAAACCCAAGGAAGACCAAGATGCAAAATTGTTAATATTTTATTCGCTGACTCTAATGATTGTTTTGATGAAATTAGAGAAGCCATTATTAATAAATTACCTATTATTGTAGTCAGGGGATCTCATCTCTGCAATCAATTCATAGATCAAGAGAAAATACTTGATGCAGGTATCAATCCTAATTAATCACAGAATTTGAGGACATTATGACTGATAAAGATGGATTCTTCTTCCCCTTAAAAAAACTAGACTCAGAAGTCATTGCATAAATGGTTCATTATCTATTGACATTTACTCCATCAAAACCTAAATAATAATGATTTATATATATATTCTATTAGAATAAGTATTGATATTTATTATAAATTCAATTAGTAAGAGAAACAATTTAAATTAGGATAAAATAAACCTTTAAAATAATGACTCAGACATTTTTATCCTATCAAGTTGAATTGGAAATGTTATGAGTAATACCTTTTTAATAGGATAGAGATATCAAAATCTTAATAAGAGATGAGTTTAAAGTTATTTTAGAGATAATTTTAATTAAGGATCTTTGAATATCTGGCAATTATCAATTGGCATTTCAATATATATAGTTTAATTATATAATAATAAAGAAATGAAAACTCAATAAGGATATCTATCAAATTTGGACATAGATATGTATCTTAAAACAAGCAGTAGATGTTATAAGAAGGTGAACGAGAATCGTAATTCATTGTTAGTATCACTTGCGTAACCTAGACGAAATAAAAATACTTCATTTATTCCTGAACTACAGGAAATGCCTACCAAATAGAGAAGGAAGAGTTATCAAGAGGGCATTTCAGGATAGAAAATGAATCGATTGAATTGTCTCTATCCTCAATTGATTTGTATGCAACATGCAATGCAAAAACCAAAAATAGACAATAAGGCCACGCTGAGAAAGGCTGTAAAGAGAGCTTCGATCATGATGTCAACGGTGAAATATTGGAAGGATCATTCTTAAAAGAAAATTGAGGTTCCAGTAATGATTAAATCCATTAAAACCAAAGACAGCTGTTTATATGATCGGAATGCTCTAACTACGAGGAGTGTGAAAAGAAGCGAGTTGCCTCCAGTCCTTCTTAGTTAATTCAAAATCAGAAATAACTAGCACTTAATCAAGTACAGTAGAGATAGAACTGCAGACAAGACTAAATCAGTTAGTCATCATCACTTTTCTCATCTCCAAACTCCCACAATCCAAGCTTTTTCTTCACGATATAGCATTCAGCATGCCAATATCAGAATTAAAGAGTGATCATAATATTGAATATATGTTAGACTCATTTTTATTTTAGAAAACTTTATAAATCCATCTCAATATTTTAAGCTTGCCGTTTGTACTCAGAAAAATAACTCTGATTTGATATATCAACTGACTCATTCTAAGGTTCCATATGATTTACTTGAGACCCTTCACTTTGTTGGGATTCATGTAACATTAAGTTGCTTTGTACACTCTAATGTTATTCTTCCGAAAGTAGATTGACACCATTCAGAAATCTCTTTTACTCAAGCAGTTGGATCTCAGGAATATTTTATTAATTATTGATTGCTTATCCAATCTGAAATGAACTCACACTTTATAATCCACTGTTCTCTTGATATATTTCTGAATGTTCCTACTGTGAATTCAAAATGAAATCAATTAAATTTCTCAATCCTAACAAGTTATCAATTACCACTTTTTTATTTATTTCCATACCCTAAGTCATATTCCAAATGAAACCATTCAAACATTCGAAACAAATTCTATCTTCTTGTGTTTCTATTTGCAGATTGAAATAATCCTCTATTATGGGTTGATATGATTCCCTTTATTGTTTTAATGGACTCATTGTCGCATTAAATGATGCTGAACCCTCTTAGGCTTTTTATTACTTTACAGAAATCTTTTGATTCAAGAAAGATGATCCTGTATTTAATCTCGAAAGAGCATTATAATTTTAATTGCTTAAATACATTGTAGAATTTATATATAATTATTCAATTTGCCTTGACTATTCATACACTAATGTGTTAGTTAGACGGAATTCTACTAATTATCTGAATCGGGTTATTATAAATATGCCTAGAATTTATAATTTATTAATTGAAATCTGTTTTATAGGTATAAAAATAGAAAACTAAGAATGTTTAGATAAGTAAATATTAAAATTAATAAATTCTGATGAGCGCTCCAATTAAGATAGTCATGTTAGGGGAAGGTTAGATTAGATGAATTAATGATTAGGCAGAGTAGGGAAGACATGTCTGACTTTAAAATATTGTAAAGATTAATTCGATGAGAATCAGTAATCCTCTATAGATGCCACATTTTTTGAGAAGAGTGTAGACTTAGGTGGAGGCAAGAATATAACCTTGGCCATTTGGGTACCAATGACATTAATAATAGGATACCGCAGGACAAGAGATATTTCATGCCTTGACTACAGTCTATTATAGAGATGCATATGGGGCAGTGTTGGTTTACGACGTAACTTATAAGGAATCATTTCTGAAAGTAAAAGGGGTGTATATGTAAATCTAGGTTGAGAAATGGGTAGAAGAATTAAGATCATTTGGAACTAAGGATATTTCCATAGTTGTTGCAGGTAATAAAAGTGACATGAAAAACCAGATGTAAATTGATAAGAATGAAGTGGAGGAATACTGCAAGAAGATTGGAGCTAAACATTTCTTTACTTCAGCTAAGTCAGGAGTTGGCATTTAGGAAATGTTCAAGACTTTGGGTGAGAGTAAGACTTACATTTATTCATAGGTATCTCAATCAAAGTCTAAGCATAAGAAAGCAAAGGTAAGAAAAAGAAAGGATTATAAATTAAAGATGTAAAAGAAACTAAGAAAAAAGACTAAAAAAATGAAGTTTGTTGTTGAAATAAAAATGAAAAATTATATTACATCCTAATGTTTTTAGTTGTTGTTATTCACTTATCTCGTAGTTATAGTGTTCTTATTTGATAAAATAGTTACTATAATAAAGATACTAAATTAATGATAATAATGATTGATTCATTCACAAGAATTTAATATTTGATATATTATAATGAAATTAGCAATGGATCGAAAATTTCATTTAAATTATCTATTTATATATAAATTATTATTTATCATAAATCGTTATTTAAAATTAAAGACTTTTTCATACTAATGGTATTGAATGTTGTTTTAGAATTTCCTCAAATTATTAAGATGATTAATTTTGGGTTAATATGTGATTGTGACAAATTTTATTAAACAATTATGTTGAGAATTGTAATCAACAATATCAAAAAACCAAAAGAAATTCCTGAATAACAGAATTCAATTAGCGAAATTCCTCCAGACACTCAAATTGATAAGAATGAAAAATAACAATTTGTTTAGACTAATTCGATTTTAGAATCAGATATTTTAAAGGTTACAAATACATTAGAAATTAAATAAAAAATAGAACTTAGAAAAAACGAGATAAAGGAATTAGTCAATAATGATATTGCAATTAAAATTTAAGAAATAGAGAATCTTCAAAAACTCTTAAAACAACTCAAAAAAATAGTATTATAAGAGGTAGATTAGATAATTGAAGAAGCAGAATAATGGTCCAGAAGGTTAAATTCTTTAAGGTTTGATTAGATTTCGAGATGTCAAAATAGTAAAGGTGTGAAGGATAGTAAAATTGCAGATGAACAGTATTTAAAATGGTAAATAGATAAGATAAATTAAAAGAATAGATATATGAAGGAGAGAATTATCAAAAGATTACAAAGATTTAAGAATTTCAAAGGAAATGAAGAATGTCTTACTCGATTAAATAATATTTAAATCGAAGATAATAATAATGAATATATTTTGATAGAAGAGGATGAGGAAGTAACATCAAATGATTTAATATCTGTTAGTGAAGAAAAGAAATAGGTTGATTAAGTTTAAGAGATGGTTGAGATGAAGTTGATTGAGAATACAAATAACAAATAAGATGGTAGATGTGAGACAATAGTTTTTGATAAAACTGGATCAATCATGGTTTCAAATGATATGGAGTCAATAAAAATATGGAGATTTGAAAAAGGAGAATTAACTCTATTAAATCAACTTTAAATGCATAGTCTCCATGTTAAATGTCTAGTTTATAGTAAGTTCAAAAATAACTTTATTTCTGGTTCTGCAGATAAGAAGATAATTTGTTGGAAATAAGCCAATGGTAATAAATGGCATTCAAATATATATTAATATCATAATGATACTGTTAATTGTTTGATATTAAATCAAAGAGAAGATGAATTGATATCAGGAAGTGATGATAAATAAATTATCATTTGGAGTGTGGATTTTGTAAATAACTACCTAACTTTTAAGTAATCATTGAAATAACATTCTGAATATGTTCTATCATTAAGTTATAATTAATCTGAGACCTCTTTTGTATCTTGTGGATTCGATTTATATATTATATGGAAGAAAAAATGTGACAATGGTAACTAATAAATACTGAATACAACTAAATCTAGTGAATCGCAGTACTATTTAGATCAATTAAAATATTTACCCAAAGGAAATAGAGTTATTTTTATTAATGACTAGTAATTTCTTTGGGTAACCTAAAATTAGGGGATTTTGGTCTTTGAAGAAAAATGGTAAATCTTCTAAAGGTGTAAGAGCAAGACTATTCATATCAAGAACAATGATTGCGAAGATCAATATTATTTCCCTATAATATACAATAAAAATAGGAATTTCCTACTGATCAAACATAAATATCATATTTATCTAATTAGGGAATTAGACAATGGAAAATTCATTATTCTATCATCAGTCGATTGTGGAACCCAACACAATTATGGTGCTATGACAAATGATGGATAATATGTAGTATTTTGGGATTAGAAATTAAAGAAATATTCAACTTATCAGGTAACAAAAGTATGAATGTGTGAATGATTGAACATTTAAATATAAACCTCTCAAGAATAATTTTCTTTAATATCAAAAGTAATCAATAGGTAATAAAGATCTTCAAATCAAGAAGACTAATGAAGATAAGAGAGAACCTTTTTCATATTATTCCAATATTTAAATAAATAAGATTACGATTAGAAATTAATAACTCATTATTTCCAATAGCTTACTAATTTTGATTATTCTTAATATAATCTAATCATATTGGATTATGTATTAAGATGCACATATTGTGTATGAAAAAGGAGAATAATATTATGAATAAGAGAGTATATGTAAATTATGAATAAAGATGGATGTAGAGACCTAAAATTGGAAATGTAGATATTGTTAATCAGTTTTAAGAAATTAATAGTATAAGTGGAAATTGTATATAATTATTATTATTATTATAGAATATAAATCATTATCATCTAATAATACTCATTTTGGTACTTTATCAATGGAAAATGAAGTAATAATATATGAATGGCACAATTAAATACTTTAATAAATTGGATCATCTGTATAGATAGATACTTCATTTATTTGTTTCAATATTCATTTATCTCCATTTTTTGATATTTTGGTTGATTGCTATTAAGATGATGAATTTAAATTATTGATTGTTTAGGATTAATAATACAATACTGTATATACATCATAATCATCTATACCTATTAAAACCAAACTCAAATCAATGATAAATGATAATAATGATACTTATATAATATATGCTTAATATTATCAAGATTACTGTATGCTCTCATTATTTTCAAAATAGTATTCAAATTTAAGTTAATGGAATAACAACTTTATAGATTTTGATATACCCATTTAAATTAAATCCTTACATTTATATACTCACTTAACAACAGATCCTATAATGTACTATTTCTTCAAATTAAACTTTTTAACTTCAATATAATTTCACATAACCTAACATCTCCAATTTTCTTACTATCAATCTTTATTACACCATTTCGACTTATTCTTAATGTGATCAAATATTACTATAATACACAGTATTTATTATTACAAGAAGTGTAGACGAAGTTGATAACAATAATATTACTATTATTCATACTGTTTATTTTTATAATCCTGATTACGATTTCCTTTAGGTTATAAACTAAAATAACACTTGAAATTTGATTTATTTCTCGCTATTTAGAATTAGAATTCATTTCTATTCATATTAACTTGCATAAAGGTTAAAAAAGAAATATAAAATAAATAGAGCAACTAAAATTTAAAATAATTATAGCAAAAAATTTTTTTTCAGATTATTAATAAATGAATTTTATGAATCATTTCTCCTTTATATGAGTTATAAGAGAATTTAATTGGATTGTTTTTGTACTAATAATATGAATTAAACTTATCTAGTAAGCAATCTTTTATTCGAAATATAAATATGAATTTCTGTTAGACTTAGGAACTAATTTTCATACTACCATAAATAAATAACTTAAATTTAGAATATTCTTTAGGTCGATATCGTCTAAGAATTATACTGAAGCCAATTATATAGGATATATAATTAGTACTTATTTTATGAATATAATTAATTTTGTTTTTAAAATGAATGATTAATTATAATTATATTTATATTTATCAAATTGTATCAATTTCAACTCCATAATAACCAACAATCTTGACATACCTAAATATACTCTTCAGCATCATCAACTTCTCATCACTCACGGCATTGCAGGATTCGAAACTTAGATGTCTTAATTTTTTAAATAAGCCTGAATATAAATTTTTAGGTATGCATTCATCTGTTAATTATTTACATCCAATTAAATATACTTCCTCTAATTGAAGAGCTTCTTCGAATAATACCGAGACCCAATGATTGTAAATGTCTATGCTCCATGATAGATTAATGTATTTAAGTTATTAACAATTCTTTATTATTTAAAACAGAACTCTGTCTGTAACTCCATCACATTAATTTAAATTGATTTTCTAGAACTATTTACCTTAGAACAATTATAACATAGAATTCTCTTCAATATTCTAAGCCCTAAAAATGGATAACCTATTAGATAAAGAATCTACATTACTTTTTCAATTTATAAAATTCACTTAGTTTGAGGATGTGGAGATCGGAGAAATCGTAAAAGTATTGAATATACAATTTCTCTATTTTGTCCTTATTCAAGCAATTAAGGATTTGGAGCATTTCATCATGATTGAATTCTTCGGAATCAATTTCCAATTCCTTCAAAGTTTCATAAGAGTTTTGAACCATTTTTAGGACTTCTTAAGGTTTCATTCCTTGCCATTGGAGTGATATGGCACTAAGATTTTGGAATTGGCCTAGTTTGAGATTCTCTTCTGTTTTTTTTAGAACTCTGAGATGTAACTCTTCTAATTAAGGCAATTGAGTTAGTAACTGCAATTCTGAATTATTGATGGGCATTTGTATTTCTAATTTTTTGAGTTGTTTTTGATTGACCAATATCTTATCGAATAAATTGAATTAATTTAGTTTGATTGTGAGTGACTCTAATTCAAGTTAAGAAATGGTATCAACGATTTCCTTTTTCCTTATCCACAAATTATCTTCATAGAAAATTAAGTCCTTGATTTTTATTTGATAGATTTTCTTAGAATGCCACTTAAATTATTATGGAGTATTGTAAGTTAATTTACTAAAAATTTTCCTGTTTTACAAGCTGTCTAAATTAATAAAGCTATGCCAACTCTGGCAAACTTGCTCGCATCTTGCTATATCATTGATTTCAAGATAGGTAAAGATTAGTAGGATTATATTTTTATTTTCCATTTTTTATTTAATAATATTCAATTCTTTTATAAAATCAATAAATATACGTTATACTTAAAATTTTATTGGTATATTAGAAGTCAGTATTTTGTAATGAGAATAGGGTACATAATTACCAGAAATTATATTATTATTTCTAGTCTGTAAATAAAATGAATCAATTAATTAAAACCACAATCTAATTAAGCTCAAATTGTGAATCAAACCTATACCCATATTATGTCATTCAATTTTAATTTTTAACTGAGAAGAAATCTTTTTTTCGAATAATATAATGAAATAAAACAACTTCTTACCCTCCTTGATAACTGCTTTACTTATAATTTGCGCTAATTGTGTTACGAAGGATGATCTGATATCCTAAATAACCGAGAAGCTTGATATAATGGACAATAAAATGAGTATTATCATCCAAGGTGCTGATGGCTCAATTTACCTAAAGGAACACCTCAGCACAAGTGGTACCCAACCTTATGATGATGATACAACCATTCACATTGCTTCTGGCTGCAAATGGATTGCCATGGCCACAATTATGAAGCTTGTAGAATTGCAATAATTGACTCTTGATACCAAAGTAACTGACTTTTATCCTGAATTCAAAGATTCCAATCCAACATTGACTTTAAAGAATTTAATGACTCACACCTCAGGTTATGAGTTGGCTGATGATTGGGTTTTTGATTTACAAATTACTTTATAACAATCTATTTCAGGAATTGCTGATGGAGGTCAATATCCAGCCAGCACTGTGTACTTTCCAGGAGGTACCAAAGTTGGGTACAGTGACATTGGAATGTAAATAGCTGGAGGCATTGCAGAGAAGGTTTCTGGTAAGACTTTTCATGAATTATTTAATGAATATATAGCTACTCCATTGGGTATGAAAAATGCTGTTTTCACCGCCTTCGATGGAGAAAAAGGAAATAATATCGCCATTGCAGATGGGCTTCTGATTAGAATGATTGATTATGCCAATTTCATGAGAATGTTGTTAAATCAGGGTGCCTTTGAAGGGAAAACTATTTTATTAGCTTCCACTGTCGAATTGATGCTCTAAGACTACACAGGAGATTTGCCAGTTTCAGAGGAGGTCATGAAGGTTGATTCAGACACGCAAGTTGAAGATTCATATAGTTTTGCTATTGGAGCCTGGGTATATGACACAGGTAGTGATGATAAACCATCAGTCTACTCAAGTCCAGGTATTCATGGATTTGAAAATTGGATTGATGTTGAGAATAATTATCTATGTATCTTCTACATTAGAACTGATACTGATAATGAACCAGATGTTTCAGAGTTGTCTGAATCAATGAGACCTGACATTTTAGATTTCTATCTCAGCGAGAGTGGAAATTATTCAAATTTAATTGCCCTAGGAATTCTATTCGTTTTCGGCATCATGTTTTGAGTTATTATCATAAAATAATAAATAAAAAACTTCAAATTATATATTGTAAACAGATTATTACACATAAACTAAATTGTGTAATTATTTTACTTCAACAATTTTGTATAATAAAATTAGGTTAATTTATACTAATTAAAAAATTTAATTTCCCTTAAACTTCCCTAAAACATGTTGATTTACAATAGAAATCTGTAATCCATCCCCAAACCTTGAAATAATACAGAATTACAGATTATATTGCATGTAAAAATGTGTTTTATAATTATTAATATTATAATGGGAGATTCCTTAGAGTCTCCATCTTAAAATCTAATGAAATCAGCATAAGTTCATAAGAGTTCGGTTCATTTCCAGGATAGCAATCAAATAAACAAGAAGGATAAAAGTAAGTTAATACAGAATGAGGCTGACAAATTTAAGTACTTATTCTAGATCCCAAACATCATTTCCGATCCTAAATTAGTGTAGAGAAGAAAGACTTTCGAGACCTTCACAAAGAATTCCAATTTGGATATATATTACATGCATTTGAAGAAGGCATCAGGAATAGCAAGGAGCATATCTCAGAAGGCAGACTATCAGGAGGTGGTAGCCAAAATACACAATAATAAGATGCAAGATTAGTTCGTACATAAGTTGCACAAGAACAAAGGGTACATATTGACAAATGAGTTGTGGTCGAATAAACTATTGAGTCAGGTGTCTGGTCAATCCAGACTCAGAGAGTTGTCGTCAATGTTACAACTGTAGAAGATCAAGATGAATTCCGAGGAACAACTCAAGAACTATGAGCAATACTTTAAGCAGTTCGTGTAAGTCAAATGTCAGGATAAGGGAGATATGTCCAAAGCACTCAATGACATAGATGATTAGATCACTCTCGATTAGAGTAATAAGGAGAGCAGAGTCCAATCAAGAAATCATAGTGTTCCCATGAAGTAGACTGATCAAAGTTTTTTCTCGAGGGAAATAATGACTGCGTAGATGGATAAGAAAAGAGCAATACATTCCTTGCATAGTATAACGAAGATCGCTGAGTTACTTAAGTAGTCTAATGAGGAAGTGCAATCAACTCAGGAGGTTGTATCAAAATTGAGGAGGTTTACAAAGGAGGAGGCAGAAATTTAGAACAAACCGAAGTAGCTGAGAATTAGGAGACTGTTTGCCGAATAACTCAATAATGTAATTAAGAATTCAAAGAAAATAATTTGATTTTATTATTCATGTTATGATAATAATCGAGTGAATAGAGTGAATAGATTTGATAAATGATTAAATATATGCATCATGAATAGAAGTCTATAATAATCCCTAGGAACCAAACAAATTGTAATCCATAGTATGCCAGCCAGAGAGTGTCTTTGTGATTGTTCAAATTTTGAAATTTGTCATAAATGCACAAATGTAATACAGCAAGGGGGACGAAGGTGAGCCAGGCTAGTATAGCTGAAAACACACTGCTTTGAATTGTAGACATGCTCAACAAACCTAATGGATGGATATATAAATAACAGACCTGCGATTCCAAAGTAGGAACACTCTCCTATTGACATACTCTTTTTATTCTGGGCCTTTGAAGAATGCATTAATAAGGAGGGAAGCATAGTGGAAGATGAATAAGATCAAGATGGCTATAGCAACGGCCATTCTTTTAGGAATAAATTCAGTCGTCTCCGTACTCATTAATAATAATAATCATTCAAGTTTTTGAAGAGGTCTTAAATTATTCCAGGGATTTGGTCATTCCAGATCTTGAAAAACTGATTTTTATCAATGAGTTTCAATCTATTAATGGGATGTATAACAATTTGATCTACTTCATCCTCGACTTGAGAGATCATCATCCGTTTGCCCTTGGAAGTTCTTTTGTGGTTGATTACGATGGTTCTAAGTTTAGGTAACCTGGATGATTCACTCTTATCCAACTATGACTTAAGTAGACTCGACCGAAGTTAAATCATAGTGAGAATGTCATTCTCAATAATTGAAGTATTCTTCTCTACTGAAAGGATAGAGAGCAAGTTTGTACTAGTGATTACACCTTGTCCTGATAAATCGTATATTTGAAAGCAGAGATTCAGGTATTGCTTTCTGTCCAATTGTTATAATGAGATTACTAGTTATTCGTACATCTGCAGTGTCAACGTATCTGGCACTTTTAGAACTCTATTGATCTGTTCGACAATGATCTGACTGTAGAATTCCCTCAAGTGCCTCAAGAGCTAGCCCCTTTGCAGTCTGTGTCCCACTCTGTCCACATTGATGATACGATTGAAAGTGTTAACAACACATACTCTCTAATTTATTATCTTTAATCTTTGGGAATAGGTCTCCTCTGGAATAGAATCCTTAGATCTCATCACCACGTCTATGGTTTCACACCTGATCTTTGGTTTCTCTACTATCGGCTAGGATCTAAACATTGACTTAGATATTCCGTCGGAATTAGAACGAGACTTCTTTCTCTAGTTTTACGGATGGACTCGGGAGTACTGCTGAATAAGAGTGGCTTGGAACAATTTAGATTTATATCGATACCATAGAGATTATGGCGAAATGCATTACTTGTTATATACTCAATTTAATTCATTAATCCTATCAAGTACTTTTTGCTTCTAATTTAAACATTATAATTTATAATCTTTTATGCATGATTCCATCTCGAATTCACTTACTAAGCTATAGCAATTCATCTCCTTCGTCATAAATTCATCCTATATTTGGAGGAGTGCAACTATTTTACCTCAATCTGCATCATCTCGAATTCTGCTTACTTTAACATATCTCCCACTCTCTTTAATTCAACCTTATAATGCTCAAAACAATCAGAAATCTATTCCAACCACCTATTATCCTTCTTCTCAATCGAATAGCATCTCTACCCCAATTCTGACACCTCCAATAACTTTCGACTCTCGATCTTCTTCAACAAACTCAATTGAGCGAATTCCTTCAACACTGGATTTGCATAACTCGACCTTTGCAAATCGAAATTCAAGAACTTTTTCATTATTATTATTATATTTATTTATTTATTTATTCTCCAGCACGATTACCATCACAGACTAAAATTTATAATAATCTCATTCAAATATTAATAATATTATATTACTTGAAGTGACAACTTAAATTGCACATTCAAAATGTAAAGTAATTCCTAATCATTAATTCATTCCAAAAAAAATGAGAATTAAATAGTATAATTCAAATTTGCAATAATCAATTATCTGTATTCAGCATAGATTACCAAAATGACAACGCATACATACATATAACTATATCAATTAAAAAAGTCCTTTGGAATTCTCCCTATCCCTACACTTATTTAACTAGAAATTGGAGAAGGCATTCTTGTTCCTGTGTCCATCAGCAATAGTTCGAGTAGATTATTTTATTTGATCTTCTGAAATTACACACACTTAGTTTTGACTAACACTTAGGATTGCTGATTGCTCTAGGATGCATTTCGTTTCCTTTGAGATGTAGCTCGAACAGAATTTAGTCGATTTTGAATTTAAATTTTATTCATAATAAATATCAAAGTTGAACTCAGACATTTAGGTATGTTTGTTAATTAAAATCATATTCTTGGTATAAAAAGTAATTTCCTAATTATAACCTTCTCTTTTAGAAGTTGATTCGTAAAAATCCTTAGGTATACTTTTTTTGACTCTTTAGTTATTTTTATAGGACATTAGTAGATTTATAACTATGCATTAATAATTGATTAAGTTATCTGAAGTATCATTTTAAATGTATGAAATTTTGGGAAAATAAACTATATTTTTGTAAAATTCATCAATAAATTTGGATGTATAAATATTTACTGTTAAAGCCTTACATCCTTTGGCTTATAAACAATGCTATTTTCTGTTTGTCATAGTACGTTTAGATAATATACAATTGATATGGTAATTTACTTTATAATCACAATGTGAATTACCTTAAGATAAATGTAAATGGATAATAAATTTATGAATTAATAAATTAGATAACATAACTATTTAATATGACTAGGATATAAGTATATATAAATCAATATTTTTTATATACAAAATCTTGGATCATAAAAGCACAAATTATACTTGTAATTTTAATAGAAAATCTTAATTTTAACACCTTGTTGTTTTTCAAATTCATCAAATATCTTTTGAATTTTACGGAATACCTCTCTTTTTATTCTTGAAACAACTCTATAATTTAATTGACCAATTTTTAATTTCTTTTTTTCAAAATAACACGACAGAACGATATTCTTAATCATTTTTAATATTTTTGATTCTCACTGCATTATTAATAACAACAAAACTACTCACTTCCTCCCAATATAATAGAGTTATTAATTGATCAATCTTCTCTTAACTTTCAACATTCTACTTCCAATTACTAATCAGTTTCTAATATCTAGTAGGCAAAACCGTTAAAAACGTGTTTTATGTCTCTAAAAATGTAATTGAAATTTTAATCTATTCCTTGATTTTAAATCTTTGGGTACTTCCCCTTTCTCCTTCAATACCTGAATTAATTTCATAATCTTTCACTTTTAATTTGATTGGCTTCACTTAAGAATTAATAGGATCTATATATTATGCTGTTTCTGATTCTTTAATGTTTCTGAATTAAATGGAACAATACTTCTAACCATGCTATATCTACATTTATATCCCTGAAATCCCAGGATCAAGAAAAGTTCCATAAAACTGTATTTATTTTCCAATAAAATCCTCATCTACTTTATCTTGTAGATTTCTAAAATAAATATATCTATTTTAATCCATTTTTTTTGGGTAGTTCTTCTGAGATATTGAGATACATTATTTCCCCTCCCTCCCTCAATCTCTTTAGCAGATGATAAATATGACAGGGTTGTTGTTTAATTTAGCGGTTCAGATGGCTTAAATCTCTTTAAAGTTTGGATTTCATACTCTTCTAAACATGGTTGATTTCTTTAAGCATATCAACATCCACTTTACTTGCATTTCTTAGAGTTCTTCAGTAATTGTTCTATATCATTAGCGTCAGAATGGTGTGGCTGCTTTTTATCTATTATTAATATACAAGATGAGTTTATGTTTTGATTATAATCGAAAGTGTATTATTTTCCACTTGTTTACTTATCTTAAAAGATTATCATTTATAATTATATATTATTTATGTATATCTCTAATAAACTTGAACTTAATCGATTTACTATGGATGCCAACCTTCATGATGGGGAAATGGCTTCGAAAGTCAATTATTTAAACAGCATAATTCTCGCCCGAAATCCAATCGAAAGGTATACTCTCTTAATTTTAATGAACCAAGACTTGAAAATCAAAAACTGTTTTCTGATCCAACAATTCTTGGAAGATATAAGAATTATCGTGGAGCCTCTTCTGAAATAGCTACTTACATTAAGAATCTAGACCCAGTGGTTAGGGCAGTTTTTGTGGTGGATAAATCTCCCCCTTCAGCTCGATTTCGCACAATTCGTAATCCGAGAGCTTAGGAGAATCTTAAATAGATGATTGATAAAATGAACAACTTTCAAAAAGATGAAAGCGGCAAGAAATATTTCAATCAACATCGACGCAGTTGCAGTCCTCGACTGAAATTACCTGCAGTCTAAAGATATTACAGAAACCCTCCTAAATTCGGAGCATATCCATATGAATCCAGAACCATAGACATAGATAGTACATTGTCTCATTCTGTACATTACCATTGAATTCATTATTTATTATACGATCAAACTCAATCTTACCTTAGTTTAAATGTGGATAATTCATGTTTCGAATGTCAATCCTACAAGCAAATCGAAAGAAGAGCCGAAACAAATTTAGTGGATTACTTGCGTCTATATCCTTGAGTTCAGTGTATGCATTGTAATGTTTACATTCTATAATTAAAATTCATCCTGTTAAAATATTATAATTCATTTAGAATTTCATTCAGATATGGGAAAGAATTTAAGAGTAGGTTGAATATACAATAATCGTAACGCCTTTTTATATTGGATCCATCTCGACTTTCCAGTACAGAAGGAACTACCACTATTATTTTTAAAACCACAACCTTAAATTAGAATTCTTAACAAAAATATATTCGTGATTATATTTTTAGACATTATAAGGTAGTAGGATAGAAATCGTTTTCTATATTTTCTATATTTTGGTTTGAATAATTAGTATTAATGTTTCAATTGAATAAACCATTTGTTTTGAGATTAATTAGATTCTTCGTTTAGTTTGAATGAGGTAGTGTTGTCTTAACAGTTGAAATAATAATAATTGAATAGAAGATATAAATAATATTTGTTAAATATAAAATGGGTGCCTAAGAGAGCAAGTAGGAGGGACAAATACAGGATTCACGCTATGGGAAAGCCACTTTGATTAGGAAATACAATTAGATTTGCGCAATGAGGAAAGTGATAATCTAGGATGAAAGTCAACATGATGGATTTGTGAAGAGGGCAAAGGTTGAACATCCAAATTTGGTGAAAATATTGGAGAGTGGAATACAGAAGGAATAGGAATTGTGCACTTCTTATCACATAATGTATGTCGTAAGTGAATATTACTCTACTTCATTGCATAAGGAGATTGCGAATAGAAAAGGTAGAGGAGCATTCTGGACAGAGTAGGAACTGTGGAATTAATTGTTGGGCCTTGTTAATGTACTTTATATCATACCATAATTAAGTTGTTGATGACTATGCAAGAAGCACATTTAGTGCATCAGAACATCAGGCCTTTGACTATTAGTTATGTGAATGAACACACCTTAAAACTTTGCGACAATTACTTTCAATAGAGTGCATTTCAAATGGCTCAATAGAATCCAGAGAATTAGAAATTATTTGAATTATCACCAAAGTTATTGGAAGCCATCAATCAGAACAATCAATATCCCAGACACAATATGTATAAGAGTGATGTATGGAGTCTGGGAATGTGTATGTTGCAAGCCAGTTTGTTGGATCACTGTCGAGATTCTTTTGAGTATGATTCATTATAATTATTATCAGTTTTGAAGGAGGCCATGTGGATGTGTCAAGGAAACTAGCTCTATTGAGGAAGAATTATTCAATTAAGTATGAGTAGGTTATCGTGGCCATGTTGTCGATGGATGAAGAATCCAGGCCGGATTTCAATCAAGTAATGAATCTGATGAAAGGCAATCCAGATGCAGGAGTATCTAAATCCTTGGAGAATTCCTTGATCAATAGTTCTGCAATTTGTATGGATTCCAAGCCTCCCATGAATTTGAAGGAAGACATCCTACCAGAAACATTAAATCAATTGAAAGAACAAATTGAGAGCAGACCCAGCAAAATTATGGTTGAATTAGAGCAATTAAGAATCAAACCAAAGATTGTGATCAAGAAGACCAAAAAGAAAGAGTTGGGGTTTTATAAGTATTAGGAATAAATGGTTATTAGAGATCCTAGCAAATCAGCTATCTAATAATAGAAATTAACTAGTTATCCTTCAGTTGACTATTCATTCAATAAACAATTAGTGAATTCTTCGTTATAATTTACAAACTCTTCCTAATAGAAACAATTCACCGATAAGGAGAAGATCGAATAGTTAATAGGAAATGGGTTGTAATCGTACTCAATAGGTCCTTTTGTAGTGCCCACTGTATCGTCCAAACCTCGGATATCCTTAGTGGAATCACAAAAGCCTTTTTACTCAGATACCACTAAAACTACCTAGTAATCAAATCCCCAGGTAATCACCATAGACACTCATCCATCATGCAATAGCATTCCTTTAAGTTACACTGAAATACCAATTAGTTATGTTGCGAAGAAAGACATAAATTATAGATAGGAAATGGAATAGATGATCGAATTGAATAGATCAAGATGTTTCAAAACTGAGCAATATTAAGATGGATCATCATATGTAGGAGAGATATATAATCAATTAAGAGATGGTTTTGGAAGATATCAATTTGTTGAAGGTGGCTATTATGAAGGCTAATGGAAATAGAATAAAATGCATGGTTATGGTACTCTCTTCTATGGTGTTGGCTAAAAGGCATATGAAGGATAATTTGAAAATGATTAATTCTCTGGATTTGGAACATTGTACAATAAGGAACCAACCAAAGTGGATACTCCATTTGATTGTTCGAATTTTGATCTGATTGGAAAGTAAGAGTTCATGATAACTAATTAGTTATTGGGTTAAGTATGTTGGCAATTTTAAGAATGATCTTAAGGATGGCCAAGGAGCATTATATTTATCGAATAATGAATGTTACAAAGGAGAATTCAATCAGGATTACGTTGATGGACATGGTACTTTTGGTTCAATTATTGGAGTTTGGAGTAAAAATAAATTGATTAAATGATATAACATAGTTTTGTTTTCAAATTAGTTCTTCATTATTTGCAAAGATCTACTTAATTTTTAGATTGTAAACAATATTTCTAAACACAGAATCACCAAATTAAAAATTTGAATAAATTAACAAAACTATTTTTTTATTATAGTTATCAGAATATCTTTTATTCAAGGATTTTACCAGCTAGGATTTGAACGTTAATTGTTAGAGTTAGAGTTAGTTTCTCCAGCATTCTAACCACTATTTAACATGTGAGTTAGTATTTCTTTTGTGTACTGGAAATAATAGAAATACTATAGATACCTTCAATCTTTTAGACATCTCTGTATTTTAACTATCAAGAGCTGTTGCCAAAGGATAATGACTTCGGTCGCCATTTTTGTTCACATAAGTAACCATCTTGTGTTCAGAGGACAATATAATTTCAGTCTTATCTGTAAAATTAACCTAAGAATATACAGAATAGCTACTTAGACAATCTTATTGGATAGCCTAAACATAATTGCATGTCTGGTTTTCATCCATTTCTTAACATAAACTAATGATTTAGTTTCATTTTCTTCACTTGCAGCAGTTTGAGGTTCTGGTTCCAAATAATCCCTGAAATGCTGAAGAAGAGTAACCTTCTTCCTTAAATCTTATGGATAAATATCAAGATTGTAGGTATTAAGATTGTAGGTTTCACAGATGTCTTGCCTATCTTATCCTTTTCTCTCCATGTAGTCAAATTTAAATGTCTTGGTATCCAGAACGATCTTAGTAGAATCGTTAAAGAAAACTCCAATAGCCCCATTACTTAACAAATAACCTAATCCATATCTACTTGAGTAATCAACCCATTTCTTAACGTATACCTCTGACTTCGCCTAATTTTGTTTCACTCCCAAATTATTGACAGACTAAGCGCCTTGCATTCCTGTTCCCCCAAAAGGTTAAGAAAGAGTCTTTTAACTCTAACTATTTCTGATGTCATTTGGCTTTTGAGACTAGGGTCTCTGAGTTCCGCCATAACCAACATTCTGTGCATTGTTAAGACCACTGGATCCGAAATTATCATCCATAATGTTTCCACTTGAACTTGGTTTCTATACTATTATTATTGAATTGATAAGTTACAAGGGAAACGATCAGAAGATCCATTGGTCTACTTTTAGACATTTTTTGGATTATTAGGAGTAGTCTCAGTTAATCTCTATGGTAATACATTGGTGGACATTTTCAAGTTGCTAGTGTTTGTGGATGGTTAAAATTATTTATTATAAGAAGCTGAGGGAGGACATGCCAAGGTTGACAAAGGCAATGTTTTAGGGATTGTGCCTCCAGTGTTCATGAATGGATGAGCCATAATCTCATCCAGAGTGGGTCTCTATGTTGGATCCAAGTTTAGAATTCTGGTGATCAGACTTTTGGCTGGGTCTGATATCAAGACATGTTCTGGGAAAGAGTATTAATTTAGCTTTATCTTTCTATAGGTAGTCTTGACGTCTGGAGTTTCAAAGGGAGGTTTGCCAATCAACATTGCATACATTATGACTCCCAATGACCAAATATCTACTTCAAAGGAATGGCCCACTCTTCCATCCAAGACTTCAGGAGCTATGTAATTGGGAGTTCCACAGATTGTCCTTTTCTTTTCTCCTTCGAATTCCAACTTTGTTGCCAAACCAAAATCTCCCAATTTTAATTCCATTGATTTATTCAAAAATAAGTTACCCAATTTAAGACTTTGATTTATGAGGAAATTTCTTACTCTCTATGGATCACCTTCTAGGCATGAAGATATTTTAATGCGTTTATTATCTAACCCACATAGCATTGGACTTCAATTTCAGTCAATCTCTTTCTTCGTTTTATCAATTCATTCAAGGTCTATTTTTAAATTTCATTAATTACTTAATTTGAACACAATTCCAATAAAATGTACACATTCTCATGATCCTCAAACACATGTTCAAATTGTACTATGTTTGTGTTCTACAAACTCTTATGTATTTTTATTTCAGAAATAAGCTAACATCATTTAACACAACTTACTTTTTAACGGGCCCTATTCTTCGTTAAACTATTCTTAACAATAATCTTGGCCGCAAGAACCCTCTTCGTTTCAAGGTTTGTAGCCTCATAACACTTTGCAAATCCTCCTTTCCCCAAAAACTTCCCCCTTTGATATTTCTTAATTGCCACCTATCCATTCACTGTTGTGATTTTTTCTTCGAATATCACTAATTACTCAGCCCTAAACCTCATTCTAACTTTTACCCTTCCTAATTTGTTTTGTCGTCCATTTTTTTTTTAAACTATTTAAATTATTATCTGATTTTTATATATAATATTAAACCCTATGTTCTCATAATCATTAATCAGTATTCCCTCATTCCCAATATCCATATACTCCAACTCCTAATTTAAGGAAGTTCATAGGTGCAACCATAAATAGCAACATCCAACAACCCATGGCCTATTTATATAATATATCTTAAAATCACTCAACTCCTAGTTCAGTAGCTAAATCAATCATTTCAAATTAAACTTATACTTTTAAGCGATCACTAAAGCATTTTAATCAAGTTTCTCTATAACACGCTATCTTTTTCAAATGATATCAGACTCCAGTTCCCAATTAAATACTAACCTTTCTTCTAATTGGAATTCTGTTTAAAATATTGAAATAGTTTTAATAATATTAATAACATCCTCTTGAGGTTCAACTTAATCAGAATAAAATTACATATTAGACTTTTAATTTAAACTTGTTCCAACCAAACTTAATGTCAAAAACTTGAACCGCAAATTACAATCATTACAAGAAAATAAACTAACACTTAGGACATATACCACCATTAATAAATTATATAGGTATTACAATTTCCAATTCTAGTAGTAATCCTTAGAATATTTTTAGTACTATAATATTTTATAAATTTCAATAAATATGATAATTCATTTCGAATCTTCATCCAAGCTATGTTCATAACAATTATGTAATGCTTATACAAAGATTCCACATATACCAATAAATTCAGCCACCGGGTAATTAAAGGTAAAGTCAATTTAGCCATACTAAGTCCTTATTTCTAATATATTACCACATCTTTTGATGTCTATCCAAAACCCATACCGATTGTTATAAGTGTCTATCCAAAGGTAAGACAACAAAGCTAACCCCAAAACACACTAGAATGCAGTATGCATGCTCTGAATAGTCCAAATAAAAAGGAGAGTATGAATAGAGATCCCCCGCCTATGGTTAGTGCAAGGTAGGTAGAGTAATCGTCTAATTTAAAATTATCCATGTTTAAATTGATTTATTGAACTTAATAACAATATTTAGACATCCAACAACTAATGTAGAGACACATGGATATGTTACTCAAAAATGCACTATTAAGAATAGATTAATATCTTACTAATGTTTCGGCGCCCTAAGTTCATTAGAATAAATAAATCTTACATATTTTTTGAAGAATATTAAATATAAATAATAAATTAATGTTAATACTTTAATTAAAACGTTGACTTCATCTAGTTCAGTTTCATTCCAATTAAAGTACCTAAATATTTTCCACTCTTTAATTTATAGATAGTAGGATTCTTACAAGGATCAAAACATACACAGATTTGTCTAAATCTATAATTGATAGTTTTAAGATTTCAATTAAATCCTATTTAAGATTTATCTAGTGGTGCTTAATGAAACAGATTTCTCTAAATTCTATTTTTAATTCCTTTAAAATAACTTCATATTCCTATCCCTACATAATAGTTAATTCCTTTTAATGTATCATAATTTCTTTTCAAAAATAGTTTTCAATAAATTACTATGCTAGTTATAAATTAATATTTACTCTCAATTTCTCTTCTCAATTCTCAATAATTAAGAAATAAACCTAAATATATATTACAATCTTTTTATTAAAAGAACTTTTGAATTTCTACTTCTCATATTTAAATGTGTTATTTACTTTAGAATCTTCTTAATTCATCTGCTGTATTAATTTAATATTTAATCATATATTCTAGAATTTTCATATTATATTCGACAAAACAAAATTATTGAGATACTAATTTTTTGTAAAAAAATATAATTTTTATATATTTACTTAATTACTTAAACATCAGTTTGTTAGAAAAATATCATTATTGAAATTTGTGAAATTTTTTTTAATTTACATTTATTTAACATCATAAAATGAAATATCATAATTCAACTTCTATATTAAGATATTTTAGACTCCTAAAGTTGGAAATAATTTTATAGATAAAATAAAATAGCATTAAAACAATTAAACTTAGTAGGGCATAAATCTATCCTCTACTATTATGTTCTTTGATTTGGAGATTGAATGTAATATTATAAATACCATGATAAAAAGCGTTACGACAGCCCAGGTAGACAATACGTTATTGTAAACCTCTTTCCAAATTACAAGTTATATTTTAGGTACTAAAAGGGTAAATAAATGGATTGTCAAGACATAGAGCAATGCCACTGGGATATTTTTAATTTAAAATCACAGCATATTACTTAGAAACGGATGTTCCAAATGAACCTTACATCAGAATTGGTTCAACTATACTTTTATTTTCATAGCCATCTAAATAATAAATTCCCATAACATAACCGCCCTTTAGTTGATATTATTGAATCAGAACACCACCAAAATAAAAAGAATTACCAGTATAAAGATGGTAGAAATAATTTGGAATAGTCCTAATAACAGCAGCTAAATAATTAGACTATTAAGCCTTTCCAGGGTTTATTAGAATATTGACTAGATAACTAACACTATATGTATCAGTTACAAGGACTGCTACTTTTCCATCAATTATTTTTATAATTAGAACGTAATTGAATTGATTCAAATCAACGCAACTATATTAAAAATTGCAATAATGAATAATCACATAAATTAGAGGATTTATGATAATATTTTCACCTTTAATTTCAATTATTTGATAATAAAGTTGATTCCTTATTGTTTACAAAATTAATATCAAATTTTATTATTCATAACCATTATATGAAAATTAGTCAACAGAAAAGTCTTGACAATTATGCTAATTATCATCCAGTATGCTAAATTCTTAAGTTAATTAAATAAAACTGTTATTGGATTAGTTAAACCAATACAAATATTGATTTTAATTAACAAATTCACCAAGAATGAAAATTTAGCCTTTACTGATTCTCATTTTGAATATATTTGAAAATGCTTGGGGAAGTGGTAAATACATTAGATTTCCTATTTCGCCTTCAGAATTTAATGTAAAGTTAACTAAATATTATGAAGTTTCATTTTAACAAATTGAATAAGATGTGTAATTGTATGATGTCGAAACTAGACATTAAGTGAAATTGATATTTGTCTAACTTGTATTTTTTAAGTTATTATTTAATATTATAATTACAGTGTTATTCAGTAAGGAAACAAACTAGTTATTTATTGAAGTTATTATTAACGAATGTGCCAAATCTTAACTAAAATTTATTAAATTATTATAAGTATATTTATATTCAGTAATAACACAACCCTTCGCTATCAATTATTAAACTTATAAAATATCAATAGAATTTAGATTACTAATATTGTAGAACAGTTAGCAGGAATTGAATTATCTATCAACAATTATATTGATTGGATATGAAAAATGATTATTGCGATTATCTTATTAATCAAGAGTTAGATTAATAGAAATAGTTTTATTTTTAATTACAGTGAAATTTGTTAAGTAAGTAATACTTTAATTAGGAGTTCTCTATATGGCTAATGGATTTAATGCAGAAGTTACAGAGTAATTATAAATAGTTTATGGGTAAGTAAAATTATATTGATTGCTTTACATATATGATATCATCATTCCTTAAGTTTAAGTAAGTGAATAAAATGTGTTTTACCCAAAAATAATTGATTAATTGAATAATAATGAATTTTAGTTTTAAAAAGCAATACTATTTATTGAACTTAATATTGTTTTAAAATATAAACTCATATGATATGGTAATGAAGGATTATAGATGTAAACAGTGTGATTAGTAAAAGTGACATAAAAGAACAAATTATCTGATTATATAGTCACGTTATTACCATTATCAACTTCACAAAGATTCTTCTCATAATAATATTTAGGTAAATTTTAAACGTTCCAAACTTGAAAACAAATAGACTAATTATTGTTGCAAATATAAGATAAAATTAGTTATTAGTTAACTAAATTAATTTGCTTAATTGCAAAATTCACTTAAATCAATTAAATTGGGATCGGCTTGCTATTTTATTGTAATGAAATTATGATAACATCATAAATATTATTTATAAATAAGAAGGATGATTATAATTGTGTATTCATAACAATCTATTAAGGGTTGAATTAAATGGTTTTGGTTTTAAAAAGTTAATTGATTTACTCCTAATTTAAGTCTAAGATATTTTCAAAATCTAATGTCATTATTGAAATTTCATAATTGCTAAATAGAATTACAATATTATTTTAGGTTACCAAAAAATTTAAGATTTCTTATTCAAATGTTTAATTTGAATTACTATAAGCGCCTTTAACTTCATATTGTTATTAATATAAATAGATTGTCTAATTATCACTAAGTCCAATTATTAGAATCTCAGGGTATATACTATAAGCAGTTTAGAGGGAAGTTGCGTTAACAGAAATTTAGATTACATTTAAATTTTAATAACTTAATTTAGATTGCTAAGGATACTTAGAGCAATAAAATATCTAAAGTTATGATTTATTGTACCCAATGAAATATAATAAGGTTTCTGAAATATTTTACATTATTGAGAGTTATGAAACTAAATAATAATAACTCAAACTACCAATCTCAGTAAAAGTTGTTGAACTAAACGAAAAATAGTCTGTATCATTATTTTATTAAAATTTTAAGAAAGGTCCTGAGAAGCTGAAAAAATTTGTGTTAATATTATTCATGATTGCATATTAGTACTAAGGAATACTCTAATTGAACATTACATAAATATTCGTATCATTCTTAGGCAATATCGTGAGATTAATTTTTAAAATATTTTAGTTTTGGGGCTTCTTTTAATTAAAACACACTATAGAGAAATGAGAATTGTTCCCTTGAACTTATACGTTAGTTAGGTTGATCTTTAACGATGGAATTTAAATCTTATAAGCAATTATCATCTCATTAAATGAAAATAATTCATTATCAAAATTAAAGTATAATAGGGAATTGGTTTCAATTTTATTATTATATTAGAAGACTACTGGTTTTCCAATTTAGTAAAGATGTATTATTTGTTTTTATTAAAATATTATATACTAGTTGTTCTAAACTATTGTTTAAATTGCTTCATTAAATTAGTATTGATTATCGATATTCTTTATTATAATTTAGTTTGTACACCCCCAAAAGGAAGTTATCAAAAATTCTTCTCCAGAATCTGATGGGTATTATAGTAATATTTGATCACATTAAGAATAAGTCGAAATGGTGTAATAAAGATTGATAGTAAGAAAATTGGAGATGTTAGGTTATGTGAAATTATATTGAAGTTAAAAAGTTTAATTTGAAGAAATAGTACATTATAGGATCTGTTGTTAAGTGAGTATATAAATGTAAGGATTTATTCTAATTGGTATATCAAAATCTATAAAGTTGTTATTCCATTAACTTAAATTTGAATACTATTTTGAAAATAATGAGAGCATACAGTAATCTTGATAATATTAAGCATATATTATATAAGTATCATTATTATCATTTATCATTGATTTGAGTTTGGTTTTAATAGGTATAGATGATTATGATGTACATACAGTATTGTATTATTAATCCTAAACAATCAATAATTTAAATTCATCATCTTAATAGCAATCAACCAAAATATCAAAAAATGGAGATAAATGAATATTGAAACAAATAAATGAAGTATCTATCTATACAGATGATCCAATTTATTAAAGTATTTAATTGTGCCATTCATATATTATTACTTCATTTTCCATTGATAAAGTACCAAAATGAGTATTATTAGATGATAATGATTTATATTCTATAATAATAATAATAATTATATACAATTTCCACTTATACTATTAATTTCTTAAAACTGATTAACAATATCTACATTTCCAATTTTAGGTCTCTACATCCATCTTTATTCATAATTTACGTATACTCTCTTATTCATATTTTATTATTCATAATATTATTCTCCTTTTTCATACACAATATATGCATCTTAATACATAATCTAAAACAAGTCATATTCGTAGTATTCTCCTACTGTTGGATACAATGAAATTTCATTTTCCATTATCTTATATGCGCATATCTAAATCAAGTAGAGTATGAAGAAATAACAAAACATTTAATAAAAATATTAAAGATCTTGCAGAGAGTTAATTTGAAATTAATACTTTTTTATTAAAAAAATGCCATTTGTGGGCCTATGGCTATGCATTTTAGATTTCAAAAATCTATTTTCTTAGATATTTATGTTTAATCAAATGAATTCATGTGTGGATTGTTCATTTCCTTAAGAAAAAATAGAGTTCTATGATTATCGTATCAATATTAAATTTTGTGCAAAATTATTTTAATGTAATTTTGAAATATATTAGGCAAATATTTTATTATATATGCTTTTATAAAATAATTAAAATTTTATAGAAATATATAAATATAGATTTCAAATGAAAATGCGGGCTATTGACAAATTAATTATATAAAAATAATATTAAATATTAATAATGCAGAATTTATGTGCGTCACTCTTTCAAATGATGAATTTTAAATTTTGAAATTAATTTAACTATGAAATTACAGAACATATTAAGCAGATCTTTTCATAATACGTTGATTTGGATCACCATATCCAATTAATTAATTTATGAATCATATTATTCAACAACCAAAGACAGTCCAAAAGTAGAAGAAACCTTCCAATGTTGTATCAAAACATCCAGAAATTCAGTCAAACAAGACCCTTGACGATTTAAGAAACAAGGAATGGAGTGTAGCCATCCAGAAAGAAATCGACCTATTCGAATAGACTATCGTATATTATATGTCCATATCATTAGCATGAAGTTGAAGCCTTATTCAAGGAGGCATCTACATCCTAACATTTAGTAAGTTTAGGAACTTTTAAATTGGTTCAAGATGAATACGAATTCTCAGCCTAGAAATTGCAGCACTTGAGAGAGACACTTGCAAAGTATTCTGATGATCGCTCTAAATACCATCAAAACAAATAGAAATTGAAGGCTTTGACAAATAAATAAGAGAAAAGTGCTGAGGATAATGAAGCCATATCAAAGATTACAAAGGACCAATAAAATTTCAAATACACCATCATGAATTAAAGAGACAGGATCCAATTCCAACTTGGAGTTGCTTCAAGAGTGCTCACCCTCATCCAAGCCTATATTAAATTGAAGGATTAATATTAAAATTAACAGGAATTACAAAGACACAGAGATTACATCCTTTCGAAGATAGACAAGATCAAGAAGACAGAGGAGAAGCATACCAAGAAGATTGAAAGACATTACAATAGAATATAGGTTGAAGATCCTGATGCTCCTGAAGAAATTGAAGTTGAAGAAGAAGAAAGTGAAGAAGAGTAAGTTGGTGAAGAATCTAACACAGCGAGAGAGGACTTATTAAGTAAATTAATGTATTTTATAGTTTTTTAGAGTTGTGCGATAGTGTGGTTTCTTACCTCTAAAAGTTCGAGAAAAAAGAAGGAGTATTAATTATCTATTAAATTTTAGAATCAATTCATATAACATGATTTAACTACTTTCCAATATTTTGATTAAATTAAAGTGGCTGCCCCATTTTATCTAAATTAAATTGATGTGGCTATTGATTTGATTAAATCCAAAAGGTCATTTTATGAGAATGCCCCTGAAACTGAATTTACCAAAAAAGAGCCATAATAAGTCGCCTAGTAATAATAATAGAAGGTGGATGTTACCAACGAGTAGGAGTTTCCTAAATTATCATGAGAGTATTTATTATCGTATAAAAAACACATAAATCCGACATAATTATGACCAAAGCAAATCAAATTTTATTATATTATGGCTAAGCGATCCAAATCAATTGAGCGAACTATAAAAGAAGCTGAACAATACTTGAGCAGATTTCCTAATTCCATAGAACATTAAAGACAAAACAAGATTAATCAAAAACATTCAGATTAAGTTCCATAAAAGTAGGGTCGGATGATCCAATTATAAGCCAGTAAGAAGGAGATAAAATAGGATAAATAAAATGTTAAGAGTCTATAGACTACTTAAAAAACTTTGAAGGAATTCTTTAAAAATACAAATCCGAGGGATGACAATATCTAATCAAAAGTATTGGATAATCACAAACTGCTTAAAGTAGCTAAGGATTAGTAAGAATAATAAGAATAAGTCGATGTAAGTTAAATACTAGGAGGTGATTAATAAAGTATAAAAGTGATTATATAAAATGATAAAAATAAGGAGTAGCAATAGGATGCAAATAATAAAAAAGCTTCTTAGGACTGGTGGAAATCAATTTTTTATTAAGGAAATAGGTAGGGTTAAAGTTCCATTAAAAGCAATTCATCTACATCTTTTCTAAAACCACGAACAGTGAATCAAAATATTAATACTTAATAAAAAGAAAAGTAAAAATAGGAAGAACCCAATAAGAAAATTAAATAATAGGAAGCCATAGTTACATCAAATTCAGCATAAGGTAAAAAGACTTTACTGAGTTTAACTGACTTGTTTGTAACCTAAAAATCAAAGATGAATTCAATCACTAAATACCCTAAATCAAATGAAGAATTGAATTCGATATAAGTAAAGGATCATAACATGAATAATAAGGATGAATACATCAAGAAAGATGCTTCTCCACAAGTAACAGGGAATAAAGAGGATTCAAAACTCTTACTTCAAATTCAGAATAAAGAAGATGGACAAAGTGAGAAAGAACATGCCAAATTATAAAGCAAGATGCCAAATGAGTAAAAGGTCATATAATCTCAATCTATAATGCAGTCATAAGTACCAGAATGTGAATTCGGAATGGTAGACTGTGTATTTGTTGTTGATACAACAGGGTCGATGGATCCTTACCTTGAGAGAACTACAGAGGCTGTGGAGATGATTGTAAATAAAATAAAATAGCAATCTTTGGAGGAATAAGTTAGTGTGAAGTTTGGTTTGGTATGCTATCGAGATCATCCTCCGTAAGAGTTGACATATGTAACCGAGGTTCATAATTTATGTTCAAGATCTGAGATTATCTCAATTATTAAATAGGCAGATTGCTATGGGGGAGGAGATGGAGCTGAGGCAGCCTTGGATGGTTTGAATGAGGCGGTTAAGAAGATAAGTTGGAGGGATAGTTCTACTCTACCAAGTTTGAGATATATTTTTCACATCTGTGATTAGCCTCCACATGGGAAGGAATTTGGAGGGTATAGTGAGTTATGGGATGAGGGATGTCCCTGTGGATTAAAACCAGAAGAAGTAGTGAATAGGATAAATAGGAATGAGATTCATTACAGATTGATAATGGCAAATGGGCCGATGTTATAGAGATTTGCTTAGTATTTGAGAGGGAAAATCCATAATTACGATGAAACCACTTTGGATGTGGCTATTGGGATGGAGATCAGGATAAGTGATATGGTAATTAGAGAATTATGCCCATATACTTAATAAGAGTGATTAATTTATTTTATTTATATAATGAAAATTCCATGAAAATTGTTGAAATTTGTAATGAAAAATTTATTCAATTCTAAATTTTCATATGAAATTTGATTATTAGAAATAAAATGTAAGAAGATTACACTTATCAAGTATGATCTATAATAATATTATTTAGATTCTTAAAAAATGCAACGGGAAGGTTATAATTCAAATAGATGAACGATTATTGGATGTTATCAATACTCATTTCACCATAAAACCACAATAACAGCAAAGAGAAGTGCCTTATTCAGTCAAGAAATAACATAATTTCTAAAGGCGAATAGTGCCCTTCTTTATGAACCAATTTATGCATTGGGCAGAAGAGATGGGATACAAATAGGTCGATGGGTATCTGAGAGCCATTCATAAGAAGAAGACCTCAAAATAATAAAAGTTTGAGTTGGGAGATCTCAAGAAGTTATTTGGTGCCATCAATCCTCGAACTAAAATCATTCAGATGGAGACTCAGACTAAGTGGATTGAGTTCTTGGGTACTCAGGCTGAGATCTGTGTACTTGTGAACAATAAGATCAAGGATCAATCAACCAAACAAATGTACATTCAAGCAATCGAGCATTTGAAGGCGGAGTTGAAAAAAGAACAGCCTTATGACAAATTCTTGAGTCTCCCTAAGAAGGAGGAATCGAATGACTCTTTGATGGAGGAATCAAAAGAGTAATCAATCAAAGAGGAATACTCAAGTGGGGAATTCGATGAGTAGGCTCCGACTTATAAGGAAGACCCGTATTCTTATTTGAGTTGCGCATACAGCAACTACGAATGACTTTGTACTCATGTTTTTTAAATAATTAACTAATTATGACATCACATAGTTCATTAATTAAATTTATGTAATAAATCGTAGATATAAAAGAAATACAGAAATCTCCTCCTGATTAATTTTCATTCTTACTCAGGATCGGAAATAAATGTGAATCTACATCCCTTACAAATGTTTTTACTGGCGATCCAGCAATACCTGTTATTGGCAAATACTCTAGAAATCAATATCATTTTTTGACCGTCGATGTGTTGATTTAAATGGATTTGAATCTAAGTGAAGGCAACTACTATAGCAAAGGAAGTAAGGTGAATTTGCCTGCCAACGTGCTTAAGATTTTGCATGACATCCCTGAATAAATAATTCATAATAAGCCACCTCCCAAAGAAAACAACAAGAAGGGAGGCAAAAAGTAAAATAAAAAATAAGGTAAATAAAAGCAACAGTAAGAATAATAATAACAATAATAAATGCAGTAAATTGAGGTTGAGCCTTAATTGGTGTAACAAAATGAAAATGAAAATGAACATGAAGAAGATTTTAAGATCATGCAATTTCATCCATTGTAATTTCATTAATCACCCAATATCAAATTCAGTTGGATTATTAGTTCACTCTCCAATAAGAAAATACTTGAACCAATGAAGTAAGAACCCTGTTTAAGTTATGTTAATCATAATTGGGTCTTTGAAGTGATCAATTTTGAACACACCAAGAAACTAATTCAGCATCTACCTATATGTGTTGTAGACCCTAAAGGAGTCTTTGAGTATCCAGATCCTTACAAGGGACTCAGTTTCACAGGTTTAAGATCAGAATATATGTCTGTGCATTTGGGGCCATAAGGATCTCTTTGTTTTTCACCGAACAACATGAAAATGATGGTGGATATGAAGAGTCCTTTGATCTCATTTTGGACTGTGATTTTATAGGAAGATGGAATGCATTAAGTGAATTTGCATTGGGTGATCTTGCATGAATTATTTTCAGAGATGTCTCATGTGATAGCCAAAGAAAATCAGACGATTCAATAATTATTAATAAATTATGGAGAATTTAATGGTGAATATAAAGCAGAATGTGAACAAATAAACAAAGTTTTTGGTTGATAAATTCATTCTGCATTTTATAACAATTAAATTATTTTATCCTTATAAATTCTTTCTTATGCCAACCACTAATCCTCTTTCTCCTACATTTATTATTCTAATCTCCCAATTTAATTCTTCAACTAATCAATCACATTGATATTAGCGTTCTTCTCTAATTCTAACAATTAATTAGATAACTCTTTGATGACTTAATTTTTCTTCTCAATAGTTTTCTCATACTATTCTTGATTCGACGTAGTGGATTGATTGAGAGCATTATCATTCATTTGCTTATAACCAGATTGAGATCTCTGATTCATTTTCTTTAATTGTTCACTCTATTATCTGATAATGATAGTCAAATGCTAATTTTCATCCTGAACCTTATTGAATTTGTCTTCAAGTTCTGCACACTTCTATTTCCATTATTAGATTTCAGAATCTTAAGAACTAACGTCAAAATTATTGAAAGTGGAATCATCAAAAATCTTCTAAAACTTCCCATCAGATTTGATATGAATGTCCAGTTGCTCAATCTGTTTTTCCAATTCAGCCTCTTATTGAGACAGAAGATCAGTGATTTCTTTGAAATTATCATATTCTTAAGGAGGTGGTTATTGTGGTGGTAGTGTAATCTACTGCTATTTCTATTATTGAAATTTCTCACCCAACTGCACAAACTTTTAAGTGAGATTATCCTATTATGTTTGCTATTAGAATTAGGATTATGAAATAGTTGGTTACACTTATTATTCATTCGCCTTACTAACCATTATATTGCTCTTAAACTCTTTAGGTGGGGATTGACTACGAGCTCTGGTTGTTCTAGATTCTATCTTCCTAGTACTCGATGTTCGTGCTGTCTGAGGAGTATGCCCAATAACTGGGGCAGGCACATCTGCAATTGGATAATCTAAAGTATCGATCATTGAATCCTTAATCACTTTAAAGAGCAAAGCAGCTCTCTTATCTGTTGTAGATGTGAGTGGTTTTTTTTGTTTTTAATCTTGAGGTGCTCCGCCATCGAGAAAGTATGCTAAATTGATTACACAATCACCAAGCAACTGATTACCAGCCAAATAGAAAAGGAATTTGATCTAGCTAGATAAGGAGGGTTTACATTAGAGTCAGCATAAATTCCATCCTTTTTCACCATGCGTTGTTGAAACTCAACTACTTAATCAATTGGAAGACGACAAATTGTCATTGTTCTCTCAGGGTTCTTGATTGATAATTTGGCAATAACTTATTGAACAGCTGTACTGCGTTTCAATGAGATTGTTAATTCGTACTACTATTGATCTGATTTGGAACTGAATTCTAGATATTAGAGTATGAATTTGAATTGCTTTTACTAATTCATTATAATTTTTAATAAGCAAACAAGAGAACTCAAATATTGACAAGCTTATGGCTATATTAACACCATCATTCTCTTGTTTGAGGAGTATATACAGCGCTGATCCATCTTCTGAATGAAAACAATAATAAAATGAAGAGTTAGAAGAACAAATATCAATAATTCATAATGAATAAGATTGTCTTAAATTAACTTAATATGAGTAGGTAATCTAATCATAAGTTTAATAAAACTTGACTTTTATAGATAAAATTGGATTTTTATATTACAAGCTGACTTTTGTCATATTAATGAGAGAATTGGAATGTACTGCCAATTCTTGAGAAAGTTGAATTTCAAAACAAGAGGAGAACAATATTAATAAGAGTTTCTTAGAAAGAAATTAGTTTTTGAATGAAATGTAGACAGATCTATAAAGAGTGAATTAATGCATATGCGATTTTACAATTCAAAAGAAAGTTTTATTGAAAAATAAAGTAAGTTATTAAGATTAATTATTTTAGTTTATAATAATATGCATAAATGATGTCTAAAGAACAAGAAACTGGAGCTTTAAAAATTGTTGAAAATTTTGATAGCAGACAGGTTCTTCAATTTAATTAAAGTTTTCGATTTCAGTGATATGAAGGATTTGGATAAAGAAAAAGAATAAATAAAAGAAAATTTAACGAATGAACACCATTTATATTGACACAAAGTTCTTGTATTCTATGGTTCCTTATTCTTTTGAATGGCAGAATTAGATAATAAAGAAGATTAAGAAGTTGGTGAAAATGAAACTGACATAAAAATCAGCATTTTTGTTAATCAATTCAAGAATGATAGTAAAGGAGGCGATAATAAAAAAGTGGAGATATCGGATTGCAAAAAACAATGAAATCAATACAAATTAATTAAAACAATCTTCTATTTCATGTTAATTAATAATTATGCAAGGTTTATTGTAGCCATCTCAACAAACTCTTTTGGTGCGATCACCAACCGAAGGCTCTATGTAGAGTTACAGTAGATACGAGAGCAAGGGAAAGAAAAGAATAGTATACAAAAACAACAAAGGTGAAATTATTGATCCTCATGACAAATTGGCTAAATCACAACATTCTCGTCCATCTCAGCCTACTCATTCAGTAAAATCTCGAACTACCACGCCTACTCCTTCGGATAGTGTCAAAACTCAAAATACTTCAATTTTAGACTTAGTACCAATTGACGATCCCATTTGGTTGGAGTTGATTCCCACAGAAATACAACAAGATCCAAACTTCAATCTGGAACGATTGATTATGGATAATCAAGAGTATTTCGTTAATCTACTTGGTTTGTACATGCAAGAGAGACAACAAAACAGAATACAAGAAATAAAAGTGTCCCTTCCCTAGAAAAAGTAGACCACCTACGATCAAGTCTATAAAAAACCGAATGCCATTGACCATTCAAATTTCAATATCAAGATGTATGACTAACTTCCAATGGCTTAATCTCTTCAGTTACAAACGCAATATGAAGTTTGATATTTAATATCTTTAGACTTCTTTTCGCACTCCCAAAATTACTCCCCAGGACAACTTCAAACCCTCTTACATTAAGGATAATGCTGAAATGCTCACTCTCACTAGCTATAAGTAAAATTATGTCAATTGGAAGACCTGTCATACTGAAAGAATGGGACCATAGAGAGGGTAAAGCACTGGAACTCTGCCCTTCATTGGCAAGACCTCCTATCAAGAGAACTATCGCGCTAATAACTGGGAACCCACAGAATCTGCCAAAAAAAAATCACTGTATATTGTTATTTGTCTAATTCAGAGGTCCTTTTGCCTCTGGGAGTTCCATGATCTTCAAAGAGGCCTTGTCTAAAATTCACTATCCCAATTATTAGATTGAAGAAGCACCACCTCGACAAGAAAATAGTAATCATCATTAAGGCAATCGATCTTATGATGGACAATTCAAAACAACTTTTAAAAAGTACTTTTGATAATTGATCTATAGTTCATTTGTTTATAAAGTACCAGAGCCAATTCTATAGGATAGATATTGGAAATAGAAATTGATACAAAAGATCTTGGAGAAGAAATAAAATTGATATTGTCTTATTTTGTATAAATTTAATAAAAAGAATGGCGGATCTAGGTATAGCTATTGAGCGTATGGAACAACTTAAGGAGTCCATAGACATTGTAAAATACATCAATTATTTTAGGGATATCTATGTATTTGTGCTGCTTTCGTTTTGTTGATGCAAGTTGGATTCGCATTCCTCGAAGGTGGGTGTCTTCGCTATAAGGACATGCAAAGTATTATGCTCAAAATATTTATGAACACCTGTGTTACTATTGTAATATGGTGGCTAGTTGGGTATGCAATAGCTTTTGGAAATGATTCAAAAGAATTCGTTGGATCATCAGTTTATATTGGATTTGATATGAAAAACTCTAAACATTTGGCAGAGTTTGCATTTTAAACAGCTGTTGCCTCTGCCGCTACAAGCATAGTTTCAGGAGGTGCAGCTGGCCGCATGACTTATATTGGATATTTTATACTATCTGTAGTGTTTTCTTCAGTTATTTACCCATTTTGTGCTCATTGGGGATTTGGAAATGGTTGGTTAATGAAATTAGGATATCATGATTATGCTGGCAGTGGTACCATTCATGCTTCAGCTGGTATGGGGGCTTTAATGACAACCATGTTATTAAAACCTAGAAATCAAAGATTCAATCCGAAGTATTCAGAACACTTTGAACCTAACAATCCAATTTACATCACTTTAGCTTGTCTTTCTCTATGGGTTTGTTGGTGTTTCTTTAATGGTGGGTCCTCATTAGGCATTGCCAATGGAGCTAGTGTTTTTATGAGTCGTGCTATCATGAATACTTTCATTGCAGGAGCTTCTGGAGCTTTAACTGTTTTCTTTATTTTCTATTTAATGAACATTGATCAAGGCAACAAATATTCCTTAGTCATGATATGTAACGGCAATCTGGCTGGGTTAGTTGCCATCACTGGGTAAACTAATATATTTATTATCCTAGTCCATGTGACAATGTTGATGCATGGGCAGCATTTGTAATTGGAATCTTGGGAGGCATGATGATGGTCTTTGCAAATAGAGTCCTATTCAATCTATAGATAGATGATCCTGTTGATGCTATTTCAATTCACTTTGTAGATATTTCTATCTTATTCAGGCATGTGGAATGTTGGGAGCCAACTTAGTTTCATGGTTTGATATGGATACAGGGATTGTTTATGGCAAAGGAGGCTATTAGTTTGCAGTTTAGATGTTAGGATCCTTTATTTACATTGGATGGTCTGCAATCATTCATTTAATAACTCTTCTATTTATTGAAAAAATAGGTTACTTACGAGTGTCAACAGAAGAAGAACATGAAGGATTAGATCCTGCAACTATGGGATGTTGTGCTTATGAAATGGTTGAATTATAATAATGATTCCTAAATTACAAATTATATAATTCTAGTGAATTTTTAGAATATCTACTTATAATTATTCAATAATTGTTATTTTGAGACATGATTTATGTAATTAGAGTGTTAATATTATTTATATATATTTTATAGTTCATTATTATTTTATTATATAAAATCAATTGCATATGATAGATTGTTGATATTTTATTATTTAAATGACCTTGGTATTAAGTGATTTATAGATAATCATAAATAGAAATAAATATGCTATTTGTTTAGTGTGGGTTTATATACTCACATCTTTGCTCTATTTTAGTTACTAATCTGAAGTTTCTTAAACATATATTTTTATATACTAATAATATTATTAAAAAATCTAAATTTAAAAATTATTTAAAATTTAGGAAAGATGCAAAACAAAAGGAATTCCTAAATTTTTAAATTACATAGACACCTTATGATTTTCAGTAAGATTTAAGATGCATCTACTATCATTGAATCATCAAGAAATTAATAGTTTAGGAATAGAAAAAATATGTAATATCCTCAATTACACCTACTCCCCCATCCACCTCCAAGATAGATCAAAACTGACATAGACTCAGAAGCAGATAGATACTTATAGCCATAGAATATTAAAATTGATCGTAGATGCTCACATTCAATAAGAAGAAACCAATGTGAATATAATTTCAATAGAAGTGCTCTTAATTATTCGTTTTAGAAAAATAAAAAGGATTAAGCTTGCTAAACTTATTTCTTAGATGAATTTTTGAGTGTTGAAATTTGATTAAATTTAATGTGTATATAGTATGTAGAATATAAAAATAATGAATTGTCTAAATATCGAAGCTATCATTAAATATATTAGTATATTATTAGATTATTAGATTATTACAAGTTTGTGACAATGATATATGTAAGGGTAAGAATGCTAATATTTTCGAATTATACTAAATAAATAAAAGAATTATGACTTGTCAACAATTTATTCTGGCCATTATGAATCTAATTGAATCAGTTAAGTGTATAGCTAAGATGTATAACGAAGTTCTCATTTCAAGAATTTCTCTAGCTCATATTCATTATCGCTAAGCAAAATCAGATAAAGCCTGATTTAAATTTACTTAATATATAGTAAAGCTAATTGAATATTTGTGGTTGATCCAACTCCAAACAGTTCTTTCTTAGGTTTTATTTCATGAATCCATTATACACATTTGTTTAATTAACAGTAATCTAAACAAATTCTTCATAAAACTGTAAAGAATATCTATAGATTTAAGTTTAATGCCTTCATTTATATTTCTTGAAAAACATAGCTTTTTAATTTCTTAAAGTGAATTTATGGCGGATAGATACTGAATCTAATGTTAACATGATTTCATTCTAATTATCTTTTTACAATCTATATCTTTATTTATATTTTTCATATATATATATACATTTCAACTGAAGTTTTAAGTAAGTTATTATCCAAACAAATAGGAAAGAATAGGCTGTTTTTATAACAATTAAATATAAAATCTTTTGCTAAAATACTTTAGCCAAGCTCTTAAAGAGAGTTAAATCACTTTGTTTGAATCAAATTTAATAAAATTTAAGATCTCATCATAATTTTTCTAAATAAAACAATTTCTGGAAATTAAAAGTATTTTGAAGATAGATTTACAATATATTACTGTTTTTGTTAAAGTTGTGAGAAATTAGATTAAAAGTATTCGTCTAACCAATTTATAATATATTTTATGTATTAATAAAATGGGCAAATTTTTATACTGAACTTTTTATTATTTAATATTATTCTATAGCTATATTATATTTTTTATGGGTTATTTTATGATCCCGATTAAATTAGATTAAAAAAAGATTCTTTTTATGGATAGATAATCGAATAACTTTAAGAATTCAATTAATAATTCTTCTTAAAAAATGAATAATCAAATTCATTCATTTTTCGACAAAAAAGACCATTAAAGTTTTAAGATTTGGAATAAGTTCTGTAAAACCTAATATAAAGTACATATTAACAATACTGTAGAACGATAGCATAGAATATGCGGGCCAATGTTGTAGAGTGAGCAAAACTAATAAATAATTAAAATCATTTAGTATTTAAATTGGTCATGAAACTTTATATGCCTTCAAAAACAATCTGCCTTTAGGAATGCTGCAACTCACAGTTGTAGTATTATTATTTAAAAAATATGATGATAAAGAAATTCTTAGACTCAAAAAAAATGGCTAGTATGTGGATATTTATCATGATAAACACAAACAGTTAAGAGAAATTCTAATTTCAAAGTGTATATTGACAACTTTCCATAATGACTATAAAGTTATAAAGATGATAGGAAAGGGAACCTTTGCCAGTGTATATTTGGCAGTAAGAAATTTTAACGGAGTCCAGCACGCAGTAAAAGCTTTCAGCAAACAATACATCAATTAGTAATTTAGGGGAAGAGAGGGACTAGAAAATGAGATCAGAGTCATGCGAAGATTGAATGAGAAGAGTATTCTACATTTGCATGAAGTACACGAAACCTAACATTCAATTTATTTTATATTAGATTTATTAGAGGGAGGAGAATTATTTAATAGATTCTAAACTACGATTTATTCAGCCTAGAGAATTCAAAAATTAATGCACAACATGTTAAAAGCACTCTTTCATATGCATTCTAAATAATGTATGCATAGAGACCTTAAACCTGAGAATTTGTTACTTAAAAGCAAAGATAATGATACTGACATTGTCATAGCCGATTTAGGACTAGCACATATTATGGATTAATAACCCCTTTACAAAAGATGTGGGACACCTGGGTTTGTGGCTCCTGAGATTTTGAAGTACAATGATTAGAGTCCCTTTTACAATGAGAAGTGCGATATTTTTAGTGCTGGAGTGATATTTTATTTCATGGTTACAGGCTTTCATCCTTTTAGTGGATAAAATTATAAGGAAATATTGAAATCAAACTAGGAATGCAAGATAAATTTTGATCATAAATCATTAAAGAAAGTATTTGATTCTTGTTAATATTTTTAGGGTCCTTATAATTTGAGGAAGTTACTCAAGAAAATGTTAAAAGCCGATCCTGCTAACAGATATACTGCAGACGAATGCTTAAAACATTAATACTTTTAACAAATATTTAATTAGGAGGATTTAACAGATAAAGTTGTGTTAGAATAAGATACAGAATTCCAGACTCCCTTGTAAATATAGAAGTAATACAATTTTCAAGTTTTAGATCTGAAGATAACTAAGAGGGATCGATGTAATTGATGACCAGATAATCATAATGGAATGGCGAAACCTAAACTGTAGGTTCATTGTCTAATTGCTCTAATAAGAGTTCTGCTAATAGTCCTAATAAATCAGATAGGTAATAAAGTAATCCATCAAAGTTCAGTTAATTCTGCACTTACATGAAATAGGAAGGCTTACTTTTTAATAATCCAAATTCTCAAAAGAACAAATAGAATCATGATCTTCACAAATAGGCATTAAGAAATAGTTATTATTAAAAGTAAAAAAGTTAAGATGATGAATATGCCATAGAAGATGAATAAATAAATATCATTAAACAATTATCCTAATTAAATGCATAAAAACCAAAAATGGGTTTTATAAAGAAGAGCCAATCTTTGGATGTGGATTGAATAATAATATATTAGTATTTTAGTTATTCAATCTCTATACATGGTTAGTTTGAATGTATTTTAATTTCATAAAATTCTTGATAATTTCATCCATTCCTAAGATAATATCTTGCATTTAAATAAGCATTCTACGATGTCATTAGCATTTTTAATCAAACTTTTGTAAGGTATTGTTCCATTTTATGTAATCGAAAAAGTTAATCTAACAATATCCTAACAAAAGTCATGCTGACTCTTTTGAATCTATTCAAATGTTCATTTATGAATTACATACCTTCCTTGATATATTTTATAGACAGAATATACTTAAAAAAGACAAAATTATCTGATGTTAAATTTTTATCAACTATGAATTTTTAGACAAGATTTCTCATCCATTAGTATAAAATTCCCCCCCCCTTTTTGTCTGATGCAATGGAAATCTTCATGGAAAAATGATAAAAATTTGATTAAAAATGAAAAAATAATTGTGGAATCCTTACACAAATGATATAAATATAGGAGCGCAATTGATAAAGTCTGAATTCATAATAGAAGGGAAGTCTCAGTATTTGATGGGGACAGACAATATGCTCATAATATTTGAGGTTTTTAGTGAGAGTTTAACAAAAAGGACCCGAATTATAAAAAGCCATTGAAATATACGACAATGGATTATGATCTAAAATATGAGATAGTTCGAACAGCGCCTAAGATAAAGCTAGGATGTCCATTTTTTAACTTGCAGAATGCCGAACGAGAAGATTAAGTGTATGTTCAAAATGTTGAGAGATTGGGGGATCCGATAAAATTACTGTTATTTATAGATGAATAAGACAAGTTTGAAATGATGGCCCATCAGTTGATAATCACGAGATGGGGATAGTTTTTGGGAAAGCGAATTAATTAGTTTGGGTTCCATCATCTATACAGAGTTTACAAGTAGATAGGGAGGGGAAATTTTGCATCTGTGTACTATGCATAACGAGTGGATGATGGTCAAAATATGGCAATTAAGGCATTTTCAAAGAAGATAGCCTTTGCGGAGGAGAATGGAAAAGAAGCTCTGATAAATGAGATCAACTTAATGAGACAAATGAATCATGTCAACATCATAAAACTGTATGAGGTCAATGAAACTACTAACTCTCTATATGTTTGTTTAGAACTATTGGAAGGAGGATCATTACATGATTACGTGAGAAAGAAAATACAATTTAAAAATAAGGAAATTCAAACTATTTTCAAAGGATTGTTAGAGGGTTAATCGTTCAAAATTATCATTAGGTCTTAGGCACATCCATGCAAAAGATATAATGCACAGAGATATCAAACTAGAAAACATTCTATTTAAGTAACAAAATGCACTTGATACGGTTTGTCTTGCTGACTTTGGTCTGGCCACTTATGTTCACGAAAAGGTCTACTTATACACTCGTTGTGGGACTCCAGGGTATCATATTAAATAAGCTTTTATAGGTATGTGGCTCCTGAGGTAATAAACATTACAGATTTATCAACGAAATACGATAAAGTCTGTGATATCTACTCTTTAGGATTGGTATTCCATCTCATTCTGACTGGAAGGTTTGCATTTCCTAGTCGTAGTTACACTACCCTTGTACATTAAAATTAGGAGGCCAAAATAAATTGGAATTCTCCAATTTTTGAATCAATTCCTAAAACTGCTTATGATTTATTAAGACGAATGTTGGAGGTGGATCCAAAAAAACGTATCACTGCTGAGGAGGCCTTACAACATCAATATTTTGAATCTTCGAATGAAGAGCTATTTGAAGATGAATTTTTTGACATTATTGATAGTTGTTAATAGGATTAATAATTGCAAAAAATCGATGATCTCAAAGTTGACCTTAATATGATGCGCATTAATTAATTAGCTAGTACTCCGATTAAATCGCCGAACTTCAGAGCCAAATTGATTCCTTCTATGAAGGAAAAAACTTATTCGCAGAAGTAAATTGAAATGAAGAGTTCCGTAATTACTGGGAGAATTCATAACAAAGATGGTATATTACTCTAGTAAATAGCAAGAAGAACAATAATCAAAGAAAGAGGAGTCTCAATATGAGCAGTTCAGAGTGCCTGCCATTGAATAATTTAAGTAAAGTTTAAGCAAAAATTTGTGATCATATTTAATCATTAAACCAATCTTAACCATATAACTTCTTGACCCAATCCGAAAAGGTTTATAAGCGGTAATGCTTGGGCACACGATTTCTCTTGTTAATAACAATAGGTTTTTTGGCCTCGAGTTATGGTTCCAGAGTAAAGAAATTCTGAATATCATATTTACAATCCATTTGACTGATTTTTCTCTGAGTTTACTGTACAGGCTTAAACACCTGCGAAGATGGATCCAAAAGTTGACTGCCACAACGGGCGAATCGGTTTGTTGGCATCTCAGTAATCTACTTTGGTTCTTGTCTCAATTGGGGGACCTTATTGGAATCAAAGGGATTCCTATTCTTTCCCAATAGAAAATCCAAGGAATCTCGATTGGTCTAAATAATGTAAGCAGAGGGCTTCTCGATTCTAGGAAGTTTGAAGCCATCATTCACTTTTGTTTATTTGAACATCATTTTACAAATGTAGACACCTATATTTATATAAATACTTTATTTAAATAATAATTAGTGCAATTGCAATATTAAATCTTCTTCCTTGTGAATATCAAAATAAATATTATCATTATTATTCGAAAAGTTACATAAACGGAGCCAAACACTCAAAAGTATATCGTTGTAACAACAATTCCTTAGCCCTTCTCTCCAAGTAGCGTCCCAAAATGATTCGCTATTGTGGCTGATGCAATTTGTACATCCTCATAAACAGATCCCTTTCAGACGCATCATAATTGTGACTCCGAATCAACATCAACTTTAATTCCACCTCTCTTACTCTCCATAGGTCCATGTCTTTAAAATACTAAACATCATTTCGAGTCAAGTATTCATCCAACCCTTAAAGTAATTGCAGTTCCTCACAAATAATCGCAAATCTCTAAAACGAAATGTACTGAACTTATTATTATTCTATATCGCATTCATTGTTGAACATACTGATGATCTGCTGTTCCTCTCTCTTGTTCTCCAACTCCAGTAATAGCAATCTGAACTGATTCTGAGTCAGTCGTTCTCCATCTTCTGCAAAAATCTAAAGTATAGTAGAATATTTCAAGAGCAATTCCTGAATCTTGATATCCTGCATAGGTCCCAAATGATGCGAGATTTCCGCATCATAATCCACATATTGAGGCTACTTCTACATCCCTTTGATGTATTCGGCTAGTTAGGATTGAAGCACTTGAATGCCAGTTTCCGTGAAGGTGGCACTCTGTAAATTGCTCAATATTTGCAAATAGATTTGGAAACTTAACTAGCTTTATTATATCATAATACATCTCCAATCAGCATCGAATGAAATAGTCTTGCCGTGTCACTCCTTCGCTTATAATAAATTAAGGATTTTATCACTCTGGCCACTTTGCCCAGCCATACATTCTGAGGTTGAGATTGATTCTCACTCGAAAAGTACTCATACAATTGCACATGCAATGGGTAAGTGAACTTGTTGAATTTCAGACACCACTACACGAAATTGGCCAAGATCTTTATCAACGTATGTTATGTGACAATGTTCTCTATTTTGTCTCTTCGAAATTGTTGGATCTCCTGCAATAAGGTTTACGTGGCCAATTAAGTGTTCTTACTGCCACATCTACTCACGAATAGCTTCTTCTCTATTGACAATAAGTTCTTCACTGGATTCAGACACTCAGACAGATCTACCTCCTCATCTGAAGAACTCTAGGAATCCTCAAACTTATTGTCCGGGAAGACTACAAATCAAATTTAGACTTCTTACAATTGAGTGCTATGATTGGTTTCGAAGGCGAGAATGCTTCAGGACCATCTGGAGAATCACAACTCAGCTCTGCCATTGAAGTTCTCTATGGGATGCTACTGTCTTAAAAGGGTTCTAGGGGAGTCATAGGAGGGAGGTATCCCAATGAGTTCTTTGGATTGATAGACAAGGCTGGTTGAACTTATTATTAAGGTGGTAAGAGAGATGCTGAACTAATATTGAAATTCTAAGGAATCGGGGGATTTAAGTTATTAGTACTTATTAGCAAAGGAGTTGGCGAAATACCTTTTGGGAATTCAAAATTAATTTTGTGACGAATAGCCTTCCTTCTGATTTAATCCTGTTAGTATTATGGTAGAAATCGAGAGACAGCCTTAAGTTATTTGGAGATGAAATTAAAATTCTTAACTTGCTATTGATACTTGGATGCCAAGAGATCAAATCTCTTCTGTGTCTAGATCTTTTGTCTATTGCTTTGTTTACAGTCAATTTAAGTTTCAAAGATTTATATTTTTCGAGTTATCAATTCCTCCTTCAACTTTTTGATGATATCCTGGAAATCATTGACCAAAAACAGAAAAACCGAATAAGAGTTCTGAAAATACTTATCGGCTTCACGAAAGTCTTCTTGGAACAACTCCTCTTTCATTTACATGATACTGAAGATTTGTAAAGATCGAGATTTCAATTGATCCAGAATACTCTCCAACACACTGGAAAAGGTCTTCTTTTCAACTTCCACTCTTTCAATATACAATTAATAGTAATCATCTGTGAAAGTCTTAATTGGATATTTTGACATTTCCAAATAGGTTTATTCTTGTTGATTTCTAGGAATGCATTCTCTTTTGATTAGAGCATAATTGGCCTCACAAGCTTGACTATTGCTCGGAATAGGCATGGTCTGATTTGCACAATCATAGGTTCTTCTTTTTTGATTGACAGTTTGAGTGAACATTTCTGCTTTAAGAACCAAGCTTTTATTAATGAATATATTACTCGCTCGTATCTACCTGGATCTCACTGAACTCAACAGTGTTCCCTACACATTTATCCTTGAATAGAATTTCTTCGTACTCCTCAATTAAGTTTTCATCCTTCTAGGCCTTGTCATCTGATCCCCTTTCCAGATCCTGTATTTTGTTTAGGTAAGCTTCTTCGAATTTTTTAGTCTGTTCTTCGAAGACTAACTTAAAGTCATCGAAAATCTCCTTCTTGGCTTTGTAGAGTTCCTCCTCAAAGTCAGCTGTGAAGTGGTCATTCTGATGACGAACTTGCTAAAATAATTTGAGAGTCTCATTCTCCTTACTCAAATCTTGCAATTACAACTTTAGTAATTCGATGTCGTTGTTGTGACTGCTAAGTTCAGTTGACAATTTACAAGTCTTTTTTCTTAGGTAACGATTCTCCTTGTTCATTTTCTCGGCGTATTCAGCATTCCTCTTCAACTACTTTTCAGCCTCGTTTAATCTTTGCAATTTCTCACTCATCTGAGTTTAATACCTTTCATGTATTTTAATCGTGTTTGTTAAACTTTCCTTCTCCAATTTTCTATTGGTTCGCGATTATTTTTCAATTATCTCCTTCACAATTCCAGTGAATTACGTCCATATTTTATCAATTAATTAGGAATAATCATTGCACTTTACAGAAAGTTGTTGACAAAGCTACCCTATGGATCCAGAGTAAATCAGCTCTATCTTATCGTAAAACTCGGTGATACTGTAAAAATTCTGCTGTTGAATCTATTACACCATTGACTATCCTTATTACGTATGTATATTACATCGGTCCATTACTACAACAATTGTAAATCCTTCCTCTCACTTTATTCATTGGTGATTTTCTGCAATGTTCTAACCGTCTTGTTGCTTGTGCACATATTGGCTCGACTCATCAACTGCTGCATCTCGAAAACCTGTTCATTAATTTAATGTAATCATTTACTGTTCCATCTTCCCCCTAAATAGTCTTATTGATTGATTAAATTGACGGAAACTTGAGAGGCGATAACCGCTCGTCAGTAAGAGTGTGCATACGTATTTTTTTAACTCTTTTCATATGATCTGTATATAAACTTTTATTAATAATAGTTAACACATCTGATCTCACTCATAAAACAATTTAGCAGATGTATATATGACATCTCCAAATGGAAGAGGACTTTTATGAGATTCGCATGCAATTTTGGATATGGTTTCCAACATTGGATAGTCACTGCCCCTCAAAAATGCACTTAAGTTAATTTGGAGGACAAATATAGCCATCTATACTCAAAGATAAAATACATATAAAATTATGGATTTTATTAAAGTATTTTGTATTTTTTATCAATTATTATTTTATTTGATGTTAACGAATAGACAATATAGCCATCCATATTGACTGCACCTAAATTATGTCAAAAATGTTGAGAATCAAACATCTTAATTATTATCAATCGAAAAGGAGAATCAGAAGAGTCATAATATGGGGGGAGTATTAAAATGATTACTAATCCATTTTGTTATTTAAGATTATTAATATTTAATAGTAATTCACAATATAAATTGGTATTTGAGATTATGAATATTTAACAATGAATGTGATTCATAAAATTGAAGTACTCACAAATAAACATTGAATTGAATTGCATTGCATTGCAGTCGGTCTTTCTGCTTGGGATTTGATTCCATTTTATATTTATATTTAATAAAAAGGCAAATAAAAAGAAATTAAAATGTTCGATGGTTATTGTAGGTAAATTATGTAACCTAAGCGTGTTGCTTATAACAAATCAGATTTAGAATGTGGTTATCCGAGATAAGATTTCTAGTTGCAAGGATTACAATGTTCTCTATATAAATGCAATAAGTACACACAATCATGCGTATTATATTTGCATGGGTATAATGGATCAAGGTTAGAAGCTGTGTAATATGCTTCCTTTGTATGCAAGAGTGATTTCGATTTTTGTTCATTTGATTTTTAGGCAGCTGGGTAGTCTGAAGGAGACTTTGTGACATTTGGGTAATTAGTTATGTTGATGAAGTTTAAAAGAGGAGGAGAACGTGGCGTTAGTGATTCGACACTTGAAGGAGAAATATTTTCACATCATCTTGTGGGGCAGATCAATGGGAGCTACGACAGCCTTGATGTACACTCAGAAGAACCAAAATATAAAATGTTTGGTTTTGGACAGTCCATTTTTGGTTTTGGAAGATGTAGTGATAAATTTAATAAAATTGAAACTCCACACTCCAGACATCATCAACAAAGGATTGTATGAGTTGATCAGAAGTATATTATCTTGTGTAAATTCAGGAAGCATTGCAAAATTGTTCCAGTTTCAAATAAGCAAGGTCCAATTGCCTTTACATTTAAACATCACCTGTCCAATGATACTGTTGGCATCAAAGTAAGACCATCTGATTCCTTAATACCATTTTGATTCCATCTACAAGGGATATGTTGGGAACAAGAGAATAGTGGCCTTGCAAAACAATCACAACGAACAAAGATCGACTGATATCATAAAGACTATCATTGGATTTTGTCAATCCATGACACCGCAAAGTCGATTCAGTCCAACCAAATATCCAGATCGTCTTTTGGGGGATTTGGATGAACAAAAATACATAGCTACTGGGATTAAGATCAAATAGAAAATCATGAGAAATTAATCAGCATCCACTCACACTAAGAATTCAGCTTAGATACAGAAGGATAAAGCATTGATGTAATTGTCCATTCTTAAATGATTTTATAGATACTAATTACTATTAATCTTAACATAAATATCCATCAATAATCTCATCTCTTTATATTTCGAAGTACTCTTTCAATAGTTTATGATAATTGGAAGAGTTAATTGACATAACCTCGTGACAATTATCTGATCTCCTCCTATTATGAACAATCTAATTGTCTTGATATCTCCAATAGTTCTGACAGAGGAACGGCCAGATCCACTCTCCTGGATATAGTTTTGCTGGTGTTAGATTTAGAGATCAAGGATGACTGAGGCTGTGGAGAGGTGAACTACCAACTTCCCAAATTGCCAAGTGATTGATTCTTCTTTCGGAATGAGGACAAAAGATCCTCATTGGTCGTATGAAATCTGCTTGGGTTATTGCTAAGAATGATTTGCACTCATACCCTTCTTAGATTCCAAATATTTTGCTTGGAGATGCCAAACTTGGATTGTGCTCGTCTTTGCTTTTATTGATGATTGTATGATGAAATCGATTATCTGATTTATTGTCTATTTATTCAGCCCATTCTGTTGGATACCTATATTATACTTGTGATTATCTACCTTCTTAACTCCTTTTTTTAATTGTTGTCCTATACGATAGAATTGGTTCTACTATTTGTACTGAAGGCTGAAGATGAGTTCAGAAAGGTTGTTCGTTTTATAATTTGAGATTTCTACCCACTAGATTACATTGTCAAATAAATTTTATTTTAAAATATAATTCTTAATTTTCATAGTTTATCAATCACAAATTTGTTTAGCAACGCACTTCTGAATGAATTGTAGATGACCTCATGTTATTCAGTTGAAAGTTGAGAGAACATATTGCTAAGATCATCTTGCATTGATAGATACAACATAGTAATTTTATCAATCAGAATAGCATTCTGCTAACTCTCCACCTGAAAATGCTGAGATCTAAACAATTTTGGATTTTAATGACACACCTACTCAAATTACTCTAAATCAAAAGTCTCATCCTCTGATTCCACAAACACCATCATACTCCTACTCGATTTGCAGTGATTGCTTATTAATTCAGCAATCCGCATTTGATCCTTCACATTGAGCAATCTTGAACGCGTCTTCCCCAGAACCAAGAACTGCTTAAACTCCTAATTACAAATGCAATTGAATTGGAATTACCCCTTGGCAAAAGATACGCATTTCCCATCCAAATATAACTCATAAACATTCTGTTTTCCCAATGCACAATCAAAAAACTCCTAGGGACTCCTATACATCAACATATCCGACTCTGGTATCACTGTCGACAACAGTTCTAGATAATCGATCTGTTTCCACTGTATTATATCAAATAGATCAAGTAGTTTCATTATTACTTCGTTGATATCATAAGATTATGATTGACTATCAAGGAGTAAATTCAAATGCTTATAGGGGATCCACTTAAATGTCAAGGTCGAAAGTGGATATACACAATTGATCAATTTCATCACATTCACAAAAAGGTCAGGCTATTGGTTGATGTTACCCAACGATGAAAATTTAAATATGTAGGTGATTTAAGATTGATTTACGAAGAAGTCCTCCTTCTTTTAAATTACTTAACTAAATTTATTGCTGTACAAAAATTGAACTGAGTTTTCACTCTGATGTATGATAAATACATCATAGAGTTTGAGTAATTCCAAAAGTCTCGAATTATCATGTTTTACATTATCCAAAACCTTAATCACTTTAAAGTACTTTTCAGATATAATCCATTACTTCAGACATTTGATTAATAGTTCAGATTATTATTCTTATAATTACTTTAATGACATATCAATCATTTCGATTTCAGTCTCAAGTTTTATGAATTTATTCGATTTAACACTAAGTTACTCTTCAAGATGATGATGAATTGTTTAAAAGATACTAGATTCTAAAATTTGTTATTTAAACATTAATTAATTGAAATAGAAAAAGAAAACATAATTATTTAATTGTACATAATAATGATAATGAATTAATAAGATATAAAATGTTTTTGATTATTAAATTATGTTATTTGTTTTAATTTATAATGTAACATAAATTAAGGATATATATGTATGACCAAAGTTGAAGATTAACAGATTTTTTAGCCTTCTTAATTTTTTCATTATCTTTCATCCAGCGACTCATAAACAATATCATTTTTTTCATTAATTAATAGAATATTAATAATACGTTATTATTTTTAAGGAAATAAAAATAAATATAAAAATAAAAAATAATAATAATTAACTAAATATTTATACCTAACATTATGACATTCTAACATCTTTAAACTCTTAAAGGTTCCATTGATAATAATATGTATCTACTCAAATTCAATAGCTATATAATTTATTATATAAATAAAAGCGATTATATTTATAAATCAAGTCAATAATATAATTTTTGTTTCTCTCAAATCTATGACTAAATACTGTAAATATCTATAGAATTCAAACGATCTATTTGTTTTGATTAAAACCCCAAGCATCCAGTGATTGAATACAGATTTATGAGGTATTATATATTCTACATTGAAATTTCAAGTTATCATATAGAACACTTTAATTAATTTTGTAAAGAGATTATGAATATATAAATAAGTTAAAAAATTGACACACAATATTGACTCTTTGATGTTCAGATTTTAATGGATTGATAAGTTGGTTAAATGCAATAATTAGAAACTACTAAAGTTTGACAAGAATATATAATAATTATATAATGAAGAAATCAATAATTAGACCAGTTAATCAGCTTTACTCTCCCTCTATATCGCACTACAGATCTCAAACAAGTGGTTCTGGTGTTTTTGATCAATCTCGTATATTGGAAGAGACGTCGGAGAAGTTCTAGCGATCATGGATGATGCTTGAAAGCGTGGAGGAAATGAAGAGTCTTCGTTATGCATTGAAACAGACGGCCACTGAGCCCAACCTCCATCCAGAATGCCAATTGGGAGGGACACTCGTATCTGGGAAAGTATATAAAGTGACTCCGATGGAATTTTATTATTGCAATATTCCCACAAAAGGTTAAAAATCTCCTCTGAATTGTACGGTGTATTGTGATGGCGACTTTCAGATAATGATATCTTTTAACTCTCCATTTCCAACCAAATTTAATTGTGATCAAGTGATAAGAAATAGAACATGGACTGTAAGACATAATGGGGAGGAGAAACTTAATTTGGCATTTGTGGCTCGTAAACAAACAGACATTAAGTTCATGATATACTATGGATAGACAGACTCTTTCAAGAAGTTGATACGAATATCGAGTAATCACGAGAGAGTCCAGATGAGTGATGAGATTCCCAGAATGCCCCAATTTATAGTGAATCAGAATAAGATACAGGCAGTTAAGAAAGTGAATAAGTATGAAGTGGAGGTGAGTCGATCAGATCGTTTCTTGCAGGTGCTTAAGACGAGAAATCTATAAAAGAAAGCCATCATAGAGGCTAATCAATAGAAAAATCTTGATTTTCAAGCTAAAGAATGGGCTCATGATGAATACAAGTTGATTACCTTGACCTTACGAAACCGGGAGAGAAGGAGAGAGCAGACCTTCCTTTGGGGTGAATTGCTTCACTTTTTGAAGTTGGTAGACAATCTGAATAGCATATTGCAATAGAGAAGGAGGCAATTGAAGAAAAATAAAATGATGGTCATTAGCATTTAATTGAGGATGAGGAAGTTCAGAGAGGATTACAAATTGAATCGCGAGGACTTAGGTCATAGGACAGTGGGACAAACAATGATGACGTTGACTATGTTTTGTAAGCAATCGAAGAGGAGGATCATTCACAATTCGTTGGCTCTTGTTCTGCCACTGTTGAAATGGCGAGCGAGTTTGTACATGTTCAAGAAGAAGGCTTTGATCACGAGTGGGAAGTTACAGTTGATCAGGGTGAATTTGAATTAGTTCGTTAAGAATGTGAGGGAGTACAAAGCGAAGATGATTTAGAAGTGGGATCAGTATACCATGAAGATTCATTAGTATCAATCTATGCACAAAGCTGATAAGCGATTTTTGACTTGGGTTAAATTTCTATATGAGAAAGGATACCAACTATACTTTTAGAACGTCTTCATCACTTTGTTGATGCGAGAGAGGTATCGATCTCACATCAAGGAACAAAGGGAAATCCTTAAATACAGGTAGGAGATGAAATCTGCAAAGTTGCAATTGAAGTTTGCCAGAGAAACTGTAGACATCTTGACTTTACGTTAGAGGATTTTTAAGTTGAGCAATGACATTTATGCTATGTAACTCAAGAATCAATTTTTTATCCATTCTGATGTAGAGAGATTCGTGTCTTCCATTATTGAATAGAGTTCCTTCATCTTTATGGATGAAGACAACAATCAGATGGGTCAAGAAAAGTCATCTCGTCTTCGTGTTAGTTTGAAAAGATAAAAAACACTTCGTATCTCTAGAAAATCTTGAAGAATTCATGAAATATAAATATTTCAATTTTTTGTCATAATTAAATTATAAAAATGAATTATCCTGAAACTAAGTAGTATAGGAGATTGACATTTTGGAAATGCATGGCTGTGACCACCTTTTCCTACGCTGTCAGCAAGACAGCCACTGCTCCTCTAGAAAGAGTCAAACTCATCCTACAAGTCAGTCCCATTCTTAAATGCGAAGACAAGATTGATCGAACTTGGTCAGGAATCAAATAGATCTACAAAACCCAAGGCTTGTACTCCTTCTGGAGAGGCAACGGTCTCAATGTAATTAAGACCATTCCTAATGCTGCAATACGATTTACTGTTTATGATAAATTCAAATAATATGTTTCCGAATATCGACAAAAAGAGAATGTAAATATGTTATCAATTACCAATGTAGTACACAAGACAAGTGACAAACAGATTGGTGGCAGGATTTTGCACTGGCCTACTTAATCAACTGATACATTATCCCCTTGAAGTCTTACGTGTTAAATTGACTGTCGATATGAGTCATTTCAACAAGGCTCGTCTGTACAATGGAATCTTTGATTGTCTCAAGAAGACCCTCAAAACTCAAGGGTTCTCAGCTTTGTATCAGGGATTCATCCTATCTTCTTGCGGCACTGTACCATACTTGGGAATCAGTTTTCTTGTCCATGATCAATTAAAAGACCTCGTACCAATAGAAAATAAGTCCGAATAGATCTGGATGCAGTTGGCACAATTCATTGGAATCGGATCCATATCAACCATCACTGCAACTGCACTCACATATCCCATTGATACCATACGTAGAAGAATTCAAATCAACGGGTCTTTGGGAGCCTAAAGAGCATATGTTTCATTTTCTGATTGTGTAAAAAAGATGAGAAAAGAAGGATTGTTGTCTTATTACAGAGGATTCTGGATTACACTCGTTAGAGTAGTTCCAGCTGCTACCATTCAATTTGGTTGTTTTGATTATTTAAGAGAGTTATCTACATGAGTTTTTGTTTAATTGTTTATTTATAATTGTAACACAGATCAAATGTCATCTTCGTCATCACTCGACAGTTTCCTTCTCTTAAACTATACCATTTATATTGCAATATTACAGTCACTTTAGTGTCTTGCTTTTTCTATCCTTCTGCTGCTTCGAGTAATTTGATCAATTCCTCCTCAGAAAGCTAGTTTGTAATCTTCCCTTGCTTAGCCCATTAACAAAGTTGGACCTCAATCAACTCTGCCTTCTCTGGTTTCACCAACTTGATATTTGCCACTATAATTGAAACATCCAATTGAAATACATCTCTGCTTAGCCTCAGGTGTCAATATCTATGTCAGAATGGACTTCTTGATTTCTTCCATTTGCTCCTTCTATGCCTACTATTGCTTTAGTTATTCTAACTATTTCTAATCCAATTGATCCATTAATTAATTTATTTTATATATATAAATATCTATAAGTAATTTAATATAACATAAATACATTATCACATTCCCAAGTACTCACACTATTCTGAAATTATTATTAATAATTATTTTAGAGTTTGAAATCAATTTAAATGGCTACAACCATGTTCAAATAAAATGAGAAAAATTTCAAGAACAAAGTGGAAGAATTTAATAATCTTTATAAATAATATGCACTCACTTAAAGTAAACAACTAGTTTTTGAAAAGATGAAACTCGTTTTCGTCCAAGCTGAACATCAAGTATTGAAAACATATCTATTTACAAGTTCAAATTCATGGAAATTGAATTTGGATCATTCACAGAGATGCATTAAAAAGACTATGTCCAATCTATGAAGGCCAACAAACTCACATATGTAGAATGCCAAAAGAAACTCAGAGACTTGCAATTCGATCTAGAGAAACTGCCATTCTCAAATTCTAGCAGCAATAGCAAAAAACTAAATCCATCTCCAATCGGAGGACTCAACTCGGACTTACAGGTCTAAACAAAATAATTAGAAACTCTGGATTCTCGCTTATTGGAGGCAGAAGATACTTAATTAACTATTCTAGATAACGTAAGAAATCAAAAGGAAAAGCTGCTTAAAGCCATAGAAGATGTATTTATCATTCTCAATCATTCTAGACCAAAGAAATCCAAATGGGAGTTTAAATGACTCAAAGACATGCCACTATGATTAAGAATCGTCAATCATACAATAAGGGGATCCTCCTCTCCTTAATTTGCATATTGACAATAGGAAATATACTTATTTTATATTACAAATTCATAAGTTGATTATAATTTGTAATTATCATTTACTTTTTCATTAATACTTAATTCAAATTATTAGACAAAAATATAATAATATATACAATATTATTTGAATCATCGATTAATTCATTTCTAATCTATAATCTTTTTATCCCAGTTAGCTTAGTTTTAGCTAAGAGTGTTCTATTTGATAAGTTTCCACTATTGGATTATTATACATGATATGCAAAACCTTTTGATTTTTCATTAAAAGCAATTATTGTGCAAAAAGACAGCTTCTTGTTTTCACAACCCACAATAATTAACATCATTTTGTTTAATTCTCAGATTACTTTTCCACTTTCACTGGTATGAAAATTTTGTCTATCTTAACTAAAATCTTCCTTAAGAATTATGAATTTATTGAACAAAGCGCATATATAAGCATTCTCCTTGTTTAACCTGATATGCAAAATTTATTATGACTTTCTGAAATGAGTTGATCCTTTAGTTCAAATAACCTTTAGAAATTATATTTGACTAATGAAAAAGCAAGAATATCAATTAATTTGACACATTTAAACTCAACTATGTACTCTATTTGAATACTTACTTAATCACTATAATTTGGAAATTCTAACTACTAAATTTTACCCTTCTCTTATAGAGATAAATTAAGCAATATTGTTCCACTGCCAATTTCAATATTAAATAATTATGATTGATTATTAAATCAATGTTAAGATTTGACATTTATAGTTATGAAATCATTCTAAATTTTATTTTCGAAATTTATTGAAAAAATATCCTGACATAATATTATTATTAATTTGCAATATTGATATTGTTAATTTTGACATTATAAATTGAAATACAAATAAAACTAAAATTAAAAATTAGGTACTCAAAACCTTCATGAAAGATTAAAAATATTATATTATACTAAATTAAGTTATTGACATTCATATAATTCAATAATAATGCAATTTCTTGATTATAAATTATGATACATTCTTGTTTTGTACTTTAGAAATAGCAACCATATAATTTCCATCATTTGTAAGTTACCCATAAAATTCTGGATTCTCAAATATTTATATATTTGTAAGAAGAGTAATATTGTTATCCTGTTCTTTTTTAAATGTATAGATAGATCTCTTATGTTTAATAGCCACTACATTTCTCTAGGTATTATAATATATTGGAAAGAAATCCTTATCTTCACAATCATCTTCACCCAAATTGATTTATTTCTCCTATTTTTCAATAAACAATCCATTCTCGAGTTCAAAAAAACATAAACAACCCTTAATTCCCTTACTACTCCAAACAAATTAAGTATCACTAATAAATTATATCCTAAATCCAAAGTCTTAAATAGACTACTAAACCTTCTGTTTGAAATTCCATTGATTTCCATTTCCTTTCTCCCAAAGTAAAATCTATTGATCCTGTCCACAAGATACCAATTAAGATTATGAACTATTTATACTCAAACCAAAAACTAGGTTAGTGTGCTTTTCCAAACATTAAACTTACTATAATGATTTCAATCCAAAATCCAATTTCCATATTCTTATTGTTCTATCATAACTACCTGAGAATAGAAAGTCCTCATTCTAACTCAAGATCAGACAACTAATAAAATCAGTGTGCTCTAAATAAGCTTACGAGCTCTCCCATTTAAATTGACTCTTTTCCTTCCATATTTTAATTGTAAAATCCATGGATCCTGATATAAAAGAATTTGAATGTTGGCTAAAAACTAAACATGAGATATTATCATCGTGAGCCTCAAACTTCTCTATTTCCACCAATTATCCCTCATTAAATAACCATGCTTTAATGCTAGATCCTGAACCAGAGATCATAATTTGATCAGATTTATTAAAAGCTACTGCAAAGCATGATTAATCAGCATCTTCTTTTGAATTATTGTTTTGAGGATCACTTGAAATCTCCTCAAGTTTAATCGCTTTAAAATCTTACAGAGTCATCTTCTAGGCCTAGTCTAACTTATGGAGTATGTGATTAATTTTAGAAGTTAAAATGCAATAATCCTCATTCTGGTTTTATACACAATTAACTACACTCTCTTGCTTACTTAGCTTTAGAGCACTTTCTTTTAATCTTTAATGATTTAATTAATAGTTGAATTCCTAAATACTTTAGAACTACTTATCGTAACTAGTCTTTAACATTTCATTATTTTATTTGATTTTTTGATCAATAATTTGACATATTTCTGTTCTAATTGAAATCAATTCATTGTTTTATCTTTTTACTTAGAATTTTAACTTTTAAAATTAATCCCTTAGCTGCCTTTTACCTTCTTAACTATAGTGTTCCCATTTCCTTAAAAAATCATCAAGGTTATCTCCATTTCTTCTATTACACTTTAAACAAGAAGTCCTCAGTTCTATGTCAACATCTTTATCTGAATCGACATAAATAATCTCTTAATTATGAACTTGACAAAAAGGTTTCTTCCTCGCATCATTCTTGTATTGAAATAACAAATACCTGGATATTGCTTTGAATTAAGGGACAGCTCTCTATTATATCTACTGAATCCATCTAATTTACGTCAAGCAAACTTTATTAACAATTTAGATAATTGGTGGAGTCCATCAAATGATTCAATTAGAGTTATATTTTGTTGGAATAATCATAATTCAATTCCTTAATAGTTCTTGTTAATTCTAATAGGTAATCCATCTTGCTTTCATTTTATATAAATCTGTCAACTTCAGAATGTATGCTATATTTTGAATTCTTATCTCCTAATTCTATCAGCTATGCATTCCATAATGAAATTTTCTCTTCGCAATTGGTCAATTTTTAATTCAATTGAGTCTTAATAGAATTAATTGAAACTTTTAGCTAGTCAATGATTGATAAATTCTTCAGTATTATCATGTTTAAGTTTTAACAAAAGGAATTTTGCTGTTCCTTAATCCTCTCCACAAAAGTGAGGAATGGTATTGTATGCAAACCTGTTTAATTACTGTTCCAACAATTGGCACATTGTAATCTGTCTTCACTCCTAAAATTTTACTCAGTAACAACGATAGTGAAGGGAGAGTTGTGTTTCAAACACTTAAATGTGGAATCATTTTCGAACATTTAAGATGTAAATAGATCCATAATATGAATTCAAAAATAAATAAATACTTGAACTCTATAAAAATTCTTTTAAAATTTATATATAAAAATTTATAATCAATCAAGATCATTTTGATCTTCCAAGAAATCCTCAACTTCCTCATTATTGTTTTCTTACTCATTTAAAATCTATTCTTCATGATGTTCCTTGGTTTCAATTAACTTCTGAGTGTCTTCTTTGCTGTCAGCCTGCTTGATTTCTTGGGATGAATTATCTTAAGGTTACCCCTTCGTTTATTGTTATTAACTTTCATCTAATTCTTTAATTTCGTTGAGTTCATTCTATTATTTAATGGAAATGTTTTCCTAAGAACCTGAATGAGTGGATTTTTTGTGTCCACTAACTTAAATTGGCCTCTTAAAAGAGACTTCACCTGAATTTGCAACTTTGTTTGGAGTAGTATTGTTTGATTTTTAACTTGATGATCTATTTTCTTATGAATGAGTTGATGTATTTTCTTGCATGTAATTCTTCCTTTGCGATAGTAGACTCATCTAATATTTGGTAGGATTATTTGATATTGCGGATAGATTTTTGATATTTTGTTTCTATTTGGTTTATTCTAAGATCTCTTGGAAGAGTGTTTCTAGATTATTCTTGGCTTTTAATAACTCTGTGTTGTCCATTTCCAATTATTTAACTCTGGCTTTGAATCTTGTCACATATCCTTGACTAGTTTTTAATTGAGTAGCCAATGATTTTTATTGTTATCTGTGCAATTCCAATTCTTGATCCTTTTCTAGTAATTAATTCTTTAGATTCTGTAATTCATTTGACTTACTTTTTGTATTGACTTGAAGATAGTGATCTAATTTAGTTTTTAAATCCTGATTTTCTTGTAGTAACTTCAACTAGAATTATTTGGTTTTTTGCATTTCTTCGTCTTTGATAATCATTTATTCTTGCAATTTCTATTAGGTCTATATTGCTTTTTTGAGCTAATTGTATTTACAAGTATATACTTCAATATCAAGTGCTTTGGAATGCTCAAGTTATTTGATATATTGTCTATTACTTTCTTGGAGTTTAAATTCAAGTTCTCTTAGCTTAAATTCCAGATCTGAAATCTTTTTCTAGAGATCAGATTGTGTCTTTGCAGATGTCTAAATTTAAGTAATTAGGATATTATTTTCTCTAGAGGATATAATTATTAAGATTTACTTTTCGAATTGTTTAGTAGTTTATTCAAATTGTTTTTTGGCTTCCTTCAAAATGTCATCTCTTTCAAGCATTCTCTACTTGTATTACTCCTATTCATGTGCATGCTTAGAATATGATGAATATCGCTACTTTCTCTTTCATTTTCTCCAAAATTTGCATAATTTTAGTCATTTCTTCTTTATACTCCTTTTATGAATCCTTGAGAGCCACTTGGAGATTTTGGATTTGAGTCTACTCTCTGGTGGTTTGATCTTCGAATTCTTTGACTTTAACTTGGAGTTCTGAGTTTTTGGAAGCCCATTCTGATAGTTAAGACTTAAGTGAGGTATTCTCATTATGTAATTCCTCCTTCAATTGGTTGATTGTATTGAGTTCATTGGTTAGGATGGCCAATTTTTCACTCTATTAGGTGAATTCACTGTGTCTCTTTTCCAATATTTTCAATTGTTCATTTAATTGTTCTTGAATTGTTCGAGAAGTCTGTTCCCTTTCGGAGGCAAGAGACAACTCCTTTTGTAGGTTGTTAATGATGAGATCCTATTCTGTTATTTTGAGATCTCGTTCTTTGATGTGTGAATCCTTTTCTGAGAGGAGATGTTCAAAATGCGAGGTGATTTGCTGTAACTGTGATTGTTGATCAGAAGACTCACTCGATTTGGTGATTAATTGTTTATTCAATTCTTTAGTCTCATTGAGTTCAGACTCCGCTTCGCCTAACTTCCGTTGTAATGATTGAATTTGATTCTAGTGTAACTATTGAATGTTACATTGAAATCACGTTCCTTTGATCGCCACTCTACCACGTCGTTTTGATTCTTTTCAATCAATTTAATGTTCTGAGACTCAAGCATCCGAACCTTTTCATTGAGTTCAACCACCTATTGAAATGTGAAGTTATTCTATACTTCCGAGTTATTCTGGATGGATCTCTGCAATTCCTCCACCTTATCAGTCAGTGACACGATTTGTCGATGTCGATTCTGGATGTCTTCCTCTAAGGATTTCATCTTGGCTAGCAATTCTTATTCTTGAGACATATAAATTTTAAAAAATAATGTAATAAGAATAAATAATTCAGCCATATCGAATAGCAAAGTTGTATGGGTTTGAGCAGACTCCCAAAGTAGTAGGAATTACAGAGAAAGTAACCAAGTCCGTAATTAGTATATGAGTTAAAGCAGATGAAGGTGTTTGAGATGCCAACTTTGAGATTGCCGAAGATCAACAAGCCTTCGAAATCGGAGCACATCACTCCCATGAGGTTCCGAAATGAACGCAACAGTCTTATGTATCAGAACTTGTCGTATAGGAAGTTTGATTGCTACGACTTTCTTGTGGGGAACTCCTCCTGTCATTAATGATGTTTGGCAATATCAATTTCTTAAGATTTTAAGCATATATATGTATGATCTGAATTGAATTATTTATTGTGCTTAAAGCTAATCACATTTTAATAACTCATATGACGCATTTAGAAAATGGTCCAATTAAATTTTACAATCTTTTGTCAGCAATTTATTATTTTAAAAACACAAGAAGTTTATAATATGACTGAGGACATCTACCCTTTGTTCGGATGGGACGACCCTGTTCCGAACGAATTCAAAGAGATCTTCTCCAAATGCGCCAAGTAAGAATTTAAATGATTGTTGTACTTTTAGTGAGTCAGACTCCCGAAAGTGTAGTAGCACATTAGAAGAATCCTTAAGTAGTTGAGTTGTGTGTATGTTTTTAGTAGTGGACGAGGATTACGAGATAATTGGAAGGAGCCAAAATGAAAATTCAATCTGCCCGCTCTGCTACCAAACTGTGCAATTAGGTCACACACAATTGTACTCCAATCTCCTTTCCCAGTACTTTGATGTCCACACTCAATGCGCCCTCACTTGCAAACATAAAACAGCATAACTTGCCCTCTTAACAGATTCAATCTAGCATGCGCAAATTATGGAACGAGTCCCAGTAGACTACGACCTCTTGGATCTGAACGTCAAAGTCTTCGTGGAATTCAGAATATTTCACACCGTCGCACAACAACCCTACCTCAACCTCACACATTCCACCACACTCAAATAGAAGAAGAACACATCCATCCTAATCGATTACGCAAATCTGAGAGAGTACTTCGGAAAAAGACAAAAACACCTTGTCCCATTGTTGCAAGGCCGCATTCAAATCGACGTTCACATCATGGATAGCAATCTCATGCAAGAAGCCAAGAATGTCCACACCTATGAATTCTACTACAATGCAAGCAAAGTCACCAGCGATTACATCTGCATCGGGGTATGATGACAGTATGCATCTCCATGTAACTAGAAGAAGAACACAATCAACCACAATTGTGCTTGAAGTCACTCCAAATCAACTTGTCTCCAGACATAGCCAAACAACTCACCAAACAATCACCCATATCCTCCCCTGTTGTTGATTCATTCCTCTTCTCACCAAAAACACGCATTTTCACACCTCAAGTTGGACCTGTTCAACAAAGAGTCCGTTTTCAATCATTCCAATTGGAAGAATAAACACAACCAGATGAATGGACTGAAGATTTATAAAAGCTTTGAACAAATACGAGGCAACATCGTCAATTTTGTAAAAAACTCAACATGGTAGTCGACTCATCCAAAAGCATTTCACTACTTGTACACAAATGGAATTGGATCAACTGTTGCAAGAAATAGGTCCACACATAGGCGATCTCATGGTTGATCCATATGCCAATTACATGTTTGGCAGTCTGAGTCAGAGTTGTGCTCCCCATTAGAGATTATACATCTTACAAACAGTAACTTTTTATTCATATGTATTTTTCAGATTTCCAATCGACTAGTGGATATTGCATGCGATAAAAAGGGTACTCATGCTATTTAATCGTTGGTTTCCTTGATATCCTCCAAATAAGAAGAAGAAATGGTTGAAAATAGCATAAAAAACCATATCATCTTTCTCACTCTGGACAGTCAAGGAACACATTTGATCAAAAAGATCATTGCGAGATTCTCAGAAGATCGTTTGAATTTGATATTTTGCAAATTATTGGAGAGATTCATTTAGGTTGTCAATCATCAATTTGGACTTTGCGTCTTGAAGGATCTCATTACTAAACTTAAAAATAATCAAGAGAAATGCCACTTTATTTTAATTAAGATGCGTGATCAATTGGATGACATCGTACAAGATCCTTTTGGTAATTATGGAGTACAACATGTGATCGATGTAATTATACATAATCTATATATAGGTCTACGGAGATCAGAAATGCACTCCAATAATTGATAAAATTTTGTAGAAACTAGTGCAACTATCTATTCACAAGTATTCTTCGAATGTTGTGGGAGAAATGCATTCTAGAAACCTCTGCAAAAACATAAAAACGATTCATTAAACAATTGTCACAAGATGGCATTTGTTTGGAATTGATGAAAAACAAATTTGGAACCTTTGTTCTACAGAAAGCTCTTTAAGAAGCTGAGAAACTAGGCGAAGCAGACATATTACAGTAAGCTCTTCAGCGGAACTTACCTTCCATCTATGCTCAAAATATCAGGCAGAAGTGGATGGAATACTTAGCTAAGAAGTGATTAATTGACCTATATATATTAGTATTATTGTACATTACAGTATTAAAGCATCATTTTATTCTACAACATTTTTCAGAAATTCAGGAAGAAGATTAAAAGGAAAAAGAAAACTGGAGGTATCTAACCATATAGTATGTACATCAGCTTGTAAATGTTATAAAGTCATAAATTGCACATCTTTTCATATATTGATTAACTACTACTTTTTAAATTAATATTTCCAATGAAGAACTAGTTGAGAAAGGTGATTCAAAGTCAACATCCCTAAAAAGATAGATAGATATTCTCCTCTTTTAAATTGGCATTAAAAATTTAACAATTAAATATACCAACTTACTTCTTAGAAAGTAAGTTTGAGATGGGAATTCTAATGTACATGTCCTGCAATAGGAAGTTTAAAGAAGAGAATTGAATAAATTAGATCTTATCCTCAAAATTTTATAATTTAATTTTTAGGAATTTAAGAACAACACCATAAATAGTAATAATAATAAAATATCATCAATTAAAACACTTCTTCTAAATGAAGAGAATTTTAGTTATAAAATTGAGTAGCATTTATATTATGATTAAATTATGTAATTACTAAGTTCTTATCTACTTTTGGCATTTTACTTTTAGCTAAAACTCAAACTGCACCAAAAAGAAAATTAACAGAAATTAACTGCATCTTCAAAATTATTTGAGTTTAGATATAAAAGTAATAAGATGACTCATTGCTGAACCTTCTAATTTAGTAAGAATTTAGATACATTGGACAAAAATATCTGAAATTACACTCTTGAGATCCCCAGCTAATAGAGCTAATCATATGAACCTTTATGATAGAAATAGGTCAAAAGATGGCTAGATATAAGATTGCATCCAAATCAATTCAAGAATCCTAAAATAATATGAATGGCTAGATTGGGATAAAATAGATGAAGAAATTTAATTTAAAATTAATTTAAGAGAACTTTGGTTATTATTTTGATAAAAGAATTTCACTCAAGTAAATTGATGGTTAGAATATGGGAGATAGAAGTGATACAGAGCAGAATTGTACATTAAATAAGAAAATAGGAGAGAGTTTGCTTAGATGTATTTGATTAAATTAAAGAAATGTTTATTTTATCATTTATTTATATCTTGGGGTTAAATGACGGATTTAGTTAAATGACATAATGTAAGCGATAGTAATGGTATTTATTATTGGTGATCACTCTGGTGGTGGTATGGCCAAGATTAGTAATGGTTGTTTAGGCCTGAGGACTTTGGTAAGAGGGTGTCATTAATAAAGGATGGATACTATAATTTGATGTAGATTTAAATTTAATTATTGAAATTAACAGAATATTAGTATAAGTTGACAAGAGGATTTTGGTGACATGTGTAGAATTAAATGGTGTAAAAGGGAAATAAATGGGGTTTCTATATTTGATTAATTATAATAATAAATTTAAAATATGAGTAGAAACAATAGCGAGGAGGAAAATATCATTTAATTTGATGATGATGATAACCAGCAAGAAAAGAATCACAAAATAAGTGATTAGCAGCAAATGAAAATAAGGAAGGACTTCTAGGATGAGGAAATTATACACGAGCCAGGAATGCAGCAAATCAATCAATAGGAATAGGATTTAAATAACCTTAGATTGAACAGACCTAAAACATCCGCATAACAAATGAAAATACAAGAATCACAACTACAACAACAGGAATAGCAGAATTAGTTTCAATAGATATAATACAAAAATTCCAACAATTTCCAACACTAATCAGAAGAATCATCCAACAATTCTGAACAAGATTAGCACAATTAATCATTGGTCAATTTCTAATCAGAGATGGGAGAACAGGTTGAATAGGAGGATATAAATCAGCAAGTACAGCCAAATCCTCTTTAATTGCAAAGGATCGAAGATAATGATCAACAATCCTAATTTCATGAATCCCAACAATCATAATCCAACATACAACCGCCGCTGTCATCGAGCAATCAAAGTCAAGTTCAAGTGAATCCATTCCCTCCTAAACTTGATTATTAGTATGTGAGAGAATAAATGGAAAGTTAAGATAAAGGAAAGGCATTCCTCACCTCTCCATTGATCCAAGATAAAACCCTGCAATGCTCAATCAAAAGAGATAAGAGTGGGCTTGCCAGACTCTACCCAGTTTATCATGTTTACACTAGCGAAGGGGATGTGTACTTATTCAGTGCGAAGAAAGTAGTTATGAACACCACCTCCAATTATGTGATTTCCATGGACAAGAGAGAATTCTCAACCAGGAAATCATGCTTTTTGGGTAAGGTCAGATCCAATTTCCTTGGAACTGAATTCATACTTTGGGATGAGGGCAAGAACTTAAAGAAGTGCAAAGACACAAGCCTATTCAGAACTCAATTGGGAATAGTGTATTATGAAAGTCACATCATGTAGAATAAAGGCCCTCGAAAAATGAAAGTCTTAATACCTAGAGTAGGAGATAGGAACATTCCAAAAGTATTCCAACCTCTTCATAATAATGAAGGCATTCAATATGATTATCAAAACAACAAGCGTGAGTTCATTGAGGAATTCATCAATAAACCTCCTAGATGGGATGCCAAAATGAAAGCACACGTTCTCAACTTCTTTGGAAGAGTAGACAAACCTTCAGTCAAAAATTTCCAATTAGTAAAACCAAATAATCATTAATTCATTCATCTACAATTTGGAAGAGTCGATGATCTCTTGTTCAACCTTGATTTCTGCTACCCCCTATCACCTCTTCAAGCATTCTAAATCTGTGTGACGTCTTTTGACTTTAAATTCGCTTGTGAGTGAGACCGACATTAAATATATTAATCAATTATATATTATTTATATGAATAACACAAATCAAATTGATAAGTCATATGTACTCTCCCAATTACACTACAAAAAGAAGGAATTTCCACAATCATTCCAACTCCTACGATAATCAATAGCATAACAAACCTATAAAACCAACCACGCACTTTTACAGCGAGTATTCCCCCAGTCATGGCAATATTAATGTATTTCTTTCACATTACCAACTTATTATAGTATTGAGCAAATATCTGGAAGAGGATGACAAATTCGTTGCCAACCCTTTGAAATCCATCCTTTTGGACTGTTAGGAATTTACACTTCACAATAAATTCGAATGCTGCATAACATTAAAATAAAAGGAAAAACTATTTCGCTAAGTCATCAACGCAACCCAATAGTCTTTATTCCGAGATAAGCATTTATTAGTTCGTAAATTATGCTTGTTACACAGCTATTTCAATCAAGAGTATTAATCAGTAATTGATGATTTTTTGCAGTAACCAAGAGTACAACTTAAATATTACCATCAAGCATGTAATTTAACTATCATTAATCCGCAGTTAGATTTTTGGCTGATTTCTTGGATCAATTTGAAGAAGGGATTAATCTCTATAAAAAGTACTTAAGAGAAAATCCAGATTCCATTGAAGGTTATGACTGTCTCTGTGATTTAATTCCCTCTCTACAAGTTGAACTTTGGAACTAGTTCATAATCGATAATCCAAACAATAGAACTGGGTATTTGAGATTGTTGAACATTCAAAATGAGGCTTCTGTGTTGAAGTTGTTTATAAAGAATAATCCCAATGATCTCTATGGATTTGAATAGTTGTGTCTTCTCGATAGAGATGAGAATCAATTTGATTAATATTTACTCAAGTTTCCTGACAGTTTAGAAGCCCATAATAAAAAATGTTAAATCGCCTTTCAATTGAAGGGAAAATTTAATCCTCATATCCTTTCTGGTTACTTAGACAGTTTAGATATTAAGGAGATTTGCAAAATAATATATTTAGACATCGACAATTGTAATTTTCAATTGATATTTGTAGATAAATCATAAAATTAGTTGATCAAAGGGTATGATTTAGAAAAATTAAAGTATCTTCTTTCCTCATACATTTGTAATCAACCCATAGTGGAGAAATTGAATTTGTTGAATACTATTGAATAGAAGAAGAAACTTATAGTTCAAAATGAAATATTTAATGAAAGTAAGTATTAATTGATTATTAAGTAATGAACATTATCATACCAAAGATTTATGATATTAATCAAATGGAATAATTGATCTTATAAAATCCAAACGACATTAAGTTCTATATTGATAAGGGTAAGATATATTATTATCATTTAGCCAATTATTATTATAAATTGAATCAATTGGATTTGGCATTGAAAGTATTTGATGATTACATCAATTTGTATCCATGTTAGTTTAAAGGATATGATGAGAAAGGTTGCTTTGAATTTGTTATTATTTAAAGCCTAATTTATGAAATACAAATGCAAGCCAATTCAAATCAAATAACATTGGGAGAAATTCATCTAGGCATGTCCGAATGAAGAGCAGAACATATTGTTGAGGAAGGCAGAAATACTGACAACTGTATTGAAGTAGCATGACAAGGCTATTTCTTTATTAGACTAACATATAAAATTCTACCACGGAGATGAAAATGGTTATTTAGCAAAAAGTACAAAATTAATTTGTTATCTTAAGTCAAGTTATTGCACAACTAAGGAAGATAAAAAGAGCTTTTAGTTACGATAGATGAATACTTCTAATTAAATCCATAGAATGAGGAGATTCAATTATTGAAAGGTGTATTTGTATGTGTATTCTAGTTTAAATGCTCGTAAAGCTATATTCCAATGACATAGCATTATAATTCATTGATTCACTGCCATATTAACATTCATTGAAGTTGGTGGAGATGAAGGCTAAAATACTAGGCGAGAAGAAGAAGGAGGATGGACTGAAGGTATTGGAGGAGTACTAGAAATGTAATTCAAATTGTAGTAAAGCGAATAAATTAAGGAGTATTGAGTATAATTAATGGTAGTTTAATTTATTCGAGATTTCTTTGGAAATTCGTACATTCAGTGTTTGAGAGAATTAATAAAGAATGATCCAGACTCCATCAAGGGTTACAAGTTATTTTGTATTTATTGAATTAAATCTAGACAAGCTGACTCTGGATGAGCATACATTATACGATGAAGCCAGAGATTGGATTGATTTCTACATAGAGACTCACCCTGATTAGAAGGAGAATCATAAAATTCTATTAAATATGTTGACAAAAATGAGATGTGATAATCTTAATTAAGGGTGATTACATGGAGTAGTTATTTATATAGCATGTTGTTTTATAATATGATAAGTGATTATTTATATATATAAAAATGGGAAACTCTTTGATTGATCACAAAGGTAGGCTCAATCAGATGAAATCTTTTGAGACTCATAACACTGAGTAGGACATTGGAGTCCGATAAAAGCGATTGTCGGATAATAAATTATTTAAGACCATGCATTACAAAATGCACCATTAGAATTTAATTGTCAAAGTGCACCTAATACTCAAACAATTGACGCATTTTGAACTTTACACCCACTATTAAAACTTTCAATATTTGATTGAAAAACTTGAGCCTTATCCAAATCTAATGGCATTTCGTGGATTAATCAACTTTGGCAAATTAGAAAAACCCTCTCCATAAGAAATGCAGAATGAGTGTAATAAAGACTATTTGGCAGTCTCTCGTTAAATGTTGCACATGACTCTAGAAGAGAGATTGCAAATCCAATTATAAGCTACCCAAATGCTTGTTGAATTTCTACACTTTGCAATTATTGAGCGCTGTAAAAACCTTACATCAACAGAACTTATATCATGGACACATACGCTCTTCGAACATTTTACTCACCAGTTTGGATTACCTTGTCTTAACAGACTTCGCCTCTTATAAACCCTACTATAGCAACAAATTGGAAATCATCAGGAATGTCTATGAGTCGTCAATTCAAAAATGCACATTGGCTCCAGAGAAATATGCAGAGACACAAGATATCCAATACATTCCCAATCTCACCAAACAATAAATCAATGACCTACAGAAGATGGACATGTTTTCAGTCGGATGTGTCATTTATGAAATCTATACTGGTGAGAACCTATTCACATTTAATTAACTGCTGCAATACCTGAAGCCAGATCAAGAACCCCTCATTTCAGTTGAAGATTTAGTTGGAGATCTGATTTGCAATCTAATCGAGAAAGATCCCAATAAGCGTTTCACAGCTGAATAAGCATTTAATCAATTTTAAGATCAAATTTGTGCTGATGAAATATTTGAATTGCTTCAAAAGGTATGTTATGCAATCAATTTCAAAGGCGAATTTATGCATCCTGATATCAGAATTCAATTATTTAGGTAGATTATATCATTGACTCAATCCAAATAATGGAATTATGTTATGCCAATCCCTCTCTAGTTTGTTCCCTTGGATGCATTTAACGAAATAGAAGTGGAATCCATAAGTCCAAACAAACGCACAAAAATCTAATTTAATACTCCTCCAAGTAGTGAGATATTGGCAGGGTAGATAGAGAATTGTGAAAACTTGATTGCTAAAGATTAGAACAACAATCAAAATTCAGAAGACTAACTCAAATCAAAAGGGAATCTGAGGGGATCTCCAAATGTTAGTGAATTGATATGCTGGAAATCAAAGTAATTCGATCGGAAATCTTTATTGGAGAGTGTTAAGACAAATAATAATTAGAGGCAAAATGAGTACATAATTTTTATACTCTGGATATTTAATTCAATGAGGAATTGCAGATTCTTACAAACAAGACTTTGTGGTTTAGAACTAGTGGAATACCTGCTTGGATTTATTGATGACTCCTCTATGTATAAATTAATCATTCCTAATTTGGGTTAATTCAGTGAAGATTATGAAGGTTAGACTCAGTATTATGCATTTTCAATTCTGCTAGACCTTTTGAAAAGATTGAACTATCCTCATAATTGCTAAACTGAAGCTCTCATCTTCAAATTGTACATTTGGGAACAAATTAAAACCAGAATGTAAGATATGAATTAGAATCCAATGTTGGCCCTTAAGATTGGAGACATAGCAGAAGTCTTACACATATTCAATAGAGCTGAGGAGAAGAATCTCTTCATACAAATAATATAGAAGAAATTACAAGATGAGAATTAGGAATAATGTATCCTATTGATATAGAATATTAAAAATGTGTTATAATACTACGATTAATTCTAGACTATTGAAATCATGAAGCTTCTGATAGCTCAATTGAATAAAATACATCTAAAAATTCCACTATTGGAAGTTGGATTTGATCTGTTACAATATTATGCCTAAACTGATATGAAGAAGACTCTATTGACCTGTTTGTAATTGAATACAAGACATGAACTAGCCCTCTTTCGGACTCTAAGAATAATAACAAAGGCTTCGGAAAATTAACTATTGGAATTAGATAAGATCAAATAGTTCATAAAAGAAATATCTCCTTTGGTTTTGCATCATAATCGATGGGTAAGGGAGGAAGCCTAAAAATTTATAATCATTTAATTGAGAAACTTCAACAGTCTGGAGAATTATTTACATTTGCTCCCTTATATAAAGAAATATTTGAAATAAGATGTGCCCCATTTGAACGAGGAGGTGTTTTCTTTCTTAGTGTAGAAGCCTGCAAGTTAATCACTATTTATGAGCAAGAATCAAGAGTTTAGTAACTTCTAGCCTTCGAGTGAAAGGGAATAGTACAACTATAACAATTACTAACAAGAATACATCTTGAAATCAAAGCCAAATCAAGAGATATCAGCTTAAAAATAGAATAATAAATAGGTTTTACCAATAACAATGATTAAGCGAAGGTTTGATGAATTTTTTGATGCAGCATGCAGGATCAAATTGTTAAAATAAGGATCTTTTCATATTTTCCAAGACTTTATTGCCAATGAAAGAGCTTTGGAAGATCAGTCTAATTTCAGCAATGGTAACTTTGGAATATATTTGAAAAAATTTGAACAATACGAAAATTTCAAAAAGAAACACCTTGTGTAACAATCCTTCAAATCCAGCACTTAGTGTATTAATTATCTTAATTTTCACATCATCTTTAATTCATTTATATAGAAATCATATCAATTGCATAAGCCTGAGCTTAAATTTTAAAGGAGTATCCAGCCCAAGATAGTAAGACAATTCAAGATAAGAAATCAATTAGTTACCACTATTTCAGAACACGATGATATTGTGACTTCATTGCAGAAACATAGTGATCAAAGAAGATTTATCTCTGGTTCTCATGATGGCACAATTAGATTTTTTGACATGAATAAGATTTAAGAAGACTTTACTAGTGGGAGTATACTATAAATCCCCATTAAGAACGAGCAAAGGCAAATTGAGAAGGTAACTGCTCTACGTTTTCTAGAGGGCACAGAGAGTTTCATTGTGGGTACAAACTCTGGCTAAGTTAGTTAATACAGGGCTGATTTGAGAGTGACTACCTTCCCCTAAGCAGATTCAGGAATAAGGAGAATAGTAGACTATGACAATGCCTTCTGTTATGTCACTGAGAAAGGATCTTTGGTTCTTGAGGATATCAGATCTAGAAGTTCATAATACTTAGGTGTGAATAAAAAATGCGGTTTAGCAACTAGTTTAATTCATGACAATTACAAGACTTTGTTAAGTACTCTTAATGGTTATTTAATATTATATGACAATAGATGCATGATGCTTATGAATATCTATCAATTAGTATCGAAGAATGATTAGCCATTGCCCATCTTCAATATGTGTGAGATGAATCGCAATTCATTACTAGAAGGTATAAATTCGAATAGTGATAAATTGGTTGGGATCGGTTATCAATCTCTGCATAATGAGGTTGCTTTCTTTGATATAAAAATGAATAGAAACTCAATAAATCCGTCCTTATTTTTACATTGCTCTCAGAATAAGAATGTGTAAATGGAAATGCCAAAACTGAAGTCAGTTCTAAATGTTGAATAGATTGTAAATGAAGTAAACAGAATAGCAACCTACACTCAATCGAATGATTAAACAATCCAAAAATTCAATTTGAATTTCTCCTCACTTTTTGTGAAGGAGCAATTGCTGTAGAATATGTGGAAGAACTATTTAGATTGCTCATTCCAAGACACAACCAATGTAACTTCGATGCTGTGTTTGAGTGGCAGAGGATATAACCAGAAACTAGAGAATACCATAATCACAGCTTCTAAGGACAGAAGTGTTTAAAGTTGGACTTTGAATAGCGATGTTAATAATTCTGAATTAGTATAATAATTTCAATAATAAAGGAATTCCAAACTAATGTGATTTGCTCGCCCTACAACTCAAATCGGAAATACAAACAATACATGAAAGGCGATGTCCTAATCATTGAGGATCATGAAATTCGGAATGCTCCCAATATTTCACATTTCATAGAACATCAAGATAGCATAACTGACATGATCTATTTGGATAGTGAGAATAGTTATCTTCTTACTGCTAGTAAGGATAATACCATCAAGATATGGAAGTGAATTTAATTTTAATAATATAATTACATATTTATGTCAGATCTTTGTCAAAATTGTAAACATCGATAACTCAAATCCAAATTGACAGGCAAGAAATTCTCAATGCACATCCTAAATTAGATCCGACAATTACGTTCACCACGTAATATTGAAACACCATTTATAAATGTTATTGATTACTTACAAAGAATACATAGAAAGAAAGAAGATGACTAATATGAGGAGTAAGATTCAGAAAAACTACAACAATACAGTCACATTCCAACTCACATCTCAAAGTAGAAAACTGATGCCTAAGTGGAAGATGCAACAACCACCACATCCAGATAAATTCAATTTCCAGTCTCCATGTTTATTTCAAGAGGAGCTTCAGCTACTAAAGTTAAAAGCAGTGCATTCTACAAGATGAGAAAAACGAGTTAAAGTTCTAGAGACAACAAAAGAAAGCGGAATATTGAGATCGGACCAATGTTTAATTAAGTCTCTAAGTATGTCCAACCAATGAGACCATAAACTGTGAGGAGCTTTAATTCAAAAATGGATGATATTTTCAGATCAACATAAAATACTGCGAGACAAGAAGTTATTAGACACAGTAAGTCAGAAATGAACCTTAGATTGCCTGTCTCTAATAAATTAAGTGAAGTCTAATCACTAATGAAGAGAGAGTGAAATTATAATTGATATATGTACTATATATACCAAATTTCTCACTTTTTTATGTGTTTGGAATGATCACTTCATAATGATGGGAAATCCTTATCATCGAATTGAACTCCATTATTTGGTTATTACTAATTATAGAATTAATAAGTACTTATTTCTTTTATCCTTTGTTATTCTGATCTTTCCTTTCATTTCTGTCATTTCTGTCATTTCTATCATTTCTATCATTTCTGTCATTTCTGTCATTTCTTTTTGTATCATTTGTAAATCCGAAAATATTATTATCCTTCTGTACTCCATTTCACTTCTGTATCCCTATTACTAACCACTTGATTTTTTAGCTGCCTTCTATTCCTTCTCTCTCTTCTCATCTTCTCTTGTTCTCATCACCTGTAATTTCTCCTTCTTCAATGCCTCCTCATCAATCTTTACTACTGGCTATGGTTTCTATTCCTACTTTTTGAGTATATCCTCAACATTCTATATATTTATTATTATTCATTCTTTACCGCTCCTCTTGCTTGATAATAATCTGCTAATGTCTTCTCTGCTGGTGGTTATGGTACATTTTCCTATGGCTATTATTCTTCAGCTTATTATTCTGTATTTTATTCTTATTGTGCCTCCTTTCCCTCAATTGCACCTTGGTATTTCTCCTACTTTAAATCGTCTTTATAATTTCCCCAATTTCTTCTTCCACCACCTTCTTTACGAAGTTCCTTTCCAATTCCTGTTCCAGAATGTCTGTCCTTTGGATGAGGATCAGCTGTTAGAACCCTTTTGTTTTGGTGCTGGATTTTTATGTTAAGTGCTTTCTTTCTTAACTAATTCGACAGGAATCACTTATTCCTATTCACGCTTTTACTTATCTAATTAATGATGAAAGAATGACCTTACTCTTCTTTGCCTGTTGCTATTGGGTTTTTTATTGTGCCTATTGAGTTTTAGAATCCTCATCATCTGAAATGTTGAGGACATTAAACATATTGGTGCTCATTTTAAAGATTTGAAAACTTAATAAAAATATGTATTATTAATTCAAATACGAACTATTGTGATTATAATAATGATCAAAATTCACTTAGATTTCCGCACTTCTTCTCGATTCCACTATCATTTTGTTTTTCCTTATCACTCCCTCAAATCAAATTGCAAGGTATATACAACATTATTTACACAGATAATTAATTATAAATATATAACCAAAAATATGCTTTATATATCAAGTTTGTGGTTGTTTTTGAATTGAAATATTGGAAATAATTAAAATAAATTAAAAATGCAAATCCTTTTTAAGAATCAATTTATTTAATATTTCATATTAGATTGTATCTACTCAAAATTGCACATTCTTTTTTTACTCTCCATTATATCCTGTCATTAATTAATACACAAATGATTATTGTTTGTCAATCTTCGCTTTTAATTGAATTATAAGGTTTTTAAAAATCTAAAAGAATTTAAATTCCTTTATTATCTTTAATTAATTTGAAGAATCTTTCATACTTTTGCACTAAAAACTTTTACATTGTTTTGATATATTAATTTAAATCAATTTCCCTAACTTAATATAATATGGGATGTTGTTAGGATCGAATTAATGTAACTCTAAAGGCAAATGAAGTAAAACCCTTAGCAAAGGCGCCCATAATCTTTCACCCTCATAAGGGATAGAGTATGGAACCAATGAAAATTTCAATCATTGGAGATATGGATAAAATGGACATCTTTGACGACTTCCCTTCAGCCATGCCCTCTATCACATAAATCGATCAAAAGACGACATCGAAATTAATCCTCTCTCGCGAGTTCAAGGAAACCAAAGAATTGGTAACAATATGTCAGCTATCGTTTTTAGAAATCGACGTCAATTTCTGAAACTGTTATAATCGATTTGAGATCAGCTTCATGCCTCTAAAGCCCTCTCAAACCAATAACAGAAAGAAGATCGAGCAAAAATTTAAATTAAAAGTTCATAGGGATGCTTTGATTTGATAATATTTGAATAGAAATGAATAAAATTTTATAAATCAAAGAAATATATTACTAAACAATGACCACCTCCGCATAAATAAGTGATTGGATGAATCCTATAGTCATAATTAGAATAATTTGCATATTGTATAATGGAAAAAAGAAAGAAAATGTCATCAATAACCTAAATGTCCCACTAAGCACTCCCTTAATATGTAAGTTAGTCAACGTATTCAGAATCTACGCTCTTATATTCTCATTATTTTCTAATTCATTTGTAAATAGAATAATATAAATATTCTAACTGGGGAGGTTATGTATTATAATATATTAAAATAAATAGTGTTTTATCAGTTAATTACATTTCATAGTTTTGCTTTGCGTAATTTGTTATTAAAAAGATAGAATAATCGAAAAAGAACATCAAAATTTTTATTTATTTAATAACAGATTTCAAGAATTGAAAAATCCTTCTCTATTACTTCTTAAAATATTTCATTATATTTTATAAGGATTCAATTAGATATTCTCAAATATAAACATTGTTGATAGATTGTAATTAGTAAATAGATTTCGCGGTTAATTTTGGCTATTTTCTTGTTTGCTAGCATAGCTTCCTATCTTATAAGGGGTTTTGTTTAGGATACCTTATCTTATCTGAAATATTTGATTGGCTACCAATTTCTTAAGATGTATGTGTATATACTTAAAACTAAAACCATGAAATAATTATAAAATCAAAAATCTCTTAATTTTGATATAATTATCATTGAATTATGTCTTCAGAAAAACATGAGATATTTTATCAAAATTGAGAGAAATGATTCATAAAACAACTATAATGAAAGAAAAATCTCTGTAAATGATGAATCAACCTATTACTTAGAAGGAAATTATATTTATGTTATTTAAAATTATAATTTTCATTCCTCGCTCGGTTACCTACTACCATGAACTGTATACCTTTTAGGAAAATAAAAGGGTGCACTTTTCTTTAATAAGGAGTCAATATCATATTTCTCCTTTATAAGATTGTTGTAAGATGCTTCCCCCTCATTTTTAATTATCAATTACTGTCTCTTCTTTAATTCTTCAATTATCTAAAATTATACAAGTATTATACAGAATCATCTTTTTTAATTTTACACTTATCGTTAATCTGTTCTAATGAACTGGCTAACTTCGCTTATAATAGCATTAACTTCTTCAGATATTATTCTTGCTTTTATAAATTTGTTGATTGAATCTTATCATTATTTGGATCTAAAATATTTTATTATGTAACATTATTACCTTCAGTTTTTGTTTCCTATTGTTATGGAATATTTAGAGATAAATAGGCATTCTAATAAGTATTTAATTGTTCATTTAATTTTTTTTCTTGCTCTTTGACTTCAGTATATTTCTGCATTCTTTCCGATAGTTTAATCTCATATTCACTTTTTCTATCTTTTTAAGCCATGAAATCTATGAATTGATTAGTTTAATTATAATTTTCTATCTTAATATCAAACACCCCTCCTTTGATCTTATCATATGAAGCAGTTAACAATTATAATTTTTCACTGAGATGCTTTTCTTCTTTTTCTTACGCCTCTTTATTCTTTTTATTTTTAGAGTCATCCTCTTTTTTTGCTAACTTCTTTCTTAATTTTTTGATCGATGCATTAGCTGAATCAGCAATCTTTTTATCTCCATCTTAGAACAATTTGTCTAGGTATTTTTTTTATTATAAGCTATCTTTAATCTAAAAAATTAAGTTCCTTTAATGATTTCTTTTTTCTCTATAAACCTTTAAAAATTCATCAAATTATCTTTTAGCAAATTTTATATTAAGCTAACTTTTTTTAATTTCCTATTCTTCGAATTTAATTAACTTAATGAAGTTTCTAGTTAAGTAATTAAGATTTCTAATATACTCTTCATTTTATTATTTATTATCTCTGCAAATTTTAAGGATCTTCTTCACTCTTGTTTTCATTTTATAACTTCTTTTTAGGTCTTTCTCAGCGATATCAGTTTATTTCTTTAACACTTCATGTGCCTATTTCAATCCATCCAAACTATTCATTTCTCTTACCAAGTATCCTTTATTAAAATCCATAATCTTTAAGAGTTTATAAGTCTTGGCCAATTGTAGGTTCTCATAACTAATCTAATCCAATTTTCCTTTCATTCATTCTCAGTTAACTATTTAAAACATTCAATTGTTGGAATTGGAATGATTTTGGATGGAACCTTTGATAATTGGAAAGATTTCAGTAACTTTATAAGATAAATGTTGAACGGAGGAAGTTGAAAACTATTTGATTCTTTCCTTTTTAGATTTCATATCATCAAGTAATTGCATGGTTTATTTGCCATCATTAGGCACACTACTCTAAGTTAGTTTTATTGTTTTTGATTCTTCATTTAGATGATTAGAATCTGTAAAGTCAGATGTAATGAACATGAGGTGAGGATAAAAATTTTCTGGAGAACTAATTTTCTTGGCTTATGAACTTCTGGTTGATAATGGAGGCAAGACAGAAATAGTGGATCTATCAAATCTGGCACTTGATATTGAACTTAACTCTAATTATTCTCTTTTTTATTTTCTCATAACTTCATCCATATTCTTCTATTACAAAACTGAAATTTATGGGATAATTTGCAATCTTAATTCTTCATGGTGTTTTTGTTCATACATTTCCTTTTTCTTTCTTTTTGCTTCTAGTGCTATTTTTAGAGCTGATTCAGTAAAAGCATTTTCGTCCTCTACACTCATGTAATCTGTCGCAGATGAAAAGCATTGCTTAATCACAGTTGAATAATCACACCTTTTACTGATACTCATACATGCCCAGGGAAACTGAATCCAAATCCATCTCTTATAATAGTAATCTGTTGATTCCCTTTCACTTGATTATAGCAAATCTTCTGATAAGTTTTCTTCTTTGGATTACAGAGTTTTTCTTAATTTCTAATCAATTTCTTCAGCCAATTAATCGACAGATTAAGGCTATTCCTCTTCATTGTCGGTAGGTTCAGCTGGCTTACTTAGTTGCTTCAAATAGTGAGTTCTGATTTCCGCTCTGTTTTAGGCTATTTCAACATTTAAGGATTCCTGCTTCGATAATACTGGAGCTGTTAATGGTTTAGCTACACGCTTTAAATGTTTGGCTGGGTCAAACTGCTTCAATTCTGGAGCTTTATCATAATAGAGATCCAATTTTAGTATTTCATACAGCAATCCTATATCATAGAGATCATTGAGCATCCCAATAATAGGAGGATGTCTAAAGACAGGTGTATTTTTGGTTTCGAAATCTCCGAATTCCTTTAGAAATCTAGAGATCTGAATAATGATTCTAAACATATCCTCTGCATTTGGATGATAGTGGATTTGAAAACCTTCAACAGCTTTATTATACTCTAAGACTGGGTACAAATCCATTTTCCTCCAAAGATTGCCAATATCTACACAAATCATATTTATTAGAAGGATTAAACAAGAGTAAGAAGTTTTCGATTATACTTATAACTTCTTTTAGGGCGAAGTAATTCTTTGCACTAAATAATTGAAATGTTTTATTCCTCCAGTTTTCTAATTGAGTTTGGAGTGATCTTATCAATCGATGCAGCAATTTTATCATGAAGCTCCAAAATACTATGTACATCTGTATAATATTGATTGATAACCACTTTTTTAAATATTTCATTATGTATTAACCATAAATCCCTATGTTTCATTATATAAACCTTAAAGAAAACAAGAAATCGTTTCCATTCCTACTATGTGATATCACAAACTGATTCTATTTCTTGATATGTCAATCCTTTTTAGGTTAAGGCTAAGACAAGAAGGACATTTTTGAATTTTTCTTTATCAAGCAATTCTGCTTTTGAGAATATTTCTAATTAGAATTGAAATAAGTCCTCAACAACTTTCATCTTCTTAAAGTGATCAAGAGTTAGAGAGTTAAGGATTTTTTGAATGAATGAAATATCTATTTCATTTTCTTCGACTACTCCATCTGTTGGGTAGGGCACAAATACAGAAAAGTAGGATCTTACAAAGAGAGGTTAATTTCTAACTTTGTAATTGAGTTGTATGAATATATCTAAAATATGATCAAATTCCTAAATATATAAAATTTGACTACTTAAATAAATAAATTCTTCCCCAAATGATTATTAACCATCTATTTCATGTATGCTTTATCAGACACAATAGGAATCACTTGGCAATCTGGTTTAAGTAATCTCATCGAAGAGGATTGTCTTTCAGCAGTTACAATTACTTTGATATTAGTTGGAAAGTATTTTGGCAACCAAAAATTGACGTTGGCTTCTCTATGCATATCCAGGATTTCTCTAAAGTTGTCAATGCCCTCAAACACCAGAATAACCTGTTATATTAATAGGAAGAAATACTTTATCATAGATTGTTTCTGCTCCATTGATAATCTGCTATTCTAATTGTCTACTACATATTTCTAACCAATATTAAAAGTAACGTCTCAATTTCTCTTCCAAAAGCTCCACTTTTTGTTTAATATTCAATGCTTCTCTTAATTTGATTAGGATTCTATATATTGCATAATAATAATTGCTATTTTTGCCCGACTAAGTAGCAAAATGAGGAATGATGAAATCAGGATATCGCTATTATTTACTATAATCTTACCCCTTTTTTATTCCTGGCATGGTATTCCATCCATTTTACCAAGAGCGTTTTCTTTCCTATTCCATCATCGGCTTCTAGGACCAATGGAGTATTCGTATGTAATGTTTTATCCTCATCGAGCCACTATTCGATTCTCCAAAAAATATCTGTCCAATCCGCTCACTTATCTAGCCATAATAAATTTATCTACTGATTTTTGTAATACTCCACAATCACATCGTTTGAGCTATAGACTATCTAATTAAGATTTACTCAACAAAGTTCATGTTTTCATTTCGCATTGATTCCAACGTACTCTTTCGATCCGGTGGAGTAGAGGCTTGTCTTGAATATGCATCATCCATCTTTTAAAGAAAATTATATTATAATTATTGTAGAAACCAATCTAAACTAAACCATATACAATCCACTATTAATATATATATATGTAAATCATTATTTATTTTTAAGTTATCTCATCATTCTATCATTATCCGACCTTATGACTTATATCTATTAAATATTTTAATATTTAATACCTTTTCTTAAAGGCTATTTAAATCATTTTAATTCAACTCAGAATCATTTAGAATTTACTATAATCTTTTATTTTCATCTTGAAGCAATTTCAGTTTGTCATTACACTCCTCATACAGTTTCAATTTTATTTCATCCTTTTAACATGATTATTTCAATGCCTCTTCCTCCTTTCTGCTTTTTATTAATTTCTCCTTGACAAGGTCATTCTCATGCTTTTATTTCTGAATTGAACTAGCAAGATTACTCCCGTTTTTCAATTATAAATTGATTCGATCATTTTCTAAAATCAAAGTTTAAACCTTATTTTCCAACTCCTAAACCAAATCACCTAATTCTTGAGAATTATCGCTCTTAATTTTTCCTTCCAATTCTTCACACCGCATTCGATAATTCTAAATCTCATTTTTCAAGACTGCCAATTGATTATATGCTACTTTTCTATCATTCTAGTATTTGACTATTAGATCTCGCAATGCCAATAAATTAGGCACTTTCATTAGTTCTGTATTATCAAGTAACAATTATTTATTCATCTAATTAAGCAATTTTATCTTATCCTCTAATTCTTTAATCAATTAGACTGATTGAACTCTTTCAGCTTCAGATTCTAATTTCTAAATCTCTTGGGTCATCTTAATACTTTGTTATTGTAAACATTTCAACTCTTCTTAGAGAGCAAATGTATTGGTATAATTGACTACTTTTTGTGAGTTTTATGACATCAGAGTAGGTGAAACGTGGGAAGATTATTGAGCAATTTGTTTAGGTTATTGATTTGTTTACATTTACGAAAAGAATTGCTGTGGTTTCAAGTCTTTAGTGTTTGGAGATTAGAATTAAAGTTAAGGAGATTGATGTTGAGGTGAAAGTAAATATGGTTAACGATTTTGAGGTGATTGCAATATTTAAGCATTCTCATGGCGCTATTGAGGACTCATGGGAATAAAAGGAGCAGCTTATGAATTGAATTAATTGGCATCCTCTTTTTACATTTACTTTCCCCCTCCAACTTTGAATTGTATTTTATACTCAGATGCATTTGGTGTTTACTAATGTGTTAATTGTTTAGTTGGAGCTACTGGTTTGTTGGCCATTTCCATATCGCTGGCTGTCTTTTGCACCAAACTCTTATTCTCAACATTTGTGAAGGGCGAACGAACTTAGAATTGATTGTATAATTGAGCAGGATTAGCTATTTTAGATACTGGGATTGTTTACTTATTTGCTTGTTTTTAGAGACTTAGAATTATTGCATGACTAACAGCCAAATTTTTATTAATAAGAAATTAAATAATTGGAATTCAACATTTATATAATCATTTATTATGATAACTTTTGGATATATTACAACATTTAGCAATGAATCCAGACATCTATAAGAACGTCGGCAATCCCTTCTAAGATTCTAGCTTTAAGAAAAGCAATTTGTCGTAAGAATTCAAATTAAAGATCTCTGTCCCCATTATGATTTTAGATAACTTTATTGAATGTATTGGTGATGTCATAAGCCATATACCCATTATCGAAAATCGATTTCATAAGTGATTATGCTGGTTAGAATTCCCCTTTCAACATATGATCTAAGATCTTCTTCAAATCATCAACATTAGGCACATCACAAACCTTGAATACATTTTCTCTATTGACTAATCCAAATCCTGTAAATGTGGCTTACAAATTGTTTATTGCTTGTCTCATATCTCCTTCTGCTGTAAATGTTAAAGCATCCAATCCATCCTTAGTGTAGGTAACACTCTCTTAACTTATGATCTCCAACAATCGATCTCTAATCTCTTTCTCACCCAATCGATTGAATCTCAGAATACAACATCTACTTTAGATTGCATCGATCAATTTTGTTGAATCATTACAAGATAATACAAATCTCGTTGATGTTGAATAATCACTTATGATCATTCTTAAAGCTTACTATGCACCTTCTGTTAAACTGTCAGCTTCATCTAGAATTACTATTTTATGCTATCCTTCCTGCAAATTGACTTTCTTTTATGCAAATCCTTTTATTTGCTCTCTCACTGTTTCTATGCCTCTATCATCAGATGCATTCAATTCAAGAACACTTTCTTTTATTGAATCCCCCAATATTTATCTGGCTAGACATAGAACACTGCTTGTTTTTCCTATTCCTGGCGGGCCAACCAATATGATATTGGGTAGATTTCCCATTTTTGCTATTGCTCTAAGTTTATCAACGATATCTGAGTTGCCATGAACCTCATCCAGAGTTTTTGGACGATATTTTTCTAACCAAATTAAATTGTTTTCCATTGAGCGCGGAATTTATATTTTTATATAATTTATTCATAATTTACAATTCTTGATTAATCTGACAAGGAAAATTAGGAATATTTATAATATAAATAAAATGACAGACGATTTCTTTAACCTTGATTTTGAAGACAATTGCTATCAATCATGTCAATATCAATTCACCAGTAGTAGAGATAGTGGCATGTCATCCGATGATACTCACTAAAAAAATGTGTAGATTAAGAAGAAAAACATTGCCAAAAAATATGAACCAATCTACGAAAACAACATTGTATATAGATACGAAGACAATCCGGAATAATATAAGAAAATTAGAAAGTAATTCATGAATCCTATCAAAGGAAACTATAGAATAGAGAATCTGCTAATAGAGTTCGAGGAAGGTAAAAGAATTATGTCCAGGATATGGAATAAGAACTTATTGACATGAAGCAAGAGAACCAACATCTCTAAATGCTGAATGCCAAATTGCAGGCTGAAAATGTTGTTCTAAAACAATAGGTTGAATTTATGTAAAACCTTATTATGTAATCTCAACCACATCAAAGTGATAACACTTTATAAAGAGACACTACCAAAAATAGTCATTTAGCTACTTTGACTGCCTTCTCAGTTATATTAGGTTTTGCATTTCTAAATGGTGGAGAATTAGAATCAAAGGAATCCATAATGGGGGCAAAGGAACTAACAAATGATCCAATCATTTCAGCTCCAATCACAGTCACTCATTCCATCAAACCCTTTTTATTCGGTTCAGCCATAGCTCTTTGGCTTGTCTATGCTCTCTACGTTGTCTATAAAGTGTTTTTAAAAAGTAAATTAAAAAAGAAAAAAGTTATTTGATTATTTTTAAATAAAAACAATATTATTAAAAACTTGATATCGTATTGAACATCATATAAATTTGAATGTGATAGATCATAATAATTCTAATCACCCAAAAATTTAGTATGGAAGGATAACTCTATTTTCAATATTGAAAAAAACCTTATTTTGAATCATTACAACAAAATTACTACAGATTCCAAATAACTTATCTGATGCATTAGAAATATTATAGAAATATGCAAACAAGGATATTACTATTCTAACATACTAAAATATGTATCTTAACTCATAAAGTATTCGAACATATTTGATCATATATTTTATAGCTAGCTCATACATATCAACTTGTTTTATAATAATTCTCATAACAACTTTTTTATGCTAAACTCATTTCAATCTCCTCGTGAAGTTGTTAGATCTTAAAGGCAATATATTTAGCCATCGATTTAAATGAGAAACTATCTAAAATTAAATTGTAACATTGCTCAAGGGTAATAATCTCAGATTGTCCTATTAATAACTTAATACATAGATATTTACATCACAATAATTAATATGGCAATTTTGCTTATGTAAAATTGCAAAAACCAATAGAAACGAAATAGGTATAGTCGAAGAGGCTTAATCATCAATGTCTTGAATAAACAATTTAATAAAGACTTATAAGCTTTTTTTTACTGATAGATATTTAATCAAACCCATATGGCTTCTTTAATATTGATAAACACTGATGTTTAAGAGAGCTAAAACATTGGAATTATCCTTTATTAATGTAAATATGCGATTCTTGTAAAAATATAACTTTTAGTCTTATTGCGACTAGAGAAATCTGTAGATGAGGATCAATAGTATAGGAATCAGAATCTTAATAAACCACAGTAATAATATTGCTATGGTAAAATTAATTAAGAGATTTTCAATGTGATGAGAATTTTCATAATTTATAAGGATACACTAATTACTCAATTAATTTATCATCATTTTATTGTTAAAATAATTTGATAAAACAGTTCATTAAAAAATAAATTAAAATATGATTAAATGAAATCATTAATTTTATCATTTAGACTCCTGTTTTTGTTATTATTCTTATTGTTCCAATTCTTATATCCCTTTTTAGTACAATTTGTCCCATTCCAGGATTGTTTCATCTAAATTATTTACACAGATTTAGAAAGCTCCTTTTCCAAAAATATTCATTTGATGATATAATGGTCTCACAATTACCTTTATGAATCCCATTTCATTCTTAGACATAACATGCAACTATAAAGTTTAGGATAGACATATACTTTATCTAGGTCCTTCATAAATGGCTATTGAGGATACCCTTTCTTTCCCTCATCCTCATATTATGCTCTGTACTCCTAATTGATCTTCTCACTCCAAAGTTAACTCTGAGGCCACTTTCGAGCAGTACCATTGAAATCTGCAGTGTGGGTTATCATTCCACAAAGCAAAGATAAATCTTCTGGATCATTTCCATATTACTCTATTCGAGATTCAAATTCTTTCAGCATCTTAAAATGTTCTTACATGTCTGTGGCCAGAATATTAGATATCAATTATTTTCTAAATGTTCTAAAATCTTGATCTGAAAAATTGCATAAGATATTTGTCGATGAATCTCTAAGAATTTTGACAGTTGTGGCTGCATGATGTTATTCCAACACCTAAAATATTAATAAAAATACTCACCACTCTATCATGATACCTGATAGCTAGACTACTCAAAGAGTTAGCTTCATAGGCATTTGTTTTACCAGTGTGGGCTACATCATGGCAAAGTCCAGAAAGCAATAAACAGAATCTAGTGATATTATTAAATAAGTGTTCTCCTAAGTGTTGCAATAATTATTTGACAAAACAATTTACAGATTACATCACTGCAATCCCATGGTCATAATTATGATAAGGATTATTATTCATATTATATTGAGTTTCCAATTCATTTAAGAATGTGACTAATTTTTCTGAAGGAATGCCAAACATTTATATGAAATTGCCTCTTGCCAAAATTGACCAAACCAATCTTTGCTTTTCAATCATATTATTTATCTAAAGAATAAATAATAATATTGATACCTAATGAATATTAAAATCTAGAGAATCTAAGATGATATCTTGCTCTTTAATACTTAAATGAGATTCATTAAATTTATTCGGATTGACTTTCATAGACTTTTTCTCCTCCTCTCTTTATTTGAAAAGGAAACTATTCTTTCCAACCACTTAGTCTTTTTTTATCTTTCTAAAAACCAAGGTTGGAGTCTTTTATGACTATTATTAAACTGAATTAAATTCCTGAGTTTAAGGCATATACATAGCCACAACTGAATTCCTGATATCAGGATTGAATTCTTCTAGTTTCTTAATATAATCCATGGTTTCTGTTTGTAATAACTATTGTTTAACTAAACTTCCTGAATTTGGAGGCTGTGCTTTTCTCCTTACCCAATCATTCTCTGATACGATTAAAGTAAATCCTTTAAATTGTTTCTCCTCTTTCCTTATGAAGATTTCGAATATTTTATTTGATTCATCTTCTTGTTAATTCAATTTCCACTTAGAATTACTAATATAGGTTTCAATTGTTTGTATCATTGATTGATTTGAGTTAAAGATTTACTTGTAAGTCTAATCGATCTGTGTTTTATCAATATTAAATTACTGCTTTATTTTTTGAGGCAGTGCCTTACTCAAAAACCTTAATCTTCCTTATTTATCAAAATCAATCATGAAAAGACTCTTCGATCTAAGGAAATATTTATAAAAGGACATTCTCTCATAGCATTACTTTATAAATTGTTGATATCTTTGATATAGTTGGTTGACTTGATTGTAAATTATCAAATCCTAAGGTTTCTTTAAGTCCATATTCGTAGAAAATAGGTATTGAGATTACGAATCCTTAAACTTAAAAGTAACTACACTAGGCTAGTATTCATTAATTTATTGTATTTGATATTGTCCATTAATTATTGATAATATTTATTCGATTAATAAATACTTTGAGCATCTTACTATCTCCAATCCTATTTCTAACACAGTATCACCAATTGATAAAATGCTAAAATATTGAACTTTAATTTATTGTTCAGTATAAATCACAAATTGAGCAAGGTCGATAATTGAATCTAAATACTTGTATTTACTTGCCAACATGACAAACTAAGTGAAACTTTAATCTAATTGCATTGTAAAATATTAGGTTTGAGACAACTTTAATATATATTCTCCATTCCTAAAATATTTCCTCAAGGATTCAAGTTGTTGAATTTCTGTAATGTTTGTGAGATTTTGCAATTCTCTTTGACATTACTCATCTAAATCCAATTATTCATATTTTTCATCCCTGTGTAATGATACTACTTCTTCTTTGATTATTATGTAACCATAGGATGTACAACCTATTAATTAGTTCAAAAAAGTCTTCAGGAATTCTTAAATATCTTTTGGTTCAACTTTTTCATCCATCAATAAAAGTAGTGAATTCATATAACGTGAATACCTTTGCTAAGCATTATGACAAAATTACTTTTATTAGCTAGTAAATCTACTGCAATTACTAATTAATAGTGATATCAATTTCTTCCTGTTAATCAATCTAATACAAAAGTCTCCGCAATTTCTAAATTTTGTCTCTAAACTCTTCATTCATCTAATTTTGATTTGTAAAATTTTATATACCTGTTAATTTGAGTTTTGGAACATACTGTTCAACTATTTGATTAACTAATCGATCATTTTTACAGTTTGAGTCTAAGATAAAATTATGCATTACTAAAATTTATCCCTCATACTTTTTTGATGGACTCAATTCCTAGGTTTATGATTTAGATATAGGCATCTGAAGCTAAGAAATGTAGGATAACAGCATTTCCTTCATTTGATTATCATCATGTTATTTTGATAAAAATACTAATAGTGCGGGATCCTTGACTGTCAATTTTTATTTCACGATCTTTTTCTCTTATAAAGAAATCAGATTTTATGATTCCATCTCTCCCAAAATGTGGAAAAAATTAAGATACCCACAAAGACTAGGCGAGTGAAGGTCATCTTATTTCATTTTTTATTCGTGTAAAATAATTAATTATATCAATATTCTAATACTTTTATCAAATAAACTCCTCAGATCCTTTGATGTTTATATTTATGATATACTTATATTATATTGTTCGAAATAAATTAATACATAGGTATAGATAAAAAGTCATTTTATCACAAATGAAGCACCTCAAAAATTTACTATCGCAATCACCTAATTCTAATTTCTAAAATGAACCAAATAATCAATAACAGTTACTGATTTTATAATAAGTAAACTTTAAAATCATTATAACTACAAATTAATCTCATCGTAGATAATAGTTATTTGTTTTTTTCAATTACAATATCAGAAAATCATAAATCAAGCTCATTTGATCAATCTAATATCGCTAAGATGACTAAAATGTATTCAATAAGAACAATTATTATAATTATTTATGATTACTTATATTACTTATTTCTTATTTTTAATTTCTTTAAATAATATTTGAAAAAATGGAAAAGCATTTTTATAACATGATTAAGAGTCTAAGGCTTCTATTAAATTGCTTAATAAAGGAAGCGAATAAAAAAATCCAAATAAAAAATTCATCAATCTATGTCGAGGTTCCAAATTAATATAGCTCATCTCAAAAAAGCCATACTTGTGAGATAGTCAGTAATAACAGAAATTCTGAAAATATAAAAATGAACTCAAGCCAATTGTTGCCTCATACTGGGTCTTTGCGTTATATAATTGGCTTAGTTGTTATTAATGATAGCATTTAAATTAGTTTTTCAATATTTAATCTTAAACTGATTTTATTTATGGATGATTTTTTATATGCTATAAAATAAGCAATCAATTAACTTGAACTTAGGCAGCCTCGATATGCCCCATTTTATGACATTCTTACAAGAGTTCACTACTGTTTTCAATAAATTCAATGCTTAGTAAGATGATATCGCATATTCCTTCATCATAAATTGTATATTTTAGAGAGATAATTACGTGTTTGCCCAACTTTGCAGTGACTAGCAATCAAAAAATAAGGCTTTATGAATTTACTTCAAAATGTATCAAAAATTATTTATGAGAAGTATATTTGGATGTTGAGTAACAATATGTTTCTATGGGACATCTCTAATGGCGATATATTATTTGAAAAAAGAAAAGTTTTAGTTGGGTTTATTTGTTAACTTGTTTATTTGCTTTTTTGGAATCTTTCTCATTAGTTAACCTCCCGCTATCAAAAAAGGGAAAATCAATTAGCGACTTAATTGAGTGGAATAATATAAATGATATCTACTGCAATATTCTCATCAATAATATAAGTATTAATAAATACCCCAGCTAAGTCGATATAAATTTATTTGATCTAAGTAAATTAATTAGTTATTCTATAATACTTTTCAATTATATCGATCGCAGTGACATCCGTGACTCTGTTGATTATTCCGTCTCAATAATGATTAGTACCAAATTAATTTGAAATTTCTATGTTAATGTTGATTGGGTCTACCTCATATATTATATAGCTGTTGATGAATAGAGCATATATGAAATGGAGCCTTACAGAAATATCCATGTTAGGTTAGTCACAAGTTATTTATGGAGATGTAATTGAAATGTTTATGGGAACCAATCTATCATCTTTTAGTGTTTGCGGTACAGGCGTGATTGTTGCTCTTTGGTAAAGGCAATTTAAGACAAATCGAAATAACAAAAGGATTATTGAATAATATATAAAATATATTAATGTGTGTGATGTATCAATTTTTTGGCAAATTCTTACCATTTTTTGTCATACTTAGCATAATATAAGAGAAAATATCTTAACACTAGGTAAACAAGTTCTTAATAATGTATCAAATTTCTAACTGTGTAATGAAGAATTTTAAATGTTAAATAACTTTATTTCAGCAAATCTATTAACAAAACATAATTTTGGAGGTTTTTTTAAAGTTTAGTAAATCAATTTTTATATTTTCCAAAAATTCTAATAAATCACAACATATAAGTAACATATTGTTATTTTTGATTCAATCTCTCTCTAAACTACCCAAAGTCAATTATAAAGATTTCTTACAATTTTTTATAGAATTACAAATTATTATGATTCAAAAATGCATTTCCAGACTTTTATTTCAATTTATTTTTTAACTAACTTAAGCATTTTTCTTATTTTAATAATTTTTCTAAATTTATTGTTAAATTTATTTTAAAACATAATTCAAATGATGCCTCTAAGGGTCATCAAAGTCTACTATGATGTTATTTATACACTTCCCTCCTTCATGAGTGACAATATCTCTATTGTATATAAACTTCCAAATATCATTGTGTAGATTTAATGGATATGTATTATTTGCTTAATTGACTAAGGTAAAGAGGTACTATATGATAATTATCAATTATTTACTATAAATTTGATTATAAGTTGACTATAATTTTTAGAATTTATTATAATTTATAAAACTTCCAATTATCAAATAAGTAATCCAATAGCAGATTTCTTATAAGATATTCTAGATTCTTATTTTGGTCATAGAAAGCACCAATAATTACAATATAAATCTGATATTTAAAGTCCACATTTTTAATACAATGTTTAAAATCTTAAAGTATGCTATTCAAAAAAAACCTTATGTATTCTATTTCAATTCCAATAAGCAGGCTGATTATTGATGCAAGCAATAGATTTAGTGGAATTAAATCATAAATAATATTATTAAGTGCTATTGTTTAAAAGTTGATTAATTTAATGTATTAGAAATTAAAATTATGATTTTTGTTATGAGGCAAACTATAAAATTATATGAAAATTTTTTGTTTTAAGCTTAAATGTATATATTGATAATTTTTGGTTTTGTTTATTGCTTTAATATTTTCAAAGAGAAATTTCCAATTAATTACACTTTTTTTATTAAATTGATAAATTTTATTATCAATTTTTATTTTACAGACAAAAAAGCTTCATATAATATTAAACAAAAAAGATTTAATCATAATTTCTAAAATATAGTAATTAACTATGATTTTAACATTCAATAATATAAATTCAAGTTTTTCCTCCTAATAATTCTCAATTAATAAAAGATGTTTATATTTCTTGATATAAAATTACAATTAAATTCTGGTTAAATTTAGAGAAAAATCAATGATTAATTATATTTTTAATAAATTAGGGTATTAATTATTAATATGGTATCAAAAATTGTTAAAAGTTTACAAATTCTTGATCATATAATGAAGGTTGTTATTTTATTTCGATTCTAAATTTCATTAAAAATAAGGCTTAGCCATTTTATAATTAATTTTATTTGAGTAATCTATCTAAGCCACTCTAAGCTTAGATCAATTATTTTATGAATCTTTTTTTCCATGGCTTTCAAACTAAGCTTCAATTTCCTTACAAAACAGAACACCACTACTGCTACATTCCATACGAAGATATCTGAACAGTTTAGAGATATTCTTAATAATGAACTTTTAATCGATACACTTTGTGAAAGGGCGTTGCAGTCTACTGCATCTTCTTCACAAGATGTGCATGAAAGAAATGATATAGAAAGAAGATATACCCAATCAAATATCACTGCATCACTAGCAGAATGGATTGAAAGTTGATGAAGTTTTCATTCTAGTCATTATTACAAGATATTCAGTTGGTTCCTTTTAAAAAAATTTCAAGGATTACTACTACCTCAAAAGGGAGCCATCCTAAATCATCAGTTGTTTTAGTTCAGGGCTTTCATCTAAATTTCAGGTGTAGGTGACTAACGTGTCAAACATAAACACTCACTAAGGATAAAGTGCACATTATATAAAAAATATAAAATGCCCAACAATTAAATGGTTAGAGACAAAGTTTCAGATTCGCATTGGGGTTAAGCAACCCGTTTTGGATATTGGTTTGGACTTGGTTTTTAAATTCGTATAAGTATAGGCTCAAAACCTATCACAGTAATGATGGCTGAAGACTTTCGCAAAGTCAATGTGAATTCATCAGGAGTTGCTTAGATTATTAAAATATTAAGAAATATATGAAATTATGCAGCCATTGTTTTAAGTTCTCAAATATTCCTAAATATCTAGTAATTGCTAAGCGTTTTTTATGACAATAACGCATCAATTAATTGACTGTTGCTTCATGTCTATGCCACTTTCAAATTTCATTTTTTTTAGCATATAGTCATTTTTTCAAATGCTTCTTTTTAATCGAGTTGTGTTGGATAAAACAACAACCATACTTTTATTTTGTTGCATAGCTTAAATATATTACTTAAGCAATTCCACTGAGTGAAAACCAAGCTTAATTCAGTATATCTATATTAAATTAAAATTATCATGTGATCAACGATGTAGACATCGCTTACTTTCACTACTTAAATATTAGGCCAAGCAGGGGTTTGGGTTTGGGTTGGGTTTAAGTGTGGGTTTGGGTTTGGGTTTGGGGTTGGGGTTGGGTCT